TATATATTACTAGATAGTTACGCTTTATATAAGTTTAGAATAGCTTTATAGCTGCCTGCTAAGTTATTATTAGAGTTTATAATACTTTTATTTTAAATGCTAAATTAAAGTTAGTATTAAAGGGTTTAATTGCCTGCGTAAATTAATCTAATATAGCATCTATATTAAAGACTTTTACGCATTTTACTTTTTTAGCTCTTATTACAACTTTATTATAATCTAAGAGCTAGGTGTTTTATTAGGTATTCTTTCTAACTCTATTAAGTATTTGTTTGTATTTTTTTATGCGCGTAAAATAGCTTCTTAATTGTTAATACTAACCTGTAAGAAGATTTTAGAGATCTATTAACTATAAATATTGTTAGAGCAGCATAAGCTGTATATAAATTAATTTACTAAATCTTGTATATAAGAGACTATTGCTTAGATTGCAGTACTTTCTCTCTAGTATTTATTATTATCTACTTTCTAATCTTTAAAGTTTTGTTTTTATTAGTTAGTTATTAGAGCCTAGGCAGCTCTCTGCGCAGCTAAAAAATAGGCAATTAATGTAGAAACATTTCTTTAGGCGTTTTTAAACACATCTAATAAGTTTAAAAGTAGTCTAGCTAGTTCTACTCTTAGTAGAGTTATAGTAGCTAAATTAAATATATACTATACTGCTTTTAATATTGCATAGATTTATATAGCTTTAAACTAGTCTTAATAGTTGTCTAGGTTCTTTAGGGTAACCCTAGAGACGTCTAAATTAGCAGGCATTTTTAGTTAATTTATAATAGTAAGGTTGCTTTATTAATAAAGGCAGTAAGACTTTAAATTATTAGATATTACAGTAATTTATAGTAATAACTATTATAATAGAAGTTAATAATTAATTTTTAGTCTTTTTAAACTTTATAACTTTACTATACTCTCTTTTACTTTAAGTAAAAAGCTAGTATGTATAGGTGCACACCTATTTGTTACACAGCTATACTTCTACTTGTAAATTGCACTACTTATTCTAACATAATCTAGTTAGATTAGCAGAGTTTTTTTAGCCTAATTAAGCCTTATTGTAACTCTACTATAGTTTACAGTAATTTGTTACTTCTTATTTAACAAACTAAAGTTAAAGTTTTATAATTATACTTATAAAAATAAACTTAAGTAAGTGCTGCGCACTTAAATAGTATAAAAAAAAATTAAGCGTATAATTTTTAACTCTTATTTAAAACTAGCTTTTTAGTAGAAAGTAAAAATAAAAAAGCTAAAGTAAGCGTAGAAGGTGCTAGAAATTAGGTTTTATAATAAAATAAAGTCTAAGTAATAAAAAATAATAAAAAGCAAGAGTAAAAGCAGCAAAACTAAATATTAAAAAACTAAGTAAAATGTATAAATAATAAAAAATAGCAGAATATTAATAAACTAAAAAAAACTAAAAGTTAAGTAAAAAAAAAACTAGAATATTAAATAGCGCAGGCAATAAATAGTAATAAATAAAATATAAAAAATAAGTGTTAAAAATAGCAAAGTAATAAATTAAAAATAAAGGCTAATTATAAACTGCGCAGATTAAAAACTATTACTTTACTTTTATAAATAGCTTTTATAAAAGCTAGTATTATTAGTAAGTAATGTAATTTAAGATTACTTACTAAGTAAAAAGGCTACTAGTTATATTATTTTTTATATATAAATAAAAATAAGAAAAAAAAATACAATATAAAAGTAAGTATTAAAAAAAAGTAAAAAGTATATAAGCAACTTAAGACTAAGTATTATTAATATAAGCTTAAAACTAGTAGAGGCGTTAGTAAGGCTAAAAAGTATTATAAAATATTTAAAATAGCTATATTTTGTTTAAAATGCTGTCTTTTACTTATTCTCTACTTTAATTTATAATAAATAATAAGTATTTTTAAAATCTAGAGTTATATAGTAACATACGCCTAATAAGTAGTTTAATATTTTTTTAATAAGTAGTAGTAAGTAATAATCTTTTACTATTACTATATTAAAACTCTAGTAGTTTATATATAGTTATAATTTTTTATTTTTCTTAAAAATAAAAAAAATAAGTACCTCTACTAGGCTAGTGCTATACTAAATTTATTTATTTATAAAGTAGTTTTTAAGTATTTATAAAGCACTTAAAGCTTATAGTTTAATAAGCTATATAGCAGACTATAAAGAGGCTCTTTTCTTTTTATAATAAAAATCTTATAATAAAAATCTTATAATTAAAGCTTTTAAATAATAAAAGCTCTAATACTTTAACTTTATTAAAAATATCTATATAGTTTTAAAGTAGCTTAAAAATATAAAAAATATATACTATACTTACAGTATAGATACTAGTAGTATACTTTATATATATAACTATTATTTATAATACTTTTAGTAAATATAGCTCTATACTAGGTTACTTAATGTTTTTTAAATATTTTTTAATAAAAATAAGCTAGATATTTTTAGCTATATATTTTTACCTCTATATTTAAGTGCTGCAGTTAAAGCTAATTACTTTTTTTTTAAAAAATAAGTTACTTAAAAAAAAGTACCTTTTTTTTATTAACTTTATAAACTATAGTATAAGTTTAGTATTATACTTACTTATTATTTAAAAGTTATAACTAAAGTATATAAGTAGTGTAAGTACTTTAATACTATAACTTAATCTAGCTTAACTATAAAAGATCTGCTTTTTTTATTAGTTGTAGTTTTATTTTAATAGCTACTTATTAACTAATAAAGCTAACATTAGCTTAAAAGTTTAAAATAAAAAGTAGTTTTTATTTTTTTAATATTACTTTTATTATATAATACTTACACTTTATACTTAGTAAAATGTTTAGTAGTATATACTTTACTATAGCTAAAGTTTTAGTAAAGTATACTTTTTTTCTACTTAATTAATTCTTATAAGCTTATAGTTTAAATTACTATTTTAATACTTATTAGTATAATAACCTTACTTTTTACACTTATAGTACGTAATCTAAAACTTATTTTTTAAAGCTAATATTAAGTAATAAGGCTTTTTTCTCTTTATTTTTTTTATACTTTTTTTTATACTTTTTTTTTATACTTTTTTTTTTATTATAGTTATTTTACAAGTGCGTGTTGCTTACGCGCTAGTTATTTTATTTTAGTATTAAACTTAATAAAATAAAGCTTTCTTATATTAAAATTTTTTAGTAATAGTTAGTCATAAAGTGCTATAACTTTAGTTTTAGTTTTATAAATAAATGTTATACTTTTTAAGCTTTTATATAAAAAGTAAATTATTTTTTTAAAGTACTAAAGTAAGTTATAAAAGAGTAAATACTTTAGTTGTTATATTATATAGCCTGCGTGTGCGCTATAAATACTTTTAAGCTTTAATTAATAAAGTTTAAAAGTATATTTAGTATAAATATTTAAAAGTACTTTAAGTTAACGCTACTTTATTCTCTTTTAATATATGCTTATAATATATATACTAAAGCTTTTTTAAGTTTTTTTATAAGTACTATTGTAAGGCGTAGTTATAGGCAATAGTACTTGCTTTACACTACTAGTAATAGTAAAAGATAGCTCTTTTTAAAAGGTATCCTCTTCTAATAATTTAGAATAACACTTGTCCCCTTTTAGTGCCTTAGGTGCGCCTTTTGTGCGCTTTTGCTAAGCTGCCTACGCTAACTAGTAGCGCCTTAGCAATATTAATTCTCTTTAACACTAACTCTTATACGGCAATGTTATAACTATATAGCTTAAGTAATTTAGTTGCTTTTTTATGTAAATTTATAAAAAGTAAGTTTAAATGCAAGTTTATAAAAGTAAAAAAACTTTTAATATTTTTTATAATTTTTTCTTTTATAGTTTATAAAGTTTTTTATTTTTAAACTTTACTTTACTAGCGCGTAGTGTAATAAGCTACTTATATTTTACTTATACTAACTTATTACTTTTACTTTAAGTATTTTTTTATAGTAGAGTTTATTATAAATAAAGCTAGTATAGCACTTTTTAAAAAAGTAATTTTATTTTTTAGCTTTTAAAAGTAATAGGCTACTAAAAAAGTATTTTTTTTAGGAGCTTAAACATATTACTTTATTATAGTAAGTGCGCTTATAAAGTTAAAAGCATTTATAGTAGTAGTAATTATTATAAAGTTTTTTCTTTTAAGCTTTAAGCTTTTATAGTTAAGAGCCTACTACTAAAATTAAGTTAAAAAAGCTATCTTTAGCTATCTACTAAAAAGTATTATTATATAAAGAATAGTTATAAGTACTAGTGCTTGCTTTACGCTACTAGTAATAATAAAAAATAACTACTTTTAAAAAGTACTTTTTTTTAATAATTTAAAATAATACTTATTTTTTTTATTACTTTTAGTGCGCCTTTTATACGCTTTTACTAAGCTACTTATACTAACTAGTAGTACTTTAGTAATATTAATCTTTTTTAATACTAACTCTTATATAGTAATGTTATAATTATAAAACTATATATAATATAGTGCTATATATCTTTATAGCTTTAAATATAGCTTAGTTTTATTAATTACGTGTATATTAAAACGCGCTTAATAATTTTACTTAACTTAAAAAGTATTATTAGTATAGTAATATTATATAATTTTTTTTAGCTGCTATTAAGCTAGTAAAAACTTATTAATATAATACTAAAGCTAAAAAAGTTTAATATTAATATTAAATATTTTATAAGTAGTAAATAGCTTTAAGTTAAAGTTTTATAAAAAAAAACTACTTTACTATAATATAATACTTTTATAAAATTAGTATAATAATAATAACTAAGCTTATATTTTTTAAGTAGCAGTAGTAAAGAGATAAAATAAAACTTTAAGTTAATAATATAAGTAGTATAATATATAAAAGTAATTATATAAAGGGTTTTTACAAATGTAAACTCTAAGTACCTGTTATTTTGCTTGCTACGTGGTAATGCTCGCTACGTGGTAAGGGATAGTATTTGCTTTAGATGTCTCTAACTATACATAGCACTATCCAAACTAACAAATAAAGCGTGATTGAGTATTGATCGAATGCTATAAATGTATTGCCGTCTGTAAATAACATCGTTGCATTGCGAACAGCTTATCCCATGATCGAAATCGCGAGACCCACAATAAAGACTACCAAAAATGTGGAAACGAATTAAAAAAAGGGGGGGGAAAGAAGCGAGAAAGCGAAATACGCCTTCCCTCATAGCAAGAAAACAGAACTTCTCAATCAAAGGTTACAAAGCCCTGACTATCCATCCAGTGTTCACCCACTAACCTTGAGCTTAACAGCAGGACCGCATCTCACACTCCGAACTCTCTCCAACCCACTACTAACACCCGGGAACGTAACAGGCTTCCAGTAGTACCCAGGATCGCAGTTCGGCCCCAGGTAAAGAGTGCACGATCCGCCTTTATCGGGTCCGAGAGACTGAACCTGATTACCTACTTCTCTGCATTGCCCCGCCTGTTTAGTCCAATAGCAAAATCCCTTCCAGTCGGGGGCGGTGCAGGTGTAGACGCCGCCGGGAGTACCGGTGTCGCGGGTATCGAGGACGGCTGCGCTTGTGCCGACGATAGCGTAGGCTATGGTGAAGAGCGAGAGAGTGGAGACGTACATGCTGGGTTGTAGCGTGATGGTATTGATTATGTGAGAGTAGTTGTGTTTAGGGTTGAGATATGTCTCTTTGCTCTATAGATTTCTCTACGATCAACTATGTAATCTTTTTTTGGTTCGATTGACAGAGTAAGTTGGTGATATCAAAAGGCAGGGAATGTGTGAGGGTTAACTCTCGTTTATGTACTCATTGTGAAAATGACGTTACTGCCGGGTTAAGATCGAGAGGGACAAAGATAGCAAGAGTTCTTTCAACATCTTGGACAATGCATTGTGTTCTTCAGATCCGAAGAGATCTCAATAAGGTGGCATTGAGGAGCGTGACCTTTTCCTTGTTTCTTTGTCGAATTCTTCGAATGTAATTGGTTTGCTGAGATGTACGTGACCTATTCATGTTTCAATGTTCGTCTTTGTTCTATTGTAGATTGCATGAGGAAATGAACGGAAAATTCATAACCGATCAGTCTGGAATGATCTAATAGTCAGTGCCGAACATCTGTGATTGACTATGGGCTGGTTCTAAGGCATGGAACTGCATGCTAATCGCGCTGCATTTGATGATAAGTTAGTAACGAAGTTAGCGAGCACTGTCTAAAGGACTCGGTACGGTTGAATATTCCTCTTTCAATTCTCATGCCACATGTTTTTAGATATTATCCAAGATGTGTATAACAGCACCTAAAGAAGTGAGTAGTGTTAGAATCGTGGAATGTATAGCTATGATGAGCTATGCACCTGAATCATTACACGATGCGGATGCAAGTAGACACTTGGAACCATCACAGAGCATCTTGTTACTACCATGCAAATTCAGATTTATAATAGATTATTCGAATAGTTCCAAATGTTCCGAAACGCAGCCGTGAGCTTCATGCTCCTCGGATCCCAATGGGGTTAGCTCTATCCGAGCCTTATCCGCTGGATCGCCAACCCAGAAGCTCGTCATAGTAAATCGGTACCAGTGCAAGTCTTCCAACCACCAGCCATTGAACAACTAAAGGCGCTCATACGGGCGGCCCAACACGCTCATTATGCTTCCACAGGCCGCTAGAATGCGTGCCACACGCCTCCCCCGTGTCGCTCCCCGTTTCCGATCAACCGGTCACCCTCCTTTCGTCCATACGCCTGCTCGTCAAGCTTCGACAGCTAGCGAGACAGCCACCAATGCGCGCTCCGCTGGTACTCGATCAAAAAACTTCATATACGGGAGTGCTTTGACTCTGGCACTTTCTTTCGGCTATCTATATCTAACTGATGCGCGAGCTGGCGTGCACGAATGGCTAGTCGTGCCTGCCATGAGGCAAATCTACCCCGACGGAGAGGACGCACATCACGCTGGAACCGCCATACTCAGAGCTCTATACAGCTTTGGATTGCACCCAAGGGAGAGAGGCAACCCCGATGCCGCAGGCGATCTCGAAGTGGACGTGTTCGGACATCGATTAAGCAATCCCATCGGAACATCAGCTGGCTTAGATAAGGGTGCAGAGATACCGTCGCAAATGTTCCAACTTGGGGCTGGTCTTGTTGAAGTGGGTGCTGTGACCACTATTCCACAAGAAGGCAACCCCAAACCACGGGTTTTTCGATTGCCATCACAGAATGCGCTCATCAACCGGTATGGATTCAACTCTGAGGGAGCAGAATTGGTTGCTATGCGGCTGCGCCAGCGCGTGCGAGAGTTTGCATACCATGCAGGTCTTGGTCTGGACCAGGAAGCAGAACGGATTGTGCTGGATGGCGAAGCTGGGGTACCTCCTGGGTCTCTTCAGGCTGGGCGGCTCATGGCGGTGCAAATCGCGAAAAACAAGACTACGTCCGAACACGATATGGAGGCAGTCCAAAGCGATTACACAAGATGTGTCGAGTACTTGGGGAAATATGCTGATATCATTGTGGTAAATGTCTCAAGTCCAAACACACCCGGTCTGCGTACCCTGCAAAATGTCGAGCCTCTCACGCGACTGTTGTCCAGTGTGGTGCAAGCAGTGAACAAGGTTGACCGGAAGACAAAACCTGCTATCATGGTCAAAGTCAGCCCTGATGAAGACTCGGAAGAGCAGGTCTCCGGGATCTGTGGGGCGGTATGGGATTCTGGTGTTGATGGTGTCATTGTTGGAAATACTACGAAGAAAAGACCTGTTCCCCTCCCCAAGGGCTACTTGCTCCCTGAAAAGGATGCAAGTGCCTTACTGGAGCAAGGAGGCTACTCTGGACCCCAAATGTTCGAGCGAACATTGAGTCTGGTCAAGAGATATCGCAAAAACCTCGACGATGGACCGAAGCAACTCCCACCACTGAAGTCACCGGACCAGTCAGCTGGCGACGCCTCTGATTCCTCCGTGCTTGATAAAGTAAACCCTACAGAGAAGCTGTCTGAGACCGTTGAGGCCGCCAAAGCTTCGCTGCCGGATGCCACTACTGAACTACCCGCTGCATCATCTCCGCTGTCAACCAATGTGGATGATATCGGTGATTCAGCTCCTCTTCTCGCAGTACAGTCTCAGGCAGGCAATGCCGCACCGGCTCCTGTTGGTCCGCGCAAGGTCATCTTCGCGACAGGAGGCATCACAAACGGCAGGCAAGCGAGAGAGATACTAGACGCTGGAGCAAGTGTGGCGCAGGTGTATACAGCGATCGTCTACGGCGGCGCGGGTACAATAAGTAAGATCAAAAAGGAAATGAGGGACACAGCAGATACGGAAAAGCGATGAAACGCGGGGCTAGCTCTACTTGTACAGTATTATCTCCACATGTCGTAAACTGTAAACAAAGAAGGTTGACAAAGCGCATTGCTGGCAACTTATTAGTGAGCGTGTATAACCACTGCACCAAGCTGTGCCGACTAGCCGTGGCGCAACCGCAGCCGCAGCCCACCCATCTCACTCCGTCCTGTGTCTTCCTTCCTCCACTTCCTGCTCTAAGTTTTTTTTTCCTTTGCCGGGTCGCTGTACAACAGAGACGGATCTCTTGCCGGCTGTATTTTCACCCTTTGCGCACTTTGCGCACCGCAGATGTTGCCTTAGAAAGCACCTTGTTCTCTAGAAAGTTCCACGCGCGTACAAAAAGGCAGCCACAGCCCCACGAGCGAGCCCCGCGGCCGAATCACCGTTTCCAAACTCCGCGTCTCCCCCGAGTCTCAACCATCACCACATTCTTTGAATTATTGTTATCTATCGCGAGGCCGCACCATGCCGCCTGTCGGTAACGAGTATGCTGCCCAGCAGTTGAAAACTCAGGGCAACAAGCACTTCAAAGAGGGCGAGTACGAGCAAGCAGAGACTCTATACGGCCAGGCTATACAGAAGAACAGCTCTAACCCTTTACTCTTCACCAACCGCGCAAATGCGCGCCTCAAGTTGGAGAAATGGGAAGGTGTGATAGACGATTGCATACGCAGTATCGAGATCTTGAAGGATAATATGAAGGCGTTTTTCTACTTAGGTACGGATCAAGAAGTCTGGTGTCATTTGCTTGACCACTGCGCGCGCGCACGAGGTTGCAGTGCCGTGAGGAGTGCAGCTGACAGATTACGGTTCCAGCCCAGGCTCAGCTCTCCATCAACCACCCCAACGAAGCGCTGTCTTCGGCCCTCATGGCGTATGAGCTCTGCACGAGCTCGTCGCAGCAGACCTCGAATGCAGCCACAATATCCGCACTCGTCCTCAAGTGCAAGAAGGCGAAATGGGATATCCGCGAGAGGGAACGGATAAGGCGACGTGACGACTTGCTGTGCGACCTCGAAGCCATTCTCGAAACGCAGTGGAAAAAAGACCAAGAAGACGTCGAAGCCAAGATTGAAAACGGCGAGATTGGCCGTGTCGAGGGCCAAGAAGAAAAGGCCGAACGACGCACCGAATGGGAGAAGAAGAAGTCGGACCTGCGAACCGCTTTTTTTCTTTCCGACCCTCAGAATCTGGAAAAACGCGAGGTCCCGGATTATCTTGTCGACGGGATCACGTTTGAAATCATGCATGACCCTGTCGTGACCAAGAACGGGCGGAGTTATGAGAGGGCGACGTTGATTGAGCATCTGAAGCGAAACCCAACCGACCCCTTGACGAGAGAGCCTTTGACGATCAACGAACTTCGACCCAACATTGCGCTCAAGGAAGCGTGCACCGAGTTCATGGAGAAGAACGAAGGCTGGGTCTACGAATGGTAGGTTGGAGTTTAAGCGTCCAGCGTTACGTTGCTAAAGAGGGTACGTCTTTGGTGAGTAAGCTGGGATCAGGACTTTTTCCCCCATCTCCGCTCGCGCGAGGGGACAGAGTACTTACTGTAGCTACAGTGAAGATGGCGAAATCGACGAAAATCCGAGATGGGCTCACTTGTCCTCGTGGTAGTAAAATTGAGTGATGAGTTGGGGAGCGCGAGATTGGTGGTGCCATAAAGTGTCCCTCTCTGTCACGTTTGCATGCATTTACGGAGTTTTACTGGGGTGTTTTGCTTTGCATAGGCCTGTGGATCGATACCCATGGAGTACAGTACCGCGTAGTCACGCTCTGAGCGCGCGCCCCGTCCTATTCTTATTTTTCATCATCTTCTTCTTTCAGAGTTGTGACTTGAAAGGGCGGTTGAACGCTATAACGATTACAATGATAACGAATTCCAGCCGAAAAAAAAAAAAAAATACGCCCAGTCCCCAATTGCCCTTGTGCTATACCCCCAGATTATGCATACAGGTTGTACCAACGCCGTTGAAAAACAATAACGAAACCCCCAGAACGCTCATCCGAACATTTCAAAACGACGGCCTCCTGTTCTCATCCTGGTCCAAACCGCCACTCTGCACATCCATGCCAAACGAATCCTTCCTCGCAGCCTTCCCATGCTTGCTATACTCATACATGTTCCTCAAGCTCCTCTGGCGGCGCATCTCCCTATCGACAGCCTGACCATCCTCGCCGAGCACTCTGGCCCGACTAGGCGGCACATCCCTCCTCCTCCTCCGCCTCTCCCTCACACCTCTTTCCTCGCTCTCATACGTGCCGTCCTCACCACCACCACCATCGCTATCCCCATCTTCCTCCGAGATCACCCGTCCGGACCTACTCCGCGATCGATTCCGCACGCGCCCGCGCAGTGTATGATCGGGCTCCGCATCGCTCCTCCTCCTCCTATTCACTCCGCCGACGAGCCCCGGCGGCGGCGTAGCGGAACTCGACGAATCCGCACGATGGTGCTTCCTGTGGTGGTGGCGGTGCCGACTCCCCGAGTCCCGGTCGTGGCCTCGAGAGGGGGACGTTGCACGCGGTGCTGGCGGGGAGTGCGAGGACATGCGGCGGCGCCGCTTAAGGCGGCCGCGGGGTTCGGCGTCTAGCTTGGTCGTGTCGTGTGTGGAGTGGATGGAGAAGCAGGATGACGAGGGCGGGAGGGGGTCTGAGGGTTTTTGCGTTGGGGTTGGGGTTGGGGTGGGTTTGTGGGGTGAGTGGGAGGTTGCCATGGTTGCTTCGTCTTCTTTTTTGTTGGTGTTGCTTGTTTCCACTTGGGATCTCTTGTCTCTCTGTCTTTCTCTGTGTGTGTGGTTCTCCTTGCTGTCGTTCTCTTTCCACTTGGCTCCCTGTGGTGGTGGTGGTAGTGCCGGGGATGATCACTTGTTGGATGGTAAGAGAGATTGAAGGTGTCGGCCGAGAAGGAGAAAGATGAGCATGCGTACAGCAGCAGCAGTTCAAGTCAGATCAATCACCCGGGCTGATTAGCAGTGAGACAGGTTCCTCATCAGATGGGTGTTGCAAGGGGGAAAAGGAAGAAGAGTCGAGCAAAGCAGAGCAGAGCCCACGCCGCAAAAAGAAAAGCTCGCGTGATGGGATTCGATGGTGCCGTACGCCTACGTTTGGGAGGTCATGCCATGCCTGGCGTTAGTAGTAGCATGTGCAGCCGTATTCGTTAGCTGCTCGTGTTTGACTGGTCCGGCGAATCTGGGGAAAATGACGTCGCGAGAGATACCCCGCTAGGCGCCTTCTGGACACGAGAGAGAGAGGAAGAGAGTTGGGTGGGCTGGTGTGTAGTCGGACCTTTCCATTCCACGCTTCTACTTTTTGGTCTAGAGATTGTTTGTTTCATGGATTGGAGTAGTTGATTGGAACGCCATCCGGTCATCACGTTTCGTCTGTGGGGTTATGGCGGCTCTGCATCGTGCTTGTTATGCCGGTACATGGGAGAGCCTCAAGCTTATTTGGGTAAGACGGCAAGTCTGGAGCAGACATGCTTTGTCGCAACCGTGGTATAGGTGTGTATATTTATACTCAGCTGTGCACTCCAAGTACGGCGCGACTTGGCGGATCGCCACGCTCAACTTTGGGGGATTTGATGACCGTGTTGTGATGCTGCCTGTCGGACAACAAGATATCACAGACAATGGATAAACAGGAACAAGGTAGTTGGCAACATTAATTAGTGGCATTATTATCCCACAGAACATGCGTCTGTTCTGTTGCTAGCATGCGGTATATCCCCCGCTTCCCCATATGAAGAAAAAAGCCCCTAGAATCATGACATCGTGAACTGCTAAAACCAGTGAGCGTCTCGTCCTTAAACCCTCGATCCTGCCGTATACTCCGAGTAGTCGGTGCTCTGGCTGGGCTTCCTCGCGTTCATCTCGAAATTCGTATGCCTCTCCCCCCTAGCTTTCCTCCACACGTGCACGCCCTTGCTTGCGAACCCAAGCATGACAAAGTAGATGATGGTGATGACAACCTGGAACGCCGCCTCCCCGTAGCACAGGTTCGACCACGTATCGCTGTTTCGGAAGGACCTCTCGTTGCTGTACGCGACAAATGGGTTGACGAATGTGCAGTACACCCACGGGCCGAGGATAGCAATCGTTGTCACGACTGCGGTGATGGGATGCCAGTTTTGCGTGCAGAGACCAAAAGTCGTTCCCAGAGTCAATGCGGCATCGGGAAGTAGAGCGATGCCGATGCGGTGCCACCAGTGATCTCTAAGAAGAGCGATTAGTATTGTTTTTTTTTTCTTTTCTCTCTTCTCGTGATGGTGCTAAGAGGAGCTCGGGGTACATGTATGTGGTACTACTCACTTGAAGTCGTAGTCCATAGGCTGGTCGCCCCACCATGAGCGCAGCAGCCGGCTTTCGACGATGACGAAGATGACAAACGGAATTATGATGAGATTTTTGATGGTGAAGAGAGTGAAGTAGTGGCGGTGGCCTCCTCGCCAGCGGGGGTCATCAGATGGCTTTGCGCGAATGTTGAATCTCGCCATGGTGTTGCGGTGGTGGTAGTAGTCGTAGGTGAAATGGTCTCTTGATATCAAAGCGGACTGGTATTACGTTCTGGGTGGTGTTTGCGTCTGTGCGCAGGTGAACGTCGGTGGGGAAGGATTGAAGTTTGTTCTTGGAGAGGTGTGTATACTAATAATTATGATGGGAAAGGACGACGCAGGGCGCAGTATTTAAATCTTGTGCTTTCTGCTACCGGTGACCCTGCGTTTTGAGATCGACTTTGAGACGCCTTACGGGCCTGGCTGAGTACGCACTGCCCCCGCAAAACAAGGAACGTCACATCCTAGGATTCGTGTAGATCGTTCTTTGAGGTCATCCTCGCTTCCAAATCCTTCCAGAGATATCGTGGAAAACACTTTGAACAGTAATAATACACTGCATCGCGTCCGTCGTCAGACTGAATACGTCATTTCTCTCCATAGCGACATCAATCATTATCGCTTGAGTACAGGCAGTGATTCTGCGATCGTCAATACGGCTCACGACTTCTCGGAGGTTTGTGTGATGATCCTAGTTTCGGGCCCCCAATGCTCCAGATAATATGCACTGCCACGATCTGAAACCCGTGTTACTGGCCAGAAGAGCACAAATCACTGGGCCCCGTAGCCTCATTGCCTGTCTTTTCTCCACGTCGCTAAGGCCGTTTTTTCTTTTTCTTTTCTTCCCTCGGTGGATATCAGCACGAAGACAGTTCCACTAGAAGTCCCCCCGTCCCAGTGATCTTCGCATTACTGTAGTAAGCTTCAGCAGAGCCAAGCATACACTATGATGTTATTGCTGTGTTTTGACGTCAGCCACGAAGCCAAGCCGCTGCGGTCAGGCCGCTGTATACTGTTTTTGGTGCCTCCAAATTGTCGTTCACCGGGAACGGTAGACCTTTGCCTACTTTAATGCCCCTATTTGCCATGTGGGCTGTTTCACTGGTGCATACAAGGGTACCCTTTTCAGCTCGTTTATCTGCAATGCAATAACCATATACGGAAAAATATGTGTAGATTCTGATTTATGTACAGTTGTAAATAACGAAACCAAAACGTTGCTCATCATCAATGATGGTGTAGTGAAGGACGCCCAATATAGTAGCAGACCAATTCCTTCTTTCTGACATCTTACCAACAAGATATTCCAATAGATTCTGCGTATGCACATTATGATGAAAGATACAAAGCGATTCAGAGTGCGACGTCTACTTCCATTCACTCTTCACGTCTGCACTGGCTTGACATGGGGCCGTGTAAGACCTGTTCGGGTCACTCTCCCATGTAGCACTGCCCGAGCCGGAAGTTTTGACAAACTTGTATTCAACGGCTTGGCCCACTGGGAGGTTCAAGGTGATGCTCCATACCGGGTTTTCCTTGGTGTATTGAGATGCCGACATCACTGGTGCTTTACTGACGTCCCACGAACCAAGCTGCGACGTGCTACCGGCGAGCTTGACTGACTCTCCGTATTGAGTGGCAATCTTGTGCGTGAACGTCACGGGGATGATGGTTGCGCATGTCGGGTTGGCAGTAGGCGCAGCAGTGGTTCTCGTTGTCATTGTGGTTCCTGGAGCCGTCTGAGAGGCGCCCGATAGCAAGACAACGGGCTCACCGTTGGTCACTTGCACGCAGACATTGCCGCTGCCATCAGTCGTGACAGTGCCGCTTCCGTACACGTTCGTGTACTGAGTGTTGGCCTTTTGAGTGTTGAAGCAGTGCTGCTGCGAGCTGCCACTTCCTGCGTTGGTGGTGAGGACCACGAGCTTGCCCTCCGCACGACTGAAAGCGTAGGCGTTGTTGGCGACGTACAAGTGGACCTGGTCGTTTCCTGTAAGTCCGCCGGCGGATTTCCTCGCGCCCAGGAGATTCGTCAGGGCTTTGTACATGTCGTTGTCGGTATTGAAGTTACTGCGCCAAAGGTCTTCGCGATTCGCGGGGTCGTTGCCTCCCCCGTATGCCTGCTCCGTTCCATAGTAGACGATGGGAATACCACGAGACAAGATCACATAGGTCAATGCGTTTCTCAGTAGAACATGATCGTTCTTCTGGAAAAGCCATCTGGGGTTATCGTGGTTATCAAGGAAGGAACCGAGAGCCGCCGGATCCGGGAACTTGGAGCTCACTGTGTTGTGAGAGTCGACTAGAGCCTGGGCTGACCCCTTCTGCTGGAAGAAATCGTTCATGGGATAGTAGGTCGCGTAGTTCAACAAGCCGGGCATCGAATTGGCGTAACCGGCAAGGTAATCCACATTGCCTTCCCAAACTTCGCCAATGCAGTAGACTCCAGATGCAGATACGAAACCAGGCCAGAAGTCCTTCTCCACGTGCTTGACCGTATCGATTCTCGCTCCATCAAACTTGTATTCATTGATGAGCCATTTGATCCATGTTTGGTATACGGAGCGGATGTTGGAGTCCTCAGTTTTGACTAGTGGGAAGAGACATAAATGTCAGTACGATTCATTCACATTCACATCGCGGGATGCCTCGATATCTGACACTCAAGATAAACTCACCATCTGGAAGACCGGCAATGCTGCAAACTTCGACACTTTTTTGATCGGCGTAGTTAATCTCACAGGTGCTGTGGTACGAGGACGCCTGGTTGAGAGGCTCGGGACGCATGCTCGAGATTGCGGACTGCCCCATGTGGTTGGCAACAACATCCACCATGACATACATGCCCTTCAAATATTATTAGCTCCGTGTTATCTCAACTTGAGTTATCACTAACCTTGGAGTGCGCCGAGTTCACAAGACTTTTGAGATCATCTGCAGTCCCGTAGTTCGAGTTGATTGCGTAAAGATCCTCAGCCCAGTAACCGTGATAACCACCCGGGCTGTCTGATAGATGAATCAGCCCATTGTATGTGTATGAATTTCCTTGCAATGTAAAACTTACTCTTGATGACGGGTGTTATCCAAATGGCGTCGAATCCCATTCCTTGGATGTAGTCCAGCTTAGACTCCAACCCCTTGAAAGTGCCTCCGCAGTAGTTCCCAAGGTTAGAACATGAACTACCGCCATTATCGCTTCCGTCTCGAGCGACTCGATCCGTTAAGGCGAAATAGATACTTCGCGATTTCCACGCATTGGTATCAGCAGCGGTGACTATGGTAGTCACCTGGAGGAGTAAAGCCAAAAGAGATCGAAAGAACTGCATCCTGATAATCAAATGAATGATGATCACTCAAACTACGAAGAAGACTGCGAAGTTGAGTTGTGTTACCATCGTGGTGAACGCTGGCTTCTTATGTAGATGCCTGAACAACAGGCATCGCATCCAGCTCCTGAGCACCACGATCGACATCGAATGTCACCATCAAAGTCATCTAAGCTTACTGACTTCAAATCACAAACTGTAAGCTGGTCGGTCCGACCAACAGCCATTGAGAGCATTGCGGTATGTCGAAACAAACGTTCATTACTGCTCACCGGACCGAGTACGACTCAATCAAAACGCAAAGATGCCGCGGAAGTCCAAATGAATGAAACGCATAATATTGATGGCCGCGGTCCAAGGTCCCAAAAGGAGCAGTTGGGAAAGTCACACGCTCATTCCAGGACTTTTAGAGCCGGGAAATGTGCTCTTAAGCGAGTGCCAAAGCCGGGGTTGCAGTGCTAAAGATACAGGACCCCCGCAAAAATCTTGTCGATCATGGATACGAGCTGCGCGGAGAGTGTGGAGTGTGGAGTAAAACTGCCGGCGATCGCGTACCGAATAGTCGACTACCTCCTGGCTCCAATTACATCTCCGGGGTTGAGCACGGAAACCGACAAGCGTGTATTTTGGCATGGTGTTTTAGACCGATCAACCCATGTCACGATCATAACGGCCAGTCATATACGCTACGGTAAGCTGGAAAATCATCATTTTTCATGCCGTGGGGTGCGTACATGCATATATATTGCGTGAGACGGTAGGAAAGAGCTTCCGTATTCGCATGTGAAAATGATGCCCAACTTGAAATAAGTCATGTCAAGATGCCTTGGTTTTTTGAACAGATTAGTGAACCACATGCTGAGGGCAAGAACTCGATCCGACTCGGATTCTTGTAGGCATGAATTACAGGGACCAAATCTACTAGGCTCCCCGTATAGTGGGTTCCAGAAATGAGCATTATGCTCTATATCGATATGGGAGGAGATAAAGACATGGGTATAGGTATATGTGCATACTGCCTACTCTCATGCGAGATGCCATTTCAATCCCTCAAAGGGAAGCTGTCGCAACATCATATCGAATGGCCCAGCGCTACCTCATAATTCGTGCAATGAATGTCTACTCTGCCGGGAACAAAGCACGAAGCACCTCAATGTGCAACGGTTAGCGGCTTCGAAAGACGCAGTGCTCAAGACTTGGTCCAGCAAAGTAAATTCGAGGGACAATGCATGCACAGATAGTAAAACGTGCTTTACAAACAGCAAAGTAATACATAGTTGCAGATTCAGGTATATGCTGCAACGTTAAATCCTGAGCAGATCGGGATTGATAGAAGTTAAATGTGATACCTACCCGATGAGATCACAATGCGTTCGAAGTACAGGAGATGTAATATCCAATGTCTACCAGTTGATGGTCCCCGGGCTCACCTATCCACCCCTATGGAACCCCCTTTGCCCTTCTGTACATGTATTAATTGGTGCGATGATGATTATTATCATTACTATTGTTACCTCCCTTTAATCTTCGCGTACATATCATTACCGGCTCTTGCTTGCCATGCACTCCTTTTTTCTACCTTCCCATAGCAGGATGCCTGGGAATTCAAGGACATCTGTGAGGAATTCCCTTAAAAGAATCAACTAACAGGATGCGGTCTAATTTATGTTGTGTTGAATCTGAGTTGGAGTTTGGGTGATCCTACACACAGCAAAGAGTTACAACAACAAATAAACTAAAAAATTGAGCGATAACCAAGAAGTAAAGCGAAAATATTACAATTGCAAAAGCGGGCATCGGGGGGCACCCCCTGGCACTAGTCCGCATCGGGCTATTGCTTATAACTCTAACCAACTACTAAATCACTACTCTTGAACCGCATGATTAGGTGGGACTGCGCCCTCTTGTGCAGGCTTTTCCACTGCTTCTGCTGCCTTCTGAGCACCCTTGCTCTTACTCGTCGATGTCTTCTTACCCTTGCCTTTGCCGAACTTGGCTACCCTGAATAACCAATAAGTAAACACCGCCTGTCACCAAATTAGTTAGAGAATCACACTTGCATGTATCAAAGGGCTAACTTACCATGAAGATGTTGAAACCTATAAACGCCCACATAATACCGAAGTTGCGCCAGCGCTCGCTGTAAAAGATTTGGCTTCCAGCTAAGAATTGATCCGAGCTGCTCAACCCGCAGTAATTGCATTCGGTTGTCGATTCCGGGTTCTGTAGAACTCCAGGTGCGGTTTGGAGAAAATCCGCCAAATACTGGCCACACGTTTGACCGGCCGGAGGGCTGAACCGTGAAACTTCGGTCGACGAACAAATAACCGGTCGACCATGTAACAGCGTACTCACGATACCGCCGACCCAATACGTGAAGGGCGAAACGCGGTACATGAAGATCCAAAACCGAGGGAGTGCGCTTGGCGATTGGAGAACGCCGCAGAACAGAATACTCATGAAGACAAGCAGTGTTACGATTCCGGCTGCTGTCTGCGCGTCCGGAAGAGCGGCGATAGTCATTTGCGCGAATGCCGAGGCGTATATTAGTAGTTGGATACTGAACAACATGACGAGCGCTTGTCGAACGGAACTTTGGTCGGCCCCAACTACAGGGTAGTAGTAACAAGCCCATAGCAAGATACCAGCGACAATCTGATACGGTATCTCAACGACGATGTTTGCGAGAATAAAAGCTTTCCAGGAGTAGGATTTGCTTGGTCGTTCGCGGACTTCGTAAAGAGATCGCTGGGTAATGAACAATGGCTGGATCTGGTTCACCAATGAAGTGAACATAGTGGTCACCATAAAAGCACAGAAAAGGACGTTCTGCATGCCAGATTGTGAAGTGTTGGCGTCGTAGAAGGTAAAGCCGATGAAGAGTCCGGCAGCGACGGCAAGAATCATCTTCGCGAAGATGTAGCTTGGCATTCTCCAATACTGCTGGAACACACGATATGTGACTTCTCGGAGCTGGGTTAGGAATGGCGCTGCGAATTCTGATGTTCCATCCGCTTCATCTGCTCCGGCAACCTGTTCGCCTTGCTTATCTGAGTGAATCTGGTCGATCTGCCGATGAAGCTCCTTAGTCAGGTCGCTTGCTTTGAAAACATCGTGCCAATCCTGTCCTTCGTCGTTTTGGCCATTGTTTACAATCTCGAGCATGTATTCCGCGGGATTTTCCTCGTCATCGCACTTTCGGGCGCCGTTGTTTTCGAAATAGTCGAGCAGTTTGCGCGAGTTCTGGCCTATCTCGCCAAAGTAAACAGTGCGGCCACCTTTAGCTAAGAACAAGAGGCGATCAAACTCCTGGAACAAGATGGCTGACGGCTGATGAATAGTGCAAAGAACGGCTTGTCCGGCTGTAGGAGAACACTCGAGTTAGTACCATTCGCTTACAAGAATACAATGTCATAGTATGCGGGGAGCACTTACCATCCGCCAGTTTGCGCAGGAAGGCGCAGATCGCCCATGAACTCTGTATCCAATCAGAAAATGTCGACCAATTGCTGCTTTTCCGCACTTACCTGACTGTCTAGTCCACTAGTCGGTTCATCCAGAAAAAGGAGGAGCTTTGGCTTGGCAGCCAATTCGACGCCGATCGTCAACAACTTCCTCTGTTCAACGTTGAGGCCTTCGCCAGGCACGCCGACGACCGCGCTTGCGAAATCACTCATATTCAGCATCTTGATGACTTCTTCCACGTACTCATACTTTTCCTCCTTGCTGACAGATTTCGGTTGGCGCAACATGGCGCTGAATCGAAGACTTTCGCGGACTGTGGCAGTCTCAAGATGCAGATCCTGTTGTTGAACATATCCGGTAGAGCGTTGAAATGATGGATCCAGAGGTTTTCCATTTACGAACATGTCACCAGTGACGACGCCTGTTGATACCCGCTGCGCGAGAACGTCAAGCAACGTCGTCTTTCCAGCACCACTGACGCCCATCAAGGCTGTAAGAGTACCTGGCTTCACATAGCCAGCAACGTTGTCGAGTAGGCGTCTTGTTCCTTCCTTGACGGGGACGTCGTAGGTTACATCGCGCCAAGTGAATATATCCTTTTGGGGGGGAACGGCTGCGACTTCCCCATCAACACCTTCTTTTGAATCAGCAACCGCTGTAGATTCTTCGTCGGCGTTGACGTCTTTGCCGCCCTTTTGAAGGTAGGCCGGAACATGGCCACGTTGGAAGACGAGTACTTCAGCACTATTGGACGTGGCTGAGTTGAGCTCGATTGCGACAAAGTACACAGCCATAAAGAAGAATAAGAACCCAAGTAGAATGCCAAAATTGCGCCACACATGTCTGCAAGATGATGTAAGTACACGAATGAATAAGTCCAGAAATCGCTCGAGGTTCTCTTCATATGGCAAGAACATACCCGTAGCTGTACTGATAGTTGATTCTGATGAAATCGTCTCCACTGACGGTGCGTCGACCGGGAAGGGCTCCAACAACATTACAAATCCAGCTATCTCCTTGCAGCGGAACGTAGTCTGGAATGAAAGATGCGCATGGGAATTCGCGACCGTGGAACTCGTTGGCAACGAGTATCTCAAATCCGTAAAATACAGGATTGATCCATCGAATCCTGGGTTCGCAGGCACATGTTAGCGGTCTCCGTTTCCAGACCAATGTTACCGGTTAGACGTGTTGCACATGAATGGGACTTACCAACTGAACCAGGGATGCATATTGGGAACCGCTACAACAAATCCAGTGCTGGGACCTGTGTTAGCATGAGATTCCAGGGCAGACTCTCACACACTTACTAAATCACAAGAGCCAAAACTAGAACACCTGAAAGCGCCATCGCTTGCGACACTGTCTTCGTTAATGCAGCGAGCGTTCGAAAAACTGCTGACATAACAAAAGTCGAAATGTAGGTAATGAGGAAGTACAAGAAGAACTGGGCCGCTTCTCTACGAAGTCCAGACATGAAGTACAGGATGATGTTGAAGAAGACTGCCTGGACGAATTTTACTGGTATATCGGCGACGATGCCGGCCATTGCTTCGGTAAAGGGATGGTAGAATGCGTACTAATGTTCGAATGTCGAATTAGTAGATGCAGACGTCAAATCACTGAAAATCAGGGTATACTAACACTTGCTTGTTTTTCGACAATTGGGCGCTGTGCATAAAGATTGTTTATCTCACCAATAGCAGTCAAGGCATTGAAAAGAATCGCAAGGAACAGTATTGACCCTTTGGCGAAGAAGGTAGAGGAATCGTCGCTGCCTCCAAAAAATATAGAGCCGACGATAAGAGCCATGACGACGTTAAGCCCTGCTTGCGTGGCCGTGGCTGCAATATCACCCGTGATGCGCTGGTAAGCTCTCCTAGTGTTGAGCTTGATCTGCATGGGAATGCTGATAAGAAAGGGTGATTCCGGTCGAACATGTTTGGCCTGGATAAAATTTTTCTGTTCACGAAGCTGGGTGAGATGTGCGGTTTGTTCCTCCACTGGGTGGTCCTGTTCGTATTCCTGGATTTGCTTCTTCAGGTTGCGGTATTCGGGAGACTCTCTCCAATAGCGTTCGAAATCGTCTGGCGTCCTGGGAACCTGGTTCTCCATTCCCTTGCGAGCTTGTCTTTCAGAAGGATTCGTAATGCTAGTAAGGAAATCCCCGGTGGTTTGACGTGGTGGGCAATACCAGCCTTGTCTTTCGAAAAACGGACGAGCCTCCTCAGCCGGGCCAAAGAAGATCTGTCGACCCTCATAAAGCACAGTAGCTTTATCGAATATTTCGTAGATACTTTGGCTAGCCTGATATATAGCTACAGCGGCGGAGCTGCCGCCGAAGTCTGAGGCGGTACGTAGCGATTGAACGAATTTGAATGCAGTAGCTATTTTCATATTAGCCAGGTCCTAGAAGAGAATGGGGGTATGCAATCTTACCAGAATCCAGGCCCCTGGTGCTGTTATCCCATGCTGCAAAAGGTGAACCAGCCACCATCATCTCTGCAATCGAAACACGTTTCCTCTCGCCTCCTGATACACCCCGTATGAAATCGTTGCCGACTTTCGTATTATACGTATGGCTGAGTCCGACCACAGCCATAACGACCTTGGCTACAAACTTGAAGAAGTCCTCGCGAGACATGTCACGCATGCGGTGTTGTGGTGTTCGACATGCTGCTGCAAATTCGAGTGTCTGGCCAACAGTCAGGTGCGGAAAATGTTTGTCGACCTAGTCATGATGGTTAGTTGATGATAATACAGATTTGATAACGATCGAATTACCTCCTGGTTGTATACGGCCTCTCCTTTGAATTCTTTCATCATTTGCTTTTGGGGAATACCATTGTAATGCACAACTGACTCATCTCCCATGCTAAGACCATGAAGTTCGCCGCACATGGTCTTCAAAAGCGTACTGCACCCCGCTCCTGGTCTTCCCAGAACAATGAGCATCTCGCCGCTGTTGATGACACCGTCGAAATTCCGTAGGATGTGTTTGTGGTCCTTCTTCCCGAAGCTGAACATCTCCCCCAGGCGAAATGGCGCCATCAAGAGGTCCATGACCGTCTTCTGGAGTTGCAGTGCAGCTCCGGTTCCGTAAATGTTTAGGTCCTTGTAGACAAGTCCTACTTGACGCATGGTGATTCCCTCCTCTTCCATCTGCTTACGCACCAACTTGACGAACTTCGACAAATCGAATTGATTACTGGCAGGATCGACCGAAGGATCATTGGGTGACACTGTTGTCGACCGGCGCGAGAGAGTAGTATACAACTCCCCCAGCTGCCTTCTGTCCTCATCGGGAAGTTCGACTTCTGTCTTCTTCCGCGTGAGTTTTGGGGTGAGCTCCGCCTCTGAGTCGTTGGCTCCATTTGAAGCTTTCAAAGGCCCAAACCTCGAATGTGAATGTGAAGACTCGCTGGAAGAACGGGTGGAACCTTCTGCCGCGCTTGATTCTCCTGTGTGGTTTTCTGATTCCTGATTTTCCGTATCGCTGTTGTGCCCATCAGGTGCATATGTTTCGCGCCCCGATGCCGTTCGGACAATCCCATCGACACTGTGCGGATGAGACATGGTGTGTGTGTATTTCAGCAGCAACACAATTGCTGGGGGATGCGGAAATTAAGTTATATCAACGCAGAAGATTACTTCATAGTAGAACTATGGTAACTTTTATGTACAGGAGGCCAATGCTGTCATTGTACAGCACTAACGAAGTCTAAAGGCGGAGGGTCGGCCTAGAACAATTGGCACTGATGGGCAATTCGATGAGGGCTGAATATTTGACGGACGACTTTCGGAACACGGATGGTAATGATATCCGCATACTAGGCCCACCTCTTTCAATCGTAGCCATCTTATTTACCTGCTCGTTGTAAGGGAGTAGTTATCTTGGCTATGAGCCCCGAAGCGGCATTACGTAGGGCGGTGCTGACGTAATGCCTCGTATGTACCTCGAATGGCCATAATGATAAAAAATGACACATATGCTGGCCAAGGTAAAGATAGAATGAGGATTGGCAACGTTGCGGAGATGAGTCGAATAAACACGCGGTTTGTTGCTGTGCTCTTTGGGCCCATGTGTAGATCATGTAACCCCTGCATGTGTGATTGATGTACATAAGGCAGATCAGATGTAGGCGCTATGCATTTACAAGAGCCGGGGTGGCCCGTTGTCTAGGTCGTCCTGATTTTGGTCCGATCCGCAGCCTTGTTCTTTCACCGCACTATCCTTGGTAACTAACCGTATATCGTCCATGCTCAGTGGTAACTGAGTAATCAAACATGGCGTCAGCGCCAGCGCTATATACAAAATTGACACAAAATTCGTACACGTCATCCGGAAGCCGGGCACTTCCATCCCGGTCCACCGGCGCCCTCTGGTTTCTATGTACTATCTATCTATTGCCATAAACAAATCCTTCTAACGCCGTCCGCTTAATTTTCCAACGTCGGGATATGCCAAGTCCCGTTGAAGATCCCAGCATCGGAATAATCCAACGTCCGACCCCCTCTCAGGAATGCGAACCGTACATATTCATTGTATTTTGCGCTGACTGGTCTCGACAATTCGAACGTGCTAGCGTTCCTGTCAATACCGTCATTGAAAAACTTCCGGCTGCGCTCCACATCATTGACCAGCATGCTCATTCCGTCCATTCCCGCTGTTAGCGAGGACCACGAGAACACAGAGACGAGTTCGTCCGCCACATGTCTGACATGTGGTATGGGTATCTCGGGTACAACTGAGTCAAGCTTCGCATCACCCCGAAGAGCTTCGGCTGTTTGAAGGATGGAGTCAAAGTCCCATCGTGCTATGCCGTTAACGAACAGACCCAGGAGCAATCCTTGATAGAGTAGTGATGGACGCGTCTGTAGACTCGTCCCTGGCAGCAGTAAAAGCGCTATTATGTAGTGATGGATGCGGAGCGAGACTCCAGGAATCATCAGGCATATGACTATACCAGACAGAAAGAGGCCGTACAGCATCAGATACTGTGGCAACCGGCCTTCTAACCAGAAATAGTACATTTGGCCTAATATGATGATGACAAGAACGATGAGTATGGCTACCAGCGCGACAATGGCCCCTGGCTGCTGCTCAAGATCGTGTGCTGTCAATCTTTGGATCGGTATCCATTCGAATGTGTAGTTTGACAAGGCACCAAAGAAGAATCCTCCAAGCCAAAACAGCGTTTTCTCGAACGGAGCCTTCATCCCCGCTAATGTACGTTTTACAACGCTAAGGTATATGACTACTGCACAGAACGAGGCAGGTAATAGGCGCTTCGCAAACATTGAGATATGATCAGGAAGTACAGAAATATTCCGATATGATGCCGAGGGAGGGTCTGATCCAAAGCTTACTTGAGCAAATATAAGTACGAAGATGACGAAGAATATACGTGGTGACGTTGCAAGTAAGCAGAAGATGCTCGTGAATATCATAGTCGTAATCAGTAAACCGTTGCGAGGATCGGACGAACAGCGAAGCTCCGGGTCGGCTGAGGGTACGAATGATAGCGGGAAATATGAATCGAAAGCAATCGATTCAATTCCATTCGCATTGACACTTGGGTAATTGTCGCGTTCCCCAACGAGTGAGACCCGACCGCAACCGCCCTGGTGATCGTTAATGATTCCTGCGTGGATGGCAGAGCCGCATATAAAGCTGTCGCCACGATAGGTTCCATTGCCGATCACCAAAGGGCGATATATGACTTCGATGGGTCCAACAGCTCTTTCATTCAACACTTGGACGCTGGCACAGTTGGCAGGACACCGGAAAGCAAAAGATTTTTTATCAAAAGGGCGACAATCGAGACCGTCGACCGCACATTCATTCTTCATCCGGAAAAATGTATCCGTGCAATCTAGACCGATTGCATAGTTTTGGGATCCATCTTGAATGGGCAGCTCTTTACTCAACATGGCGAAAAAGATGCAAAACCAGAGTAGCACACCAAAACCAAGTGCCAAAAGCTGATGTTTCTTGCTCGATATTTGACTTGCTAAGAGAAGGGGGCCTAATTCCTGGAGACGGGGGAATACCGGCTGGACAGTCTGGATTCGAGGCGGATGCGGACCTTTGATCTTGTCGAGCAGGCCTATCGGTCGTTGTCTCTTTATTCTCTGGCGCGTATAGTGATCCTGAATCTCCATCTCTTCGCCAGGCAGCAGCTGGGCCTCTTCATCTTCGGCTTCGGCTGGGTCAGCTCCTCGTCTGATAATATCGACATTTTGATCGTGGTGCGACATGAATACTAGTATTCCATGTGTTGTATGAAACCGGACAGCCAGAGATTGCTGCCCAGTATAGACTGGGTGAATAGGAGGTCGCGCTAAGAGCAGGATAATCGGCGGATGTTGCCGGGGTCTCTGTTCGGTTAGAGTTTGAATGTTTGAACTGCACGTGCGTGGATGTTGGGGCTGTCACGTGCCATCCCCGCGACCCATGCGTTCTTGGCAAAAATGCCCTCGGGGAGTCATGGATGAACACGAACAAGGCTCGCTAAGATGCTCATGGAATTCCTCGAGGGGTTAAATGGCAAAGTTGCGATCGCCATTTGATAGCGTACCCACATGGATGGCAGCATGGTTCAGTTGCACCCACGCCCTGGCGAATCAACCCACAGCAATGCTCGCCACAGCAGCAACCCGCGGGCTGGACTCTCCATGTCTCTGTAGCGTCGCAGTCGGCTCGGACGACCGCCACGTTATTTCCACTTGCTTGTCTATTGACTTGCTTGCTTCTTTGCTTGCTTCTTTGGTTACCTCTACTTCTGAAGCATCCCCCTTCAACACTCAGTCGCCTTCCGCTGGCCCTTCTGGCTGTCCTCTGCGCGCTGCATGCCGTGCGCTCCTCACGCCGACGAGCAACATGCACTTTTTCGCTGGTGCAAGACCCGTCGACTAGGTACAAGTTGCTGATCTAGGTACAACGCCACCCGTCCTCGCCGCGCATTGCCCATCCCATTCTCGCCGCCTGCCATACCTCTCTCGTATGCTGTGCGCGCCCCACCATATCCTTTCGCGATGGACGCACCGCCTTCCTTCGAGTCGAGACGCCATCGCGAGGTCCATGTACGCTATGGAGCTGTTCTGAATGATATCCCGCCTTTGTTCCTCGACGGCAAATCCCATCATTCCCTTCCCAGCGACTTCAAACCCCAGCGATCCAAAGACACGAGCCTTACAGCCTTCGCACAGCTAGCTTGCCTCCATTCCGGCACCGATCGAGCCATCATATCCCTCACCGACGATGTGAGACAACATGTTGTTGCCGAAGCTACGCCAAATCTATTGCTTCGCTCCAATCGCTCCCATGAAGCAAGCAGTGACCTCTGGCTGGGCACTGTCAGTGCTCCTCGAAGGTGGTCCCCATGCGAAGCAGTGCTCGAAGCTTGGACAAACGGATCAGCACCTCCACAATCCGCCATCATATTTAGCGACCTCAAGGAAGAAGACGGCTATTCTCAGCGCCCTTTTGCTACCGCCAACCCATCCCTCCGCTTCTACGCCGGTGTACCATTGGTCAGTTCCAAAACGGGCTTGGTTGTCGGATCCCTTTCTGTCTTGGACAATGAACCTCGTTCTGGTCTCGAGGAACACCAAATAAAGTACCTACAGGATCTTGCTATCACTATAGTGGAGCACCTGGACCTGTTCATGATCAGAGACCAATACAGTCGGAGCGAGAAGCTGTTACGTGCCCTCATGTCCTTCACTGAGGGTTGCTCCAACATGCGCCCTTTCGAGAACGAAAGTCAACGCCCGCTTCTTCCATCGGGCGCAGAACCCTCAGAGTCACGGCATGACCATCAACCTTCAGCCCATGCGAAATCATCAAAACCTTCGCTTTTACCACCCGGAAAGCGGCCGAAGACCAGTCGCCAGAAGTCTATGAGAGATCTACAAAAGAGTATTTTACCAACCGATTCGCAATCAATGTTTTCTAGGGCCGCTTCCGTAATGCAAAAGTCGAGTGACCTTGACGGTGTGTTGATACTTGACGCTTCTATTGTGGGTATCGGTGGGCATAATGATAACTTCGTTCCTACCGAGGATGGCTTGGAGGGATCATCCTCAGGAGAAACATCATCCTCACCGGAGGAGAGCGGGGAGTGCACGTCTTCTCCATTACAAAGACAGTCTTCCTCTTCTTGCGAATCTGCCCAGCGGACTACTCAAGTGCTGGGATTTGCGACCAAAGAACACTCCGATTTCGGAGGTGATAGCCCGTCGATGGCGCTAGAATCTTTCCCCGAAAAGGATCTCTCTCGTATGTTTCATGCTTATCCTCGTGGCAAAGTGATCGGAATTTCTGTTGAAGGTGAACCGATTTCTTCGACGGATGAAACGACGGATGAGTCCGATAGCTCAAAATTGTTGCAGACCGGCAGTATGGAATCATCAGAAATCACACACAAAAACAAAACAGATGGAGACGTCAAAGCTACGATTGCTCTTGCCATCCGCAAAATGCTGCCAGAAGCAGTTAGCGTTGCTTTTGCTCCTCTGTGGGATTATGAAAGGTCGAGGTGGTTTGCTGGTTGCATTTGCTGGAGTAACCGTTCGAATCGGAAATTAAGTGAAAAAGTTGATCTTGCCTACTTCAAAATCTTCGGACACTCCATCATGTCCGACCTTTCCCGTTTAGACGCACTTGCCGCGGATCAGGCAAAAACATCGTTTGTTGCATCCATTTCTCATGAGCTGCGTTCACCGTTACACGGCATCCTGGGCACCTTGAATTTCCTCGAAGATACGGCCTTGGACTCATTTCAGATCTCAATGATCAATTCCTTGGGAGCATGCGGTCAAACCTTGCTCGATACCATCGATCACGTTCTTGATCATGCCAACATCACTGCTACAAAGAAAAGGAAGTCGTCTTCGAAACGATTGAGAGGTCCGCAAGCAATCCAAGTTTCCACAAAATCTTCAAGGCGGCGGCACCAGAGAACTCTACGGAATCCTGCAATTGATCTTAAGAAAGTCACAGAAGAGACACTAGAGGCGGTTATATCTGGTCAGTCATACACACTTTTGCAAGCAGAAGACTGGGACGGTGCACTGCCTCCTGCTTCTCAGTCACGAAGACGTAGTATATATACTATACTGGACATTGCAGCAGAAGATAACTGGAACTACAACGTGTCTGGAGGATCCTGGCGAAGGGTTGTGATGAACTTGATTGGAAACGCCCTCAAGTATACTGAGTCGGGCTATATTCACGTTTCACTGAGGTCGAGTTCGTCTACGGACGGATCGGACAACCGAATCGTTTCCTTCACTATCAAAGACACGGGAAAAGGGATGAGCCAGCAATTTCTCGCGAATCAAGCATTCCAACCTTTTAAGCAGGAGAACTCCCACGCGCCCGGAATTGGCTTAGGGCTGAGCATCGTTCGCCAGATCATAGATTCTCTTGGTGGCAACATCAGTGTCACCAGCGCACCTGGAAAAGGCACAGAAGTAGGACTCCGATTCGTGCTTCCGAGATCGGAAACAAGCCCATCGCTTCAGCATCAGCCCACCCAGTTCATGAACATCTTAGCACAATTGCAAGGCAGGCGTATATGTATACTCACTGAGCCCCCCACGGCACAGGAAAACAACGAAGATGACACGACAAGCCAAGGAGGAATGGCTCGATTCACGAGCGCACTAACGTATACCCTCACCAAACATCTTGATATGGATGTGGTTCAAACACAGCAATGGGATATGCAAGACACTGACCTCGTGATCTGCCCTGAACCACAGTTTTCCTACTTGTCCAACATACGGCGCCAGAGGACTTTCGGGGAACGGGCGCCTATCACAATATTTGTAGCCATGGATGCTCTTGAAGCTGCAACACTTCGCACGGATGTGCGTGTGAGGAGTAAGGAATCTGTTGTCGAAATAATGGCGCAACCGTGAGTATCCCATCGCAATCATTGGTTCTGAGTTGATTAATTCTGAGTTGGAGTTTGAGTGATCCTACCCACAGCCAAACCCATCACAGTCGTCGTCGAACATAAGCTGACTCACTGTTGCAGTTGCGGACCGTATAAGCTTGCATATGTGCTCGACCTTTGTCTTAATCGATATGCATCGCCAGAGGAAAATATATGGTCCCCCATTTCCACTACGCCGTCCCCTCTTCCTTCTCTTGAACATCCTCTTCCCATACGACATAATTTTGCTGTATCATCATCAAATACCAGTCTATCTGACCCTAGCCTTTCTCGCGACGATGTCGCAAGTACAGCCTCGGCGTTGCGAGATGGGCACTCGTTGACCAGCGTTATCACTGATGATTCCGTGTACGATATCGAAAACTCAAAGACACCCACAGCTCCACCCAGAACTCTAAGACACAGGCCACTTCATGGTCCCCGGCACGCAACAGCGAACAGCATGGATGTGAAATCTGCCATGCCTCTACTAACAGCACCGTCTTCACCTGGACTTAGTGCTTCCTCAGATCCAAGCATGCACAAGAAGGGTTCATCTAGGGTGCTTATCGTCGACGATAACCCAATCAACCGAAAGGCGAGTCAAGGACTACGTTCGCATGCCTCATGGCCTTGCTAATTGTAGTGTAGCTCCTCGTCACTTTTCTCAAGAAGAGAAGCGTGCTCTATGCAGAAGCGGAGAATGGAGCAGAAGCAGTGAGAATGTATCAGCAAGCATCTCCCATGCAATTCGATGTCATCCTCATGGGTAAGTCTGGCTTGATCCCGCTAGTGCTTCCTACAAGCCTCTCTCATCATTGTAACCACCTCGTTTTCTAATAATTCCAAAGACATATCAATGCCGATTCTTGACGGTCTATCTGCTAGCCGCCAGATTCGCGACCACGAGCAGACAAAGAATAGCTCCCGCTGTTGTATCATTGCGCTCACTGGACTGGCCTCCGCGAGTGCGCGCTTGGAAGCCTGGAGCTCGGGCGTAGATCATTACATGACTAAGCCAGTCAACTTCAAGCATTTAGAAACAGTCCTTGGAGAAGAGGCTGGTAAGTCGAAGTAGGAAGACTTTTCGCGATGGCCAATTGGTTATAGCATGATAGCATTTGGAAAGGCGTTTTAGGGGCATACATGATACCATCTTTGGCGATGAATTCGAATTGAAATGTCGAAAAATCCCGACATACGTACATGTGAAAACATATTCTGTGATGGTGCGCCCAATGAGGGATACGTTCATTCACGAAATCTCTCTCTTAGCCTCTTTTACGTTGATCCTCTATTACTACATACCTATCTAGGTACATATGTATGCATATTCGCATCGATCATATATCTAAACATCTATTCCGCTTCTACCGGAGAAGAAGACAACACCCAAAATGATAGGTTCGCTTGAATATACCAAAAATTTACATTTGAAAACATGTGTACATATGTATTTAATCTCCATCCCGTGGCGTGCAAAGGCAGCTAAAGTGCTAAGACAAATGGGTATATAAGTTTCAATGGGATCTTTCCAGTAACACCACGCAGCCGTCTGCACCCTAGCTCACGGCACACGACGGATTAACAGTGGTCCCGCATTATTCGGTCTTGAATAATCATATCTGTCTTGTCGCATCCGGTATAGCATTAGAGTGTACCCGTAGCTATCCGCATTGCCAATGGTATATGGCGTTCTAACCCTTTCACCAAGCGTTCTGGGGTTGCCCTTTTGATAATAGCCCCATATCACGTTGTTGGGGTTCGCAGCATTGGGAACGTGAGCATCGAGGCAAACTCGATAATTTCGACCAGTGCTTCCGAAAGTGAGCTGGCCAATCTGAGGGGTATGTGTAAGCTGTCACGGATTAGCCATACCGTACGCGACCTAGAACAAAACGTCTATGGCTCCTACCTCGTGCACGAGAACCTGAGGCGCCATTGGGGATATAATGGCCAGTTCTCTGAATCGGCCTACTTTCCCAGAAGCCAACCAACTTCTCCAACTGTAAAGGGGTGGACCAGGTCTTCCGCCTGCCGCAGCATACATGAAGGTGCTTTCACAGAACTATCTCGAGTCAGTCCACCTGCATTTATTCCAAAATGAACTTCTGGTGAAGGAAGATTTGATACTACTAACATTGATTGTGACACGTTGTGAGTTTTGAGTGCTTGCTGCCCACCGATTCCGGCGAAGAATCTCGAAGTTCTGCCCTATATTATAGTTGGCTGACGCAAACGGACCCCCTATAGGCCTTTGACTATTTCTTAAACAATTCAAGGCCTCACCGGGACTCGCAGCGTCGTTCACACTGTCGTAAAAAAGGGTTTGATTGAATGCGAGAGTGCCTGGAGTAGGTGAGGTGATTGGGTTTCCCTGTTGATCCACCGCTTGATAACGACTTTGCCCGTCACAGTATATGCGGATGTCGGCATTGCGAACCGTCGTAATCTCCTGCATATCTTTCATACGCCCGTATACGGCTACGAGTGACTTGTTAGTACGTACAAAGGCTTAAAGCGGCATGGGAGCATACTTTTGATGTAGTCTGTCCAATATTTGTTCGTGTTTGAATCATAAGGGGCATTGGGGTTCTCTAAATCACCAAAGCCAGTGCCGAAAAATAGTTGGAGCCAGCCATTCAGTTGAGGGTGTTGAGATGCGGTAGCGCCTCCCGGAATATCATCCCAAATTTGCTGAGCGGCAGTTATGACCTCGGGAAAAATGTCGCTGAAACCAGCTCTATTCCTACACGATTGATCGAGATAATAGGTTGGGCCTTGACTAAGAACTGGCTGAAGAAAAGACACAACCGCCAACGAGCCGAGTGCGAGTTTGGAAGACTTAAAGACAGTCATGATGATGTAGCTCGAATGGAAAGCGCTGCATGAAACCCAGAGGCAACGTGAAGGGTTGCAATACATATACTTACCTAGAGCTCCGAACGAGCATAAAGTGCTTCCACTAGAGAAGGCATCAGTTCACCATGATTGACTACGATTCCCTAACCGGATGGGGTTCTCCGACGTCGACCATGCTTCCTTCCTTCTACCCTCGCTTACCATTCGCGGAGATTTCTTTTTCGATCCTTTTCTCGTTCTTTTCAATACCTTTCTCCTTTCTCTCGGATCCTTCGACCCCGTTCCCGGTTCCTAGTGTATACCGAGCCTCGCTTAGGTCGGTCGGCAGCCGTTGGAAAAATGCTCGCTATGTGCACCAAACGCTACGTGTGCCTGCCCCCACATATCCGATCAACTGGTCAATTTCAATCAGGACAATACGCTTCACTCCGAGATGGAAAAGCCTCGGTAGCTGTGGTACAATATCTACAGCTGTAGCAATTGCATGTGTGAGTCCATACACAGTCAGCTTGTGCGTATCACTGAACAGTCATGGCACCATTCTCGATACAACCCCTTTTTCTAATTTTCTAGTCATTATTCAAAAACTGCAGAACATATCATGAGACTATGATGTCGCAGCGGACAAGAATAGTAACCAGAAGTAATACAAACCTGGGGAATTGTTCCATCCTATGCAAGGAAAATGAGTGGGTCATGGGTATAACAGCCGCTAGCGGGCGCAAAAAGAGAAAAAAAGGAAATTAAAAAAGTCTAGGATCTTATGATAGCCATGACCACAAACTCATCACAAGTACGGATTATTGATGGGATAAAGTCAACATCATGTTGGCGAATGGAGCTAAGTCAGCGCATTGATACGTTTTAGGCAGAGTTTCAACGCCGTGGAAGCTCTTTGCGAATTAGGGAGTGGGACTGACTACATCGCTCTAACGTTGTGGGTACGCTAATGACTGAACATGCGCTCGTAGCTGGACGACTACATCTCCTTTTTGGGGGTAGCTTCTCCCCTTGGGCATCCTTAAGCCATCTATAGACTACAACCGTTGTCGTAGGGTCTATCGTACCCGCTTCTTTGCTCGAGCCCTAACATGCTACCAGGGGTCTATACCGCGCCCACGGACATGAGGGGGATGTGAACAGCCCAATATTCTGGTACCATATCATGGACTGTTTTGACATGATCATTAACATAAAGGACGTCGCTCCAACAGCTTTTTGTTTGCTCCAAAACTGAGTTCACAACTCACATGGATTGTTCCTAAGGCTCGCCATGTTTCATTCATTCGTTTTTTCAGTTCTTTTTTTCGTGGGCGCTTTCCTTGACGCTTCAACTGCGTTGCCCAACACTCACGGTCACCATCACCGCCATCAGCATCACCACCATCACCACCGCCATCAGCACGTTCAGCGCCATGAAGAGATTCTCTCTCAGGTTTTGAACGTGACTGATGATACTGTTGCCCATCTGTCTCCTCGCCAGGATGGTAAGCCTTTGTTGCGAATTATGCCCTTGGGAGCCAGTATCACCCAAGGTTACGGTTCTTCCAACATGGAAGGCTATCGGCATAAACTTCGAAACTGGCTTCGCGTATCGGGACAGTCTGTCAACATGGTGGGATCGAAAGCCCACGGCGATTTTCCCGATAAGCAACACGAAGGTCATCCTGGCGCTCTGATCAATGACGTTCAAGCACTTGCCAAAGCATCTGTCAGCAGGCGGAGGCCAAACCTCGTACTTATCAACGTAGGTACGAATGATTGTACTCGTGCGTTCGAATTCGGAGGCATTCCATTTGTCGAGGGCGCATATGATCGAATGGAGCGATTGCTTAATGGTAAAAAAACTCCATCACTACTCATAAAAGAGTGTCATCTGACAGCAACTGCACAGATATCTTCGATGCGAGCGAAGGCGTGACAATTCTGCTCTCAACTTTGATCATCAACGGCGATAGTGGTGCAAATGATAGGGTCGACATGTGCGCCAGCCCCACCCTTCACCTTCTCCGGTAGTTTTGTATTTTCTGACATGAACATTTTAGCGCAAACGAAAAGTATAGAGAATTGGTTGAAAAGTTTGAAGGAGCGGGCTACAAGATTCAGCTAGCCGAGATGAATGACAAGGGCTTCATCACTGTCGACGACCTTGCACCGGGAGACAAGATACACCCTGGGGATTTTGGCTTTTCCAAGATGGCTGCTGTCTGGGCTAACGCATTCCTTGCGGCAGAGAAAAAGGGATACATCACAGCCCCTTATGAGTTTCCCGAGGGCGGTGAGGACAACGGTGTTTGCGAACCCAACAGAGATGACTTCAGAGGACCAGTGATCACCCAGGCGGGCAGCGGATACGATGATGGAAAATACAAGCACAATTCCGTCGATGGAGGCATGAGGTTTGTCTACAACGGCGTGGCAGAAAGCTCGTTACTCGGCCATTTCCACTACGCTCAGCTCACCAATATCGGTGGAGCGGATCTTGCAGCTGACGAATTCATTCGAGTTCTCGATGATGATCAGATGAACGATGGTGGAGTGTTGAAGCCTCGTTTCTCATACAAACGTAACCTCGGGGATGGTAGATTCGACCGGCTGGGGTGGATCGAGTTCAATCCCAATTCGGAGTGCAAGAACCGCGGCGTGCGTTGGGGTGATTTCAACGGAGACGGATTAGACGATTTTATTTGCATCAACCAAGAAGGTAATGTGTACCTATCGCTTAACAAAGGTGGAGACCCTCCCACGTTCGGAAAAATCGATATGATACGCGCGATGGGTGTCCCCCAAGCCAGAATTCGTCTTGGCGACATCGATGGAGATGGGCGGTGCGACCTCTGCTGGTTTCCGGTCGACAGCGGCAATATTCACTGCATTCGAAACATGGGTATAGGTGATAAGATAAGCTGGCAACCAATGGAGGGTTTCGATGGAGCTGCGCCGATATTTGATGCCCAGGGCATGCCCAGCATTGTAAGTTTATCCAGGTGGCCCCAGGTCGCTAAACTTCGCACCGATATCCGTCAAACTATCATAACTGGCATTGAATTAACACTCTGCAGGACGGAGTTCGTCTGATTGATATAAATGGGGATGGCAGATACGACTGGGTCTACGTATACCCTGACGGTCACACGAAGATCTTTGTAAGTACCCAATACCCACGTCTCAGGACATCAGAACACCGTGCGCTTTGTTATAAAAGAACACGAATCTACCGCAGTCGATCAACTTCTACTCTCATATCTCCCTTAATATATACTGACTACGTACCTCCATCTGCAGATCAATCACCGCGGTCTCAAAGTTGATGGGCCGGGTCTCAAGCCAAAGTGGGTCGAAGCCGAGACTCCTCACAGAGGCTTTCCCGGCGAACTCGACGACTCTCGTCGCATTTTATTTGGTCGTATTTGGGGCTCCGGTCGCAACGACCTGGTTCGACAATTGGATGTAGACGGCCAAGACTTTTCCTACGAGTTCTGGTATCACCAGAATACCGGGCAAGGTGGAACCAGACTCAAAGGCGATGGAGTATATTACTGCGACATGTTTGGCCGAGGACACGACGACTATCTCTGGGTCTGGTCTGGTGGGGAAATCGAACTGTTTGAGAACTTGCAGAATCCGCCGAACTGGAAGAACCATGGGCAAATCTACAATACCCGCAAGAACCGAAAATGGATTCAATTCGGCGACTGGGATGGAGACGGTATGTCTTTCTTTTTCCTCGCTCTGACACTGTTCGCGCAAATCGCGCATTGCTTTAATTGCGTTTCACCCTCCCTGTACTAACTTTAAGCTGCGCTTTGTAGGGAAATGCGATATTCTCAACACCGATCGAAACACTGGTGATGTTTGGATGTATCGCAACACCTGGGCAGAAGGCAAAACGTCACCTACATTTGCCGATCCCGTGAAGGTGAAGAGCGGAGGGGACTGTCCTCAGAAGTATAGTCCTGGACTGTACGATTTGGCAGTGAGATTTGGTGATTTGGACGGCGACGGTCGAGTCGATTACCTGTGCTTGGCTCCTGATGGTACAACGCAAGGATGGCTCAACAAAGCCGGTGATGCTCCAGAACCTATGAATCCCTTACAGGTCAAAGTCACCGCGGGCTTTGATAGAGCGAATCATAGATTTGCCGATGTAAATGGAGATGGACGTGCTGACTTTCTATGGGTCGACAAGTTCACCGGAAACGTACGGACCTGGATCAACGAGGGTCTCATCCCCGCTGACAATGTCGGGAGCTCAATGACCTGGACCTTTCGGGGCGAAGATTCGTGGCCATCAGGCAAGAGCCGTGGGCAGAACGTCCATTTCCCGAAGATGGGCAACACCGGACGCGCGGATTATCACTGGGTAAATCCTGCAACAAGTTATGCCGAAACCTACTTCAACGAGTGCGGGGGAGGCGGAGATAATGGTGAAGGTCCTGATGATCCAATCGGACCCAGAGATCCACAGCTACCTGGGATGCCCATACCTGGATTCCCTGGAGGTGATACCGGCGGAGTTTGGCCGTTGTTAACGATTGGACCTTTTCAGACCACTGTATCTCTCGATCTTCCAACAGCTTCCAAGGTCTATGAATACCTGAAGAATCCCGTCTGTAAACGCGCTTCTGCTGCCACGGAATGTTTCATATCCATCAACAACCGAATTCTGGAGAAAGAGGATCTTGTGCGGGACATTTTGAGTCTTTATGAGGCGGACCCAGTCGAAATCGACCCAGAAGACCTCGAAGACCTTCCCAAGTACTCAGATGTAAATGAGCAAGACGCTTTCATTCCATCGGCTATTGCCACTGCGAGCGTTTTGGGGGCAATGGATCCCACAATTGGCAAAGCCGCTGCCGTTTGGGTAGCGTACGCGATTATGAATCTGGCCATCAAAAGCTTCGAATACAACATCGGACAAGACGATCTCGAGCAGTTTTCCATCCCAAGAACAGGTATAATGAACAAGAAGTGTCCATCAAGAGACGACATTACCTGCCCGAATCTGCTCTGCGAAGGCAGTAACGGCCAATGCCAAGGACTTTTCTCGGGATGCTCATGCACGGAAGAAGACGATACGTGTCCTACATCAGATGAAGTCCGATTGACATATCTATGTCAAGTTCCCACTTGTATGGGTGATTCAAGCAGAAGGGAGTGTACGGTTGAAGACAAAAAGGGGTAAGTCCAGTAACCCAGCCTCAACGTGTGCGGCATTCCAACTAACCATCATATAGATGCGACTGTGCTCCAGGTCCGTGGGAGGCTACAGATTGGTGGCCAGATCGCAACTTACGAGATGAGCTGTGGGATGAGTTCTACTCGAATATGGGGATCACTGAGTGATCATTCGAGATGATTACTTTTAGCTTGAAAGTTAAGGCGGATAGCATCCCCCCTAGACAGCCATACTTCACGTGTGTGTGTTTGTAGGCATACCCTTGTATATACGAATAGATTATAGAAAGCTGAATAGACTCCACGCGTTGGTTATGATGTCTTCACTATCTTGATTTGCTGATACGTCTTAAACACCAGACCTGCTTGTAAAAAAGAGGGGTTTGCGCAATTGCAACAGTAAATGCTATATAAACCTCACTCTTCGCTCTATCTGTTCATTCCTTCTTCCCTCTCCACAAACAACGGGGGAAAACTGCACTTAAAAATCCACGAGACAGTGAAGCTACATGTGAGCGTGTGTCCTGCTTGCCGACTTATAAAGTGGGAAACAAGAACTAGTCATTTGGTGGTTTTGAAAGAGAAGGCAATGATGATAATTCTCATCAATGCAAGAACTCTTGGTATGCTACAAGCTAGACGAAAGAAGGGATAGTGCCACGGAAGAGAGGTATAAGAATTCTCCTGTTGCTTTTCCCTCCTGCTTTCCTTTTCTACGCATGCATAGAATAACTATAGGGACTTAAATACTGAATCTGGGGTGTCTATGTGTGAGGTGCGCGCCGTGTCTCTTTACCAGATTCATGAGTCAATAGTCCTACAAATCTTTTAGGGGGCAGTATGAATGATGATGAAATCTATTACCGTAAAGCTTATATATAGTTGACTACCTCGTCTCACACTGCTCACTTAGCTTAGCACGGCAGTAGAACAGACTTGGCCGAAAAAGGAGTATATAAACTTCCTTTTTTCTCTTTTTCTTCTTCCTCCTCTCCGTAAAGTAAGATGCATAGGGGACTTTGGCTGAGGCGTTTAGACAACTAAAAGTGGTCACAACAAGCTGTATGTGTGAGTGTGTGTTTCCGCCTTGGGGAAACATAGGTAGTAGTGATCTACTATCTATTTCCAACACAGTGGCGTGATAATGACAATTCTCATCACTTTACGGTTTTATCGTAAACCCGGAATGGCTAGATGAAGGCACTAATATTTCGAACGCGAAAAAAAATAATATATAAGCCCCCTTCTCCTTTCCTTTCTGTTTACTGTTCTTACTTTCTACAAAAGCACAGGGTAAAAGAGAGGATTAAAAGTACAGTGAGCACGACGATATATGAGTAAGCGTCTCTCTTGTGTGTCTTCATGCAGAGACAATAAGGACGGTTGATTCTGTTGTCTTCTGAGTGTATGTTACGATGATGACACCCATTACTGTAAATCCTAGCTATTTTCACGTCTCATTGAGCAACTAAATTAACGCGAACGAGGTTATAAGCGGTATAGAAAGGAAATATGAAGTATATAGCTTCCCTTCTTTATTCTGTCTTTTTCTCTTTGCATACAGACACACATTGCAAAGGATTAAGAGTCTAAGAAGAGATGACAACTAGCTAATTTGGATGCGTGACCCTGGAAGTACATCTTAGTTCAGGGCTTGTATTTAGTCGCTACTTTTGTTTTTTAGAAACTTAAGGTATAGTAATGATGATGATAATGAGGATAATCGTGCAGTTATCATTCGCTTTGTAATCATCTAGCTCAAAGACATATATAAACCCCTCTTCTTGCCCTCCTAATCCTTTTTCTACCTTTAATCTATTCATACTCTGGAGAAAAGAACTAATTAAAAACTTCAAAAGAATCTATGATGTTGGTGTGCATATCTCTGGTAATGTCTTTAACTCTGCAAGGATCGGAGCCTATGATATCCTTTGGAGACAACTCGCAGTGATGATGATGATGATGATGATGATGATGATGATGATGATGATGATGATGATGATGATGATGATGATGATGATGATGATGATGATGATGATGATGATGATGATGATCATTCTATCTTTGTCCGCAGCGGAGCTCTCATCATCTACAAAGAAGATGCATATAAATATCCCCTCTCCCTCCCCTAACCTTCTACTTCTCTTTCGTACACAGACACATCAATGACCTCTGCAGAGGGCCGCAGAGGCGACTCAAACCTGTTCGAAGGATCGCCGATGTTTGGGAGTTGGCGTCTTACTCATTTTTATAGCTATGTTTAGTGAGTTGCTTCAATTTCTTAGGAAGTGGATCATGTGGTAGAGTGTGGCAATGACGATAATGATTATCATAATAGTAAAGATGTAGACACGCTTCGTATCACATAACAGCCCCAAAAAAAGCATATAACCCTCCAAATTTCTCCTTCCCCCTTCTTTCTTTTTAATTCCCACACGCTGCGTGTACGCAGTGTGGAAATGTGCAAAGCGTTTATTATCCCTGTTGATATGTGGAATTGTGCCTCTGCTTATACACTAAACTTCGGGTTAACACATAGATAGTCTAACTTTCAAGGGACGGGCCGTGATAGTGATAATTATCATTATAAAGCCATTTTTACTATTACTAGTAAGGTCGTCGCACAATCTACGAAGAGAGAAGTATATAAACCTCCTCCTTACCTTCTTCCTTGCCTGTCTGTTTTTTTCTCTACACCCTGCGTGTACGCAGGCTTGCTAAAAAAAATAAAAAAATGTCATAGAAGATGATATCGAATGCGGACTTGCGTCCTCCTGCTCTTGTCTTTGTTCTTGCTTGTATACATAGATAATCCTGCGTTGTATCTTTTGAACGCCAAATCCGCGATGATAATGTTGAAAGCTCCATCATTACTTCAACCACGCTCTTAAATATATAACAACCACCTAAAGACGTACATATATAAACCCACTTCTCCTCCTCCCTTCCTTATCTCTGCACAGCATGCGCGGAGTAGCCAAGCAGAGCAGGACACCAGAATTCTCCAGAATCACAGCTTATGTAGGCATCTGCTCTGTTCCTGCCGTTCCACTAAAATATCTACTTCTCATCGTGCGATGTCCTTCCAATCGAGTTAAGATACTGTAGGCAATGATGATGATTATCATGATAAGAACTATTGCCGTCTTCCCAAATCATTCGATTACATAATCTCTAGAGGAGCGGACGCAACTATATAAGCCCCTTTTTTTCTCCCCCTCCACTCTCTTCTTCTTTCCCTACACACAAATGTGTATCTACATAACCTCAATTAAAAATTCAAATCACTGAATAAGACATGGGGGTGTGTCCGTCTCGCTCGTGATCCCGACTAGAAACATAGGCTGCTCAACCCTCTGATTCCTGGCTTGTTTTTTTTATGGATTGTATCCTGCAATGATGATAATGACAATAGCGAATATCATCAAGGTCTCGATACTTTCTTCAGTACATAATCAAAAATCTATATACTCATTACATAAGCACCGCGACAGAGAAAGATATATAAACCCCCCACCCCTCTCCATCTCCCCTCTCTCGTCTTCCTCCTCCAAGCACGCCTACCTTTCGTGATTTCCAATAAGAAGTAAAGGTCCTTCAAGACATGTACATGATCTGGTTTAAAATACGTACGAAACACCATCGTATGCGTGGGTATGTTTGCCCTTCCCCCCGTTCCTTCAACTAAAAGAACACGGACATATGACTCTGCTAGATTTTGAAAGAATGTAGTTTCTGCAATGATGATCATCATCGTCGTCATTGCTACAACTAGTATCCTAAGTTTCTACTCACTTTCAGTAACATCAATGTCGCCAACAAGCATTACATAACCTCTCACCCAGAGAAGAGAAAAAAGGTATATAAACCCCCATCTTCTTCTCTCTCCCCCATTTCTCCCTTTTCTCTACATACCCAACGATATGAAGGAGGATCTATAAACTTTACCGGTGCCCACGTATGAAACCAAAACAGCAACATAAACAGCAACAATGTGTGGAAGTGCGTCCTCGGTTGCAGCAGTTTTACTCATAGCGTTCAAACTATTCACTCGGAGAATATATGTCGTTTTTTTGGTAAGGAGTGATGATGGATAGCATCATCATTATTATAAGACTAGCTCCAATGCCACTGTCCGTTGCTATGAATTGGAATACATGTAGCCTGTAGGCATTACGTAATCCGCAGAACCGCGAGAGAAAGAGTGAAAGAAGTATTTAAACCCCCCTTTCTTCCCTCATCTTTTTCTCATTTATCTATACACTGCAGCAGTGTTAAAAGATCTGTCCTCAGATCTTTCCTTCAAGACTTGAAAATCACTGCAAGCTGTTCTATGTGCGAGTGCGTCTCCGCTCGCGTCCCTCATACTCATAAGCCACTAATTTTTCTTTTTCTTTCTTTGCGATAGTGGTTTAAGCGATGATAGTAATGATGGTGACGATGATGGCAGAGGAAAGGATGCTGAGAGATGAGTAAGCGGGAAGGGAGGATAGTGGGTATTTAAATCCCCCCGTTTGTTGCTCTGCTATTCTTCTTTCTTTCTTCTCTACACACGAGGTGTGCGGGTGGGGACCGGGTTAGAAGGAGATGAAAATGAGAGAGTGGGTATGTGGTTGTTTCGTGTTAAACATGGAGCGCTGGATATGATTTCTTTTAGTTGCAATTTGGACAATGATGATGATGATGATAATAACGACGATGCGAAAGATGATGCTGAAGATGATGCTGAAGACACACATCAAAACTCCCCTCTTTCAGAAGATCTTCTCATAACTCTAAACTACCCGCCGTCTTCAAAATCTACACATTCCCAATCTACACAAACCCGCTGACGCCACCCTCCCACTTCTGGAAAATCTCCACAGGGAAGGCATCGGCAAGTCTCTGATAGCCCTTGACATTCGGATGCAAATAATCCCCCGAATCAAACTCCTTGTTCAACTGACTAGGAATCGCCTCATCCCTCAGAATCTCATCGAAATCGATGACCTCGTCGAAAATACCACTGGTGCGAATAAAGTCGTTGATCTTGACGCGGTTTGCCTCGCGAATAGGGTTCGAGTAGGGCTGGCCAGTGAAATTCGCGGGCGCGGAGAAGGGCGTGATGGTCGCTGCGAAGACGGGAATGCCGAAGGTGTGGATGCGAGTCACAATTTGCGCGTAGGCCTGCGTGACGGATTCATAGATGGCAGCTTGGGCGGCCTGAGTGGTGGCGCCGGTGCCAATGTCGTTGACGCCTTCGAAGATGAGGGCATATTTGACGCCTGGGTGCGAGAGGACGTCACGTTCAATGCGGGAGAGGGCGTTGGGGCCGAGGCCGTCTGCGAGGATGCGGTTGCCGCCTGCAGCCTGGTTGGAAATAGCGATGGCGGCGTTGGCGGTGGTGTTTGAGGAGGATCCTTGGAGACGCCCGAAGAGAAGGTCAGGCCAGCGATTGTTTTTGTCAGTCTCGGAGCCTCGTCCGTCAGTGATGGAATCCCCGACTATGGCAAGAGTGCCGTAGGTTGGTGGGACCCAGGCTTCGATCGAGGAAAGGAAATACCAATGCGCTGCGCTTTGGGTGCTCGGATTGGTGACTGCGAGGGATGGTTCTGCGACGGCGTTACCGAATTGCCACCAGCTCGTTGTTCGACTGCCTGGGTGACTGGTGATGCTGTTTGTTGTTTGTCCGTTTTGTAGATAGAGTGTGATGGTCACCACGCTCTGGGGCTTGATGTTGAAGTCAATGGGATCCGAAACGGCAATGGCACCGTTGGGGATCGAGATTGAGTCCTTGCCGGAAAATGTAACCTTTTGAACCGTGGACGCTTGGATTTGATGAATACCAGCGGTATCACTTGCCGGCAATGCGACCGTTGCGGCAGTTATGGGTAGGTTGGTAACACCGAACGCGTTGGTAAACCTGAGACGAATTTGCGATGCGCCCACTGAGACTTTCAAAGTCTGGCGGATCGTGGAATTGACGAAGACGGAGCCAGTTCGATTCTTTCATGATCCGTGTCAGAGGGTGCATTGAATAGCAAGTAGGAAGGATTGCAAGAACATACAAAGGGAGCAGGTGGAAGGTTTGCAGGCTCTGTCAACTGGGGCATCGTTGCCCACGTATCAATCCAATGGCCATTGCTTGGATTTGGCTCAATTGCTCGTTTGGCAGAGGATTGGTGGTGCAATGCTTGGTCGTGACCCCACACTCCCTGGAGAGCCGAGCCCAGAACGAGGAAGAGTAGTTGAGATGCGAACATGGCGATCTTTCACAGTTTGTTTGACCTTGGACGAGTACCTGATAGGTAACTGGGGGATGCGGCCATGGCGCGGGTTTTCCTCCATATTTAACAGAACAGCTTGCCACGGTTTAATCTACGGGTACACGGAGGTATAGGACCTAGCGAGAGCTACTCCATAAACACGATGACGGATGGAGCAACAGCGTGGAAAGCGAAGCACGTTCGGCGGCGAGGATGGCAGGAGATTGACGGATAAATTATCGAGGAATTGCCAGTCCAGGCTAGTGGCCTATTAAATAGAGCCGCGCACCAGGAACAGCTTGCTTGCAATTTATCCATCGGCTCGTAGAGGGTGACGATCCATGACATGCAGATTCCCGGAATATTGGCGTGTCCTGACAGCATGCAGTTTCCTGCCCTGGGAATGAACCTGGATAGGACACACGGTGGTGGGGGTCCTCCGGCAAGACGTGGATTATTGTATTACCGTACCTCAACCTCACATTACCACACTTCACTCTGTTACGGGTATTTGGAATCTGTGCAAATATAAGAAAACCGTTCCATGCCCGGTGGTATCTCGCCATGATGAGTCACCTACTTAAACGCCAACCTCGATTCTAAAGATGCCAGAAAAAAACCTGGCCCGGTATGGGCCCACGCTTCCAATGCATATATGATGCCCGTTCCTAATCCATAACGCCGTGATGCTACTGTCCGCTGCCGTTGAGGGGTTCACGGGCTGCTGCTCTCCGCCTTCTTCCTTCTCCTCCCGGGAGTTTTCTTCTTCTTTCCGTCCACTTCCATGTCCCCTTCGCTCTTATCTGGGGCGGGCGCGTCGGCTACCTTTGACACAATGTCGTTGAGAAAGTCGAACTGTTCGTCTTTGGTGACGGCGTTTTTGAGGTGGACGGCGCTGACGCGCTTGGAGTTGCGCTCCTTGGCTTCGGCGGCGGCTTTGGTGACTAGGGAGATCATGAAGAGTTCGAGTGCTTTGGCTGTAGAGAGAGATGGTCAGCATATGGACCGAGTTTGGAAGAATGCGACAGGCGAAAAAGCAAAGTGAGAGGGAAAAAGAAAAGCAGCAGGAGACTTACAGACTACAACGGGGGTGACCTGGGCGACTTTGCCGACATCATCGTCGGCTTGCATGATGCGCTTTATCCGTGCGACGGGGAAGTGGACGGTGATGTTGACGTTGTCTGCAGCGGGCGGCAGGGCGGTGGCAGAGCCATTGCCTTCTTTCCGCTTGCCTCGCGACTTTTCCGACGCGTCAGGCAGATAGTCTGGATCCTGCATGGTGTCTGCGGCGTGCGGAGCCCGGGGCATCAAGTTGTGCTGGGGGAAGGGCGCGGTGGGGTAGGTTGGGTGGTGGAGGATGGCTGGAGTCGGAGGCAGGAATTTATGGACTTGGGCAGGACTCGAGGAGGGGGGTGAGTAAGGCAGGGCGTGTGAGACGGAGCCTCTGTAGGCGCGGTGCTGAGGATGCTCGGGCTCGCTGGCTTGAGCGTTGTAGCTGGACAAGTCTCCGGAGAGGTCTGGGGATTGAGGAGCCCAGTTTGAAGTTGCGTCTGCGGCTTGCATACTTTTGACGGGCTTGGGGGCCCAGTGTTTTCTATAAGTAAAAGAGAGCGGGCAACGGCAGAGAGCTGGTGCGGGCGGCTGCGATTGGGCGCCGTAGCGACGCGAGCGTGCCTTGTTCAGTTGGGTGCGGGCGGGCGTGCGAGCTCCTCTTTTTTTTTCCCTTTCGTTCCCTCGACTCGGGCACACAGGCACAGGCACGGGCACAACAGGCCAGCCAGCAACAGCAGCAGCAACAGCGTCACCGGGGAGAGGGGATTGGGACGGGGTGCGTGTTCTGGGCGGTGAGCCGGTAGCGCGGGACCGGCTGCGGCAGAACGCAGAGCCTTTTCGGCCTGTGGGTACCTTGCGACGATGGGCTTGGGTGCGGGGCAGCGTGCGTGGATTCAAGCACCAGCAGCAGCGGCAGCTTGCAATGGTTGTTGTCGATGGTGATCAACGGGAAAAACAACGATGGGTTGGATGGTTGATCGATGGGCGGACGGGGGCTGCTCTGCTGGCGGTCATGACGCGGGGGGGAAATAAATAATAAAGAAAGGCAAAGGGCATTGCCAGCTGCCTGGCCGCCGTTGGTTGCTGCTCACCCATTGGTCCAATAAATAGATCAGCCTGCCAAGTCCTACCTGTGTATGCAAATGTCCATGCCCATGTACATCATCACCTAACCTAACCTAACAACACCCATACCTGGTCGCTGCCTGGTCCCCGCTCTCCCGCCGCCGCCTCTTTCCATCTCGTCTCGCCCTTTCTTCTCCTCTTCATCTTCGTGCCATTCCTCTCCCCGCTGTACCGCTGCTGTTGCCTCTCTGCTTCTCCCATCGCAATCATCGACGACCTTATCATCCATCCATCACATGTGCTTGTCATGTAGAGGCCATGGCGATCCATGATATTACCGTCATGACCGAGAATTCCAGAATCCAATTGTCGTACGGAACCGGGGGCGAATCGCTGTTGGGGTTGGGTGATGACAAGAGCAAGCCAGAGACTTTGCGACAGCTTTGAACCGCTGTCGCGCCCCTGCTGACAACCAGCCATCCACTGCTGGATGTGGCCGCCGTTCCACGACGAAGCCCGAGAAGATGCTGTTCGTCTTGTGGTTCTATTGTGCCTCGGTGGCCCACGGCTGGCTGCCTGCAGGCATCGCTGATGGTTGTAAATGACTTGATCTAATCTGACAACCCGCCGAAGAGTCTTCCCAATATATATATACCCCTATCCCTCCCCTTCACCTCAACCAGCATTGCGAATGCTCACCTAGCGGTGAACCAGGGTATAACGATAACGCTCAAAGTGTTGCTCAAAATAGTGTCCCCGCATTTTCCAAATCCGTACATCATCTTACAGTCGTTGCGCTGTTCCCTCCCTTCACGTGTCTTTGGTCCAGCTGCCATCTTCCTTGGGCCCTTCGCGGAGACTTCCTTCTTTCCGCCATGTTTCAGCAAGCCCGCCCTTTGGATCCTCGTCTCCATGTCCACGCAACTGTCGGAGCTTCAAGATGGCGTTTCGGACCCGCATGGTGCACTCCTTGCGCAGTTGCGTCGCTTCCTCGGAATGTTTTAGCGCCTCATTCAGCACGCCTACTTCCATCTTCCCGCTCTTCTCTTCTTCCTCGTCGCACAGCTGTTTCCACCTCCGCCGCAGATCCCCGAATACCTGTTCCCCATCCAGCTTGTCTCCAAAGGTAATGCTGATGTGTTTCCCAGGGCGTGGCAGGAATCGAGGGAACGTGCGTGATTCATGCATGGCCTGCTCTGGTCCCTCGATCCACATGGGCACAATATCCGGCATGGGTTCGCTTTCTAATATGAGCCGCGAAACACCCCACTTGAAATATCTCATGGCAAGATCTGGGTGCTGATGGATCATGCCTTCGGGGAAGATATGTATCCAAGAGTGCCGCCGATTGAGGTATGCTGAAGGCGCGGGAAATGTATCGTGCCCGTTGGTGGAAAACGTGAGATGGCCTCCCGTGAAGGGATCGGCGAGATCGGGGCTGTTGAGAGACTTTGCTGCTGGGTGAGGCGCTGTGTTCACACGCGTGAAGGGACCATGCGAGAGCAGGCGGATAGCTTGGGTAATGGTAGGCTGGTAAAGCCCACCGTACTGCGAATGCGCCGAACGATGGGTGGGTAGGACTTGGCCAAGCGAAAAGAACGTGGAGAGTCCCCTAGATTGCATGAAGGGTCAGCGACGTGGAAAGAGGCAGATTTAATGGGACAGTACTTGTTCGTGAAGCATAGATCGTAGCTCCCCAGTCCCCAGCGCATATTGTCTGGGTTGATCATATACGAAATAGGCAGTATTCCCCATATCATCGGGTCATCCATTCTGTGTGTCGCATAGGATATCAGCAGGTGGTTTCACGCAAGTGACGGCCGAGACGTACATACACCGAGACATGGTTGGAAACTGCACGAGTCAATTGTATTCCCCAAAGTTTATAAGTGTATTTGCCTACCAGTGATCAATCCACGCTGCCTCCCCTCAATGTCCTTGCGCTCGTCCAACAACTTTAAGAATTTGTCCAAACCGGACGATTCACTGCTACTCAGACCCTTCACAAAGCCTCGACACAGCAGAGCAACGGTCCCTACGACAAAAGTCGACCCAGCACGCCATAGGCCGCTGGGAGCAGCGGGTGGCTCATCAGGCTCCATTGAAAAGTAAATAAACGAACGGTAAGAAGAGAAAAAGGTCTACGGTTGGAGAATGTCGGCGCATCAGGATCGGAAAGAAAACAACTTGAGCCCAGGCCGTGGCAAGCCACGTGTGGCGTCTACAAAGTTCCCGAGGCTCCGACGTCACAGCTCAACTTTTTGGACTCGACCTTGCTCTACAGTCAACACCGACATCAACCAATTGTAACCTCCGAACGCATTCACCCTTGTCTACCATGCCGCCGCCCAAGACCATTTTCACCTCGCACGAACGGAACAATCTAAAGACAAGTTGGGGCTCACAGTCCAGCCGTCTCACGCGCGACTCCTTCCTACCATTCGGCTCCTGCCAGCTATGCCTGGAGATCGCAGTAGATCCAGTATGCTGTCCCTCTGGCGACATGTTCTGCCGCGAATGCGCAATGTCGAACCTCCTCGCGCAGCGCAAGGAAATCAAACGCTTAGAAAAAGTCGCAGCGCGCCGCCAGGAAGATGAGGAAGAACAGCGCGCCCGAGACGAAGAAGAAACGCGCCAACGCGCCGTCGCGGAATTTGAGGCGGTGCAAATGGGTCTGGAAGTCAAGATCGGAAGTGGAGGCAAAGTCATTGGGCGGGAAAAAGGAAAAGTCATCGTAGAACAAGACACCGCCTCCGATGCCCCCTCTTCGCGGGGTCAAAAACGCAAATTCGAAATCGACGAAGACGAGCTCAAACGCGTCGCCTCCGAAGAGCGCAGCCGCGCCAAACTCGCCCTCGAGGCGGAGAAGGAAGCCTCCAAACCACATCTCCCCAGCTTCTGGGTCCCTGGCAAGACCCCCGACAAAAATTACGCCCGCGAAGACACCTCAAAACGGCACCCGACATGCCCTTCGAGCTCTGCCGATAACCCACATCTCTTGTCCCTAAAAACCCTCGTCACCGTCTCCTTCAACACAGACAAATCAGCGTCTTCAAAATCCGATAAGTCAAGCGCTACGTGTCCAAGCTGCAACAAGACCCTAACCAACGCTACCAAAGCCATGCTGGCGATTCCCTGCGGTCACGTCATGTGCAAGCCCTGTGTTGACCGCTTTATGAGACCTGAACTTCGCCACCACCGCGATGCGCACGACGATGGGCCCGAGCCGGAGTCCATTCACTGCTACGTATGCGACGCAGACCTCACTAGCGGGGTGGGGAAGAAAGATAAGGATGGTAAAAAGAGTAAAAAGGACAAGGATAAGGGGGTTAAACCTGGATTAGTGGAGATTCGTAGTGAAGGGACTGGATTCGCGAGCGGTGGGAAAGCTATGGTGAAGCGGCAGGGTGTCGCGTTTCAAGTTTAAGCTTGTGCATGCGAGTTTGTGTAGTGGTTTGTATAATTCCTCTACAAAGGTTGGATATCTGCGTTTTGCAGATGAAATTGGATGTATACTATATCAGGCACGTTGGCGTTGCGAATCATGATACCCTATCTTTTCTCTCTTTTCCCCAATCCTCGACGTAACGGGCATACAAACTCCGTAAAGTTCAAGCTGACAAACCTCAATTCTCCATCTCCTCCGAACAAATTACGATATCCTATCCCGCGTTATCACAAAACAAAAATTCCCTTCCTTGTACCCCGTCAACTACACAACGCTCCACCTATCCCAATCTCACCGCCTCCCCTCTCCCCTCTTCCCACCCTCGAACCCAACAATTCTATGGCGTGACTTCCTACCCATCATACAGCACTGTACCACCTCAACCCCTCCCTCGTCATCAAACTCACGCGGCTGATAACGAGCACGTCATTCTTGTTGCCTTCATGCTTACCATCCTCCAACAGCGGGTGTATTTCGGAAGATTGGAATGGATGGGGTATATAAACCCCCCTCCTTTCTCGCTCGTTTCTTCTTTCCTTCTCTTTCCTTTCGTCTTTGTCTCGAGACATTTCTGGGGGAAATAAAATGATAAAAAAACGCTTTATGAAGATTTTTCGGAGGGCAATGAAAGAGATGGAAAAGCTGAGGCATGGAGATTTTTTTTGGAGGGGACGGGAGACTACACCTACGATTTCTCGTTATGAAACAAATGTATGCGAGTTGTTATGTTGGGGGGGGGGGGGGTCTTTGGATCTTTATTTTGTCAATGTCATGATATCAAAAAGATCAGAAATTCCAGTCGCATGTTTTGGAGGAAAAACACGGCCAACTAACATCACAAAATGTCGATGGGAGAGTAAAAGTAACTCGGCCAGTCCACATGTTTTTCTCAGAGAAAAGACGAGCTCGACCCAATGATGTGTTGCGTTTTGGGGGAAATCAAATGAAGATTTTCTAGAATGTTGTTGGGGTGTGGCAGAGGATCGCACGAAGGAAGACGTCATGAAGTCTTCTTTTTGGGTGGATTGAAACATTTCCTCAATCAAAAAAGTTGTATGGGAAGGTTTATGGCTTATTTTTCTGGGGGGAACATAAAAACGTGACCTGGCCTTCTATTATGTTGGGATCTTTTTGGGGGAATTAAAGGGTGGGCGGGAGATGGTGTTGATACACACCTAGGAGATACCGGAATGCAGATACGTTATGGACTATGTTTGTTTAGGAGAAGTGGAATGGAGAACATATCAAATGTTTCTTTTTTTTAGGAGGGATTAAAACTTTATGCACTTCGTTTGCATGTTGTCGATGTGGGCGAAGCGGGGAAAACATGATTCTAGTCCTCTCGAATCAAAAAGCGAAGAAATTGATGTCTGCAGGGAAGAAGAAAAAATCCAGCCGAGGTTTTGATGATTTTGGGGGAAGTTCAAAAATCTTGAGAGACGGCACCTATGTGTGCGTGGCTGTTGGGCGGAGAAATAAAGTTTCAGACTCTACATTGAACCGAACAAAAATTTACGAGCCACGCTGTCATGGGGAGAATATCTGAATGAATTAAAAGTCAACTCAGTGGGCACATGTTGTCCGAAATTCTCAATGGGGGGAGGGGGAATGATATTGGTTGCATCAAAGAACAAGGGAAAAACCCGGAATGTTCTCTGCAACCCCGTTGGCGAGAAATGATTTACTGGGTTTGAAAACTCATGCCTAGACCCCATATTGCCCTGGAGGTTATGGAAAACAATTACAGACCCAACAAGAACCATGAAACAAAGGCTTTAAGGCACACTTGCTATCCAATTTTAGGCGCAAGAGGCGCATAACTGTTAAGGTTGAAGAAAGGGTGATACTACCAGAACTATGCGATCAGTAGACTCTTATGTCTCTCCTACAGAAAAAAACCACCCTAATCGCTACAGTTCTATGTTGTGGGGGTAGGGGAGTCTGGAGAAGAATTTTTTTTTTAACCAAGATTCTTCTATTTTCCAAGAGATCGAAATGGAATGCCACCCATCTCATGCTCTCCTGGAGCTCGTACATATGTAAGCAGCAGCCATATTACATGGCTCAAAAATCGCACTACTTACGAATGATGTTATTCTAAGGTTTAGGAGCAACATATCACAAGATCGGCTGTTCAAAAAATTTGCGTACAGTAGACATGGGTGCGACTTGCTTATTGTCAGCCATCTATGAATGTCAGAAGGTACTACTACAAAAACATTTTTCAACAGTGCAAAAAGACTTATAGTTTAAAGTATTAAACATGAAGGAACTAGCACAACGACCCATGTTGTGTCGAAAGTTGCGAAAGGACAACATAATGTATGAATTTAGAAGCTGGATACTTTAGCGCATATGTTATTTTATGAATCTTGGAATAAAATCTTTGTGAACATGAGCAATATTCGAATCCAACGAACATGTGGACTGTTTGTTTTTTCTTTCTTTCTGAAGGGCTTCCCACCCCCGTGAACCCTATGTTTTATTCAAATTCAAGCGTTTACCTCGGAACCTGGTGTTGACAAATTATTCTTCATCTACAATCCTATCCACAGGATACACATGTTGGAGAAATTCAAGACCATAGCCACTCCATGTGATTAAAAATGGATAAAGACCCGGAAAATGTTCACGCCCACTTGATGTCTTATTGATAAATCCTGCTTCACTCATAGGATTTCAAATAAAACTCACATGGCCCATAGCATGGCACTGCGACAAGTATTATAAAGATTTTTCCCTGCAGATAAGAGATTCTGAAACCAAATATCCTGGGAGAATGATGTTAACAAATAAAATTGGCCTCTACTATACTATAACTAGCAGACGGAACGGAGAGCGTACATGAACACGTTCAATAAGCTTGAGATCGAATATCAAAGCACACCATTACCACATAATCCAAGCTCTTCCCATGCTGTGGGACTTTCGCGTTCAATAACTTAGGTATAAATAATGTAGTTGAGCTCCTACTGCAAGTTGGAAAGACAGATGTGTACGACCATTACATATTAACTTCTGGATTAAAACTTCTATGAAACAAATCCATGGTGAGAAACTAGAAGTGCCTGGCAGAAAATTCTATGGTGAGGGCAGGTATGCGACATATTGAGAGCAAGCTTATGCATTCGTGGGGAGACAAAGATTATTATCATCCTAAAACTATTCCGTGCCACGCTCATAGTTCTAGAAGAACATATTCCATTATAATGAAAACACACGCTTACAACCAAGTTATGCTGTCCGGAGATCACCACGGCACTGCCATGTGTACAGATATCAACAAGTTGTTTAACAGATTGAAGAATTCTTATACAATGATGTTTCGTGAAAGACTTCGAGATTAATATCATTGAAGCGGGAAGCTGCGTAGAGTATGTTTCAATTGCATCCCCCAGGACCGTTATGCTCTACAAATCTACGCTCGTTTGACTGACGTGCGGAGCTGAGAACAAACGATTTCAAAATGAGCGACATGCAGAAACTTGACATATTTCACTTTTACCAGTAGCTTACAAATCCGAGAAAATAAATATGTCCAAGTCATTGCTGATGTTTGAACCCAACTACGTAGCCTACAATGTCGTGAGAAACTAGGCGGACAACTGATTACAGTATTCAGTGAACTATAATTGATATCGACTCCCAAACATTTCACAATCAATGGTGAATTTACTTTAGAAAATTCTTCAAACGCCATAACAAAGTCGCAAATAAGACATTTAAATGTAAAATGAGAATCTGAGCTGAAATACAATAATTACACCATACATATCTAATGTTGTCTGTTGGAGAGTTTAACTGCACCTACGAAGTATAGAAAGAATTAGTAGGCACGGCGGCGAAGAAGTTTATAATAAAATGAATTTGATGTTTTCAATGAAATCTGAAACTAAAAATCCTTAACGATATGTTGTGATGAAGCTTACAAATTAAAGTTAGCTATGGAGCTGTGCGGGAACTATTAATTATTGAAAATAATAACCTTTCGCTGTGTGTAGGATCACCTAAACTACAACAAACACAAGATGATGAAAGAACTGGGAATGGGAGGGCTTAAGGATTCAAGATAATTTCAAACCACAGAACCGCATATAACTGGAAAAGGGGAAATAAATGTGTACAAGACATGCGAAAACCTTGACAATTTGTTCTTATAAGCAGAATCGAGACCTTTACTAAACTTAAGAACACCCTAACGTTGAATCTCTAGATCATCACCCATCAGACATTATGTGGAAGTAAGAAAGTTTTAGAAAATAATCTACAAACAACTATTTTTGAGTACAATGGTGTGTGAGACTGATATACCAACTTTACTATGTGGAGAAGTTGTACAAAAGAGCATTAAAACAAAGAGTCTTGAACGTCATGTCCAGATGCAATTTTTCGATAAAGACATGCCTCACTGTATATGTGGAGCAAAATCACCTTGAAGCTGAATGCTGTACACTTACTACGGATATGGCAGTATAGAGAGAAGTCAGATCTGGAAGTTAAAAAACTTTAGACCATAAGATATACCTGTCAACTTAAGTCTCAAAAGGGATGGAGGCAAGTTATGCTGTGGCATCCAAAGCAAATGCAGTTGGAGCGAATGTTGGGAGGGGAGATCATCAGTTCGAAAAGATAAGAAAAAAAAGGATTGGAAGACCTTGGTTCTCAATAATCACAAAAGAGCAGCAGAATCGAAATGGAGCATCAAGAAGTGTGGAGTGGATTATTATTATACAAAAATGAAGACACAGTTTTGCTCATGATATTCAATTCGTTAAGCATCTGCTTCATGTGGGGAAGGGGGGGATCGGGGTTCGATGGTCGGGCATGGTGATGATGCTGATCATCGTCGAACCGCAGATAGACAAAAGAAATTTTGTAGAGAAGATGAGAGCGCATGCACATAGCAATGCTGAGCCAGAGACTCGTTCCAGTCATGAAACTTTCTTTCCGTCGCCTCCAGTTGTAACAGCGACCCAGCATTCGGCCTTTGCTCCCTCCTCGCCCAATATCCACAAGAAAATTGAAAGAAGGCACCAAATTTCAAGCCACCAGACCGTGATACTCATTTCTCCGGCCAATCTGCGATCTTCAATACCTTCTCATCCGTTCCAAACACACGCAGAGTATTGCCGAATTCGGTCCAGAAAGAAGTGTGGAATGAGGGAATCATTTCCATGGGCTTGCAGTCGGGTTCGTCGGTCTCATCCTGCCACATCGGCGCCACATTGCTAGTGGGTCCGCCAGTTGCGTCGAGACTGTTGAATCGGTTGTAAGTTGGGAATTCCCGAGTAACAGTGGCTTGCTTGGCTTTGGCTTTGCCCTCGCGGCCTTCCTTCTTCGATACGGTGGTGAACCCGTCTTCTGACGGAGCAGATGGAGCGGAAAGAGGCGGAATAGAGACAGGTTCTGAAACCTTTTCCTGTCCGTCGAGTATAAAGGCATCCTCGCTCGCGACTGCGGACTTGAAACTGTCATCAGAGTTAGCATCACCAGCTGCTTTCACTTGTTGTTCATGATGCAACTTGGCTGATATCTGCAGCATGATTGTAGCGGTTAGTAGGCTATCAAATCCAGCTTCGTGGAAGGCTTTGGTGTCGTGGTACTGCGAGTGTTCGTGGTGTGTCGCAATCGAAGGTAGCTCCTGGTTCTCCATCGACTCCGCAATTTTTTGTAGCGATGGCGAATCATTTAAATCGCCTCCGGCGTATGTGGCTAGCCATTTAGTGTCGATGATACGGGGGAAAACCTTATGTACCGCTTCGCAGAAGCTATCCAGTGTCTCAGGAAGTTCGCCAACAAATGAACGATAGAAGTAGACCAGATCTGTGAACATGTTGTGGCCTACTAGCACGGGTTGATGATATTGTAGCTTGGCGTGTGCAAGATCCCAAGTGATCTTGTCGTCGTCATCTGCTTGACCGTCAGCGATGATACCAGTGCGCGAGGGTTTCGTCGCCGATATGTCGCCCTTTGCAAGAGCCTCGAAGACCCATCGGAAGCCAGTCTGCCGAGAGATGGATTCCATGGTCCTGTTCTTCATCCTCCTGGTATTTTCTTCCTCACGGGCGGCGTTGTAACGTACGACCCTGACACTAAAATCTTTGTTTCCTATGGTCACGAGCTGGGGGAAGTCAGCGCGAACGAGTTGATGTACCAGACGCTTCTCAAAGCGCAAGATGGACTGTTCCTGAGGCGGCGAGGGAAGTCCGGTGTGTGATGTTATGTGTAAGATCCTGATCTGACCGGGGTTTTTGACCCAATTGGTGATGGCTTCACGTGCGCGCCGGACAAAGTCAATGGAATCCACTTCCTCGGGCTTGAGTTGTACATCTTCGATCACGGTTTTCCCATCATGCCGATCAAAAGCCGCTTGCTTAGCCCATTCCGCCTCTTCCCGAGAAAGATATTGCACGCCTTTTGCAAATGGGGCGCCCAAATCGAAGCCATTTTCCAGAAGAAAAGAGGCAGCCCCGCTTTGAATGTGGATCTCGCGCTCAATATCGAGACGTTCCTTGAGGAGTGGACTGAGGGTGACATTATAAGGTCGCACGACGTATTTGCCAAGGAGCATATCATAACTGCCGCAAGTGAGGCCGACCTGCAGGATTTGATAACGGTCTGCTGCTTTTTTTGTTTCGGCATATCTATCCTCGAGAGTCTTCCGTGAGCCATTTAGCTTCGTGGGGGTCTTTTTGGGCAAGTGGGAAGGAATGCCAGAAAGTTCGAGGTCAAAGGCGACGAACTCGGCTTTGGAGATGTCGTCCAACAGGCGGAGCAGATGCCGCGAGAAGCTGGAAGCGGTTACGTCCATGGTAGCAAGTTGCGAGATTCTGCGAAGTGCAACAGTGGCGGCGTGGTTGTGTGTTTGTGTGTTTGAAGAGAGAAACGCTAAGTTGCTGCCTAGCGAGACCAAGGAGAAATAGAAAACGCGGCCTTGTGTCTATGACGCAGAAACGAGGTGAAGCTGTGTTGTGAGTGAGTGGGCAGAAGCGATGGGCCAGATTAGTTAACGACGGAGCAAGAGGGTGATGAACACTCTGGATCAGACAGTTTGACAAACTGGTACCGTGTAAGACAAATTTATAGCCAAGCGCACGAAGTAGCAGCCAATTCTCGTGGCAGCATGCCCCGTCTACGAAGCAAGAGGTGCGATGTTGATGTGATGGTGGCGTGGCTGCCGACGTCCAGCATGTGTGTTTATGTATGTACTGAAGCAGTTAGGCGTGGCTGAGATATGGCAAGTACGAATCTGGGGTATTAGATAATCCAATCCGCCAAGACTCTGGAGGTGTCACAAGAGGGAAACGCCCGACGGCGCTGCACGGTGTTTAGTCTCCGGATATTATGCCTGGATTTATCTACATCACTTTAGGAAGTTGACATTTGCATAACAGTCAGTTAGTAACTAGTTAGTTCATAGTGGCTTTATAGTATCCAAGTATCGATATGTTCAGGGGTGGAGACCGTGGTGACGAGAGCCGAGGTTCGTCGGATCACAAGAGAGAAGTGCAACTGGCTGGCTACCTAAACATTCCTCATTCCTCGCGCGGACCAACACAACTTCCACCATCATCTACACCGCCGCCTCTCCACGTCACGGGAGCATGGCATCGCTCGTCTCTGCTGCGTCGTAGTAACATCTAATCACCACTGCCCCTATGGCTGCCACATACGAGGACCTGGGCAGCGCTCGCATGCTCTCGTCCTCAGTCTCATCCTTGTCCACCTCTCGGCAGCATTCCCAGCAGATCGCAAAAGCCTACCGACAGGCTGCACAACTGTTCCTCACGCGCCGCCTGCCCGAGGCCCTATCCACCATCGAGCCCACCATTTCACCACCAGCACAGGATGACCACAAGGAATCATACAATGGCGATCTCTCCGGCTACGCCCCCATTGCTACCGCGTCGCGGGGCACCCGGGTCAAGGTCTGGAGCTTTTACCTCACATTGTTAAATTCCGTCGTCGAACTGGGCGCCGAGGAAGGGAAGAATGCCTTTGGAAGCACGAGGTGGAAACAATTGGTCTCCAAGTGTCGCGACGGCAGTGTCTGGGATGACGTGGCTCGTGACGGATATGCTGGCGTCGAGGGCGATGTTGATGCCGAGGTCGTGGTCAATCTGTACGGCATTCCTGCACACTTGGTGAAAATGCACGTCTAACTTGAATACAGAGCTACACTGCTTCTCACACATTCGCCGTCACAAAGGCTTAACCAGCAAAAGCTCGAGACATATCTCTCTGCCTCGGCAAATCCAACCTTTGATGTCTCGGCCCACATGTCCTCGTCTGCATACCTGCAGCGCCGACAAAGCCAGCACAACACTGGAACAGATACCCCTCGCGACCTTAACACTCGTCTAAAGCTGTTGGAACTCTACACTCTCCATGTGTTGCCGAGGAATGATGAATGGGACTATGCGCGGGAGTTCATCTCAATGTCTGAAGTGCTGGACGACGAGCGCAAGGAAGCATTCCTGCTAGCCTTGCACTCTCTGAAGGAAGAGAAGGAAGATGCCGACAAGCGAGAGGAACGGCTGCGCCAGCAGCAGCAGGAGCAGATGGAACGACACAGGAAAGAGACCGAGGCCCGCAGGTTAGAGCAATCCCGTGCCGAGGACGAACGACGGAAAAGGGAAGAAGAGAACAGACGTCAACCAAGGGGATCGGACGAGGTGTTCCGGAAAGTGCCCGCCTCTCGAACCGCCGCGCCGCCATCCGCCTCGTCGTCACGTACATCAAAGCCTGCGAAGAAAACAGTCAGCCCTCCACCCAACTTATATCATCGTGCTTCTATTGTATTCGCTTCCATCCAGGCGCTGATTACAAACACGGCCCAGTCGATGACGGCGAACCCAATGGCCATGTTTCGTACTCTTCTTTTTCTTTTAGCGTTTGCTTTGGCGTTTGGACGACGAGATTTACGGGAACGTATCTTGCGAATAATCAGAATGGCGTGGGAGAAGGTGCGCCGAACTGTCGGAATGGGCGTCAAAGTGTCTTACATTTAATCCGGAATCAAAGCCGAAGTGTTGTGAAAGTTTGAATGGCATCATGAGGATTATACGGCTATGCGGGGAGATTATCTATCTTAACCCTTCTTTGTATCATATTAGCAGCGGGAGGATTGGCATGGTATCGGAATTGGTTCGCAGCGCTGGGTATTACAGGATCATCACCACAGTTAGTTACTTAAGTAGTCTATGGTATTATAATACTTAAACTGTTTATCGCATCTCTTTGTTCTCACTCCTTGTAGTACGCCTTCTTAATTCAGGCATTACTCCAAGTATGTACCGTACCCGACGGTACTCGATCGAGAAGTTTATACGAGTATGTCTATTACAAAACATAGCACATCGCTTGATAATCCCCTTCCATGCTCTTCTCTCCCCAAGCCGCCAAGCTAAGTCATCAGTCAGCTTTGAGTAACATCGACACAGAGACTCTTGGGATGTATCGCTAGCTCTAGCGAATATTTAGATTTGCATACTTTACTTTTGCACATTTCCTATTTCTGTTCTCTTTATTCTTAGTCATTGAAGCTATAGCTTAGAAACTGTGAACACTTTCCTACTTTTATGGATTAGTTCTATTTCGACTCGAACTCTCTTCGATCTAATTACCCCGACCCGAAAGTAGCAAAAGGTTCGTATAACCGGGCATGGCGTCTTGGTAGTTGTTGGTACGACGTTGACGCGGGCCCGGACGAATATTTTGACAGCCTGGAGAGAAGAGCAGTTGACAAATGATGAAGGAACCTGGAGAAGCAGAAAACGTAAGACACGGAGTCGGTGTAATTCTCCTAAGCTACTGTTGGCCATGGATACGAGCACGAGTAAACAACGATGTCACGAACTGAATATAAGAAGCATATCAGTTGACTACCATCTCGACCAACATCCCAGCTACACACTCCCGAACAAACCACTCTCAAGGATCTCATCTATACCCAAACAAACACATCAATTGCCTACAATGTCCTCCTCTGCCAAACTAATCACAGTCTACGGCGCAACCGGCGCCCAAGGCTCTTCAGTCTTAACCTCGCTCCTCAAAAATACTTCCCCAACCTATACCCTCCGTGGCACCACCCGCAACCCTTCCTCCCAAGCCTCCCAGCGTCTCTCAGCCGCAGGAGCCGAAATGGTGCGTGCCGATGGACAGGATAAAGCGTCCTTAGTCGCAGCATTCAAGGGAAGCTGGGGCGTATTTGTCAATACGGAGTCAAATGGCGAGGAAGAGTTGGAGAAAGAGATTGGGAGGACGGTTGTCGATGCGGCGGTGGAGGCTGGTGTGGAGGTCTTTGTGTATAGCGGGTTGGGTGGGGAAGGGGTGACTGGGGTGAAGACTTTTGATGGTTTGTAGATTTCTTATACATTGCCCTTTCTGAGCTGAAACTCCGAGTACAGACAAAGCCTCCATCTTCGCCTACGCGCTCTCCAAGCGCCCTCAGCTCACATCCGTGGTATCAGTCAGTGCAGGCTTTTATATCGAGAACTTTTTGAACCGCGACTTCACGGCCATCCTAGGGGGATTCCCATTCTCACCTGCCGCAAAGACAGACAGTGAGAGTGGTGTAGACGATGGCGCCTTCCTACTTCGCGCGCCGCGATGGGGTGGTAGGGAAGATATCCCATTCATCAATATCCAGGAGGACTACGGAGATATTGTGCACGGTGTGTTCTTGGAGCCTGAGGTTTGGAATGGGAAGGTTGTCCAGGGAGTCAGTGATGTGAGGTCTTGGACGGACGCCGTGAAAGCGTTTGAGGGGGGTATGTTTTCATCCTTCATTTGCTTTAGTTCCAAACGGAGAAAGGAAAGTGGAAGAAAACAAGCTAATCAGGGTGGTGTGATCACAGTGACTGGACGAAAAGCCATCTACCAAGACTATCCCCTTGAAGAGTTCGAAACATATGGCGTCTACGCTCTAGAGAATGCCAAAAGCATGTTTCGCTTTTGGCAAGAGTCGGGCGGTCTGTACTTTGGTAAAGACCTGACAGAAAATGAGACAGCTAAGGATCTGAAGAGGAAGGCATGGCGTGCTCAAGGGAGGGTGGAGGACGGAAAGTTGTCCACGTTGGAGGATTTCTTCCAGGACCACTTTGGTCAGGCATGAGCAAGAAAGTTTCCTAGACGAACAAGCTCAGAATTTCCTGTGTCGGCTTTTGTACTGGGCCGGAGGATAATATTGATAGTACGCTTCAGGACTACAGATACTTTAACTGGCCCCAAGAATGCTATTGAATTTATTGTTACCGATGAGTCTGCAAGATACGCACAAGTGAAGAGGACTAACAAGAAGTAGTAGTAGCATGCCTATGGCATCTCGTCCTCAACAGTTCTTTTCAATTTCGTCAAGTTGAACCACAAATGTAGGCAGTGATATTGTGGTGAACATGTGATAACACATCGCTCCACTCTGCACATGCTGGAGTCATTATATGACGATACTCTACCATCAGTCACACCTATAGTCCGCATCATGTTCTTCCTGTATGCTAATACCTGCTCTCAAGTTATTTGAATGCATCCTATCTTGACTCCAATCACTCTCCCATGCGTCCCCAGTAACCGGGTGCTGGTCGTGGTGCGGCAATACGACGGAAGTGCTCGTCATCCTCATCCCCTTCGCTGAAAGCAGCGCCGTCATCATCGTCCTCGTTCCAACTAAGCTCCTCATCATCCGATCCGTGGCGAAATCTGCTTTGGTAAAGATTGCGATCGTACTCATCGTCAGAGCTAAGCTCGTCCTCGGGGTAGTCATTTGCGTAATAATCCTCGGCATTCTCATCCTCGTCATCAGTATCAAACTCCCTTTCGACCTCTTCGTCGCCGTTCCACCAGTCTTCATCTTCATCCTTGAGAACGATCACACCTACAGTACCCTGGTGCTCAGGCAATTTTCCTTCGGCGTCTGGCATGACAACCTCCCGAACATAGGTGTCGTATACATAGTCATCGATGTCCATAGCGTCTGCATCCAAAACGGCAGCCTTCTCCGGATGCCGCTCCCGGTACCGCAATGCGGGGACTTTAGGAGCAAACTTGAGGGGAGAAGTTGGTGGGTTCAGCTTGGCGACCTCGCCCTGTTCTACCTCCTGGGAGAATTGCTCAAACTGCTTGACCTCGTCTTCGGTCGGATTCGTCGAATTCAGCGTTCGTTGCGAGGCTACCGGGCGTAAATTGCGAACAGTCGCACCTGCCCCAGGGCGTTTTTGTGTTCGAGACGTGCCATTCTGTGCGAGTGGAGTGACCTGAGCTACTGAGGTATCCTGAACCGATTGTGATTGAGGCTGGACATTTTCTGCGCGCGTGGTCTGTCCGTTCGCTACCCTGGATTGAATGAGGACTCGGGTTTTCCGATCTCCAGCTGAATAAGAGATGTGGAACTGTGGCCGATCTGGAAGTGCAGGAGAAGGCAGAGGCGGTGGTACGGCCGGCGCTCCTGGCTTTGTCACAAGGCGCCAGGCGAATGTGTCGCTCTTCTGTCGCTTCTCGCCCGGTTCCACCACGAGAGTCTCGACAGCGGGATCGTGACGCTTCCTCTTTACGGAGAGGGTCTGGGGAGGGTTCGGCACCATTTTCGGCTGGAGGAGGGCTACGTTGTGCTGTTGAGTGGAAGTTGTGGTGATCTGCGTGTCTCCGGGTCAATCAATGCGCACTCTTTGGTGGGGGTGCACCGCCGCGGGGGTGGATGACGAAGGAAGAACGGCCAATCAGAGGCTGGCAAGCCAACGTCAACTGCTCGACGCGCGTGGCCTCTTATCACAGAGTCATCCGGATAGCCTCACCGCCCACCGGCTGTGCAAATCATGTATACCGACTCGTCGTCTCTATAAATTCTGCTTCAGTCTATGTACATGGACTGGTATATCATCGAACCCCCTTGTTTCCATCCTTAACCCCCGACCGCGTATCGGCCTTTCGTTCACTTCGCTCGCCTTTGCCTTTAGACGTCGGTCACATCACCACTCGCTGCCCGCCATCATGGATCGCATACGAAATATATTCCAAAGAGAGCTCTCTGAAGCCTCTTATGAGCCTCTCCAAGGTGGCTCGGAGCGGGAAGATGGGGAAGAAATTGAGCAAAGCAAGCAGGCGGACTTCTCCTGGATAGACTATAGCGTCTTCCTTTTGCTAGGCATCGCTATGTTATGGGCATGGTATGGCATACCCCTCAGACGATACAATATCCTCTTGTTTCTAACAATAGACTAGGAACATGTTCCTCGCCGCAGCTCCCTATTTCCAACAGCGCTTCGAATCCGACGAGCGCCTTCTCCGAAACTTTCAACCTGTTGAGCTCGTCGTCTCAACACTAGGGAATTTAGGCTCCATGCTTGTCTTGACCAAACTCCAGGCTCACGCGTCCTACCCTACACGCATTATCGGTTCACTCGTGCTAAATGCGGCCGTCTTTGCTCTTCTCGCCATGTCTACCCGTGTCTTTCCTGCTGCAACCGCCACTGGATACTTTGCCTTTTTTGTCATCGTCGTATTCGCAGCTAGCTGGGCCACGGCTCTCTGCCAGAATGGAGTCTTCGCATATGCATCTGGATTTGGAATACCTGAATATACGCAGGCCATCATGACAGGTCAGGGTATTGCTGGCGTCCTGCCCTGCATAACTCAAATTGTCTCTGTGCTCTCAGTCCCAGCGAAGACGGACGGCCACGATGCGCCTAAACAGTCCAGCACGTCCGCGTTTGTTTATTTCTTGACTGCCACTGTAATATCCTCTGTGACTATGCTGGCCTTCTTCTATCTTTTGTCGCGCCACAGTTCACGAGAGCGCATCAAGCAGGTACTGGACCAAGATGATGGGGTGCCCGTATCTGATATACCTGAACGCAAGGCTGTTCCTCTGACAACGCTTTTCAACAAGCTGTACTGGCTCGCTTTGGCCGTCTTCTTGGACTTCGCCCTCACCATGTTCTATCCTGTCTTTACGCAGCAGATATTGAGTGTTCGCGACCCAGCTACCGCCCCTCGACTATTTCACCCTGCCACGTTTATACCTTTAGGCTTTTTGATCTGGAATGTGGGAGATTTGCTTGGCCGCATGCTTCCTAGCGTCCCAGCCTTGAGCTTGACTATGCGCCCCCGCCTGGTTTTCTTCCTTACGGTCGGTCGTATCGTGTTTATACCAATCTATTTCATGTGCAACCTGGGAGGCGAAGGCGCGGTAGTCAACTCAGATGTCTTTTATCTGTTTGTGGTCCAGTTCTTTTTCGGTGCCTCGAATGGCTTCATTGGGACCACTTGTATGATGGGTAAGGCGGAGTGGGTGGATGAAGACGAGCAAGAAGCTGCAGGCGGCTTCATGTCGCTGTGTTTGGTCGCCGGACTGGCAGTCGGCAGTTTCCTCAGCTTCCTGGTAGCCTAGTCTGAGATAACACAAAGACATGACTGAATATATGCTCTCACTACCGGCCTTGCATGCAATCGAAACGCGTATGATTGGTTAGACTGACGCAAAACCGGTGGCATTCATTCGTCAGCCCGCAATCTATGATGAATCTTCAGAGTATTGCGAGTGTCTGTACCGCGTATTATTGATCGCAACGGACCACATTATCCTCGTCAGTGATTTGCTGAGACATGCCTATTAATTGACCTAATAATGTGTGCGCGTGTGTGGAAGCAACGGATACTCAGCGTACCCCGGAGATAAGAGTCATTCACTCTCAAGAGAACATTCGTTAGCATCTAGGTGACTCTTGTGTGTAGCAAACAATCAAATTCTACTAGTACCGCCCCCCCCCCCCCCCCCCCTTCCCTGCCCCTGCCGCCGCACATGTGAATTGCTCCTGGTTGCCTGGTTGCCTCGTGCAACCACTTCCCTAACCATACATCTACCATAAATACTTCGAGCTTGAACACTTTCTCTCGCCATCAAGCTAGACTTTCTGCCAGCATTCATGAAAGCGATACCATCATAACTACATCCATCCAACTACTACGATGTCTGACACCATCTTCCTCATCGTTCGAACCTTCGCCGGCACCCCCCATCCCTTCAAAGTTTTCGAGGTAACCCCAAACGGCGAAATTTGGACGCGGGTAGAAAACCGCAAAGCCAACAGCTACGCAGTAATAACAGTAGCCATACGCACATCTACTGACTCAGATGCACCTCTATCATTCTTCGACGTCAAGGTAGAGTTCATGCGACCGAATTACGGAAAAGAAGGCGATATCATCGGGTATTACGGCACGTACGAGGATGCCTCAAACCGGATGCGAGATCTCTGGATCGATAATCTGGGTGTACAGGCTGATGAAGATGAGGACATGGGTCATTTTGCTTTTCAGTTGGATAAGGGTGTATATTGGTACTTTGACATTTTGAGGGTTAGCCTTCCGTCTGCTGCTAAGACTTCAGCTCCTGCTCGAGCTTCCGCGACGGCTTCTATCTCTACTTCCGCTTCCGCTGCTGCTTCAGATGCTTCTTCTCCACCTCCTCCCTCTTCTGCTGCTACTCCTGCGGCAGACAGTCAGAGTTCTTGAGACGTGAATGGTATGAAGCAGCAGTAAGGCTTAGATGATAACCTTACTTGTACAGTCCTTTGGTGCTTGTCGTACAAAGCAACATGGATAAATGGGCGTTCTGTTAATTTGCTAGGTATGTGTATCAACCTGCTGTAGAGATACTACCTGGACTCGGTAATGCATATACAAACATCCAAAGCTTTTGTTTCTCGGCTTTTATCTCGTTATAAGTGATGTTGCTCCTATTTGAGAACTCGATGTGTGGCATTCGACCAACAAGACCCAACGCTAACCCTTGTAGCGCCACACACAGAGTGAATCATTCGATGCTAACTCCATTGTGTACAAACAAACATTCTGTGCAAACGGAATTCTTGGCGCTGGCTTCAAACTCTCCTCTAGTATAACCATCGATGGCTACTCTTTGCAAATTCTTCTCGTTCACAAATTTTTGCAACCCACAAATACAGCCCATATATACAACCCACTCGTGAGACTTTCGGACACTCAACAAGCAATTATCAAAAGTCTCCCAAAAACACTACAATGGCGGATGACACTTTGGGATTCGTTATCCAAACATGCACGAGAGCAACTGTGCGCCCCCAAATCCAAATTTTCGAGGTCGTCGAAGTTCCAGCCGCTGGGACCTCAGCCATCGTCTCGGCGCCCTGGACTCGACCAGAAAACTCTTCGGGCGATTACCAATACTCCATTGGACGAGTCAACACGGAGGATAGCTCATACCTAGTCAAAGTCGAGTTTGAACTTCTCAACTTGACTTTGAGTGACGATGAAAATGACAATACATACATCAATATCATGAAAGCCTACGACACCTTCGAAGACGCAACGATCGCTGTGCGGGATATCTGGCGGAGGTACTACAACTACGACAACAGCCGCAGCCGCCCTGGTGATGGAGGGATAAGGGAGTTCCATGTCACTGGTCTCCCTGCAGGTTCATTCTTCTGCACTGCTATGCATCTAACTCTTCCGGACTCCCCTCCTACTACCCCCATTCCTACTTCTGTTCGAAATCCGTACGATAATCTGCAGGGGGGTGAGGCACCAATCGAGGATAGCTATAGCTTGGATGATGAGGAACCGTTCGAGTTTGGTGAGAATCACCGGTACGAATTCAACTTTAATTTCGGTAACGGCCCAAGCTCCGCGGCTTGATAACTGTTCGGTCGAGGAGCGGTAGATCTGGATGTTGCAAATAATGTCTTTAGAAGGTCGTAAGTTCATGTGCAACTTGGAAATGACGTTACTACAAGAGGGTTGGAATTCTTCTTATTAATCTTATTTCGGGAGAGTGGCTTACTAGTTAGTCGTTCTCTGGCCTCGTTCATTTTCGGTATATGCTTTAATCGAATTGTGAGTTCCTAGAAATTAAGTGTTTGGAAAAACGACACGTGATATCTTTTGTCCTTTCCTTGTCCGTCTCTAACTTTTCGTTTCATATGATAATGTACGTATGGAAAAAAAAAGAATTAGTAGGGTATTATCTGGACTGTCGTGATTATCTGTACTGTTTCGCTGGTTCTAGAAAACGGAGCAATGGCCACATCAGATATAAATCATCAAATACACAACAAAGAGGTATGGTTGCAAGGCCATATAGTTGCAATAAAATCGTTTGACCAGATTGAATGCCACGCGAGGCAGAAATTTTGTTTCTTCTTGATCCAGGGAATGACTTTGGATGACTCATTCTTGTATCAGTATCGTGCGCTATGAGCATTAGCAAGCCAAAACATTAAAGTATGACTTACTGTGCAATTTCCACCGGAGCTCATTGAATTTTAATCATGGGGAAAGGCGCATGTGAAATGTATGCGACGTCAATTTTTTTGTTTTGAGTTGGAGTTTAGGTGATCCTACACACAGCGATGGGTTTACAGCGATAAAATAGACCAAAATAACAGGCGATAACCAAAAGAACAAGCGATTCTTGCCTATGCGACGTCAATAATCTCATAAATTGTGGAACTCGTCTCAAGACAAATGATTTATGTAATCCGGTAGGTAAATATCGTGAGAAAGTGTTCGATGCATTGATGATTCTGTATATTAATCCTAACTTTAGTCTAATACACAGATATCAGCGTCTCAATCACAACTGACGCACTCACACTGGTCCCGCGACCCGGATTCTCCCTGGAATTCTACTGAACCTTGAGACTATTCTGAAACGAGCTGTCATCAGCCCGCTTTTCGGGATCTATAAGTCTGTCAAGTTTCGCGAAAGACATGGCATCCATTATTCGCTGTCCTGATGAGCTTCAATATATCCAAAAGCTAGAATCGCTAAACTAAGCGAAAAAATTACGGCGATGGCTTTTGTTCAAAGATATAGTTCGTGTATATTGGTTCCTACACCAGCATATATATATCACGACTGATTTGTCTCAGCTGGCCGTCCTTCTGATTGCCGGGTGCATAAGAGCTCTCTTCGATGTGACTATCATATTCAACTCGCTAACACAATACCCAAGAGAAACACCGGGAGCCGTCCAAGCACCTGGGTAAAACACATGTCTTGTAAGAAGAAATCACGAAATTTGAAGCGTAATAAATTCTGAGTTGGATTCCGGGTGATACTAACACACAGCGATTGGTTTACAACAATGGAAAAACTAAAAAATAGTTAATATCGGGGGGGGGGGGGGGGGGGGGGGGGGAAAGCCTTTACACAAGCTTTTAAAGTAAATACAAAAATGAGAGGGCATCACTTAGCGGCGCATACTGCTCCATCTCTAGAGCGTCCCCTCTAATACCACAGCCGCGATTGGTCCCAACGTGAAAAATTTCACATCAACCACATCATCAACCAGTCTGAAGCGTAAACTTATTCCAGTATGGTATATGTCCTTGAACAATGTAAAAAACGTCAGTAAATGATATATCAGAAACACGTCGGAGTAGAACAATGCATGATCCTGTTCTTAGATCTCGTGTGAATAAATACGTTCTTCCAGGTGCCAGTTGTTGTCTCTCCACACTCTCAACTTTTACACTTCTCTCGATTACATCAGAATCACACAACCAACTACTCAAAGCCAGTCAGACGTAGCAAAAATCTACAACAACCTCAACATGACTACCACTATTTGGTGTATCGCGGGCTTACGTACCCTCTATACAACCCCGCCCCCCTGAACCGTCTTCGAAATCGTTCGCTTGGAGGCGCCATTCAAGACCCAGGAACACACCCCCGAACCTTCTTGGAAGCGCGCTGAGTACCCTTTCGTCCACAAGTATCTTATCATGCCTATTCGATCTGGCGAAGAGCGTAATAATGTAACCCACTGGGTCAAAATCGCATACCCTCGTTGTTGCCTCGAGGGTAGCGGTTTGCTCTCATACTACCACACCTATGAGGGGACTATGAAGATGATGCGGACCATCTGGCGCGATAATCTCGGTCGCTACACCGTTTCAGATGATGAAGATGTTGAGCTGATCACATTGAACTCTCGTAAGGACACCGAATCTGGTAAGGACACTCGCATGTACATTAGCGCAATTCCCGTCGTACTTCCCACTGGCACTATTGCCAAGGGCGTCATGCAGGGACAACTCACTACTCCCGCGCGTAAGACTATAGATGGTAGTAGCTTGGATGATACTGCTGTACAAGTTGAGACTGCAGATGTCAAGACTGCAGACAAAGGTGTACAGGCAAACCTGCCACCCCCTCCCGCCGACCTTGCCAACCACAATTGGGGTCTGTGGTCGCCGCCTACTCGTAATTCTCCGGAGAATGACAAGACCGCAGACAAAGATGAAAAGGCAAATCTGCCACCCCATCCCGCCAACTTTGCCAACCGCAATTGGGGTCTGTGGTCGCCACGTACCTAGGTACTTACCCTCGATAGCACTTCTGACAGTTTCAAGGATTCGGGCGAAGAGGGCAACAATGAAAATTACTCTTTCGTGCCGAACTCCTGTCTTATTTTCACCTCATTCTTAGACCCTTTGGAGTGGGAATACGGAACTGTACTTGAGAGGTAATCTGAATTAATTGGATGGCGTTTGCACAAATGGCGTTTGGAGTCGAGGGAATTCATACAATGATATTAGATCAGATTTTGGAATTTCGTCCTCGGCCTGAACTTACATTTGTTTACCTGGAAAAAAAAGAGGAAAACATTTAGCAATGGCGATAAGAGCTTTCCGGGTCAATAATACATCATTACTTCAGGATAGACTACTGTGTTCTCTGAGAAAATACGCTGGAAAATAGGTATTGTTTAGAGACATTTTTTAATGGAATTATGGATATCGATTGCTTCTTAAATACCGTGTATTGTGACTCCTGTTCTAAATTTTTGATAGTGAATCAGTATATAACTAAGTATACTGATTCGACAAGGCGATGTTATCCGAGTGTCCGTGATATACTGTCCCGGGCAGGGTGGGGCACAGAATATTGACAGTTGAAAGCGTCTTCGCAAATGCTTCAATATACTCGGCTCTTCTAACTGTGTTCCGATTTTGATGATTGGAAAGTCAAGATTCAACGCGTGTTAGATGTGGCACAATCCCTTGGAGTATTTCAATTGCGCTGACATGGAAACCATAGCGATCGATGAGGTCTGGCACAACATAGTAACTTCGAGTATCAAATATGATTGGCCCAAGAACATGCTTCGTATAGTGTCTTATCTGTCGGTTGTGCAATTCACTGATCATGCAGGCAGTGAAAGAGGTCAGCGACTTGCCGATGTGAGCAATCATGTGAAAACGCCCTGCATTGTGACCAGTTGACTCAACGGGAGCTTTAGCGAATATTGCATTGTAAAGCTTACATTCACTGTGCATAATCAGCTTGGTGAAGTCAGTTCGATATAAAAGCGTTCTTCCCATGCTTCTGAGAATACTCTCCACACTCACATTCACGATTGAAAGCACACAACTCCAAACGTTAACCACAATCATGTCTCAAAAATTCTGGGTGGTACTTACACACTGGACATCCACGCCTACAACACCAGCTCCCGCGGTGATCGCCGCATATCCAACTGGCCACCTAACAGACGATGATGAAAATCCCGACTATTACACCTACACCACTTCGATTCACCGAGGCGCCTTGAATAAACGCGCTTCCGGGAGACCTACTTATGTGAAGCTCAGGATCCCCAAAACCTCGCCGTGGAAGGGTATGTTGGGTTGCTTCGACTCCGTTCAGGCTGCTACGGCTCGAATTCAAATCATCAAACGCGATCACCAAGACAAAGAGATCGTGTACGGACAAGTGGAGGGTCAGGATGTAATGGCTGTCACTATGTCGCCGGGAAATTACCGGCTCTTTCAGGTGGTCGAATTGTCTCTTCCTTCACCAGCACCTGCTCCTTCTGTGGTCCAACCCCAAGACACGGTAATGTCTGACTAGTAAATGCTTGATTGTCTGCAGTTTGCTAGTAAATGAGTGTAGTATACCTGCAGGTGAGGCAAGAGTAGAGTGTTACTACATCCTCTAGGTCAGAGTAAAGATAAAGCAACATGACAAATCCTCTAGGTCAGAGTAGATATAGAGAAATATGACTATAAAAAAGTAAGAATAAGAGTAAGAGTAAAAGTAAAGTCACAATGGCACACAAAAATGCCACTTACAGCGTGATCATGGCCGAATTTGTGTATACATATAGATGTTATAGAATGCTATTCGTCTCCGTAGGGTTTCTAATACATGTATATGGTAGAGTGGTAGAGAAGTAGATCAGTCTGAATGGCAATAATGCCTTTCCCTGATCCCCAATCGCAAATTGACATCGCTGAACCCTTGTTTTCAGTGTCAATTGAGCAAAAGTCCTTACACTTCTAATTACGATTACCTTTAATACTTGAACCTCGAGCCTGATCTCACCTGCTCGCCCTTCTTTGCATGTACTCTTGAGCTGTTCACCACAGGTTACGATCCATTTCCCGAATAGCTCGGGTGTTCCAGTTACTGCCCAGGTGTAGGCTTACTCAGTAAGGTAGGTTGGAAGTCGAGACCCCACGCACATCCGCAATGTTTATACACGAGGTCAACTACTTGATGCGAGGGGATATCATATGTGCATACATGTATGTCACATTTGTCACGAAGACACGTGAATCTCAAGTGCTCGTTTGGAGTGGCATGTTGGGATCCTGATGCTTACTGCATTGCCTACCTATGCATCAAACTGATTTTAATTTTGCTATGATGAATAAAATTGAAGAGCAAGCTCAATGATAAGCTTATCTCGTGATGAGACCAGGTGACCATCAGTGAATTCGCAAGTCACATGATTGTGCTGCCTGCATGTGAGAGTCAAGTGTGATTAGTCATATTGGACCCTTCGGCATTCTTCCGATTGACGTTCCGAGATGCCTCGTCAGCTTGGAAGCCCAAGCCCGCCGCCTACCATCGCCTTCTAGGCGCTTCTCACCACTCATTCCTTCGCTTTGATAATCATCCGTCTCATTCATTGCCACACACATACACATCATTCGCAGTATATAGGCCGCAGCCTCAACACCATAATCATGGCGTCCACTCCTACCGCATCTAAAGCCGAGGACGAGAGTTACACCAATATGAAGGGAGACGTTGATGCTATCGGCTCACACTGCCAAATGGCCTATTGCCATGTCTTGGACTTTCTTCCATTTCGATGTGAGAGCTGTAAAGGGTATGTGAGAATCCTAATATCACTTGGCGCATCGTGTGTTGACACTCGTCTAGGACGTTCTGTTTAGACCACCGAACCGAATACGCGCATAAATGTCCCAAGGAAGGCGAGTGGGCACGTAGAATGGCAGCTTTGAACAATGACACCCAAAAACTTCCTCCGAAACCGTCCCTATACGATCACGACCAACAATGCGCCAACTCTACATGCAAGACACTCATTTACACGTCCTTGGTCACAGGCGTACACTGCCAGCGATGCAATCGGCACTACTGCCTGAAACACCGTATGAAAGAGGACCATGACTGCAAGAACCTCAAACCCATAGGAGCGCGGCCCTCGAATATTATACAGCAGCAGAGGGACCGTGGCATGTCAGCACTCGCAAAACTCAAGATGTGGGCCGAGGAAAAGAAGAAAAAAGAGCAAGAGAAGCAGAATAAAAAGTCGGGATTCTTGGGGATTGGATCTAAGAATTCCGCTGCTAAGGAGGCCCTTGCTGCAACGAACGATCTCAAAAGGACCGCCAAAGGAGAAGCTTCCATCCCTCAAGACAAGCGGATATATCTTCATGTCGAAGCTTCTGCCGACACGACCAAAGCAAAATACCCAACGGGTAAATTCTTCTATAATAAAGAATGGACTGTTGGCCGTGTGTTAGACATGGCAGCAAAAGCGTTGCAGGTTCAAAACGTGAACAATCGCGGTGGCGGAGAGGAAGAGAAGCTACGAGTTTTCCACGTCGAGGGGGGACGACTGCTCAAATTCAGCGAGAAAATCGGCGAGCCTTGCCGGACGGGCAATATGATAGTGCTTCTACGAGGTGTGGGGTCCGGCGAAGCTCCAGATCTAATCGATCTGTGATGGACAGTGTTGCGTGCATGGTTTTAGTCAGGTATACTTTGGTTCGATCCTTGACAGATACCCAGAGCAGTTATGGCTCTATGAATAATGAATTACTATTTTAAGTACTAAAAACGTTAGAAAAATGTGCAGCAAGGATGATGACAGAGCTTGTTGAGGTTAATTGTTCCGGGCTTGTGGATAGCTCTACACTCATAATTTCCTAGCGCCCTTCAATTATATATCCACATGAACTATATCACCAATTCAGTGTAGCAGTCGACAAGCTCACGAACAATGATCCGGTTAGTACAATCAAGACAGTGCCGAAATGACGTTCTTTCGGTTGAGGACATATGTTCATACAACAATTAATATTATCATTCAGATTGTACGGATAAGCTGCTCTATGAGGAGGTGGATGCCGCACTGCTAACAGGCAGTGAAACAGGTGTAGCTGTGGATGATGACGAAGCCGAAGTAGAGGAGCCACCACCTCCGCCTCCGTTCTTCTTCTGGACTGTGGCTTGGACGACTTGACCAGCGGTGTTGAAGACAATGTCGACCAAGGAGCCGAGAGCCTCATAGGAGAACGTCTTCTGGATCAAACCCTGGCCAATGTTCTTCTCATCACCAACTTGTGTCATATCTGGAGTTGATGTTAGCATTATTCGTTGATAAGTTTTTTTTCCTTCTGTAGTTCACCGGGCGGACATACTCTGCTTGTAGTTACCAATGATTGAAGGCAAAGCGCCAGTAGCACCACCAACCACCTCCTGCACGATGTTTCCGAGGTTGTCGATCAAGAAGTTAAGAGTGGTTCCACCCTGGGTGATGGATCCGAGCAATCCATCGACAGCGCCGATAACATCTCCGACCAGGCTCGTCACATTGTTGATCAAACCAATGAGGAGAGGGTTCAAGTCGAGGGATTCGAAGACACGCTCGACGATGTCGACAAGGTGGCCCAAACGAACAATAAGCTCGAGATTGACATCAACGTCGGCAATGGTGATGTTGATCTTCTCCACGGCAACCTGTACACCAGCATTGACTTGCACGAGACCAGCAACTTTGGCGTTCAAGTTGATATCAGCTTGCAACTGCTCAACTGTCAATTCAATGCGCCCAACGTGCAATTCAGGAACATTGAGGTAAACATCCGGCTCGGTGGAGGGCACTGAAACGCTGGGGGCAGCCGTTGTCCGCGAAGTGGTGCTGTTTGTGCCAGTAGGACTGGAGGTGGACGTGGGAGGTGCAGTGGCCGAGGTGGCAGACTGCGCAAGAATGGGGGCGACGAAGCCCAAAACGAAAAGAAGAAGCATGCGGAGAGAAATGAGAGACGGCATGATTAGAATTCTTTGCTCGAGGCTTCGAGAGTAGTGAGAGGACGACAAGACAGAAGAAGGCGAGGTCGAGGTAGAAGGCTACAAAAGCAAGGCCTCGTTTAGTATTTTAAAACCCCAGAAAAGAAGCGCTGGGCGAGCACGAAACTAATTAGACACTTGGTTCATGGCCAGAAGGCGCCGACTCTGCTTCCATCGACCCACGAACCGTCTAATTTCGGGTAAAACACTCAAAGCGCAGCCGATCCCGCGCTGACGCAGGGGTAAACCCACGTTTTAACTATCGCAATCCAGGCCCATAATGCAGAAAACCAGATTTTTCGATATGCACCGGCAAAGCGGATTGGTTTGGCGTGCCTTAATTTCGAAAAATCTAGTGGCCTTGCGCAGCGGGGCGTGTCAAGTTGATCCTGAATCATGGTCATCCATGCGAGCACATCGCCAACGCGATCCTTTTTGTTCAACGGCGTGCCCTCCCCACATACCGTGCTTTTGATTGATTTGACAGCTCTCGCCTGCACTCTGCTTTACTTCACCATCCTGCTGTCTTTTGTGGCTGCGTTCGCTCTTTTGTCTTTTTCGACCAAGTACCATACAAGCAAATCTTCACAATGTTGTCTTCACTCCTATCACTCTTTACTTTGCTGCTTGTTCCATTCGTTGTGTTTGGTCAAATCGAAGACAGCGACGGTTACTCCGGATATAAGCTTGATATCCGTCAAGATGGAGATCCCCTCGCTATGGTGTACGAGACGGAGAACACGCAGAACAACGTCTCTGCCTCCGTTCCTGAGCCCGATGTGTTCCTGAATGTAAGATTCATCTTCCTCGACAATTCGCTAGTGGTATCAATTAACAAATTGTAGGCTTCAGTACACGTTGGTGAGATCAACATTGAGGTGCAGAATCTCACAGCAAAGATCAACTTGGACGCTCAGGTCCTCCAATTGCTTTCCTTCAACGCAGGCGTAGATCTTTCCATCTCTAGAGTGCAACTCCTGATCCAGAACGTCACCGCGAAAGTCTACCTCGAAGCTCGTCTCGCCAACCTGGTCCTCATGATCGTAAGACTGACCTATTTCCTCCATCTTTTCAAGTCCTCACTCTAACCTTTCACTTTCTAGAACGATACTTTGAGCTCCATTGATCTTAACCCCGTGCTTGTTGAGCTCGGTAACGGCATTGGAAACATCATCAACGAAACTGGTGATTTGATCGGGGGAGTAACAGACGGACTCAACGACGGCTCCTCCGCCTCCAAGCGCAGTCTTGATCTTATCCAGGTCGAGCTCGAAAACAACATTCTCTACTCCATCAATGACTTTTCCGGAAGCACACACACAAACCGTGTGTTGGCGCAAAACGGCGACATCATTGAGCAGAAGCTCGACAACCGCGGTATCATCTCCGGCACCACCGTGGTTGGCAACTACCTCAAGGACATGACGTTCAACGGTTTCAACCAGAGTGTCACGTACAAGGGCCAGGAAGTTTGGGAGGAAGAGTACACGTACTCGCCGTACGTGGGCTTGTTGGCTATCTCGGGGATCTTCAAGAGCAAGACTACGGGAGAGGTCGTGGGTACTCAGTTGATCGCTGAGGCAAGAGGAGGAGGATCAGCCAGTATTGGTGGTGCGCGCGAGCAAGAATTATAGAGCTGTCTTAGTTTGAACAGTAGTGTAATGATAATATCTTATGCGCTCTTTGATTGAGGCGCGACTGGACATGGTCTGATTGCCTCCTTTGCATTTGTATGTTCACTCTTGCAAGATCAGTTTAACATTATGTTACATGCATATCCTCCATCAATTTCTAGACTACATGCTCAAAACTTAACAACCATCATTGAGCAACGCATAACTTTGACTTTTCAGCCCTATACAATTGCAACATCAAGGTGGGGAAGGGGGAAAAGAACAGACTCATCAATTCCTGATTCGCGACAAAACGGCCACCAGCCCATCCGTCCGTCCCCGCTCTCGCTCGCGTTCGCGCTCGGCAACTGCCAGATCGTCATGTTTTTCGATCGCGATGGGATTTGGGGTGAGAAAAGGGGGCCGGAAGTCATTCAATTACCCAGCCGAGGGCTAGAACTTGACTCTAGCTCCATTTCCCAGTTATTCGAGACGCCATCAAACTGGGGATCTGCCAACTTTTTTTCTACGAAATCCAGGGGCGATGTGACTAACAGGCTATTATACCTGAAGCCAAGATATCTCCTGCGTACCGAGCTTGTGCACGAATGCTATATGTAGTTAAGCGTGATTACTACTTGTATATGCATCACGCTTGTGATGAAACAGACTATTCGACAGAAGAATCAAAATAGATTCTAGATTATGCATGCAGACCATATCTGTGCGCAAGGAGAATCGAATGGCATTAGGATACATTCTGGAACATTTGCTAAATGATTCACTACCGCCTAGCTCTGGACATGATGTAATGCGGAGATACATGTGGCTATACTCCTTTTCTTAATCCAGATTGTGACGATAACATTATTGTAGATACATTTTAGATAATCAATTGTGACATTGCCGTCGTTCCCGAGGAATGCAAACATACGAGAGGCTATGGAATTCACAAATCGCTCAAATTTTCTTGTGCAGATATGACTTTACTGTAGGGATAAATAGGTTTGAGTGAGTTGCTGTAAATCAATAGCAACATGCAGGCAATGTCTTGTTCTATTCATTACTCCTCTATTTGGCTTTAACATTAGAACATCCTCCTAATCGCGAGTTTGATTCAAACAAAATATAACGTATGCTCACGTACGAGATGAGCATCCTCGTCCAAAAAATTACAGAGATATTGACGGTTTTAACAACGACTAACGTGGTATTGAGTCTTATTGGAATGTGATCTCACGTCCCAAAACATCAATTGGTATCTTCCATTTGCAATGCATGCAGTGTGGACGCATAGTTGAGAAGGAAACAATACATCTGTTCATGAGACCATCCGAAATGAAATCTGTCGCATGTTAGGTGCACACCATCGGAACCACTCTTCATTACAATGATCTTGCTCCAGGTATGCTGAAGTTGATAGTACTGTGAGTGAAGCCTGATCTGTTTTCTAAGCTGTGGCTGGAAACGTGGCGTAATGTGGCTGTGCTTCCAAAACGCGCTATTGAATGCAACGACGCGCTCAAAGCTCACATCTCACAGATTAATTGTGCGATCAACAACCACTATGGCGCGAGGATGACAGGAAATACCAAACTAAGATAACTACAGCCTACTCAATCACATTCTCTTCTCACGCAATGGAAGAGTCGCCGCGAGCTTCCAAACGTAGGAAGCTCGATACCACCAGTCCTGCAGCGTCGAGTCCTGCCGCGAAACCATCGACCGCAAGAAAGTCTAGTAGGCTTGCGAATAAACCTACCCCGCACCCGAAAACACAAGAGGAAGATGAAGATACAGGCAAGGATGGGGAATCTATTGCTGTGGCGACCCCTAGGAAGGCTGTCAGGAATACAGCCCGCTCAATTGTACAGCCTAAAGAAGTGAGACCTGATGTCTGGGACGATATTGAAGCCGCGTCAGGCGAAGGCTCCATTGCATCTGCGGTACCGAAATCTGTGCCTGCCTCTAAGAGGAAAACTCCGGCCAAGCGACCTACTCGGGGCAGCGACAAAGTGAGTGCGACTACAGAAACAGACGAAATACAGGACCCGAAGCCAAATTCCAGAGCGGCCAGGAAGACAAACACAACAGCTAAAAACAGACAAAAGAAAACCACATCTGCTTCGACTGTCAAGGGCTCAACCAAAGGCGCCGTCGCTGACGCTGATACTTCGGATGAATTAGGCCAGGATCACTCTTCCCGCAAACCTACCACGGCGAGTGCTCGAAAGACAGCTTCTTCGCGCAAATCGAAAAACGCCACTCAGACTCAGTCTACCACTACTCCCTCTAAAGCTGCATTACCCAAGAAGTCCGTACGAAATGCGCCACGTGCTGCTTCGTCCAGTGGCGAAGACGAGCTCTCCAAGATTGCCCCTCCAAGATCGTCCAGACGCAAGCAACCTCGATTTCAGGAAAACGCTACAATTCCGGAGACTGAAGATGAAACAGAACCGGTTCCGCCTCCAGCTGCTTCAACGTCAAAAGCCAGCGCGAGAAGGAGATCAAATCGAGCTGATCACATCAGTAATGAAGATGAGGAAGTCCTTGTTGATGTTGAGACAGACCGTGAGTTGGAGTCCAGGAATATCGATGGAGATGGCATGAGCGTGGATGGCAATAGCATTGTTGGAAGTGTGCTCGACCCGACTGAGCCAAGTCCTTTCAACAAACCCAGTCCTGCCCAGAAATTGAATCTTACCACTCCATCCCTCAACATTCATGTTTCAGCCGGGCGCGAACTAGATCTTCTCAAAACAATAGTTTTGGAGCGTATCTCTGGTAAACGCCCAGCTCCTCTTGTCAACCTGGACGAAGAGTACGCCTCTGTTCATCAGTTGGTTCACCAGACTGTCACTGCAGGTGAGGGTAATTCATTGCTTGTTATCGGCGCCCGTGGGAGTGGAAAGACGTCTCTTGTGAACAAGGCTCTCAGGGAAGTGCACAAGGAGAATGGGGAAGATTACCACGTTGTGCGACTCAACGGATTCATTCATACTGATGATAAGATTGCTCTGCGGGAGATATGGCGCCAGCTCGGCAAAGAGATGGATTTGGATGAAGATGAAGGCGGAGTAGGCAAAAATTATGCCGATACTCTGACAACTCTATTGGCACTTTTGTCCCACCCTTCGGAGCAGACTGGTGAAATCACAGACCACATCGCGAAGGCAGTAATCTTCGTCATGGACGAATTCGATCTGTTCGCGCAGCATGCGCGACAAACTCTGCTGTACAACCTATTCGATATTGCACAATCTCGCAAAGCTCCGATTGCTGTTCTTGGCCTTACCACCCGCATTGACGTTGCTAATAGCCTCGAAAAACGCGTCAAGAGTCGGTTCAGCCATCGCTACGTCCATCTTTCGCTGGCCAAGACTTTCAGCGCGTTCCAGGACATGTGTAAAGCGAACTTGCTCGTCTACGCAGATCAGCTCAGTATCCCTGAACGAGCTGTCCTCGAGCCGAATGTCAATTCGCCAGCAAAGAAACCCAAGAAAGGCAGCAAGCCCAGCCTTTTGACCGATTGGAACAACAACATCACAGTAAGCCTTCTCCAATCTCATTATCAGTACCCCAACGTGTTTCCACTTCCCAAAATCTCTCTTCTCTTTCGGCGTTCCGGTTGCTTACACTCACTCAGACTCTTTTCGCCACCAAAGCATTCCTTACAACGCACCTGGCACCAATTTACCACCTCACTAAATCCATCCCTGAGCTTCTCACCACCTTTCTGCATCCGCTCTCCACGCTTTCATTGTCCAACACTACCCTCCAGCCTCCGACCACTCTTTCCCTTCCACCAACCTCCAGACTGCCTCTTATACCGCACCTCTCCACACTCGCTCTCTCCCTCCTCATCGCCGCTGCTCGCCTCGATATCATACACGACTCGGATACGTGCAACTTCAACATGGCGTATGACGAGTACGTCTCGCTCGCAAGCAAGGCGCGTATCCAGAACGGCGTCGGTGGTGTCAGCGTCGGCGGAAGCATGAGCAAAGTCTGGGGCAAGGAACTCGCAAGGCGCGAATGGGAGGGACTTGCAGAGCTGGGGTTCGTGGTGCCTGTTCTACTAGGCGCTGTGGGCGGTGGGTTCGGCATGTGCAGGATCGATGTCGCGCTCGAAGAGATTGGAGAGGTTTTGAGGGGTCCGGCGGCGAAAGGCGTCGAGAAGGGGCTGGAGAGGTGGTGTAGGCAGATTTAGTGTTTGCGAGAGAGTTGTGGCTGCTTGACTTATGTGTGGGGTATTATTATGTTTTGCATGGCATAGCATAGGAAATAGCATTTGACATTTGATCTTAGGCAGTTGAATTTCTAGTTAGACATCAATGCATCTTATCATCAACATACGTGCAGGCGAAGGTACGATGAGCGCGATAATTCATAGCATTCGTACACTCTTCTCGAATTTTCAGTATCTCCTATTGAATTTGAATGGTTCCTCTAGTGTAGTTGTAACAGGACTTACACGAATATCATAGCATAAAACCCTTACTTCGTTCTATAATCCAGAATTCACACAAATTATATTATACATTACAGCATTCAACGCGCAAGTTCAGCGTGAGTGGTTATACACATTGATGATGAGAATTGTAGACTTTTTTACCAACATCATATATACCATGCATTCAATCTGTACATAAGATCAAGGGAGAAGCGCTCAACCCCAATATTTCGCAAACTTGCTCTCCCCAGCCAGCACCTGGTCGAATTCCTTCGCAATCACACGATCAACCTGCTCACTCGGATGCAACGCATCAAACCACATGAAGCTATCGGGACTATCATCCCTAACACAAGTCTGGTTTGCACCGGAACCCACGCAATTCTTCACCGTGCCAGTGACATTCGGTGCCTTGGTTCCATTCAGGTAGTTTTCAGGGTTCGTCCAAATATCCGTCATAAGCGAATTGACATCGAAATTCGCAATACTAGCCTCAGGGTACGACTTCGCGATGAGAGTTTCGTACGGGGTGCGATATGCGTAGACTTCGTTTAGAGTGGCGACGCTCTCCCACATGCGGTAGCTGATCTGGGTGATGTTATCACCCTTATTTGGGTAAAACTCGGTATGGTTGAGGCCGCCGTTTTCGGGAACTGCGTATTGAGGTGCAAGCTGGAGTGGAGCGAGGTTCATGAGGACAAAATAGCGGGCGCCACTCTCGTACAGTGAAGCAACAGTTTGGTAGACGCAATCAGTATAGTCTTTGAGGGTTTTACCACGTACTTGAGAGTCGGTTAGAAAGGCGTCGTTTCCAATGTCGTTGGTGCCGATCCAGATTGCGTAGACCGTGCTGGATGGAACACCAGTGAAGAAAGCGGTGCCGTTGGGATTTTGGTAGGTTGAGTCGGCCAGATAGGCGGGGAGTTCATATCCTTGAATATCAGGGAAGGGTGCGTTGATGGAGGCGAAGGTCCGTGGGGTGATCTCATTGGAGCAGACGGCGCCACTGACTGCGTAGTTGTAGAGAGTGAGGGATGAGTAGATGGAGGCGTAGCGGGCCCATATTCTCCCGCCCGTCGATGCGCCGTAGTTCTAACGATGAAGTTAACGGATGGATACGTGAGAAATCAGTGAAACGGTAAATAGAAAGAGGAAAACATACCACCCCACCGTCCCATCCGGGTGGAGGTGCCGTGCCATTGTGACTCGCGAAGAAGCCCAGTCTATTCTCATCCGTGTAGCTATCACCAAAAGTAACCAAAGTCTTGAATTTGCCTGGTTGCCACTCGCTCGATCCGTTTGAAGGCGGACCGGATTGACTACAGACAAGGGTCAGGTTGATGAAAAAGCTGAGCGTTGAAGAGCACCGCATGACGGCTACTGGATTTGTCAAACACGGGGGCTTTTCCGAAATATCTTCAACGTCTGTGAATGTGCGGGTGAGAAGCCAATGGAGCAAATTAGATGATGGCAAGACGTCGCAAGATCGGTCTTTATAGATAGTCTAGATCCGAGGCAATCAAAAGAACCCGGTTCATGGGGCATACTTGCAAGAGCATATATTATAAGTACGGGCCTGTCGTCATGGGTAGTTTGCCCCTTCAGTCACAAATTGCGTCCCCTGCACCGAGACCCGCGGCAAGTCACACGGTCCGGAGAAAGACGCGGAAGCGTTCCATCGCAGGAGAAGTGGGGGAAAGTCGTTGCCCCGGCTTTGTCGTGCTGTATGCAGATATCGTAGCCTCTGACGCTTGACGCAATCTAGTCCGGGGTGGCGGCTAAAGTCAAAGACTCAAGCCGCTGGTTCGCACGTCGTTTGTTCGGTTCAAGGGACAGAAGCTTTTTATTATTTCCAGAACGTTTGTGATCACTCGCGATGTCAAATAATAAGTATATTTCAATCGGTTGCTTAGCATTGCGGACCAATGGCATCGCCTCAGTGTTGTTCAATCCATTTCATCGCTAATCGTTCTTCGTGGCCAGACCAGCTATCCTTGCAACCACGACATGGGCTCAGTATGCATTGCGAGAAGCAATACAAGATGCGCTAAATATGCTGCTCTCAGGGGACTTCCGCTAATTACGATGTATTTTCTGATCAATTGCTCCTTTGGTCTTGGGCACAATGGTAAAGTGCAAGCACCGATGAACTAGTATTGAAATTCATGGTTGTGAGGTGGTACGAGGCGTGCGCCGTGATGAATGAACCGCGACGGTTAGCAATGATGAAGGCGTACGCAAATCGATCCATTATCTGATCTCCAAAGACCTGTGACAGGGGGCTTGATCGTGACCAGAAGACTTGAGGTATGGCATGTGCGTGCGTTGCGGTAGCGCGCACGTGGATGTCTTCGCATGCGGTTCACTCCCGTCTCCCCGCTGCACGATCATCATCACCATCAGTTCGCAAGCCTAGTTCCAGTCGGGTTGATATTGTTCATACAATCGAAGGACTGCTACAAGATTGGTAGCCGATGATGGTAGCTTGTTAGCATTGAAAGGCCCGAGGATTAGAAAAACACACATGGCGATATGATCCAAGGATGAAGGATAAGCTCTAAGGCGTGGGGTATGTGATGGTCAGCATGCAGTAGGTTCCGAGTTTCGCAAAGACAAAAGTCGGATCCATGATGTTAAGAGGCTGGTGGATCCCGTACCCGAAGCGTGAAGGTTTGAAACGAAATTGGACGCCACTGCTCTCAACACTCGGTTCCATTGTGTCGGTAGATGTGCGAACAACTGTCAAATTTGGCTGCGTTCCCAGTCCATCTTCCAGTCCAGTTCAGCTCTTCGTGGTACACTCTTTTCTTAGTGACCTGAGCGATCAGCCTTCGGCTTCTTACTGCTTCCTTTCTCTTTCTGTCCCGTCGCATCACGGTCCCAGTCACGATCACCCGTCCGCTTTATTCACCATCTGCAACTTCTCGTCACATGCTCGCTGTATTTGCTGCGCCGCACCGCCGGGCCGACTCACTCGTTACCTGCGTTGGTGTCGACGGTCTCAGCACATTCCACTAGTTCGTTGTGAGCATACTGATAGTTTGCTCCGAAGGCTTGGTGTCATCTTCAAGACCGCTTCATGGCTTTCGATGGGAGTGTAGTGAAGGTGAAGACAGATGGGTTGGAGGAATGGTCCATGTTGAGGACAAAAATGGATTCAGGCAAGCGCGACGGGAACCCACCGATGACGGCACTTTCCTATCTTATCGTGGTGCACTCTGCTTCATCATACATCTCGATACAACCTCTACCTCTACGTCATCCCGGCCATATCATGGAATATCACGACTCGATTGGAATTCTATACTTCATAAATCCACTGCCCAAACTTTATTGAATCCATACAGAGCTCATCCATTAACAATTCCAGCACAGAGAAGGGGGTCCTACCGACGACCATACGCATAATACCTGTTTAGTAAGCTACCTTCCATGGCACGCGTTGACTGACTACTCAAGTACTTACACCGGCAGATACAACTTCAGCCTCGGGTCTCGCAATTCCGCCTGTGCAGCATCTGTAAGGTCTTCGACTTGCTCCGCTGACCAACCAAGTCGTTCTGTAAACGGCCAAATGGCGAGGGACGTCAAGAGTGCTCCCACCATATCCACCATATCCCTTCCAATGCTCGCCTGTGTTGCGTCTAAGATATAGTCAGACTCATTTCCGATCGAGTTGACTGCTGATCCCCCATCCTCATAGATTACGGATAAATTCGGGGGTTGAAAGAGGAAGAGAAGAAAGAAATACCTGAAGGCCAAGCACCTATGGGTAAAGAAATTCTAGCTCCATGCACATTCCTCAAGCCAGCCCCAGTCAAAAGAGGCTGCAGTCTCTGTCCAATTCGAGGATCGCGATTCGAACGTTCCATAGCATTTGCGTACGTCGTCCACCACCGTGTAAGCGCCGACTGATCGGACAAAAGGCCACTATCGGATTGAATGTTGGGGTAGTACTCCATCATCTGCACCCATCCACCCGGCTTCAGCAACCTCCTCATGTCCTGTATGTAAGATTCCCATCGATTACTCTTGATCCCCGGTCCCACAAATCTGGAATGGATCAAATCGTACGCATTTCTTTCGAACAAACCCGCATCGTTAAGCCTATCGTTGAGATTATAACCAGACAACTCGAGATTCTCCGGTTGTTCTGGAAGGTTGGGTGTGAATATGTCAATGCCAAGAACCTGGACGTATAAGTAAACATCGACATTTTGTTGCCGGTACTCAAGCACCTCTTTCCGTCAATGATTCACAGGCTCAGCAACATACCTCACTCTCGTCATACTCTTCCGCAAACTGAACAACCCAATGTCCTTGCCCATATCCACAGTCGAGGACCCTTTCCGGATAGTCAACGGGCGCAAGGAAAAGTCGATCATTGAAGTACTTGAGTAAAATCTGGTGTTGTGTTTCGAGTCGATTTTCTTCGTCCTTGATTTCGTGAGCGTAAGGTCTGGGCTTTTGACGCTTAAATGAGCGACAATTTCAGCGTTTTCCGTACCTCGTCTACAGGGACACAATAGATTCGTCGATCAACCGAATACTTCTGGAAATAGCGTTCGTGGACGAATATCTTGACATGTTCCTCAGATGACATATTCTCCACGGCAGAATGGTCGATTGCGCAATGCTCCGATACGGTTTTCGGCAGTGGGTCCGGTTGAGGATGCTTTCCCCACCACTGACTACTACGCGAGTCGCCGGACTCGATTGTGAGGTATAACGAAGCTCAACGTGAGCAAGGTGTGACGAACACACTTTTCGAGAAACCTGGTTCGCAGAGCAAGATTCTGGTGTACGGGCCTTGATAGAGTCAGACATCGCGTATGGGTGCTTGCGAACTTGATCGCATTTCGACCACTCCAAATCACGCGCACGCATTTAGCGCGTTAAGCGATTCTCTCCACAGGCGCAAATTTCTGCGAGCAATCAAACACGACTTACCGATCAATGACTATGATTGCTGTGGCGATGGTTGGTGGGCGTGTACCAGCCGGCTTCGCGGGTCTGTGCAAGATCTGTCAGGAAGCAGTACCCCCTTTTCAACTTTTGGTAGAAGCTATCGAACTTGGGAGCGACTGCCGTTGGGATTGCTTGGGTCAGTCGATATGCTGAAGTCTGGTGCGAAAATCCAATGATGAGGGCGCGGTAAAAAGAGACCACTGGGGACTATGTCTAATTGAATGATATCGGGCGTCACCTGGTCTGGATTGCAGGGAGCTACAAGACTTTCCCCCATACGTATTGACGATACCACTGCCATTCGCTGTGTTACTGTGGATGGACTAGGGTTGTCAACAAAGTGGTCATTTCGGTTACTATGAAATTATGGGTGCAGCGGTTTGAATAAAATCGAAGAACAGATCCAGACAAGCCTCCACGGGGATTAATAACCGGTTGTTGGCCAGCAAGAATGAGAGGAACATGAAGCGCACCAGCTTCGAAACAAACTACGAAGGCTTCGTTGAACGCACGGCCGGATGCTACCATGCGAAGTCGTCATGGATGATGAGTTTGCAGAAGACTGACGAGGACTGCCGATTATGACGCGACAAACTTTGGCGATGCTGCGCTGTCAGGCAAGGAGGTTGCTGCATATTCTCCCAAGGATGTTGCAGCGTCCTGCAGGTGCATGGCTCCCGGGCCGTTCGCAACGGGTCTACACAATTTTATCTGCAGGAAATCGCTGCTAACAAGGTTTTTCCAGCCAAGAAAAGGTAGTCACATTTTCCATGGAGGGCGCAAAACTCAAGGAATGTCATCATGTCATACCATACCATACAACAACTGTGTGCCATACCGCTGACATGGACTTGGGTTTAACGGGCACTAGTAGTCTCCGGGTAAACCATGTTGTCCAACAGGCGCCACAGCCAGCAACAATAAATGACAGGTGCAGTGGAAAAGTCTTCACTACAGATAGGCAATGGGGGGGGGGTTGGCCACTCAAGCTTCAACAAAAGGTTCGCAGTGACCCATGATACATCAAGGTTCCCTAGATAAGCACAACCACCGAACGGGACGACACAGAGGGCAGTGTTTCCTTTTCATGGCACGTGTTGAGCTAACGGTCGGTCGGACGTTCATCGAAGACAGAATTTACAACTCTGCTGGTGGGGCAAGCGATCCTACTGGCAGCACTACCCATTGGGGCTAGCAGGCTAACAACAGCACGATGAGAAAGTGATGCGTTGTCGGCACACATCCTCCCTAACTCCGGATATATTCTCTCTCCACTGACGAAGCCAGAGGTTGCGGACTATCACACATGCTTCATAGCTATGCCGAGACGGTAAGGTCTGCTTTCAGTAGACTTAAGGTTGGGAGTATCTGCGGGCGGTTTCCACCGGATTATGTTCATTCCCAACCACTCGCAGAAATTACGATTGCTGGTTTGTACAGCTGACAACCCCGGAGGAATCTATTTCCTTGTACTAAGACAAAAGCCTAAACACTTTTTACTCCTCAATATCCAAACAGACTAGCCTGCTACAACGGCGACTAGTTGGACCGTGGACCGTTCATCGTCTATCGATCTGAACCATTTCTGCTATTTGCAATGCAGACTCGCAAAAAAGGAAGAAAGAACGAAGGCAGGATCCATAATGCCATGGATTCTTCACATGATTACTGAGAAGGGCAAACCAGCACAGAGTGGGAACGTCTACCGCGACCGCCCTTGTATTCACAATGTGGCATATGGACGTGGCTACGTACAGCACAGGCTTCTAAATCAACAGCTCATTGTACATGTATCAAAGCAGATGATCACATATACTGATAGGAGAGAAACACCTCATTGCCTGGCTCCATTGGGATGCGTGGTCAATTTTCGCATCCAAGCCTTGGTGTGCAGCTCCCATGCACATGTTTGCGCTGCTGTTCCGCAGGTGGGTGTTAGGATATCGCGGCGCAGCGCAGCGCACCGCATTGCATGATGCTGCGTTACATCGTATTTCTTCCCTTGTCTCCTGGGGCGCGATTTTCCCCTGACGACAAGACGATTTTGCTGCCATGTTCATGTCCGGATAAATTGGGTTTTGGCGGTGGCTCACAGCTTCGCAATGGCAGTAGCTTCTGTGCCAGTCATGGAAGATGATGGTGTTGAGGGAACACGAGTCATTCAAACGAGATTTATAAATAAGTAGTATCAGACCTGCTGCATTTGTGCTACAGGTGCCTTTCGGGTCGGGTCGGGGATGTGTTGAAGTGCAATGCGGTGTAATGTAGTATCAAACTATTTGCTATCTGTTCTACCCTACGTTGTATCACGAATATTGAAGGCCATGATGTGCGAAGAGAAGGTGAGGTGGAGATGAGGCATACATAACGCGGTGCCGGACATGGAGGTACGTACCGAGGCTTGCAGGTTTTGAGGCCCAAGCTTGATTATCTCATTGTCTGCTTCCATTTACGATGATGTTTTGGCCAGAGGAAGGATCAATTTCAAAGACTATTGATCAAGAGAGTGAGTAGTTTACCATGTCTATGACATCGTCTCAAAGGTACATTCAGATGATGGTTAATAACGTGGTAAGGAGCACGAGGACCCCACATTGTCGTCAGTTACCCGCACGCTTTGGGATGTCTGCGCCAAGAGTACACGCCCATGATGTGGAAGCACAACTCGTGAAGATGAGACACAGGTGAGATGGAACACTGTGCGCTTCCAAAGGAACTGAGGCAATGCCTGTGATGCAGCGTTCAAAGTTCCCCGGATTTCCATTCCCTCAGTCTGTCATATGACGATGCGCTAACCCTTCCTCAACGGTCACTCACATGTGAAAAGCGAGCCAAAAAGCGGGTTGCGGTTTGGGATGTGGGGAGGGCACAGACTGGGGCTGATCGATACGTATCGGATCACACGCTCTGATTGGCTCGGACCCGTGACTAAGATACAAGACGTCAAGTGTGGCATTCCCGTGACATTTCTCCAGGTTCACGCTGCCACTTTGGTTTGACCTCGGCAGTTTATCGCTGGCTGGCTCGGCTTTCAGAAGCTCCCCATCGACTCGTTGCTTAGGTACATATCATCGTTTTCCCCCCAAACTTGTGCGAATCCTCCTTGTTCCTTCTTACCTCTCGAACTCTGACCTTTATCCATCCCATCTTTCTTTCATCCCGTCTTCACTCTTGCGAGGACAAAGCGTAGCTCCGTTTTCGAGAAGAGCTGCGTCGAGTTGCCGTTGCAACAATTGAGGTACATACACACACACAGTATGGCTCCTGCTGAACTGCGGTATGACGGCCAGACCGTTGTAGTTACCGGTGCCGGTGGTGGTTTGGGCCGTGACTACGCTGTCTTCTTCGGCAGCCGAGGTGCCAACGTTGTCGTCAACGATCTAGGTGGCAGCTTCAAGGGCGAGGGCGGTGGCTCAGCAGTATGTCATGTTTCCTACCAGTACAAAGAGAAAAGAGAGAGCACAGCTAACTTCACATTTACTAGGCCGCCGACAAGGTCGTGCAAGAGATCCGCGCTGCTGGCGGCAAGGCCGTGCCCAACTACGATTCGGTGGAGAATGGTGAAGCCATCATCAAGACAGCCATTGACAACTTTGGCCGCATTGATGTCCTCATCAACAATGCTGGCATCTTGCGTGATGTCAGCTTCAAGAACATGAAGCAGCAGGACTGGGACCTCATCTACAAGGTCCACGTCAAGGGAGCCTACAAGTGCGCGCACGCCGCGTGGCCCTACTTCAGGAAACAGAAGTACGGTCGCTTGATCAGCACTGCTTCGGCTGCTGGTCTGTTTGGTTCTTTCGGCCAGACCAACTACTCTGGTACGTGCGGTCCACAGGGCATATCATAAACGATTCGCTGACTAGTACATCATAGCTGCCAAACTCGCCCTCGTCGGCTTCACCGAGACATTAGCAAAGGAAGGTTTGAAATACAACATCCACTGCAATGTCATTGCACCCATCGCTGCTTCTCGTATGACCGAGACCGTCATGCCCCCCGACGTTCTCGCAAAGCTCAAGCCCGAGTGGATTGTACCTCTCGTCGCTGTTCTCACACACAAGTCCTGCTCGGAAACAGGCTCAATATACGAGGCCGGTGGTGGTCACATCGCGAAGCTGCGGTGGGAGCGTTCCAAGGGTGCGCTGTTCAAGCCCGACGAGTCCCTCACACCCGGCGCCGTGGCGGCTAAATGGAAGGAAATTGTCGACTTCTCACAGCCAGAACACCCACAGGGTCCCGCAAATGCGATGGAACTCCTCGAGTCCGCTTTCAAATTGCCTTCCAGCCCCAAGGTAGAACAGCCAAGTTTCAAGGACAAGGTTGTCCTAGTTACTGGTGGTGGTGCTGGTCTTGGTCGTGCGTATGCGTTGCTGTTCGCTAAGCTCGGAGCGAAACTCGTTATCAACGACCTTGCCAACCCAGACACGGTTGTGCAAGAAATTCAGAAGCTTGGTGGCCAGGCTGTCGGCAACAAGGCCAATGTTCTGGACGGCGAGGCTGTTATCAAGACTGCGATAGATACGTATGGCCGCGTCGATGTTCTCATCAACAACGCTGGCATTCTTCGCGACAAGGCCTTTACCAACATGACCGATGAGCAATGGGACATCATCCACCAGGTTCATCTGTTTGGTACATACGCTTGCTCAAAGGCTGCATGGCCTTACATGCTCAAGCAGAAATATGGCCGTATCATCAACACGACCTCTACCAGCGGTATCTACGGCAACTTCGGACAGGCCAACTATGCGTCGGCCAAATGCGGTATTCTTGGTTTCTCCAAGTCGCTCGCTCTCGAGGGAAAGAGGAACAACATCTTCGTCAACACAATCGCGCCCAATGCCGGCACGCAAATGACGGCTACCATCATGCCTGAAGAGATGGTTCAAGCCCTCAAGCCCGACTTTGTCGCTCCGCTTGTGGTCCTCCTCTCTTCTGACAAAGCCCCCGAGCCTACTGGCGGACTTTATGAGGGTGGAAACGGTTGGTTTGCAGCCACCCGTTGGCAGCGAACGGGCGGCCACGGTTTCCCCGTTGATGTCAAGCTCACTCCTGAGGCCGTTCTCGAGCAGTGGGAGAGAATTAACAACTTCGACGATGGCCGTGCGGATCATCCCTTCGACAACTCCGATGGTCTCAAGAGCATTATGGCTAATATGGAGAATGTTAGCAAGGGTGGCAAGAAAGAGAAGAAGGGCAATGATGAGGTCCTCAAGGCTATTGAAGCCGCCAAAGCCGCCAAAGCGCAGGGCTCGCCTTTCGAGTATGACGAGAAGGATGTCATCCTATACAGTGAGTTTCCCGTCCCTAGAGCAAACACAAAGCATATACACTAACAAATTGTTCAGACCTTGGTATCGGCGCCAAACGCACCGAGCTTCCCCTTGTTTTCGAAAACAACGAGAACTTCCAGGTGGTTCCCACGTTTGGTGTGATCCCACCTTTCAACGCCGAAGCTCCCTTTTCTTTTAGCGAAATTCTGCCCAACTTCTCCCCGATGATGCTCCTACACGGCGAGCAGTACCTTGAGATTCGCAAGTTCCCAATCCCCACCGAAGCCAAGCTCGTGTCCTACCCATCTCTCGTTGAAGTTGTCGACAAGGGCGCTGCAGGCATCGTCGTGACTGGTACTACCACCAAGGATGCCAACACCGGCGAGGATATCTTCTACAACGAAGCTACCGTCTTCGTGCGTGGTTCAGGTGGATTTGGCGGCCCTTCCAAGGGCTCAGATCGTGGTGCGGCGACCACGGTGCACAAACCTCCAAAGCGCGCACCCGATGCCGTGGTGGAGGAGAAGACATCGCCGGACCAGGCAGCTCTTTACCGACTCTCAGGCGACCGCAACCCCTTACACATTGATCCAGAATTTAGCAAAGTCGGTGGCTTCAAGGATCCAATTCTTCACGGCTTGTGCTTCTTCGGTATCTCAGGCAAGCACGTTTTGCAAACCTACGGCGCATTCAAAAACGTAAAAGTCCGATTTGCGGGCACTGTCATTCCTGGCCAAACGCTCAAGACGGAGATGTGGAAGGTCAACAACACCGTAGTCTTCCAGACCACCGTCGTGGAGACGGGCAAGCTCTGCATTTCTGGAGCCGGTGCAGAGTTGCTTGGTGGAGGCTCGAAATTGTAAGAGCCGTAATCTGAAACAAAAAGTTACGTTCTACTCAAAGGAGGATGATGCAGATGAAGCGTTGTTTTTGTATATATTCCACGATTTCTATCTTGTTGGTCATGCTGTTGTACGGATATCAAGTCTATATATGATGGATTTTTTTTGCTTGTTCATGCTTTCTGCTTCCCTAATCATGCACGCCTCTTGCCTTGTTCATATCGTATGTCGATATTTGTGATGTAGCATGATGTTTCCCGCCTAACAGTCTCCGATGCTATCAGGGTCCAGATCCTTGTGGTCAACAATCTCTCACTGGTTACACAGACACTATGATCGCTCGCCCGTGATGCTTTCTTTGAAAATGGCCCGAGTCGTATCAAATTCCATTCATCGCAATGCTAAGTATACCGAAACCATGTATTCATATATGACGTTGAATAATGCATCACCCGTGGAGTACATCAATTGATAACCATTGGGTCCCAAAAACTCGATAAACAACGTTACCCAGCTACCAATCTACCACAAAGTCTCAAGCACTCCCAATCTTTGCAAGAATGCGAAAATTCTCTGCGACACCTTCCTCTCCCACAATTTCGTCACCTCTCTGTACCTGCCTCCTGCTTGCCTCCCATCAACAATCACTCACGCTCACTCTTCTTCATCACTATCACCATACCCAACAGCCTTGTTGCCATTTTCCTCGCGCACCGCTTTGCTGACGAACGCCCTAACCACTGGCATCGACATTGTCACGCCTAAGTGGACAAGTAGTATCATCGATGCATCTAGCCCGTAGAAATAACGCATTTCGTCATCTCCCGTGAACGCGATACCGGAGTACGGATCTATGCTTCTGTAGATTGTGCGGATGAGGAGGGGGAGGGATGTCGTCACTGTCATTTACAGAATATCAGTATACGCCATTATAAACACATTTTTTTTATTTCTTGATAAGGGGTAGGGGTGGGAAGGTTGGCGATACTCACATAACAGCACTAGAAGAAAAACAAGGGCAGATCGTCGGTTCGTCTTCATCTTTCTTTCTTCACCACTATTGTCGTGCTCAAGTTGTGATGACGAAGGGCGGTTTGGAAGGAAAGCGCTTCGGAATGTGCCCCCTACAACGCTTATCATTGCAATGATGCAGAGAGCGTGTAGTGCGAGACTAGCACGCAGAAGCGCTGTGCCACTGTTCTGAATTGCTGTTGGTGGAGAGTCTGTCGAGGAGGTAATAGTGGCGATGAGGCAGAGTCCGATGAGTTGGAGAATCATGACTAAGCTATACGTGATCTGCAATGCTCTCTCCAGTACACGACTATATCCGTGTGTGGTGGCATTGTTACGGGGACGTGTGTTTCTCTTCCCGACTTCCTCGTTGGCGTTGCTGGTGGTGTGGCGAGCGGGTTGCACGGTAGCCGCACACACGTAAGGGAGATACACGGATAGCGCGGCCGTCAGTAACGTCGGACTGATGTTGATACTAAACAGAAACAGACTTCTGTACGTTGCCGACGATGGTTGGGCTGGTTTAGTCGTGGAGAGTATGGTAAGAGAAGTGTAAGCCAGGATTTGGAAAACGGATGATATAAGAGTTAGGGCGAGAAAGATGAGCTTAGTTGGAAAGCGATGTTTGGTTGTTGGTGTCTTGGTGGGGAAGAAGGTTATGGTGAAGGAGAAGTGAATGGGGAGGATGATCGCGTGGATGACTAGGAAGAATATGAGGGTGAGTGGTGGGGAAGCCATGGTTGTGTATGTATTCAGGGCTTGAAAAGCAAACACGAATCTTGAAGAGTTTCAATGGGATGTGATATTATCTTTCTCTCGCTGATTTTGGGATCAAGTCTTTCTTATAGCGCATGGCGGGGAGCTGAGATTTTTAATACAACTCATGTTCGTGACTTCTTCCATATTGTGGGCACAGTTGGAGTAGCTTATGACTACGATATGCAGTAAGACTTGTAGAGCGCTCATGCTTGTAGACGAACTGACCAACCAATACGAAGAGAACCCAACCCGATTCAGAATAGACGAACTTGTACGATCTAGGTCATGGCGATCAAAGAGATCCGGCGACATAGACGAACTACCCAATGTCGCGTTGGGTCGATGCGCAAAGTATTCCAGGTCCTCGTATAGTAAGATTCTCTAATGACAGACGAGCTGACCAATACACGTGAATAATGAGTATCACTTAGACGCAAGCTTACATCTTGAGGGCACAAGAACCTAATGTTTTTGTTCTACGGCAGAACTAAGTAGACGACGAGAACGTGGGACGAGGTGGCGACTAAGTTTCATCAACTATATGTTGCCGAAGATTGGCAGGAGACAAGATGTTCCATCATAGTAAGACTCGAATATCTTGATAGTCACCAAAGTGAATACAGTGTGTAACGTGATCCTGTCTCTTCGAGCTGTCAAAGTGGTAGGCCCATGGATCATGATCCCTGCGCACATCATTGGGTCTCCACTTATATAGACGAACCCGCCAATGACAATGCATACGCTGATCAAGCAGCTTACTGCGTCTGTGCAGAGATGTCTTTGACCTGGAGAAACGACAGATGCCTTTTGACATCCCTTAATTTGCAATAACTCCCAGAAATCAGACATCGAGCATAATGGAAAAGCCAAGGAAAAGAGCAAAGCATACGCGTTCAAAGCTAGGATGCCGTGTCTGTCGGTACGTAACCTATCCGCCACTGCTCCAACAAATGCGAAGGATCACACCTGATAATGGCCGACACGCAGTATACGTCGAGTAAGATGCGACTCCACACGGCCATCTTGCGTCAAATGCACAAGCACCGGCAGAACATGTGAATGGTACCCTACTCCAGACCGGACTGACTCATCCGTGATACGCATTGCCCGGCCTAATTTCAGCTCATTCGCTCCGTTCAACTCTATGGAGGATAGATTCCTCAAATTCTATCGCAACAATACTGTATTTCATATGACCGGTCAATGTAGAGTTGACTTTTGGGCTACTACACTTCTGCAAATCAGTGAATATGAACCTTGTATTCGCTATGGCCTTGTGGCGTTGGGAGCTCTTCATGAGGTGTGTTGAACGCAAGCTGATGATTCGCAAAGCAATGAAACCTAACAATCAGCAAGTCATTCGATGATGAACAGTTCAGTAACTCGCGCTTGTTTCCTCACGACACTGAAATCGGCCATTACGCGTGGATTTACTACATCAAGGCTATTGAGAGTCTGAAAATGTACATTGACCTCGAGAACTGGAAAGGCGTGGACGTTGCCCTCTGCTGCTGCGTCCTATGTGCCGTGTTCGAATGGCTGCGAGGCTGTTACACCACAGCCGAGACCCATCTTCGTAGTGGTTTGTCCATCCTTAATCGATGGGCGGCGGATGACATTCAGAACGGCGGTACAGACGAACCGAAATCCTCTACAAGAGCAAATCTAGTCCGGCATCATCTTACGCCAGTACTTCATCGACTCGTCACACAGACACGAACTTTCATAGCAACACCGCTACCATGCACAGCATTGTTGGTCAGCGAGCAAGATTACATTCCGTCCCCTCATCTCAAAGCCGCGAGAAATGAGCTTTATGGCATCCTAGGTCAACTAAATACGGACTCGCATTCTTCCAAATCTACTGAAAAACACTTCAAGAACACGAACGATCAGAAACACCTCCAGATATTGAGCAGACTATCGGAGTGGTACGGCTGTTATCATTTACTGCTAAGTGATAAAAACCCACATAGCATGTCACTTGTCATCTCTCATACACTCATTACCATCATGGTACGCACCAGCCTCTCGACTGACCAAATGCAATTCGACGAGTTCAACGACGACTTTCGTCTCATAGTCGATCTAGCCAGTGCACGTTCATCCTCCAGCGCCAGCGACGGCGAGATGCCTGTCTCGATAGAAGTAGTGCCGGTTCTTTACTACGTCGCGCTGAAGTGCCGGGATCCATGCATCCGGCGCAGGGCAGTTACGCTCATTCAGGGCTGCAACAAAAGAGCATTACCTTGGGACTCGGATGCGTTTGCAAGGATTGCGGGCGAGGTGGTGAGTGTCGAGGAAGAAGGCATTGATCACGTGGAAAGTTCCAGTTGTGTTCCGGCAGCGGCGAGGGTAGACAGGCTATACTACTGGACCGATGTGTATCGGAGAGACAGCTCGATCCGATTTAGGAGGCAGGGAAATAGAGAATGGAGTGGAATGAGGTTTGTGACGTGGTAAAAATGTTAGGCTCGCCTGTCGGAAAATGGGGCATTGAAGTGGAACAGAACTCGGGTTATCCTCCTGGACACCTTTCCCCACCTATAAAGGCATCCTTGTCTCAATAGATATTTGTTTTCACGTCATGATTTCCTAGACAATTAATAAAGAATAAACATCTAATCTTGAAGCGATTTCCACGTAGCTCTGGATTGTATCGGTACCTCGGTAAACGCGTGGACCATGATCAGTAATCTGACAACTCGGAGATCGCTCAGGGACGGGGATGCTGTGGCACTTGAACTCAAGCAATACCGCGGCTTGAGATGGCTTGAATACATCTACTTCATCATCATATATAGAGTCGATATTGAGCGATTTTCATAATTGTTCTGCGTCCTTTAGGCGCTTACAATCGCAGATCAAATACTTTCAGCGCGCCGCATGCCCGCGTGTCTCATCTATATGACGGCCTCAAACGTGAAAGTAGCGCTTGTCGTCGGCGCCTCACGAGGCATCGGCAGACAGATCGCCATCGACTTGTCAAAGCACGGATACGCAGGTGAGTGGTATCAGTATTATATGAGAGATCAATCGTGAGCTAATCGATCGAAGTTGTTGTCGCTTCGAAAAGCACATCTGATGCGACAAAAGTACACCCATTTCCTCCGGATCCCAACTCGCAACAATCGACAATAAGCACTGTCGCGCGAGAGATTCAGGAGAATGGTGGAGAAGCGACAGCCATTGCTTGCGACACGCGCGACTTTACGCAGATCCAGCAAATGGTGGACCAGACGATCAAGAAGTACGGTAGACTGGACGTTCTTGTTTACAACAGTGGTGCCATATGGTGGAGCAGCGTCGAAAAAACGCCCATGAAACGATTCCAGCTTATGCAGCAGGTTAATGTGGAGGGCCTCTATGGTACTGTACAGGCTGCGCTTCCACATTTCCAGAAAAATGATTGGACTGGGAGAATTATAGTCATCTCTCCGCCCATTTACTCACGTTTCTTTCGGGGGAAGACGGCGTATGCAATGGGAAAAGTTGGGATGAGTGTCCTTACCAAGGGCTTAGCGATGGATTGGGAGCGTGAAGGGAAAACAAACATGGCCATCACAAGTATCTGGCCAGCAACGGCGATTCAATCAGCGGCTACAGAGAACCTTGCTCGGGAGCAAGCGAGCGATTTGCGCAAGCCGACTATATTCAGTGACGCGATTCTCGCCATGCTTGCCGCCCCGGTGCATGAAGTCAATGGCTGCCTTGAACTTGACGAGGACTTTTTGCGCAAAAAGGGGTCGACTGATTTTGAAAAGTACAACGTCGTGCCGGGATCGAGTCCGCGAAGGATTATGCCGATGGAGTTTCCTGATCTCACTGTTAAGGAACAAGCTGATGAAGGGAATCGTATGGATAGTACAGCACTCCGATCAAAGATCTGACACTCCTGTGACATGCGATACGTCATTAACCGCCGGTTTGGAGGAAGTCATGGGAGTCTCTAAATCACGTCAAGAAATGAAAGATGGTTGGTGAGAACCATGACAGATCTAATTTTTGTCTTCTTCCTGTATGATATAGGTAATCTAGCTCAACACAACGAAAGTAGAAAGAAACGCTGCAACTTTAAATCAAAAGACCAAACGCCATGAATTGAGAAAAACTTCAAAATAAAAACTCCCTAGTAAACCAGGTTTATTGCCCACAGACTCATCTATAATATAAACAAACAGACCCTTCCGCCCAAGAAAGGGAAGGGACTGCAGAAATTGCGAAGCGAATGATAAAACAAATACAATCCAGATCCATATATACACTCCAAACAAGACATAGCAAGACAATGGTGAACCACTTTTGATACCATGAGAAGATGTTCTCGTATCCTGAACATCTGACACTCCCTGGCCGCGTATCATGTACGCGTTGCTTATCCATCGTGATATCTACTCCTCATCGACGCTGCCGGAAGGCTCTGGGAGCACAGTGTTCTCCTCGTCATCGGTGGTGTCCTCGTTGTCGGTGGGGTCCTCGTTGCCGGACTCAGGAACAGTGGATGGCTGGGCAGTAGGCCTGGATGCGTTGGAGGGTCTGGCACCAGTTGGGCGGGGAACTCCGCTTGGGATTCCACTGGGGCGTCCGCTGGGGCGTCCGCTGCCGAAAGGCCTGGAAGGACGTCCACTGCTCTTAGCAACGCCGGAGGGCCTCTTGTGGTGGGGCTTGGTGCCAGTTGCTTTGGCGGCGCCAGCGGGACGGGTCTTGGTGGGGACGGCGGCGGCGAATTCGGGGATCTCTTCAGCTTCCTCGCGGGCAGCCAAGTTGTAGGAGATTTCGAGACGCTTCTCAATGATTTCGTCGGTCTCGTCACCAGTAAGAGTGCCGTCAGTTTCGTCGTCGGTCAGAGTACCATCAGTCTCGTCACCGGTCAAAGTACCGTCGGTCTCGTCGCCAGTAGATGGGGTAGAGCCTTCAGTGGGCTCTGGAGTCGAGGGGCCGGCAGGAGCAGTGGCAGGGGCGCCTGAAGGAGCAGCACCGGTTCCTTTGCCTTTGCCTCCCTTTCCTTTGCCTCCAAAGGGGGCACCAGAGGGAGCACCAGAGGGAGCAGCTCCACCAGACATTTGACCCTGACCCTTTCCTTTGCCTTTGCCAGCAGGGGCGCCGCTTGGCCTTCCGGTGGGAGCACCAGCGGGAGCACCGCTAAAAGCACCGCTGGGAGCACCACTGGGTCTGCCTTTGCCCATAGGACCTTGGCGCTTCTCGATGATCTCAGAGTCATCTTCGATGAGTTCAGAGTCATCCTCGGTGGATTCCTCGTTGTTCTCATCGTCAGTGGGCTCAGGAGTAACTGTCTCACTTGGGAGAGGAGCAGCTGCAGAAGAAGCAGATCCCTTGCCCTTGCCCTTGCCCTTGCCCGATGGGAGAATGGAGGGAAGAACTGATGGTCGGCCAGTTGGTCGGCCAGATGCGCCGGCCACACCACTGGGGCGTCCAGAAGCACGTCCTCCCTTGCCGCTTGGGATAGCAGATCCCTTGCCAGCCGGAGCACCGGTTGGTCGAGTTGCACCAGAGAAGCTCTCGGGGAGACCAGTAGGGCGCGAGGAAACAACAGCGCTGGGGTTCATGCCGTTAGGCCTCTGGGGCAAGGCAATGGCGGAGCCGAGAAGGGCGAGAACAACAAAAGACTTCATTTTGAAAAGTGTTTGAAAAGCTGTTGGTGTTGTTTGGGAGAGGTTGAATTGGGTTGTTTTGAAAGGTAGTTGTTTAATGAAAGACTGGCGCTGCCAAAGAGTGAATGTAGGAGATAATTGGAAGAAAGAATGTGAGGAAGTAGTGAAGTGAAGCTGAAGTGAAGCTGTGGTGAAGAAGTACAAAGGGCGAAGTTGTTGCTCTTCTTATACGTGGAAGCGTGTCTATCAGATAGTGGCATCGTGGTATAGTCCCGAAGAGGAACGCTTACGCTAGGTAGTCTCGTACCCCTGTCGTAGATTAAAACTCCGCGAAAGTCGAACCGCTGGCTTGGACCAATTTGCGGCCCCCGTCACTCCTCAATCACTTTAGTGTACGCGTTGTGCGGAGGGGAAAGGTGCAAACATGCTTTCAAGGCCTCTCAAACCAACTCCGTCAACATCAAACCACGGATTTTCCCTTCTGGGGGGCCGCGCACAGCTCGCGCACCATGCGTCATGTTTGAGGATGGGGACAAAAAGCAAAATGCGACCAATAAGAAGCCGTGTTTGCAATACGGCTTGTCCCGCAGTGGATGATCGAGGCATTCCATCTAGAACGACGCAAGGATACCTGAAGCCGGTAAACCTTCCCAGCATTGATCGTGATCGGTGGTGTGAAACGACGGGGCAGGGAAGAACCAAAGTTGTCAAAACGCCGCTGTTTCTTCGAGAACCACTTGACGTGCGTTGATCGGCATTGCGGTCGCTCGTCGGTCCTGTCAACATGTCTTTGGCTGTCTCGTTTCAACGCATCCCTGACAGCCACATCTATGCAATGCCTTGGTCGCATTGAATATGGTGTACAGCCGCTTCGAATTGCAAAACATGGATTTCTAATTTTGCAAAACATCTCGCGCGGAACGCCAATGATTTGAATTGAGAGGTCAATCTGTCCCAAACAGTGGCCAGATGAAGCCAATGGCATAGTCCGGTTCCGCGGTGACATGTCGACGTCGGAAATCGCAATTGTTGTTGTCGTTGGATCACAAAGGCGGTTAGTGGCGTGTTCCGCTGGCTTGCGCGTCCTTCCTATAGCAGTATCCACGTTGGAGTCCGCTGTTGTGAATCGACCCAAGTCCAGACTGCACAGAGCAAACCCAATACGTACACTATTATGAGGTGATCGATCTGGTCAGTGGAATGAGTGGATTTCGAGCGACATTGCGTGTGCTTGCATGTTAGACCCACGTGCTTGTTTGAGCCTCTCAGTGACGCTGCCATCCTGCAATCTTGCCTTCACTCGCGCGATCTGAACACGAACAACTGTCAGAGAACGGTCTAGTCATTTGTTGGTCGATGGATAACAACAGACGGGACGGTTGAGCCCCTGAAATGACTGCTCCATCAGAGCCAACCCAGTCGCTTCGCTGCGTAACTCCAGCCGGAGAGAAACGCACTGGTCCCAGTAAATACAATTAGCGTACCGTAACCACTGCCATATGCCATTCCGGCTTTCCACGAGCCTGCGCGTAACAAAGCTTCGGACAGAGGGCCACTGCAAAGATTCGCAACCCCTTTTCCAGCCGACAGGCATGCGAAGACCATGCCCAGATCTGCACCTTCTCTCTTCTCCTTCGTATCCCGCATAATCGCACTCCAGGCGCTCGAGTTGCAGCCAGCAAAAATCCCATAGACTATACAGAAGACGTATAGCACAGGAAGTGAGGTTGCAAAGCCCCATAGCAGAAATACCGATGACGTCGATATAACAGCGGTGATGCATAGACAGTCAACTACGTCAAATCGGTCTACAGCAGACCCCATACATACGCAACCAATAAAAGCAGCGAAGTTCAATAGAATGATCGTCGCAGTGCTCTCTAGCCCCGATGCCCCTATCGAGCGCGCATACAACGGCATGTAAATTGCTGGAAGGAAGTAGCCCAAGCCTTGGATGATGATAGTGGACTCGTGTATGAGGAACTTTCGGCAAGTCCAGAAAGACATGTCGAAGCTGCGAGACTGAGACGTCTGCGACAGTGGCAGCCGCGGCTTGAAGAAGAATAACACCGGGAAGTTGAGAACTACAAACGAAAGTGCGCAGACTCTCAAAGTCGTGCGAAAGCCATACTTCTCCAGCATCCACTGTATGGCGATGGGCAGAATTGCTCCCGACAATCCAAGGCCAGCCATGGTCACACCAAAAGCGAATCCTCGTCTACGGACCCACCACTCCTCGATATAGAAGAGAATAGGCGTCCAGGCGAGTCCACCACCAATCGAGTACATGATACCCTGGGTCAAAATGAGGTGGACTACATTCGTCGACAGAGATGCGAGCCCCAACGCCATGGCGGCAATGACGAGACCAACAGGGGTGGCCCAAATGCGAATGCGTGGGAAGAACTTGAGAAGCGCGAACATTGGGATGATGCTCATGTACATAATACCCTACGCGGTGTTAGTTGCAGATTCCTCAAGCTTTATCGCAGAATTTCGACCCATGCGATTGATGATTCATGTTCGGGATTATGCTGTACGCCATACGAGTCGACCAATTCAACATCGGTGATCGTGGGAATAACACCCATGCATTTCGGTAATCTGACGGGGAGCCACTCGACGTACCATTGCACAAGCACCGACGACTGCAATATTCTGCTGCCCAGCGAACGGCGCATGGGTTGTATAATATTCTTGGAAAATTCCGTAAGACGCGGCGAATCCTGAATCGCGGAAAGTAAGCGTACGCCTTCCCCTTCACGTATAAAAACTCCGATGGCTCATGCGTACCCCATATCAAGCCTTCGAGCATGAAGCAGGCGAAAAGGAACATCCAAGCATCTTTTCCGCCGTCTGTCGGGGCCAAAGAGAATGATTCTGGGGGCGGAAGTGGCTCATTGCGATGAGGTTCGATTTCATCAGTTGCCGATGGAGAGGGGGGGTTGTATTGGGTCAGTTCCAGCTGAGTGTCAACGGATGCAGACATGATAGGCAATTGCTATTGAAGCAAGTTATGAACGGTCAGTACGCATGAAAGCAAAGGGTCGGTTGAGCTGTTAAATATGCGTGGGTGCGATATCGGGACCTGAGCCAGTATGACAAATGAATCATCAACAAATTCGACAATAGGGCGTGTAGGTATCTAAAGTAGCTAGTCGTAGATCTTTGACGCACCTGGCAGAGATAAGTACCCAGGTAAACCGCGGATGGAGGACCGCAGGTGGTGCTTGGCCGACGGAAAGCGGCAAGAAGCTGCTTACATAACGTACCCACCGGACGACGGAGGTCCAGATTGTTCTCGATCCTCCAAAGCAAACACTGTATTTATTTTTTGAGATGGAGTTTAGGTGATCTAATACACAGCGATGAGTTACAACGAGGAATAAACCAAAAAAAACGAGCGATAACCAAAAAGACGAAAACAAACACTGTAGTTTAGTAAATCATGGAGAAGAACGCCAGGAGCAAGAAATGTATTCAATTTCAGTTTGACCATTCTATGTAATGTAGCGACGGGTGTTCCCGCAAACAGTCCATCCCCCTCTTAAGATTTCCCAATGTCCCACGCGCGTCTAGTATGTATGAATGTCATAGTTGGCTTGTGTAGCTTACATCGTTATTCACCCCCTATGGTAATGCTTGAACTATCCCCGTCATTTACAGACAGCTACACACTTGCAGGACAGGCACCCCAATCCTTGCCTCCCAGATCACACGGCCTTCTGGTGTAATCGATGTATAGCTCGGCACCGGTGTACTGATCTGAGATCGAGAGAGGAGTCACGCCGCCTTTAAATGCGAAGTAAATGATTAGCAAGAAATGAATGAATGCTGATATCGGAGGAGTAATAAGGTGGTATAAGGGAATGAGTGAGTGGCAGAGGACAGAACTTACAATATGGACAACCTTGACCCGGCCCGTGGTAAGTGAAATCCAATGCTGCAAGCTTAGCGTATAACGCGGGGAGGAACTGGCCCTTTACCAGATTTCGATAATGAAAGCACTATGTTTTGGTTTCTAGTCAGTAGCGTGCATATCTACTGGTTGAAGTGAGATGAAAAAAACGTCTCAGACTTATTCAGACTTGGTCAGGAACGTGGTCGTGTGAGCAAGTGGAAGAAATTTATATTGTGGAAATGATATGATGATAGCATGGATGATACATACAAGTCCCTGGGGAGGGTCCATTGGTAGGATCGGATCGGTAGGATCGTTAGGAGTGCCCTTGACCCATAGCACACAGGAGATGGGCTGATGATTCTGGAATTTGCGCTCATTGGGGACTTTACAGTTCGCGGAGCCTATGTCAGTGGATCCATATTTTGACCCTAGCTGAGCGATGAATTAAGCTGAGGAAACTTACCTCTAGAGAGCGCCATAAGTGAGTACCTCATATTTGTCGATTGATTCGACTGGAGCAGTCCTCCGCACTCTTGGTCAATGTAACAACGAGTACGACCATTACAGTTGTAGTATTGATCCTGGCCTTGATTATCGCAACCGGCAGTAGCGATATTTGAGTCTTTAGAAAAGTTCTCTAGAGGGTTGAGTGCGGCATGAATCAGTGAGAGTTCCTTTTTAAGTTTGATGCAAGCAGGAGGATTGGAGAATTAGATACCTGCTGGTAGAGCAGCAACTACACCGATTGCGGCAAGGATAGAAATCGAAGCAGCTACGATGCGCATGTTTGCTGTATATTGGTAGTAGAATAGCGAGACGTGATGGTGAAGAATGGGAGTTCCGGTGTCTAGCACATTGGTGTCTCTTATACAGTGGGTGGAGTCGTGATAAATCCTCGGCCGGACTCAGTAAACCCATAAAGAAAGTCCTTTACAAGGATTTGTTGAGAGAGTAACGGCGTATTGGTCAGTCGACTCTACTGTTCTAGGAAGTAGCCTAATGATATCGGGGAGAATAGTAATCCGCAACTCAACCATACCGTCGGTGAGAAAAATGACGCACCACGATCTACTCAGAGCAAAAAAAACTACCGGATTACTCAATTTCATCACATATGATGGGAACGGAAACGTCACTCATCCATTACGAATGCAGCGACGCTGATTGGTAGGGAGGAGAGTGATACCCAATATGACTCCACTGCACACACACACACAGACAACGGTGGCTTGGACGATCCCGAGGACATCTCAATCCTGAAATGAGTTCAAATCTGATTTTCTGTATAGCCTTCGAGTGTTTGGTGATCACCTTGGTCTTTCCAACACAACTTGCTCGGGGAGGTTCGTGGTCATTGTGGAAGTGCTGAGTTCATACTCCTGACCTTATGATCGGATAGTGCAAATATCCAAAATTTGTAACAATTGGATATGAATAAATAAATAGCAATCAACACTCCTAGCCTCCCTTTTTGATCATGTTTGTTTCTTTCATCTTCTCTCTACCGGGATGTAGATTTCAAAAATTCCAAGCCTAGATCATTCCCCAGAGAAATACAGATTGAAAAATATTATATCCTTTTTGATTGGTCGCAATTAGAACAAATTAAATGCTGCTACGTTCATTGATCAACCTATTAGATAGGGTACCTGTATAGCCTACCAGCACGTTGTCTCCGGCTTACTCTTGCGCCGTGCCTAATCATCCGCACATATCAGGAAGCGCGTAGTCTAACTCTGCGAAATCATCAATATGACGAGGCTAAAACCTGCAATTCTTCATTAATTCATTAGCGCTGCCAGTATGTGCAAGTCACGCGTGTATCGTGTGCATGAGGCTCTACTTTATTAGTGCTTGACGCAGATTATCTGAATGAATGCTTCAATCTCTGGTATCCCCGTCCCATACCGGAAGAGAGGAAAAATGACAGAGGTATTTGGTAAGTGGCGCGCTTTTTCGCTTTCATGGCGGAAAATAAAATGTTACCATCCGACAGGGGAATCGCGTTCCGAGATCTCAAACCACGGTACGTCCCTCCATAACACAAGTGTTATCGAGTCAAGCTTTACGCCACGATCCCCATTCTGCAAAATGTCAAAAACGCCATACCACGTGCGTGTCTTGCATGTTACGGTGCCCCAGGATCATTACTTTGTCTTTGGCGAGCGCCACTGACCCGAGAATTGGATTTGGGCTGTGAGGAACACCAGGTCAGTGACAAGAATGATCCAGAGATCAGGGGGATTATCCAGCCCAAGAAATCCCATGGTGAAGCCTAGAATGATCACTGGAATAAAGTTCCGGATCCAAATCGGCCTTATCTTCAAGATCTCTAGTGTCATGACTGCCTACCAAACAGGTTGTACGTGGAGCCCGCATACTCCAACTATGCAGACCTAAAAGTGCAACTTTATCAAAACGATTTGGCGGGAAATTATTCTCCCTATACGCACCCCACGTAAATCCCCACTCGGAAGGATGGAAGTTCTCCCAAGCGTCAACAAGCCCGTGAGCGACTGTAGGATGACGGGTTGATGAATAAGTCGCAACATAAAGCATCGCAGTGAAAATGACTCGGCAAAGACATCACCAGCTGGTTTCAAGAGTGATGCAATGGATACTGAGATACGAGGTAAAGATTATGGTGACAGTGATGAATGATTAGGATTGGGAGGATAGGAAGTCGACTTCGCTTGCGTGTCAGTACAGTTTTATCCAAGAATCCGAGAGCAATATTGCAATTCCGTCTTGAGAGTCTTCTTGATAGGCTTCTAGGGGATATGATAGCAAGGGCTAGCAGTGGTCTCTCGAATGATTCGGACAAGTGCAGACATGCGAGCTGCCGGTGATAGCGCAGCGGCGTTGACATTGCAGCTCACAAGACGGAATGTATACCTTTCCATTCATGTCTAGTTCCACAAATATGAGCATCGCTGGTAAGTAGAGTCCAGCTCCCTTCTTGAAAGCGATGCTCTTTCTGAAGTCGGGGCTTCGTCTATGCGAATGTGTTCACAGGCATAGGCGTTTGTTGGCACCATGATTCGACCTGGGTACACAATCTCGATGATATGATGAGATTCTATGAGCGGATATGTATGTATAGTGAGAAACGAAGAGATGTTGCTTATGATATAAATATTGTGCAATGTTGATATTGTGTGGACAGGCAGCCCTGGCCACTTACAACTACAGGTCAGAGAGCAACATCAAAAGACATCAATTCTTTTCCCACCAAGACAATTCTACGGCTGTCCCTAACATCTCTAACTTTTGTCGGCAATCAGATCCGAAAAGATGAAGCCAAAAAGGTAGACGATACTCGATAGTCCCGCCTACTCACACACTACGAAGAACAAGGGAAAAACATACATATGTGCAAGACGAAGCTTGGGGAAAGAAACGGTTATTTTCTTCCCCTTTCCAGAAAGCAGAATCCCCACAACCGCAATGATCCCTGGCCACCAGGATAATACAAACAACGCCACAGTTGTACCACGTACCACAGCATATCCAAGACATCGCATCCACGCAAACACATACAAACACATACACAACATATCCACTGACGTGCATATACGAAGAAACCCCCCAGCAAGCCCAAACCAAAGAAAAGGGAAGAAAGACTAGACCCTCACTCTGCCCCCTCCAAATTCGCCTCCTCGGTTCCGTTCTCCCCCCTCCTCCTTGCTCTCTCTCTCTCTCTCTCTCTCTCTCTCTATGTGTCTCTTTCCCCGCATTTCGCAAGCATCAAACGAGGGCTAAGTTAAACGTCGGACTCGGAGATGATTCTGTCGAAAGGTCTAGACCACACATACACACACCTCTTTCTCTTCACCACCTCCGATTGAGTGGGTACCCGTTATCCGGTCCAGAGCGATTCTGGCTACTGTGGGTAAATTACCCCACATTTCCTGGTCTTCGTATCGCCCTTGTTCTGCATACCCTTAACCTTACCTTTACCCTCGTACAAATATGTATATATATATAAATAATGGAACTCGTTATCCGCCACACCTCGCCTAGATGCTTACTTACATACTGGCTTGCTTGCTTGCTTGCTTACCGCCTCGTGTCATGCCACGGCCGTGTTACGCGAAGAGTGAGTGTGTTGGGGCGTGTTATCTCGCTTTCGCTTTTCTCTCTCTCTGTCTGTGTTACACTGCCGCCACCGCCATGGCCATGGCCAGCGGGTAAATGTTAGGGAAAATACGAACGTTCGGAACAGACCCGAAATGTGATGGAGGTTTTTGGGGGCACGCATACTACTACTAGGCTTCTGGACTTTTTTTTGGGGCAGGGCAACAGGTATATAGTGCCATGTTATCAAAGTACTATTTTTTTTGGTAATCGCCTTTTTTATGGGTTCCTCTATTGTTGTGACTATATCGCTGTGTAGGATTACCCAAACTCCAACGTACAACTCGTTATCAATGTACATAATAAGATGCATGGGCCCGGCTAGCTGACAACGTGTGAAACCTGAGAATATATCCAACCGAGCATCGTTTGTCGTCGCCGCCGCCGCGGGGCTGGCTCAGAAAACACGAGAGACCCGGGTGGCGTTTAGTTTAGGTCTGGAACCACAGGTTTCTGTTGTAGGGCTGGTCGGAAATTGAACTGCATCAGAACCCTTTGATTCTCGCTGTCTGGAGCAATCGATGCACGACGATGATTGTGGCGAATCACACTAATCAACACGTGTATGAGGCATGGACCGCTTGATTTCATATCGCGCAGGTGAATGGGAGCGACATGGATGGACATTGGACTCAATGAAACAACGAATATTGGATACTCATCACTAGGGAGAAGATGGAGCGAAACAAACAAGAGATCAAAAAGTAATGTTGGGTTTGTGCATTGGCATTTCTTCCAATTGTTTCCCGCTGCTTCTCACCCTCGACAGGGAAAGAAGGTGGGAAACACAACTATATAGTTTGCGTATGCGATTACCAGTAACCGAACTATCCAAGTTCCATGTGATGCCACATGCCTAGTGCCAAGTGCGCTTAAAGGTCCTGATTATGTCGTACCTCCATGCCAGTGTCGTATATCAGATCTAAAAGAAATTATGGAAGAGTACAAAGAGAAATGTGGAGACAAAAACAGGGCCCAGTATAAGAGCCAGAGTGTAAACAAAATGTCGGGTATCTCGATATAGAGGAAAAGTCTAATTCACGCTCGAGGCGGATGGAAGATGCTGATAGATGTAAAACGCCGGATGAGAAGAATGTGCTGCCTCGCTGTACCGTAAGCAAACCGGGACTTTCGATGCGATGCAATCGTTGTTCCATGGCATCTATGCAAACAAAGGAAATAATAGGTGGGGAGGGGACTGAATAGAGCGTCTAGACAGCCCTTAGATGTAGAGCGGCATGCCCAGAGTCATGGTGCCCATTCCATTCTCCCGTTGCTCCTCGCTGTGTCTCCGCTTTCCCATGGCTGCCAGCTGGCGGTTGGCGTCAGCCTTGACTTGGGTCAAAGCAGTAGGTGATGGCGGTTCAGATGGAGCAGCGGAGCGGATTTGATCGGAGTGATGATCCGAGTGGTTATCGGATTGGTGGCCTGAAGACGTCGAGGCCAAATCATAGCCGAAGGATGTGATGGAATCATCGCTGATGCCGCGGAGAGGAGAACTTGGACGTTCCAAGGTGATGGGGCTGGTGATGGGCACAGTAGAAGTGATTTGAGGGACCACTTCGATCGGTTTTGGCGTGCGTCGAATCTTTGGGAACTGGTGGGCGTCATAGCGAGGAGGATGAGATGTGTACTCTTCCAAGATGGTTTCCCTGGTGTTGATGCGTACGCGTTCACCATCCCTAATTACCACGTCGCTGACCCTTGGGGAGCACGCAAGAAGCACAGGGGCGCATCGTCGTCGGTAGCGAAGAATCTGGGCGTGGCTGGCATATACAATGGGGGCATTTTTGGGATCCACGTCGACGGCTTCGCTCGAGGATGGTCGTGACTCGTCACCGGTTTCACCGTCTCGGGACGCAGAGCGGCTGGCGGCAGATGAACGCATCGGAAAGCGAACGTCGTCGGCATCGAACTCGTCACGGTCGGGGTCTGCGCCTTGAGAAGCAGGTGCTGTCTCTTCGACGCCTTCGGCTTGCGCTTGAGCTGCCAGATGCGGATAGAGCTCTCTGATGATGGCCTCTTGTTCTGCAATGATACGTCGGCCAGCTTCCAGACTCGACAGATTTTCGAGGTTCTCGCCCAGCTGGGATCCGTCCAGGACTCGCTGTCGCCTGTTCCGACGAGGAAGACTGCGGTATCGAGGCTCGCTCCGGTCCTCGATCGGGGGGCTGATGTCAATGGCGGCGCAAAGTTTCTCGGCCCACGTGAGCAAGTCCTCGACATCGTTGGCGCAGAGCAGGAACTGGTCAGTCTCGAGACGGAGTCGCAAAACGTGCTCCCGAACCGGCTCGAACAGGTGGGGATCTGATTCATACAGCTTGGCTCGAGCAGAAGCGGGAACCAGGTGAGCAAACGGGGATTTGGGGATCAGGGAGGTTTTTCTAAAGTCTGAAGCTACGCCTATCTCGGCGTGCTGTAGGGTGAAGGTCTTCAACAGGCGGCCGGCGGTGGGCACGCGGGATTTGCTGAGAATGCCTGGGGTTTTTATACGGTGGATGCTGAGCTGAGTTCCTCGCAGAACGACATAGACGTCAGTCCACTCGCGGCCGCGGGCAATCTCGAAGATGTTGGACAGCTCCATCCTCATGCCCATGACACCCTGCAACTCGACTGTGCATGTGTAGGGCGGCGGTGCCTGGACTCGGCGGACATGGGTGGCCTCTGCGGAGGCTTTTGCGTTGAGCCATGCGAGGGTTGCTGGGCTGGTCGCTTGGGCGTACGAGGGCGGAGAGGCCAGGACCAAGGGTGCGTGGGTGTGGAAAGTGTTGTGATATCCATAGGTGGGAGGACTGGATTGCGATGACGATGACGACGAATGATGGCCCCGGTCTCCTCTCCGTTCTGATCGGCGAGAGCGTGTGGCGGTGGTGCGAGATGCGGCAGGCAGGTCCATGGCAGCGGTAACCAATTGGAAGATTCGGGCCTTCTCAGACAAGTGCAGCGACGGATGTTTTGTTCGCAGCAGAGATTGCGAGAAGAGGATGTGGAGGAGGAGGAGGAGGAGCAGGCGAATGCTCGGGGTCTTGTAGTGGTGAGAGGGCGGGACGACGAAAGCGGCACATGTATTGGCGGCGGGAGTGCAGAGGGAATTGTCGCTACCTGAGCGGAGCACGGGTGACTGCTTTGGGAGTGGTGGGCGGTGATTGGCGTGGGCAAGCGAAAGTAGCGGTTGTTGTCTTGCAAGCCACGGGCTGGTAAAGGGAATTGTTGGCGGGAGAGGGAGAGAGTGTGTGAATAAGAGTAGGAGTGAGAGCGGACGGGAAAGAGAGGTCAGAGCGGGAGGTTTGGGAGTTTTATGATTACAGCGGCAGCAGTTGTATGGATGGACCCGCCTCGAGAGAAGTGACGGCGGCGGTGATGACCCAGCGAGCGAGCCAGCCAGCCAGCCAGCGGGCCAGCAGAGGGAGCAGGGGTGGGTGATCTGTGAACGGACTGCTGGCGGGGGCCTGCAAGCGCGCTATTTCTGTTTGGAGTCCGCTTTCGTGCTGGTCCGGCAGCGCAACAAACAGCAGAGGAACACCCGGTTTCCGAACGGCGAGGCTGGGGTGGAGCCACTTCGGGGAATGAATGAACAGGAAAGAAAGAACAAAGAGAGAATAAAGGACGGGCAGAACAAAGGGCAATGAGAGAGACAAAGAGAGAGGAAAGCAAGTACTGCTTACACAGCATGTATGCATAGATGGTATTGTCCTATCCATCGTGGCGTGATGGTCAATCTAATGGCGGTGGTTCTGGAATCGAGCTCGCGTGTTGGTTGTCTCTGTAATGTCTGTATGCACACTACACACTACACAAACACTGCGCTGTACTCAACTCCGCATGCATACATGCTCTAGTATGCATGGATTGCAATCATTACATGGATATCTTCTTACTTGCATGCGGTACCTCGCAGTCAGCTGGCCCCCCCTCTCTCTCCCACACGGGCGTATTCTAGATTCCATTCCAATCGCTCCATCGCTGTCCCCCCGTTCGCGGCCTCTTCCGCGGTGCAATAACCACAACCACCTGTCCATTCAGAACAACCAGACCCATCATTCATTCATTCATTCAATCAGTCGGTCAATCAATCAATCAAGTGTGGCGCCGGAATCAGATGTCTCGTTTGGGCCATTCGGCGTTGGCGCTGTCCGGCGCCTTGGCACATGGTCTTCGGTGAATGAGTGAATGACGCCTGACCACTACGGCCATCCATGCAGTAGGCATGATTGCATGATGGCCCTCATCTGCTCATGTCTCCTTCATCATTCCTCCGCTTCTTTGTTCCTTTCCTTCTTTCCTTCTCGTCTCCTCTTTGCACGCGCACACCGACTGTGATCAACCCGTGTGATGCTGCGCGTGCGTGCACTGTCGCTTGCTTGCTTGCTTGCTTGCTTGCTCTGGGAGGGATGCCATGGAGAATGCGAAACCGTCCATCACCGACCCAAACCACTTGCAGTCTGAGAGGGCTGACTCAGGCACCTCGCACGCACAATCCTGATACTGCCACACTCTCTCGGCACTTGTTCTGAACCCTACCGAATTATTCTTCTTCTACTCTCCCGTGCTATGGCTTTTTTGGTTGTGCGCGCAGTGTGCAGTTTTGTGATTGGAAGGAATCAATGGATTCAATGACATAGCGCTTGGGGCTTACCTCAGCAGCCCTTGTACCACCAGCTGGCGGCTGCATTCAATTCAGCCCGTCAGACCGAAAGAAAAAAAACCATGCAAAGACAGCATCTGAACAACCACTTACTCACTCCACATACCTTCACACGCTAGCGACCACATCACACCCGCTGCAGCAAACCTCCAATGCTAGCCTCGTTTCAATTCCACCGCGACGTAATCGCGCCTGTCCAACCTCATATCTTCTCTGGTCGTGTTCGCCTCCGTAACCTTGGGTAACCAACGCGTCGACGATCTTTTTCCAAGTCCATTCAAATTCTCCGCTGCACTGTGCACATCTATCCCATTGGACTGCCATCCAAGCTACTCTTAGCCAGATACACAAATAGCACGCTGTGACTTCATGCTTGTGCTTCACAATTCTCCAGCCGCCTGCATCTTCCCTGCTCCAGTTCAGTCTTCCATCTCGCTGCATTACACATTGCACTTGCATGACCCTCTGCAGATGGCTGCAACGCCCGTCTTTCGATAATGCCCATTCTGCAATCCCCCTGTTTTGCATCCCATAGCATGAACGCATGTTCTTTGACTTTGCGACCAGGCAGGGGTTTGCTGATGTAATCAGCCCTGTCCTTGGTCTGCCTCTACCACCACAATCTCGTTTCCTCTCAGTCTCATACAGTCACTGCTCAACCATTTCCCCTTCCATGGTCCCCGCACAATCTCGGCGGCGGCCTGTCCACGGATACTCAATGGCCAGTCTTGACATTTGATCGACCAACCCATAGACTGTTTCATCCATCCAGCATCTCCCCTCAACCCTCTCCACCTCCCCCCCCCCACATGTGACATGCTGCCAGCCCAGCCCTCCATGACGTCTCTCAGCCCTTTTGAAACACCCACCGCCCATTCCACCAAAACAACCAGAACATCGCAAAACGAAATCGGAGAAGAAAATAAGGCACCACACCCCCTAAACCTAAGCGCCACACGCACTACCATCTCGAGTTAGCGCAGAGCGGGTATCACGCTCGCTCCCGCAAAAGCAAGATCTCATTCCCGCCTTAATTCAAGCAAATCCAAGATTCATCCAATTCCACCCAACCTTCTTTCTCGTTGCTCTTCGAAACAAGGCACACGACACCTTATTTGCTCCCCCAGCAACCTAAACAACCTCAAACGCGCTCGCACTCTATACACGAACCAGTAGCCACCGGTGGATTGCCCGGCCAATCGCTCTCCTTTCTTTTTGTCTGACCTTTCTTCTTTTCCTATTCGTTGTTCTCACCATCTTTTCTTTTCTTGCGTACCCTCTAGCCCACTACTTCACCGCCATTAAAACTAGCCCACACTAGCTGGACTTGGTAAACAAGTCGACCACTTCACTTTCACGCCCTGATTCTCTTTATCTTTCTAAAAAAAAAAACACATTTCTTCCGGTCAAGCAAATGCGTCATGCGTCATGTGCGCACACGCTAGCCCCGGAACGCCGAAACACCCAACAATGACTTGCTTCACTGACTAGTCAACGCTAATAGCCTCTTAATATGTGAAACTTGACGTTGTAAGCGGTGAATCTGCTGTCGCGTGGTCATGTTTTTCAACGTTCACTTTGCCATTGATGGCATGGCGTTGCAAGGCCCGTTTCGTTGGTGAGGGTAGGATCGGCATTCGCGAACTAACACGTCAATACCTTTGGAGAGGGGTGCATAATGTGAAAGACGAGGGGTTTGGTTTTCTTGAGGCATGCTGCATCAATAGATACCAAGGTAAGTGAAACTGCAGTACATGTCACTCACGTTCACCCAGTGTAGCCGTGCATCTCGCATTTTCAAGAACATTCAACATTCATGTAAACGAACAACAAGTGATTATAGCTGTACCTTCCACAGTGTCTTATTCAACCACGCAAACATGACCCTCGCCAATTCCTGTCCAGCACCAACGTGGCAGTGATACCCAGCGACGCCAGTAAACTTGTGCAGAGTAGCCCTATCTCCCAATGCCTCCGCGACCAAAGCCGGCTGCCCCGCGAAGAAACCCTCAAACTCGGCATCCGCAACGAAAACGGGAACTTTGATGTTGTCAATAAACTCCTCGACTTTGAACCGTTGGGATCGAGTTAACAAGTCAGAGGGAGAAGGCGTGTTGAACGCCCACAGTCCTTGGTCCATACCCCACGCGAACTCCGTAGGTGCCTTCCCCGACGCTCGCAGAGCCAGCATCTCAGCGTCAAACCCCGTGTGGTTTCCAGCTTCATACAAGGCGAGGAGCGGTTCGGGAATCCCTCCGAAGAAAACTCTAGAGAAATCCCACATGCCTTCGATGAGCAAAACGGCAGATAGTCTGGGCTCAAAAGCCGCGGCGCGTGCAGCGAGATAGCCGCCCATTGAGTTGCCGAGAAGTACAAGTTTTTCGGTATCGGCCACGTCTGATTTCTCGCGCAAGAGGTAGTCGACGACGGGGGTAAGTACGCGTTCCCATTCAGGCAAGAAGCCGATGTTTTGGTTCCGACGTACTGTGGGTTGTCCCGGACCTTCATACGTGATGCAGTTGTATCCTCGGGCTAAAGCAGGTACGCAGTATACATGAAAGGAATCCTCTTGTGCGGCATCAAAACCGTTACCGACGATCAAAGTCGGCGCCTTGGTCTGGTTGCTGGTAGATACAGCATACCAGACAGCCTCGACAGTGAAGTTTCCCTCGGTGGCTGGAATCTGGATCCGCTCGCCGGGGATGTCCATGCCAGCCAATCCTTTATCAAAGGCTGCGGTCTGCTCGGCCCAAAAGTCGTTGATGCGTGGGTCGTCCCACTTCCCGAGGACGTAGTTGGCAGCTCTGCGGAAGTAATTCGAGGCGGAAAACCACGTGTCTCGAACGTTGACTGCATCGTATGCATTTTCCGGGTCTTCGGCTTGTGCTTTGGTGTGGTTGGCAAGCTTTAGGAACTCGTTGGTGAAGGACTCCATGTTTCCGGCTTCGATATCTTGAGCAACGCCCAGCATAGGTCCTATGTCTGAGCCTCCAGCAATTGCGAGGCCGAAAGGAGCTAGCAGGTCGAAGTGGAAGGTCGAATCCGAACTGAGCTGCAGCATGGGTGGTTTTTCGGTGGAGTTGTCCTGGACCGCGAGAGAACCTTGCATCAATGTAGCCATGAGAGGCCCTGCATATATCAAAGAGAAGTGCTTCATGGTGGAAAAGACCTGAAGGTGAGTGTTCTTCTAGCTGCTGAATGGCTTTTTGCTAAAGTACCGAGTGGAGTGTAGTCTCTAGATAGCATATTCTTCTGTATATATACTCATTTGAAGCCATTATAGTTACCTATTAAAGGTACCTTTGCGCACTGGATGAGCATGCTCATCGTAGGATCTGAGCTAGACCAAATCTAGGCCATGTTTGCGACGGGCCATGGATGACGATCGTTGAAGATCGTGGTGCCTAAGTTCTCGTACTAAAGTCCCTTTGTACATCTGGAAGTATTTTGCGATTTAGAATTACGATTCATGTTAGCGGAATGAAAGTGTCTTGGAGCCAAGCCAGAATTGAGCTTATGACGATCGCCAAATTTCTGTACAGTGTCGAGTTGCTGTTGACAAAGACCCTGGCGAATTTGCGTACGCCACACGACGCGCAATCCGTGACGATGTTGAAGACTTTGTGAACAATCTACATCTGTAGTCGTCAAGACCTCAACGCTACTTTTGTATTTGACAGTCGCAAAAACTCCCTCCTTTCAGCACTGATATTACCTTTCCAGATGTCATGGTCAATCGCGGACATCTGGACGGTCCGGAGCCTGTGTCACGTGTAAAAGACGATGGGTCAATTGCGATAAAGAGAAGCCCGCATGCCTGCATTGCAAACGCCTTGGGCTTAATTGCGGAGGCTACAAGACGAGCTTGAAGTTCAGAATCGAGAATCACAAGTTTGAGCCGGTAGGTCGAGATCACGTGCGCCGTGTGTGTCCGAGGGCGGTTGCAGTGCCACGTTCAATAGCTGCAACAGACACAGTCGCGTTCTACCTCAAACACTATGATGGCTACGGTCGAAGCATTGAATGGGGTCACGGCTTCTTCGAGATGCTTGTTCCAGTCTATTGCTCTCAAAGTCGTGACTCTGCCTTTTCGCTTGCTGTTTCTGCCCTCGCGTCCATGGTGTCGTCCATCTGGCAGCACGGTAGCCGCTAATTGGAGCATCGCCAACCGCTACAGGGTGTATATGTAGACGCCGTCGCTAGCCTTAGAAGAGCAATCGCGAATCGGAATCAATTCAACAAGTCGGCAACTCTGTTGGCCGTATTGGCTTTGCAGCTGTATGAGAGCATCGTCGCTGTGTACGACCGTCGTCGTACTGCCCATGTCCATCATAATGGCGCCATCTCACTTCTTTCCGTGGCAGGACCGGGCCCAGCCAACGCCGTAGTCGATACCTACGTTCGGAACTTTGTCCTCCATACTGAAGTCTCTGTATCTACAGAGCAAGGTCCCCATGGCTACATTGTTCAACCCAAACGTCATGCTGGATAATATTGGCATCTCTATTGCCAACTTGCAGGCTGCCTGTTCGCGTTCTCCAGGATGGGGCTCGCCACGTCAAGCTGGGGAGGGTCTGAAGGCTCAAGCCAAAAGGCTCGACGACCAACTTTTGACTTGGGCACGTTGTATGCCCATTCATTGGAGGCCAAACACACTCATCAGTGGACGAGATTTCGATCCAACCATCCCCAGCTATTTGGGTCTGTGCGATAACTACCCTTCATGCCAGATTGCGCTCGTTTGGCACTTATGGCGACTCCAGCGCCTTACACTTTTAAAGCTCATGCTAGTCTCTTCTAATACATCCTCACCATACGATTGTTCTTCTCAAACCCTAGGAAGTTGTACTCTGAACGACAGCGAATATACATCTTCCCATAGAGAAGTGGCTCAAGATCTGGTCGACTCAGTGTGTCGGAGCACACCCTTTCACTTGGGCAATCGAAGCCTCCCTTCAAGCATGACTGATTTCGATAATCTGGACATCGTCATTCTTCCCGGTTATTCATCTCCCGATGCCCTTCAGAGTGACAGCGACTACAATCAATACCGCTATCTTACTACCCAATCAGACGAGCACAGACACCATGTCATAGCACAAGGGGCATGGCATATGATGAATTCACTGAGCCGTCTCTTGGAATTACTCTCTGAAGAACCCACGATTGCGAATCTGCTTCGACCAGGTCAACATCAATGGATCCGATCGCAATTCCTCCGTGTCCGAACATCGCTACATATTCCCTCAGCAGGATATGACGATGTGAACCACAACAACATCTCCGAAAAGCTTTTGGCGAATTGATATCAATACGGTGCGATGTTCATGGGTGGACTGTAAGAGATTGGTGACATGGGTCAGAGGTGAGTGACGCTGGAGCTTACTCACGTGATATCACTCGGCTATAAATACAACACTTCTCACTTTCACTTCCACATACGACCATAGGACCATGAAAACAGATTTTCCTCTCCGACTCGCCGTTTGTCAATGTTCCGTTTGCGGTGAATTAGTGATCTTTATAACCGTATTCGGTAATCCTGCTCACGGCCCTGCTTACGGTTTTATGGTGAACTGCGCCACCCCCTACGCGCCGGGCTCTTTAAAGCAGCACTACAATTGCCCTAATCCTTGATACAGATAACAGGACACATTAAACTGTTCTTAGAATAGTTGTATATCACTGTGGGCAGTGGCAAGACGGTAGTGGGAAGACAATGGCGGCACGCTTTGATATTCATTCCCTACCATCAACCGCATACGAATTCCAACCAATCAAGCCTCAATTGTCTCATTATGAGTTCCAATCGCTTTTTGCATTTCTTTGGAAATATGACACCTTCGATTACGAGCACCCTCGATACCGTCTTTACACTGCTTTGTCACTGCATCTTATCATTTATCTCGGGCTTCACCCTTTAAATGCTTTGAATGAGGGGCTGTTCTATGGCGACACAAAGCTTATAGTGGCTCATAACAACGGGGAAAAAAGGATTATTCTTGTAATATGTCTGCAGGATAGGGAAAGACATACGTACGCAAGCAAAACATTGCTACTAGTTGACTATCCTGAGAACCGGAGCTTATGCCCTGTGTCTGTTTGTTGCCCTTGCTATTGCAGATGGCGTAATACCCCGGAGTTTCCTCTCTCTTTCTACGCCTGAGAGCCCCTGGGTAGAACTTCTCTACAGTCCGGGGACCAACAACATGCCTGTCTTTAGACAACTTAATGCAAACGCAAGCACATTGCTTATGTTTCAAGCAATGGGGCCTAAGGCAGTGTCAAACCTAGTAACCTCCTTTGTTTCCCGAGGGCAGATGTCTCAGACCCTTCGCAGGATTCGAAGCGATAATGCGCAGTCAGCAGAACAGGAAGCGCGTAGTAAGTTCTCTACGCAATAATCAAACACAACTAACCTCTGTAGGGTCTCAGCTCAAGCACGCTTACATGGTTTTTGGGAGATCGCAAGGCTCTGAGGTATCTCAGCTCCTCCCTCCGTCTTACAAAGTTTATTACAACAAGGCATTCCAAAACCGCAAAAAGGAATCAACTTTAGATCTCCCTACCCTTGACCTGCGATATGACGTTTCAAGATTCTGTACCATCGCCTATTTTTACGAGATTGGTGGGTGGGCTTTAGAAGATATCTTGTGGCCATTGATCGACGCGTCAATGCCTACCCCCTTTGAATACTACTACCCTGATGCAAAACCAGACAAAAATGGGAGTTGCCCTAGATGTCATGAAAAAATGCCTCGGTAAATACCATGCAGCCTCCTTTTGTTGTCTTCCTCGCTAACAAGACAGTGTCCCAATGAAACAGCATCTTCTTCAATGCTGTCAAGCAAGCAAGATTAGCGCAGCCGAGAGTCTTATCAGAAGCCACTGTAACAACGAATGGCAGTGCTTTTGGGATGACTGTTCATCTGTCTTTAGTGATTTCAAGCTCTTCACGTTGCACACGAGCAGCCACGTTGATTCAGGCCCAGATAGGTGCTTATGGAATTCTTGTAGCTATTACAAGGCAGATGACATCCACGCACATCTACTTGAGCTTCACTCAGTTTACACTGATCAAACTAGCCCTACAAATATTAGGTTTTGTTTCCAGTGTAGCAAGTGGTTGTACTCCAAATGCGAATGGAGCCATCACGTAAAGCTCCACTCTAGGGCAGCCACAACGACATATGGCCCTATCTTTGTAAATGGGCTGATGATTAGTCCAGGGAGGTGTGCTTATTGCGTTAAGGCAGGATTATACGACAAATTTGACAACATCGAGGGATTCATTAGCCATGTGAACAGACACATGATGGCGGATGCGTGGAGTGATGAGTTATTCTGTCCACACCCATCTTGCCCTTCCGAACCACGAGGACTGATTAGTATGAAGAAGCATCTTAGATTTTTTCACAATATACAATTCAATTGTTCCCTTTAATCTTCCTTCTTTTCTTTGCTCTCTGTGACTGAGGATGTTTAAAGATAGCTTCGTAGTATGACGCTCGATCTACCAGATGCTGCAAGCTACGTCCAAATGATTCAATATTACTTAGGTCATCCCCTAAAGAAACTTCAGCCAGTTCAACAGAGTTCTTAACCACCTCCCAATGCTTTTGTAGTACAAAAGCGCTGCGAGGATCAATCTCGCTTGCACCTGTCTCTTGTAGTATTCGTTGGATGATGTTTTTAAATTGCGTCATAGGGACACAAAGCGGATGTTCAACAGCTAGACAGCGTGATGAGAATAGCTCAAGTTGAATGCACGTGATTCGCACATCACGCCAGATGCTATTAAGCTCTGACAACGCTTCTTCTGACTGTTCAGGATCCCCCCAGGTATGTATGTCCTGTATGACTCTCTTTGCAGGCTTACGCGCACTCGTTCGGATGGTCTGGCTTTTTTTGTTGATTTTCCTCGTCGCTTTCGGGCGTCTGTCACGGGGATCGCTGTCGCCTTTGGCTGGAGTAGGTCCTTCTTCGGTAATCTTTGAATCGCTGATAAGCCCCGTGTTTTTGTTATTCTGGCTACCTTCTTCTATGTCGCCATTGTCTTGCGTCTCTGCAGTCCCAGGAACTTCTGTTATCCCAAAGTTATGCGCTATGCTAAGAGGCTCCGCCTTAATAGATACAGGCTCTTCTTTGACCAGCGAGGTTGTGGGTGCTCCTGGCATGCTGAAACTTCCAATCTCATGATCGTCGTCAATTAAGATAGGGTCCTCTCTTGTTCCTGGAGTCTGAGTGTTGATAGATGTCGTTTCTGCGTTTGTTTGATTGTTGTCCGACTGGAGTGTGTCAGTGAACTGGAGAAGAATGTGGATAAGGATGCTATACCATTATGTCTAACGATCTAAGAGGACAGATTGCAATGTGATATATAAAGTTTCGAGTGCCAGAGACTGTTAGTCTTTAGGCACAGTTCACGACGGACATCACTGTTAGATATATGTTTACCAAGCCAGGAGCTGCGTGGCATTTGTGATCAGCCGCCCGGGAAGCTTTCAGTCCGAAATATGTAGATTACTGACTACCAATCAATTAGAATGCATGATTATCTTCTGCGGTTGCAAAGAGGCGTACGTTAATTCCGCCAATCCGATGTGCTGATTGATAATGGATACGAGAAGAGGGACAGAAGTATGCCTTGTCCCAGCAATCTCAAACTTGCCACGGGCGCTTGTTAGCTCGAAGAAAAGTATATATGTATTGCTCAAAGCCCCTCCTCACAATCTAAATCACAGTTCAAGTTTACTACTATAAATTACACTTCACCCCCATCGTTACTACAATCAACCCCGACTCAAGCTATGGATATCGATTACTCTACAGCATCCCGGGAACAGATACTATGCAGCGACTGGATCAAGATGCGACAGTTTGCCAAGCGTAACGGCATTAAAGACTGGAAGAGCAAGATCCAGCTGGCAGACCAGATTGTCAACTGGCAAGACGATTCTGTCCAAGACAGCCAGGTCCCAGTAGCCATGCAGGCGGTGGACATCCCCGTCTCAGACAGTCAAGTCCTCGTCTCAGACAGTCAAGTCTACTACGGAAAAGACCTCAATTCTCATAACATCAATCATCCACTATCGCTACCTTGGTCCACAGCCACACACGGAGCAACTTATGTCGACCTCAACACCATTGATTTATATATGCCAAAGATTGATGGCTCAATCAATGAGCTGTTTGACTTTTCCGACCACAGCACTGTGTCTTCAGCAGCATCCTCCACTTTTGGATACAACCACCCAGCTCGAATGGCAGACTGTTTTGTGAATTGGGCCGAAGATGCTATGCTCGACGTAACGACAACAATAGACAGTAGACTCGAAGACGTCATCATGCACACAGATCCCTGGACCCTTCCTCAACAGTTCTCCGCCAGCCCGATTTTGGAGACAATTCCCTCAATTGTCTCCCCAGCCCCACTCGAAATTACAATTGCCACCGTTGCTGAGACGATTCCTATAGCAGCTAAGCTGGAAGTAATGCCCGCCCAGGAAGTTCTGAACATACGCGGTGTCTCTCCCCTCCCGCCCCAACTCGATATCTCCCTCGCCATAGTTGCTGATACGATTCCCGCTGTGGCTAAACCAAATTTCTCGCCCGTTCCACTGCAGAGCCCTGCAACTGTAGCATCCACGGCGCAAGCTGGCCAGACATTCTCTGATCCAATAATACTAGATGACGATACGGAGCAGATAGTCCATGTTTTCGAACGGCAATCAGTCCCCCCCGGGATCTGGAGCAAGACCCTGCGGCGATGGAGAATGATCACTGCAGTCAAAGAGCTGTCAAGATTAGTTCCCGACCATCTTAAACAATCAGTGAAAAGCACAAAAGAACATGTAGATCTAGAAGGAAGGCTGTCAGTTCACGCAAGTTGGTTACTCTGTCGATCCTGGAGGTCTTGCGCAGCTATACGAACAAAGGAAGAAAAATTCAATGATATTTGGAAACAATTTGGTAGTGCTATGAAGGAACTAGAGGATTATGTGGAAGCTGGACTTGATACAACCCCAACACCATAGACAGGAAAGCTAGTTACATTTCTTCATCTTCATCCTCGTCTTGATCCTCATCTTCGAGATACGCGCAATGCCATCGATTGTCCTGCTCAACAGCCTCACTGCCCGCTACATGCTGATCCTGATCTCCTGCTGCAACAAATTCGCGGTTGAGCGCGTCTTCAAGCAGTTTCTCAACTCGCCAAGTGTTGTCACTGCCGCCCGCGTTTTGCGTTGCAACTGGCTTGTCCTGCTGATCTACTGCCGCCGCCAAGACAAACTCGCGGTTGAGTGCATCTTCAAGCAGCTTCTCCACTCTGCGAGTCTCCTGTCTGGAGCTGTTCAAGGTTTCGTACAGATTGTGACACGTCTTCGCCCAATTTGTGAGGTCGTAGTTTTGTCTCTGGAACCCTTTCTGGTACCTGTCTCTCTCAGCGACCACCTGAACTAGCTCGTTCCGGGTCTGGTTGTGCATGTATATCTGGCACTCGAGGAATGAAGCAAGCCGATAGTAAAGGTCCGACAGTTGTGGCTGCAAAGGACTCTTCTGCCCAGAGACATCGCTGCCGCCTGTCGATCCATTGTTGTGTATGGTTTCAGAAGACAGTACCTGACCGCAGCCGCAGGTGCACAGCTCCTCCGAACCTTTATCTGTCTTATGGGCCCCGGTATATTCAGCATAGCTGGGGTTGACGAGGACCGATGGCCAAGTAGAGGGTATCTCTGGAAGTGTCTTGGGGGAACGCATCATGACAAAGGACGGTACAAGTATTGAGATTAATTGTTGGAAGCGGTGTTGATGGGTTCGTTGGATGATGAGCTTAAGGAGCTGCTGTCTTTGAGTGTTGTTGCTGGGCTGTCTTTCTGGTGACATGTCTATTGTAATATACTAGCGAGACCTAAGTCTGGTTCAGGTTGTCTGTTTCCTGTAAACTTGCAATGACATGCAGAACTCTCGTGAAACGGTTAGTGGAAACATGATAGCTGCTATAAAGGTAAGCTGTAGTCTCGCATCCGTAAGGTAAGCGCCCACGCTAAGAACAAGAATGATTGAAGACGCTTTTCAGCGGCATCGCCGACCACAATTTCCAACAAAAGCAGCTTTGCTCCTAGGAACCTTAAAATCACAGGGAAAGGAAGCTACGGAACCAGTCGCGCAAAATTTAGAAACGCTAAAGCAGGATCCTTGGCATGATGCGCAGCGCATTGGAGAATTAGTGCAAGGCAAACAGGCGTGGACTGTAGGCGTGAGGCGTGGTGCGATCATCATGATCAAGTCCATCAAAGACACAGATACAGGCAAGCGATTGGTCAGCATGCTGCAGCCACTTTCTCATCCCAACATTGCCAGAGTGTTGGATGTCGCCGAATTCGACGATCAAACCCATTTCACGTTCGAGTACTATCGGTACACATTAGAAGAAGTACTATGTGTTCATCTACCATTCGAAGAGATACACATTCGTACTATAGTGCAATCAGTAATGACTCCCTACATTGTTTTGAGTATTAGCCCTAACAGCTTAGATTTTCCCTGCTATCAAGCATATCGCTAATGCAGGAATTATTCACAACGCCATCCCATGCACATCTATCCGGGTATGCGGTAGGAGCGGCAAAATAGTGCTAGGTAAGAGACGCCCACGTGATGTCGCTTAGCGTGCATACATACCTAGGTATGTATGCATGCACACATGCATGTACTGACAGCGCCACAAGCTGACTTCGAGGACTGCATATTGCAAACCACCACTCTTTCCCCAAACATTGATCTCAAACTACTGGGTTACACGTTACTTGAGTGCATGGAAGGGTCTACTAATAAGCAACTACGAAGCGAGGAATATATCCTGAGACAAAGGGAGGTGAACAAGATTTTTGGTGTTAAAGACGATCGGTGGAGTGGGGCCAAACTCCTAGTCGACTTTTTAGACGATCTTTTTAACCAACAGCGACCAGCAATTGCTAAACTTGATAAGGAAGTAAGCAGAACAATATGCGCGCGTCATGGAACACTACTGATTGAAAAAAGCACTCGTACGTTCGCCAACAGCAGTTAGCACCGACAGTCTTACTGCCTTTCACTGAGCTTGTACCATTGGAGTGCTTTACTCTTTGGCGCCCTGCGGCGAAGTAGACCTAGAATAGTTTTGAATGAAAGCCTATGTGCATAGGTCTGAAATCTGTTTCCTGTGTTGGGGTGCGGCGCTGCAAACTATGCCTCATATTTAAGACCCTCACAATTATCTTGTTCTTGCATACCAAACTTTCTACTATACACTATCATTCTCAATGTCTTCACCTTCACCTGCCCCAATCACAAGCCAGGGATTGAACCCTGAAGCTGATCCATATTTACCTGAGATGGCTCTCGATCCGTCGCTTCTATGGGACTCGACTGAGTACGAAAACATACTACAAGCGTTCCAGTCCACCGAGGAAACCCCTGATCAAAAGATTGTACGGCTGGAGGAGTATGGCTCACAGCCTTACATTATTACATCCTAGCTAATAAACGCACTAGAGAACTAGCACACATCAAAGAGGAGTCACAAAGTCTGCGTAGCGACGTTGATACCTTGGAGGTTTGGATCCGCAAACTGTATGATTTTATTGTTCCATGTCCTCCAGAGATAAGCGCCGGGGGCGAAGAGGGGACAGACGGGATCCAGGAAAGCGGGAATCTGGTTTAATGTCTTGCTGTATATATCCCATAGCATTAGCACCCCATGATGACCATCACACCACAATGCCTCACCGTTACACGTATGCAAGCTACCCTGCACGTCAAGTGCGATTTTCAAGCCCTATCGTTACTTCGTTTTCAAGAGGGTTCACGTTCGTAGAATCCTTCTATGTCAATCTCCTTGAGCACCACAGCGATCACTGCGCACGCTGTGAGTCACTCCTGTATGGTCAATCTCCTCGAGTGGGCTGCCGACGAGGCAATCTTCTGACTGATCTAATCTTGCGTCGATTTTTGGTGGAACGAGATGGAAGAGTCTATAGCACGGAGGATGAATATGGACTTCCAGTTCGCGTCGAGATCCCTCGCCATTGTTTGGCTGTGCATGGACTGTTACGTGTATACTATCCTTGTTCCTATCGCCGCACGTACTTCAATCTAAGTAGACCGCGCGCGTACTTGTAAATAGTCTGCTAGTAAGCACTAGTTGCTGGTGGCTGCTGAAGGATCTAAAGGGGGATTGAGGTTACAACATGTTTGTGCCGCATCAAATTGCGATGACTCAACAAGGGGGATTGAGGGGGTGACAATCCGAGAGGGGTATTATGATGTGAGTGAAATTGAGTTTACCGCGTGAATGATGAGCCCATGCGGGCAAAGACGCTGTTGAAGCAAGTGATTGAATTGATTCATCGATTGTTATTCTAATGGCAGAGGGGAGCTGACGTCTATATATACATGCAGGTGCCAAGGGCCTAGCGAGCATTACACGCCACACCATGACAGTGTACGTCTCGTCAACCTGTGACACTCAACAGACGCAGCAGAATCAAGAAAGTGCCAAGAACAAACGCCTTGCGAGTTGAGATCCCGTGAGGACTTCAACATGCGGGGGCGACTCGCGGGTTGCGGTAACTGGGAACCATATCAGGAATCCTGTGTGAGACTATAGAAGGCGCGGTTAAAAGATCTGCATGCGTACAAACCCCTTGCGGCTAGTAGGTTCGTAGGAGCAGTCTAGACAAGGGACAGAAAACCGAATCTCGTATCACAAAAGATCCCATGCGGAGTCTTGTGAGGCGCGGCAGTAGTGGGCTGACTGGGGGGCAATGTGTTGGGAATCTGGAAAAAGCCCGTATGGTCAAAGAGACAGAAAACGGTTTTAGGGAGGTGGGGAGGTGGGAGCTACGCCGTCTCACGGCCTTCACCGATCGACGAGCAGCGCTTATGCATCGCGCTAGTGGCGATCTGGGCATTACTAACCTCATTGACCGCACGTACGTACCATCAATTTGATCACTACCTACTTCGGTAGGTACTACTGGAGATACAGTCACGTGTAAGTCTACACCGTACGATGAATTGAGTTGACAATCATCCGGACAAATTTCTATCTCACTGTTCTATGCTCTTCTGTACACATTCATCGGCCATACTGACAAGCGCAGCAGCACATTCCATGTCTGTGTCTAAATCTTCCTTTGAAGCAATAATACCCTGCAGCCTCCGGTTCTCCCTTTTGAGCGAGGTTACCACAGCACGCAGCTTAGCGATCTCTTGATCGCACTTCTGCTTATTTCGGGAGAATGCCAATCTCAACTGCTGATTTTCCACCTCGAGGTTTTGGAATTGGGCGTTCATCTGGTTTTTTTCCCATGCGACTTGCGAGGCAAGGCCCTCCATATATACTGATAGCGACCTATACCTTGCCTCGGATGATACCTGCTACAGTTAGCGCATTACCTTATCTTTGTCTCATACTTGTCTAGTACAATGGGTCCTCCCCCTCGCGTAATCCTCTCGCCGACATTCTGGGCTTGACGTATGTTCATTGGTGTTTGCATGGTTGCTGCGGGTTGTTGTCGAAATGATCTATCGCCTTGGAGTGGATCCCTAGTGATACTTATACTTTGCCTTAAGCGCTGATACACCAGGCAGACAGACTGTGGCTTAACATCTGAAGTACGGCGTAGTTATTTACTATTCTTATCTACTACTGTCTATGACAACGTTGAATATCCCAGGTCTGGCTGGAATTCATTGGCACGGAGTGCGATATCGTAGCCACTCAAACATACCGCCTTTCTGATAAGGACCTCAAACTGAGGACTACCGCACATTGTAACTAGCATATTACCTGCTTCAGCTTTCCATTCCTCCCTAATCCAGAATTCTACGTCCAGCTTAGACGTGTCGGTATATATACGGTCTTTGCCTGTGTTAAATTGGACTTGCTGCCCAACGGAAGCTCCTTCATTTTCATCTGGTAGAAGAAGATATATGTTAAGGATTTGCAATGTGTCCGTATCATGCAACCGGTGCAAGAACTCAAGAGCCCATCTAGTCTGGTCTAGATCACAGTAAGCTTCTCCCTGAGTTGACGAACTATGTGCAATACCTTTGGACTCAACCAGCCACACTAACGATATGCGTCGTACTCGGGCTGTTCTATCGTTGTGTGCAAGTAGCAGGCTACGTATCGAAAGTAGGTGTGCAGCGATCCCAATCCCATCCGCCATAAAAAGTACCTTGTCGTAGTCTCCTAAGGAGCAAAGATCGCTACTGCCATAGGGCCCATCAACAATAGCCTTCATCCACCTAGACTTTGAACCATGCTCTTGGTGCATGTTACCTAGTTCTTTTGTAAGCCCACGACGAGGTTGGATGAATAAAACGATAGTCATAGAGCGACTGTTATCGGCGGCGTCATCCACATTCGACCATGCGACCATGTATGGATGCCACTCGAAAATACTCATGCCAAGGCTTCTCAAGCCAGGTATTGATAGGTAGATATATTGGCCAGACTCTACCGTGATAGGACGCTTTAGCTTTATAATCACTTGCAAGATTTGGTTGTCTAATTGGAGTACTGAGGCCTCACAAGGTGGACCAGCACCCATATTCTGGTAGATCAAGCAGGACAGCCAGATTATTTTCTGCATAAAATTCAAACCGGACCCAATGGACAGGCAGCATAGTATTAGGATATTGCGCTTGTCGGTATGTAGCCACAAAAGCACTAGCAAGGCCATCGAAGCAAGCGAATGGGTCCCCAGGAATATTTCGTAAACCCGTCGGCGTATGAATAGTAACGAGAACACGATAATTACGCTCGACACAACAAGCAGCTGTTTCACATCAGATAAATCATCTTGGATTGTTGATGCGCAACCTACTGCAAGCTCGATCTTTCCGAGATCAAATTGGGATTGTACCATGCTCAAGACGGCATGTATAATCCCTTGGACAATTGAAATTCTACCAACCCAGCGATGTAGGAGATAGCTATGTTTGGCGGAAAATCGAAAGAGTTTATCGAGAATGTAATTAGTTCGCCCACCAAGAAAAAGAGGCACTGAATTGATGGCGCACAGCCTGGCTAATCGCAGTGAAAGTGCTGCTCGTCCTTGGATGGCGAGCGTTGACCCGACCACGTTGCCTGTTACAAGGAACACCACGGTAGCCGCTGCAGCTATACTTATATCTGAGCTGCCTCGCAGTCTCGGCCACACAAGGGTATAGACTGCCCACTTTGAGAGAAGCGAAAAGAATCGCCTCCGGGCATAAGTTGTTAGTAGTTGCGAGAGGCGCCATGCTAGGAGGAAGCCCAGTGCAGACGCGAAAGAAATTGTGTATAAAATGGCGGCTTGCATTTTCGCGGTTGGTACGGTGGACAATCCCAACGCTCACTGCCACCACTTATAATTCGTGCACCAAGGACTAAACCCGGTAATGCGATTTGAGTAAAACAGGAAACTCGAAAGGGCACCATGCTTGAGCTTCGCCCCACTCGAAATAAGTGGACGTGAAATAGCCGCCGTGCGTTTCAATCGGGCATGCGCGAGGGTGCATGGGTTCATGCAAGCGGCGCATGCGCGCCCCTGGGTCCTACATAAGTACCGGTAACCGTGGTGCTCCACCCACGGACCAGCAAACTGTTATGCTACACCCTCGCGTCACCTTTCCAAGATGCCCAGAGCACCACGCAATCTAACACGATCGTTCAACAACCGCACGAGTGGCTTGTTCAGGAAAGTAACTGAACTCCACCAGTTGATGGAAGAAGTCCGCATTTCAATTGTAGTGGAAAAACCCGGTAGTTCGCCGCTAGTCTTCTCGACCGAAGAAAGCACGATTGATTGGCCGGCGGGCATGCAAGAATTTGTGCGCCTTCAAACACATTGACGTTAATGATCCAATGCTAATACTGGACGATACAGACGTTGACGCACGGCGCTATCATCAAACGCCCATCCCACTTCACTACACTCAGTGATAGCGTATCGACCGGCAGAGCTCAGATCGTTCAAAGCTTACCCTCTTCGCCGCCATGCACCCCGGATCCCCCGCGTCGATCCTTCCAAGCAGCCCAGGCTGCAACAGCTGCCGTCGTTAATTCAACACAGAGACTGAGAAACAGCTCTTTGACACACAACAAATTGTCGCATGAACCGCACATATTGAGCGACCAGTCTTCGCCGTATTCTAACTGGGAAGACTGGTCTCAGGGCGCCTACCAGAGGACGATAAGCCCAAGCCCAAGCCGTCCTCCAATGGCACCGAGACTTGGGACCCTCCCCTCAAAAAGGAGTTCTGTCAGGAATGGGTCAACGGATAGCGTACTCAATATTTAGATCTGAATCTATAATTTATTCCACAATGTATAGCACTCTTCTAAAGTTCGCTTCGCGACCACAAAGACTGTGCGATCTTTTTCTATTAACTTACTTCCTGTATTGCCTCAATCGGAGAAGATGCTGGTAGCTACTGCCCACATTTTCGTAGATATAATAGATTCCCTCGTAGATTTTTGTTGAGCAGTTCTAAACTCTTACTCAAAACGTCTAACTACAGTAGTTAGTGGTCTGAATCTTGTCTCGGTCCGTCTACGATATGCATCCTTGGCGTTTCTGATGTGTGCGCTATGCTTATTTAATCTTAGTATGTGGCCATGGGCGCCGCTATCAGTAAATGTTACCCACGGGTATTCGTTGCTCATTGTGTCTGAGTGCTAATCGAAAGCATATTGCGCGCTTTATAGGTCTGAACTATGTAAAGAAATCGTGGTCGGAGTTTTCAGGTCACCATGTTGCGATGAATCCGTATCGCGTTCCTAGACTTCCCGAAGACTGGAAACGCAATTCCGTCCTCAGTCTTATCGAGGGGTCGGTGGACAAGATCCATGCGAATATATGATCTTCTACACCCACAAGTTTCGCAACCAACCTCCGGTATGGACTACAACGACGAGATACCAAATCCTTTCGACGATGAGCAATCACGTGGCTACACCGACGAGAAGCTTGCTAAAATTCAGGCCAATTATTATTGTGGGCTCGCAAGAGTCCATCTTCGCTCATTGGATTTCAGCCACAACCTGACACAACAGAAGCACCGCGAGATTTCTAAGAAAAACGTGGACCGGCTACGGAACATCTTCTCGAGGAATGGATGCCTTCGGTTGCAAGAGGAAAATTTCATCAATGCCACTGTAGATGCAGAGTCACTGGGCGACGCGATGGCGAACGCTAAGATAACCCAAGCCAGCTTGCTGCAGCTCCGCGCGGGCTCTGATCTACCACTTCTTTCGTTCAGGCATCTCCAATGCTTATCAGGCGCACACAGGATTGAGGCCGCAAAAGAGTTTTTAGATGGCAATGATCAGTGGTGGGTTGTACGTCTTTTTAGCAATAGTATGCCGCCGCCACCACTAAACGAGTACAAACGTTAACACTTCATTAGATACCCCACAGCCGATTCTTTCCAGAGTGATAGAGTTGTACTCAAATGAACAGAAGCCTTCAGACGGTGATATCTTCAGGAAAATCCGACTATATCATCGTGAACGTGACACAACGTCAGAGAATCTTTGGTGGTCCTATCTTGATCACTCGAAGCCTAAAGATCTAAGCCAGCTACTGAACAAGGAAAGCATGGCATCAGCGTTTGACTCGTTGATAGAGATACCAGGGTTGTGGGCTGGTGTACGACTTGGCACGCTTCAACGACTCTTAGCCCTCAAATGCGATGAGGTAAATCTTATCTAAATAATACTGTCTAGACGCTAAATGAGCGTAGGAAATGATTCGATACTTAAAACACATAAAATGGGTTTGGGACGCGATTCTTTCATGCGGCAACACAAAGCTAGATGGTTCCGTTGTTAATGCGCTCACCGTGGAGAAGCTCGAGTTGTTGTGTCCAAAATACTCTCAGTCTGACAAAAAGACCATATTGCAGTTGATGGAAGAGAACGTTTTGTTCCCTTCTGTTCGAGATGCGGAAGTGAGAAGAAAGTTGTTCATGAACATCTGTAGCTCACCTGTTCTTATTCCGTCCCTCCGGACGTTCTTCGAAACGTTGAAGTACCTAGAGCCAATATGTGAGGCTATGAAACAGCTGATAGGCAAGAAAACGAGGGGTACAATTCGCCAAAACCTGGCTGACTCTTTCCGTTTGCCTGAAAGGATGATCGTACAAAGCATGGAGAATTGCTACATGGAGCTCAAAGTGGTGCCTCCCAAAGCCATAGCAGGGCAGCTAGCATACATCCAACTATGGGCTTTCTGCGCGCGGCATTTCAATACATTAACCCCATCTACACCCCGGAAGGAAAGCAATAGGAGTAAACCTAGTATACAAGGCCCAAATCCTGTGCTTTGCCAACGATTGGCGAAGTTTGCCTTCGACCTCGGCTTCCGAACTTCAGCAGTAGAGCGGCTTATGGATGACGATTCTGCACAGCAACTCGCCAGAGGTTATCTAGAAAAAGCAAACCCACTCTGTGTGGATTTTACAGCTGAGCATATACAAGCGATCGTAAACATTGCCCAGGCTCAAAGTCAAACTTCAGAAGTATCAGAGACTATTGACGTAGAACTTGATGTTTATAGACGCTGTGGACGGCCATACGAACTAGACCTTGCCGATGATAAGCGCGACCTTTTTTATACGAAAATCTATAGTGCATCTAGCGCAGAGCGCATTAATCTGCTCTTTGTTCGTCAGGATATGTTTAAATCATTATTTGGAGAATTTCAAATTTCGGTAATTGTCTTCTGTACCTCACATCTTTACGCAGCGGTTTTAACGATTACAGGAAAGCGATCTACAGCCGACTACAGGCCCTACGCTCCATCTACAGTCTGCAATCGAATCGCGACGACCAGAACAGGGCGCTATCACACGTAAACGTCCCAGAATGGACGAGCATCAGTCTGATACAGCTGTTATTAAAGACCTGGAGAAGCAGCTAATTACATTGAGAAATAAGCTAGCAGCATCGAATAAGCAGTGCACAATGCTCCACAGGGAAAAAAGAGGCATGAGGGAGCGTCTAGAAGCAATGGAGCGTGCGCAAGCAGGTCTTGCTTCCGGTGTGTGCGCAGAAGGCACTCCTCCAGAACAAACGGTAGAGGTACAAGCCCTCAACGATACGTCTAGGAATAATGATGAGATAGAGATGGCGGATGTCAATGGGAGTGAAGATGCATCGACAAGTACAAACGTCCCTGCGGCCAACCTCTCTAGCGCCGTGGGTATGGCAAACGAATGGTTACCGTTAGCACAAGAAAAGGCAATTTCAGACGGCAGAGTTCTGCAACGGTACAATGAAAACCGCCAAAGTCGTTTGGATTATGAGATTTTCGTGGTCACGAAGGTTGAGGCTGAAATCATATGGGGTTTTAGCCGACTTATTAAGCGAGACACACCGATTGAAGATTTGCAAAGTTGGATCAATTATTGCAACCAAACTACTGGAGGGAATGATTGTCTCTACATGACCAAGGAAGCGAAATGGCTACCGGCATCATCTACTGCTGAATCGATCTTGAGAGTGCTCGAAGAGGAAGGCACTTGCTTTATGGGGTGGAGAAAAAATTTAGAATTGTGTGTTGCTATTTTCGATATGCTGTAACTAAACATATGGAATCATATTAAATTGGATAATTTGTCATCAGATGCTATTGATCTAACGGAGGAATCATGCATGAACACCCTTTCGCGATTGCGTTTCAATGCACGGCGGCTATTCTATTGCCTGCCTTCCTGCTGTGTAACACGATTCCTAGCGAGGCGGAGCTGTCACAGGGGTCTTTTTTCTAAACTCCCGTTTCGCAGCAAGCCGTTTTTCGTCTTCCTATACAGTCTTTTCCCTATACAGTCTATTTCCTATGCAGTCTGTTCTGTTTCCCGTTCTTCGTCTTCCTATGCAGTCTTTTCCCTATACAGTCTCTCCCCTATACAGTCTCTCCCCTATACAGTCTATTTCCTATGCAGTCTGTTCTGTTTCCCGTTCTTCGTCTTCCTATGCAGTCTTTTCCCTATACAGTCTCTCCCCTATACAGTCTATTTCCTATGCAGTCTGTTCTGTTTCCCGTTCTTCGTCTTCCTATGCAGTCTTTTCCCTATACAGTCTCTCCCCTATACAGTCTATTTCCTATGCAGTCTGTTCTGTTTCCCGTTCTTCGTCTTCCTATGCAGTCTTTTCCCTATACAGTCTCTCCCCTATACAGTCTCTCCCCTATACAGTCTATTTCCTATGCAGTCTGTTCTGTTTCCCGTTCTTCGTCTTCCTATGCAGTCTTTTCCCTATACAGTCTCTCCCCTATACAGTCTATTTCCTATGCAGTCTGTTCTGTTTCCCGTTCTTCGTCTTCCTATGCAGTCTTTTCCCTATACAGTCTCTCCCCTATACAGTCTCTCCCCTATACAGTCTATTTCCTATGCAGTCTGTTCTGTTTCCCGTTCTTCGTCTTCCTATGCAGTCTTTTCCCTATACAGTCTGTTTCCTATACAGTCTCTCCCCTATACAGTCTATTTCCTATGCAGTCGGTTCTGTTTCCCGTTCTTCGTCTTCCTATAGTCTCTTCTCTATACAGCCTGATTTCTATACAGTCTCTTCTATATACGGCCTGTTTTCTATACAGTATTTCCCTATGCAGGCTGTCCTATTACCCGCGTTTGTTCTACCCACTCCATATAAGATACCTGCCGTAAATCACTAACAGCTAGTGTGTATGTGTATACAATTACGCATGCGGTCTATCCGCTAGGGCTAACACGACGAAAGAAGACTTGCTTTAATCCCGCGTAGGCATAGAAATACTACTCCTACGTTTTGACCACCTCTATCGCTTATCAGCTTGCATCGAGTTGAACGTTTTTTCAGTGATAGTTAGTCTTTGCATTTGTACCCACGTGTCTAACATGACACAGAGACACTCCCACCAATACTTTCTAGAATCACTGAACTCTACTCAAACGAACAAAAGCCTTTAGACGTTGACATGTCTAACTTTATCGTCGCCAAGATCATGCATTCGCCCGCATATCGCATAGCGAGGTAGATCTCAACCTTAGCTACTGTGGTCATTGGCTGGCTTTGCGAAATAGTTTTTTTAGTCCCGAAAGTCATTGCCAGCCTTGGGTGCTTTCGTGTATGGGGAGTCGTTGGTCTCCTCGTGATTGTCGGATCGTGGCAACACTCTGACTGCTAGAAGTGCCTAATAAAGAGGCCCCGTACTCTAAGCTCAAAGTAGCTTAGAGGTAACCTATCGGCGCTGACCCTTGATTTGTGGCTGTGTGGCGCTTTTGCTAAGCGCTCTAGGACACCGGAAAACCAGCTCGGATTGGGAGCATGGCTACGTGATCCTGAACCCTGTTAGCTTAGTAACCCTGCTGCCGCTTGCCCCACCGTCGTCTTCGACTCTCGCTTTCTAGGCTTCCTTCACAACACATGCCTACTGTTGAACTGGAATCTTTGCCCACATCCCTGCTTATAGTACTTGCAAGGCAGTTGTTCGTATTACTACCTTGACTTTAGCAAAGCGGAGAGGTGCTACATTAGCGATGCTACTGCTTGATCTACCAAACGAGTTGCTCCAAGATATATCAGAATACCTAGATTTTGAGAGAGATATCAACGCCATAGCACAAGCCAACCGCCGCCTTTACCATCTTCTAGATAGCTACCGCTACCGCTATAACATACAACAATCTGGAAGCTCAGCACTGTTATGGGCTGCCCGACATGGCCAAGAGGCAACGGCGAAAAAGTTGCTGAGAGAAAAAGCTGATATACAAGCCACAAATGATAATAATCAGACACCACTGTTTTTGGCGGCAGAGAACGGGCATAACAAGCTAGTAGAGCTGCTTCTTGACAAGGGCGCCTCTGTCAACCCACAGTGTGGAGCCTTCGGCAACGCGCTCTACGCGGCATCGCAAGAAGGCTACGAGGCTGTAATAAAGATGCTGCTCGACAACGGTGCCAATGTTAACGCAAAGGGGGAATATCACGGCAACGCACTCCAAGCGGCTTCATTTCGAGGTCACGAGGCGGTGGTGAAGATGCTGCTTGACAAGGGCGCTGACGTTAATACGCAAGGTGGAAAGTACAGCAACGCACTTCAGGCAGCTTTACAAGGAGGCCACAAGGCGGTGGCAAAGATGCTGCTTGACAAGGGCGCCAACGTGAACGCGCAGAGTAGAAAGTACGGTAACGTGCTCTACGTGACTTCATTTCGAGGCCACAAGGCAATGGTAAGCTTGTTACTCGACAAAGGCGCAGATGTCGACGCACAGGGTGGATACCACGGCAACGCACTCCAGGCGGCTTCATTTCGAGGCCACAAGATGGTGGTAAAGCTGCTGCTTAATAAGGGCGCCAACGTTAACGTGCAGAATGGAAAGTATGAAAACGCACTCTACGCGGCTTCATATAGAGGCGACGAGGCGGTGGTGAAGCTGCTGCTCGACAATGGCGCCGACATCAACGCGCAGGGTAGAAAGTACAGCAACGCACTCTACGCAGCTTCATTTCGAGGCCACGAGGCAGTAGTAAAGATGCTGCTCAAAAAGGGTGCTGATGTCGACGCACAGGGCGGATATCACGGCAACGCACTCTATGCGGCTTCAGTTCGAGGCCACGAGGCGGTGGTGAGGCTACTGCTTGACCAGGGTGCCAATGTCAACGCACAGAGTGAATATCACAGCAAAATACTGCAGGCGGCTTCAGTTCGAGGCCACGAGGCGGTGGTGAAGATGCTGCTTGACTAAGGCGCCGATGTCAACGCACAGAGTGGAGACAATAGGAACGCACTCTACGAGGCTTCATTTCGAGGCCACAAGACAGTGGTGAGCCTGTTACTCGACAAAGGCGCCGATGTCAACGCACAGGGCGGACACCAAGGCAACACACTTCAGGCAGCTTCATTTCGAGGCCACGAGGCGGTAGTGAAGATGCTGCTTGACAAGGGCGCCGACGTTAACGCGCAGGGTGGATGCTACGGTAGCGCAGTCCAGGCAGCTTCAGAAAATGGCCACGAGGCGGTAGTGAAAATGCTGCTTGACAAGGGCGCCGACGTTAACGTGCATGGTGGATGCTACGGCAGCGCACTTCAGGGGGCTTCATGTGGAGGCCACGAGGTGGCAGTAAAGATGCTGCTCAATAAGGGTGCTAATGTTAACGCACAGGGTGGTTGTCACGGCAACGCACTCCGGGCGGCTTCATATGGAGGCCACGAGACAGTGGTAAAGCTGCTGCTCGACAAAGGCGCCGCCGTTAACCCATGTGGAGCCTACAGCAACGCGCCCTACGCAGCTGCAGAAAAAGGCTACGAGGCTGTAATAAAGATACTACTCGACAATTTTATCTTCTATTGGCAGCCAGCGGCCTCAAAAGCACGATTGTCATGTGTACATGATCAAGATAATGCGTCTGGACAGAATGCCCGTATCGACTAAAAGGGTGAGGAGGGAAACAAAGCCCGTACGGCACAATGCTATGCCTTCGATATCGATGTAAACCATCAACGTGTATGAATTGGCGCTTTATAGCGGAAGACCAATCAACCAACAAAATCACTAATTTGTTGTGTAGTTTTGATACTATGAATTCTAGTGATCTAAGTGATAAACACGGAAGATATGGTGCTACAAACGGATCGAGAAGGGCCAGTGGATCGAAAAAAAGAAATTCTCGAATAGGTAGAGCACTAGTCTACTAAACCAACGTTCGGGCAATTCTAATAGACTGATCACTTCATCTATTTCTCCTACACGTCTCATTCCTCACAGATATCAAGTAGTGGCTGGGCAATACAGACCCGAAAAGAGAGGCGTTCGGTCGCCGATAACTCATAAGTAGCCGGATACAAAAGAAATCTACGAACAACTGCTAAAATAAAAAGCATATGTGTCACTAATCAACAGATAGACATTTTTCACACAGAACTCACATCTGGAGAAACAAGATGACGACCGTTGATGAGTTCAATGCTACCGATCATGTCAAGGAAAAAGAGGATTACTTCATGGCGAGCGATGAGGAGGCACAACGATTGTCCAATCAGCACTGGGTGATCAAAGATGCGATGCCAAGTAAACAACTTGTCTGTGCACCTGTCGACATGTCGCGTGATCAACTGTGTATTCTTGACTCGGGGACTGCCGACGGTAAAACTATTCCTTCAACACACCTATTACCAAGTCTAACTTAAACTCAGGCACATGGATTCTCGATTTGAATAAGGAAACGGGTGGAAGGCACATTTTTGTAGGCACAGACGTGCTTGAATCCCAACTGCCAACCGTTTACCCCTCGAATGCCACGTTCCATGCCCACGATATCAACAACGCATGGCCAAAAGAATACAAAGAATATTTTGACTTGATACATCAGAGACTGACGCTGCCTTTCGCGGGAAACAAGTGCAAGGAGTCATTGTCAGCGCTCATGGATATGGTCAAGCCGGGCGGGTGGATTCAGCTTATGGAAGGAACGTTGCTGACCACTGACTCGGTGGAGGTAAACCCTTGCATGCATAACTATCTCAAGATAGTCCATGCCATCTACAAAAGCCTGGGTGCCCCGCTCACATTGAGTAGAGATATACCACAGTGGCTCAAGGAGGCGGGTTTCGTGAACGTGGAAACCCGAGAGATTCATGTACAAATGGGAGCCAGCAACAAAGACACCGATCTGGGAAAAAGAGGGGCTGCGACCCAGAGAGATGCTGCGAAAGGTATGGTGGAGGCTGCTAGAAGTAAGTCACTCTACTCGCCGTAAGTTTGATACGCTAACCTCAATTTCAGAGCTTCCCAAGTTACCGATTTCTGAGAAACTTCTGGACACTTTTGTAGAGGATTTTACTCGGGAGTTAGGGCAGAAGGGCGCATGTTTCCCTATCATGGCGATCTGGGCACAGAAATAGGCTGTTGGGACGTAGCAACAACAAGAAATAACAATCTCTCCTGACATTAATTTTTTGTCCGACGTGAAACTCAACCTCACTGCATTCTAATTGTATACATTTTTGGTTAACCTGACACCTTTGATGAAGACTGCAGAATTATTTTGGCAGTGTAAGAGAGCGGACGATTACTCTTAAACTGTGAAAATGGTCTATCGGTGCTTTGCAAATGTCCCCCTCCTCCCCCAATATATGTTAAAATCAATGATTTCAGACCTAAATAGGTATTTTCCCCGGTCTCTCCTATTGGCGGACTTCATCAGATCTAGAACATAGAGAGGTATCACATGCGAATTTTATCTTAAAATTACTTATTTGGGTGTGGGAATCACTGGTTTAATATATATATATGGGGAGAGGGACTTCTGCAAACGATAATAAACAAAGTCTAAACACAGTATGATGATTTCTCAGCTACGAATCAAAACCAGGGTTTTTCAAGCTGATCTTCCAGCGGCAACATTGTGTCTTGGAGATTTTCTGCAACATCTTGCACAGCTTGCCACACCCTCAATAGATTACCGCCAATTATTTTCCCACAAGCTTCATCGCTCACCCCATGCTTTAAAAGCTCCGCTACCAGGGTCGGGAACTTGCTCACGTCCTCCAACCCCTTCGGCCCATCATCAATACCATCGAAATCAGATCCAATGCCAACGTGATCATAACCAATCAAATCTCCTATATAAGTGATGTGCTTCACCACTTGTTGAATCGTGGCGTTGGGTGCGTAAAGAGTGGGTAATGTCTCCGGATCGTTATCCTTCCTTTCGCATGAGATGAACTTTGGATTGAAGTTCACCATGACCAGCGATTTTCGCCTTTGCACCATGTATAAGACATCATCTGGTACATTCCGAGGATGCGGGCATATTGCGAACGCAGAGCTGTGGCTGAAAATCGGAGGAGCAAGACTGCCATTCCACCGGTCTGGACCATGCCCTGATCCTTCGAGTACCTGACGCATGGTATCCGCGCTCACATGTGCTAGGTCAATTATCATACCTATCCGATTCATTTCGGCAACCATGTCTCGACCAACAAGACTTAGTCCGCCCCAATGCGGAGGTGCGACAATAGATTTTGTATTTCCGTCATTCGAATCGCCGATTTCTACGAGGGCAGCATCTGCATAGGCGTTGTGGCAATTCCAGGTTAGGGTAGCATAGCGCACACCGAGCTTGTGGTATAGTCGGAGTATGGAAGGAGAGTTTCCGATTTGATGCAGGCCCTCGATAGCGAGCAATGCGATAAAGCGCCCGTCTTGGAAGGCAGAGTGAGCTTGCTGTGCGCTTGTCACCAAGTCGAAGTACTCGGGATAGCTGGAGGACATGCGATTAAAGAGGTCAATCTGTTCAAGCGTAGCCCGAACCACTAGAAGAGAAGTGTCAGTGGGAATATGAACTTCCTGCAGTCGTGAATGGAGACTTCCTTGGCGCGAGGGATTGTGCGATGGACCAACCTTCATCGTAGTTCTCATCCACGAACTCTAGACTGCCATTCTTTGGACATGGCACAAAAGCGCTCCAAAATGTACCGCCCAGTTTACTAGCTCGCAGCCGTGGTACATCCACTTGGTTTGGGAATCCTCCGTTCCTGAACACTCTTTTGAATCTTTCGTTGTTTATGTGATTGAGGTAGAAAAGTCGTATCACAATCAAGAGATCATTATGGCCATCTAAATGAAAATAAATTTATGAAGCTTCAAACACATGCAGTCCCCAACCAACCTATGAGGGGAGTTCCATTTAATACTCGATCTACGCCTTGCTGTAGGATTGCATCTGACGGTTCAGTTGATAGTTGAATGCGGAAGAGCGCTGAATCTTTGGCCCAGGGTGAAAAATACCGGCAAGATCCGAGTAGGAGTATGCCGAAAATGGTGAGCGCAAGGCTGCCGCGCCTAATCTTGGGAGGAAGTTTCTCATATTCAGTGTCATCCGCAAACTTGACCCGTCTTTTTGCCATCGTATGATTTTACAACAATAAAAACCAAGAAAAAGTAGAAGGAATGAAAGATTAAGGGTGAGAGTCCAAACGAGCATTCGTGTGTAAGACGCACTTGGGGCTTTAGCAGGCGCACCAGTAGGTAGGTAGTAGGTAGGGAAGTCTCGGCAACCGACGCTCTCCGTTCAAAGAAACGCTAGTACCCGTTGGCAGATATACACCCATCAAGCAATATGCGGAATACCAAGTAATTTACGAACGCTAGGTTCGCAAAATCAAAGGAACTTGTATCTCGATTACTCGCGATCGCTACGATGAGCACCCCAAGCGGTTCCCAAAAATCCGCATTGGCGGATGATTACACAGGTTACGCCGTGATCACCGCTCAGTGGTTACTCACCTTCGGTTTTGTAGCAGCCACTACCTACGTGGTTAGCCTTCAAGCTGGAAACGCTCACAAACCGTATACTGTCCTGGGTGACTGTACTTACTGGGGGCGTCGGACATGGTTCTTTTGTCGGTGGTTTCAAGATTCGATGAATCTTCTTATCGAAGGCTACCATAAGGTCCGCCCAGACATTCCAATTGCACATGACTGTCATAAAAATCAAACACTGAATCTATCTCACAGTTTAGTAAACGCAACGAAAAATGGTCGACTTGGGTGTTTGATGATTTGTTCCATGTTCTCCCACCGAGCATGCTCAACGAGCTCAAAGGGTTCTCGCCAGACAAACTCAACTTCAGTCGGATTGTACAGGATCAATTCAATTGGCACTTCTACATGGGTGATACGCTGACCGACCGAGAGTACGTCGCCATTGTGCAAAAACATCTCGTGGCAAATTTGCGTAAGTTCTCGACCGGCTGCCCCTACTGCTAACCTATATCGTATCTGACTGGAGGCGATGTGGCGTACAGCTCACATGACTGAGCTTCTGTCTGAGATCATCGAAAAAGCATTCGCACGCCATCTTGATCCCCCTAGCGATTCGAGAGGTCAGTCTTGCACGATACCACTACGTGAATGAAGTCTAATCCGCCTCTAGGCTGGAAAACTGTCGTGCTATGGGATGACATCTTAGACGTTTGCTATGACGTCGTTGGAGAGTCCTTGCTTGGAGAACTGGGGGCTTCTTCCGAATATTTGCATCACGCCAAAAGTTTCACCGAAACTGTGGCAGTTTGGTCGGGAGGAATGCACATTCTCCCTGGCTGGCTCCGACGCCTCTATTTTCAATTGAGCCCTGGTGGAAGGAAGATTCGCCATCACTTGAGCGAATGCAAAAGACTCGTATTCCCCGAACTGGATCGACTTCAAAACGAAAAATGCTATGAGAAGCAACCCTCACGATCATCTGTCGCACAAGGCTTCCTGAAGCATACTATGCATAACGGAGAGAGTAACAACTATGACGAGATCGTTCACCAGATGCTTATTGTGACCTTCGCAGCCGCCCCGATGTGGAACATGATTCTCAATCAGGTCATTCAAAATCATATCGCATTTCCGGAGCACCACTCAGCACTCACAGCAGAAGTGCAAAACGCATTGCGATTGCATGGAGGGTGGAACAAAGCAGCGCTCCTTGATATGCCAAGACTTGAATCATTTACCCGCGAAACATTAAGGAGCACACCACCCATTATGTGTACGTCCAAAACATTTCTCAGAAACAAAATATACTCACTCAAAAATCGCAGTTACGGTACAGCGAAAAGTAATGCAGCCCACGCAGCTCTCTGACGGCACATTGTTAAAGCCCGGGGAGAAACTCATGATTCCTACCGAAGCGATACTGCACGACCCGACCGTTTATCATAAACCCGAAACCTTTGATCCCGAGCGCTTCTACGATGCTGAGACAAATACGGCGAAGTCTTTGGTCGTGACGCAAACATCGGAATTTCCTGTGTGAGTTATGCCGTTCCCCGCAAGACCTGACAAAATACTTATTTACGCCGTGATTTAGGTTTGGATATGGTAACCAAACATGTCCTGGCCGATATTTTGCCTCACTTGCGACAAAGCTGGCCTTCGCGCAACTCCTTGTTGGCTATGAAGTCAAGTTTTTTCCGCACAGGCTTGGTAAACCAGTCGATTGGCCAATATCAGCTACGTTGATGCCAAACATGGACACCTTTGTAGCTTTTCGGAAAAGGGAAGGTGCTGAATTTGGGACAGTTTGATAGAAGAGCGAAGAGGCTATTGCATGAAGATAATGTGATTTATGAGGAAACATAACTAAGGAGTAGTATATTCATGATCCGAAGTTTCAGACAGTAATTTGGCCGAAAGCACAGCAAGTTCTACCGCATCTTGTATTCTCAATACACAATTTCACGATGGTAAATCATTTTTCCATCGACGTAACCACAAATTCCTGTTCATGGACTGCTATCCTTCTCAGTAGGAGCGATAAAGAAAATTAATTTGCTGTTGTCCGGGGACTATCTAGAGCTCGGTCACCGGTCAACCCAAATTGTGTTGGACATAAGTCTGGAGATATAATAGATTTTAAATTCATTTTCAATCCTATATTTTGCATTTCTCCCCATCGCGGACCAGTACGGTATGGACACACTATGGTACTTTGCCTATGGCTCCAATCTCAGTGTCGAAAAATTTACTCACAGCAGAGGAATTGTCCCTCTAGCAGCCGTGGTGGCACATATTCCAGGCTGGCAGATTTCAATGAGCATACCAGGGTTGCCCTACAGCGAACCAGCCTTTGCTTCCATCGAAGCAATGAACGCCACCAGCCTAAAGGAAAAGCAACCAGACGTCCAAGGGGTGGCATACCAAATCACTCGCGCGCAATATGCCAAGATCATTGCTTCAGAAGGGGGTGACATCGCCTATGCCCAAGCCAGGCTTCTAGCTCAAGTATTAAACGAAGCCGACGAAGATGCTGTGGGCGGCAAAACTTTTCATGTCTTGACATTGACCAACGCGATGTTCAAAGCATTCCCTGGAAGACCAAGTTTCCGATACATGGTGAGCGTCTTCAAGATAGAGGGGAGCAAATTTCAACTGATGCGGCATCTTAGGACCTCGTATTATCTGGCGCCAAAACGGTCGCGATTACACCACGATATCTTCATCACCTCCAAACAATTCCAACATACATCCAAGGGACATCCGCACGTAGGAAAACGGGTGCTTTTCTTTTTCTGCTTATTTGGTCACCTGTAATGCAGCTAATAGAAATTACTGTTCAATATACGGTGGATCTCGAGCGAGGTGGGGTGGTTCCCAGTTGGGTAAAGACGTTTGTGCGGTTTCTCGTGAGCTTCATGTGGTACAGTCACGAGTTTCACGCGTTTTTTTGGGGTCGTGGCGACGGATTGGATGAACACTCAGACTTGGAACTGATGGATTTACAATCCAATGTTTGCCACTCTTCAGATTCGAGGCGCATGCCGTGGGGCGGCTGAGGAGAGAACACTGCTTGAGTGCAAGGCTTGTGCAAAGATGTGATTTTTTGATAGGGACATGCGATGGTGTCTGAAGTAAGGGAATTTTTCTATGTGGTTCGCCATGGATTGAGGGAATTGTGTTATGTACTTGGCAAAATAATTTATGTCCTTCTTCGAAATGCAACAAATGTATCCATGTTTGGTGCTAATTGCACACCCTGACAAACTCCACCCGGCATACCTTTTCTAGACGGAAAGAATTTCATTTCGTACGAAAGCAACAACTTTGCCAGGACTAATTTCGATGCGAGGATTCCATAAAAGCGACCAGGGCAGGACTGTTGGCCGTATCCAAATCTACAAGGTTTGCTATTAGCATACTTAAGATTATGTCTGGGTCAGAAGTCCTCTCACACTGAGTAGTGTTTAGTTTGTGTAGCTGTATGGACCACACTATCTGATCCGCTCTGGTCAAGGAATCGATATGGATTAAATTTATCGGGGTCTGGGTAGATATCTGGGTCGCAAAGGACGGCGCGTGTGGGGAAAAATACGTTATCTCCCGCTTTCAGAATCTTCCCATTAGATAGTTCGAGGTCCTCGCAAACCTTACGCTGTACGGTGCCTTCAAAAGTCAGCGATAGGTTACTATGACCGCAATGAGTGACTTACAACATATAGGGGGGTTGATTCTCAAAACTTCCCTTATGAAACTATCCAACTTCGGCATACAAGATATTGTGCTTTTGTTCCAGCCGGAGCAATTGTCGACTGCCTGCGCAATCTCACTTAGTAACTCTTGCTCATACTCCGGGTATGCTATGATAGTGTAGACAAGTTGGCATAGCACAACCCCGAGCAGATCAGCACCAGCAAAAAGTACAAATAGCATCTGGTTGACTATCTCCTCATCTGATTGGTCTTGATCGAGGCCATTTGGAATCTCCAATAAACTTTGTAACACATCATGTGTTGCTCCTGTCTGTAGTTTTCGCCGCTGTATTTCCGGTACCACCATCTTTTGAACTTTCCGAAGGTATTTACAAACGGTCCAGGCCGGTGGTAAGAACCATGAGGAAGATCCATAAAGAAACGGAGGCAACATGAACTTCAGCGCTGCCCAGAATGGAATTGTCGCACAGTACTGTCTCGCGTGATGTATGAACCTTTGTGAACGTCCCAGATCGGAGTCTATTAGGAATGGGCCCATCAAATTGAATGATAGGTCTAGCATGGTATCCCAGCCGTTGTACACAGTCCATCCTGTGTTGGTCAGCTTGGTCTATATATTTTGAAGTGTCGGGAGAATCCTACCTCGTGCAGTTTCATCGCCGCGACCGGCTATTTTGGATAATTGTATGTCTGTTTCTTGAGACAAGCGCTCAGTCATATCGGCTTAGTCACGGGGTCGTAAGTCAGCTACGTTTGAATCGAGTGTGCATGTTCCAGGAGTATTCTTACGAAGGATTTGGTTCAGGTGCTTCAGCGCAGCTATGTGGTACCGCTCTTTCAAAGTCTTTCCCGTATGCGCAGACCACATGAACAGACCATCTACCAGGCCTAGAAAACTGGCTTTGTTGGGAGGCAGCCGCCTTACTTCTTCCATCATCATGGGAGGAAGTACTTGAAAGAGCCGATCAAAAATCCAAACTCCCCAGACCTGACCATTTCGACTGTACTACTCCATCAATTAGCATAACTGCTTCGAGTTAAAGTATGGAATATCAATTTCGCGGACCTTCTCATAGCCGTTCAGTACAAGTGTTGGCATGTCTTGCGCTGACGCACCCCAGAACCAGGTTTTTCTACCCCACCACGAACAATCACCCAAGATTGGATATTTGTTGCCATAGCGGTCCAGGAAATCGTAAATGCGCCCAAATACATACAGAGTGCTCCATATAAACATGCAAATATAGACCACTCCATAGTTTTGCCAAGAATAAGTGGGTCCGAGGGGGCCGTCGTCCGTATATATTGTTGTGTTCATCTTGAGGTTCGCCTGAATCACCACAACTTGCTTGACAGAGTTTTGCGGGAGAGCTTCAATGACAATGATCAGTGTATTATCAGTCATCAAATCTATCTAGATACATTTCGACTGCCGTGGTTTTCGGTCACCGATTCGACGATGATGGCCGATTGGTTATCGACTCACTCCGCGGAGCATGTTGTCTTAATCCTGTCAAAACTACCCCGCCTGACTTAAGGGACGCTGGTTCACTCGTACCTATTTGCATTGCAAGCATAATTTCTAGTGTAGCTGAGTTTCAACCCTTAACGTCAATCCTACGTAACGAGTAACAATGAGCTTACACACGCTTCCAAATGATATTCAAAATCTGATAGGACAGTTAACAGATCGCTTGGAGGACTGGATCAAAACAAATCATGCAGATGTTCCCAGCAACTTCGATAGCAGCGAAAGATTGAAATCCAATCCTGATGCTGACGAAACGAAGGGCCGGTTAATTGGAGTACTCGAGCAGTTGAAGTGGCTGCTCTACGAACCGACAGATTATCTAAAAGAGCTAACCCAAGGGCGGGTGTGTTTTCTCCATCACTTTTAGCCTGAAAAATACTAAACTGATCCAGTCTCTTGATATCGGAACTGTACGGGCTCTCGTACGCCTAGGCATTCCGGCCAAAGTTCCCGCAAATCGAGATATTGCCGTCGTAGAGCTTGCTTCTAAAGTCTTCGTAACTGCAAAAGCGCTTACACGACTCCTTTCATATGCCGAAACTTTAGGCTTGTTCCGTTTCACTGTGGAAGACAGAAGTCGTGTCGGCCACACCGTTTTCTCGGCCGGTCTCGCCCAGGGAGTCTATGCCGAGCTGGCTGCTTGGGATGTGACGGTCCCACCAGCAGCCAGCATAGAGCTTTCGACTGCTCTCAGGACATACGGCAGCTGCGATGGACCAGAAAAAGCATCTTTCAAGATTGGCATGGGAACAGAAGACAACTTTTACCAATGGCATAAGAATAACCCCGTATATGCGGACCTGTTTCACAAAGGGATGGCAAGCGAGCAAGAGGATCCTCGGACATCGCCACAACATATCGTCAACACATATGATTGGAGTTCTTTCAATGGAAAAGTCATTGTCGATGTGAGTAACAACATACATGGCTCTATGGCGATAAGTGACTAACAGCCATAGCTTGGTGGCTCCACTGGCCATGTATCGAAATCTATAATCAAGGCCCACCCGGAAGTTCAAATCGTCGTGCAGGATCAGGCAGATGTTATAGCTACAACGAAGCCTACCGAGGGCGTATCCCTAAGATTCGTCGCTCACGACTTCTTCGAGGTCCAAACCTACGTCGCCGACGCATATATTTTGCGGTATATATTTCATAATTGGACCGACGAAGACTGCGTTCGAATCCTCAAAGCGCTACGTCCCGCCCTGCGAGAGGGTACGAAACTTTTCGTGATGGAGCTTGTACAGGATGGTTATGCAATGTCACCCGAGAGTTGGTTTGAAGACCGAATCATCAGGTTTGTATTCTTCCCAGTAAAATTTATGGATGGTTTTACTAACTTGGCTGTTATCGAATAGACGGCGAGACATGCAGATGATGTCTTTCATCGGAGCATCGGAACGGACCATCGACGATTACGACAAACTTGTGCATGATGTAATTCCAGAATTCCAGTTTGAAGGCTCTCATAGACCTGCGGGGAGCTTCGTCGCAATGTTGGAATGGACTTTTGTTACGATGGAAGATGAGTAGCCCTTATTCTCGACCAAATCTCGCAATTCTTTGTTTCGCCAGGTCGACCAGTGGTTGCAACTAGAATTGGAAGAAACAAGATTCCTTCCTAATTTACATGCAATCGTCTATATGTTCGTTGATGATGTGAACGTGAATGTATACAAACTTTTGCACACCAGCATGTAGAAAAAGGTGGTGAGATATTCACAGATGATGATTTAGTCTTTTCTTCCAGGGTTTAGGATCGACTTCGGACGTAAGTGGTCCACAGTCGAAAAAACACTCCGTAATCATCAACTACTTCTCTCGCGGGCCATATGTGAGGACCACTTTCATCTGGAGAGCAGCGGTAATTCATAATATATGCGTTGCAGGCTTCTGTTGTTGAATTGGAATTTGATTGGTCCAGAGTCTACCTATGTTGTCGGTTGCCGAGCACACCATTGCGCTAAAACTTCCGTTCCTACGTACTCCCTCATCACATCATACTGGTCAAACAACAGCATGCAGATGATTGCTACATACACACCCTGGATTCACTTCTTCCATTCACATGCCACCCTGAAACAGTGCCAGCATGTCAAACTTGACTTTTGTCTACGTGTTCCCCGTCGCGCTAGCTCTGAATATTTTCTTCCCACAAAAAGTAACACCACCCGACAACGGGTTCAAAGTAAGATTCCTAGAAAATAAAGCTTTACTATGGCTTCATACTTCTGTCATCTTGATCACAGTATGTACCCAGCTCTCACTTCAGCCAAAGCTCACCTTAGTAGGTCCCGCAGCTGTCGCTCGGGTTGGCTGCTGGAATCAAAACATTCGAAGAGGATTGGTACATTAGCTCGCAATTCCTGGTAGGTCCATCCTGTACATGCAAAATTTTGCTGAATTACGAACTTATACAGATGTCATCATGTCTCGTGATGTTGTTACTGTTTACTGACCTGGTGGCTAAATGCTGCTCGCATTTACCTGTAACACTTCGAGGCATGCTTACACATATAATATGTCTCACGCAGAATTTTGTGGACATCACCATAGTCATGCTGTTTCATGACCTTCCTTCTGTATCACATCCGTTCACGCTAGCTCAGTTCATATTGACCATGACGAAAACTACCGCCATCATATCGATCTTGGCAATCTACGGGTCTTCTCGCCCAGGAAAAAAAGATCTCGAGTTCGAAAGACTCGCTGATAGTATCGCCACACATGAAAACGGAGGCTATGGCACCATCACATCGTCTAATGAATCTCATCCTCCACCCAAAAGCCAGAAACCAATCTCACAAAGCGCACCGGCACCGGGATTCGAGCAGTTCTTCAAGTATATTTGGTATGTTACAGATCAAAAAATTGTCGTGTCAAAATTCTTACAGAGCCAAGGCCATCCCATCCATCGTCTCTTCGCGTGCTTGTCGTTCTTTGCTTTTTACTGGAAATACTCCAGCGTGGAATCAATGTATTCGTGCCACGCACTCTCGGCCTGATCATCAAAGACCTCCAGCTCGGCGTGTCCCCATATTTGCACATATTTCTATTTGTGACATTCCGTGCCTGCTCAGGAAAAACAGTATATACTCCTCCACTTTTCTCTAATCGCGGCTTGCTGACAGGTTTTCCTCATAGGGCCTTTTAGGCTGTCTGCGCTCACAATGCTGGGTACCTATTGGGCAGAACACATACCGACGGATCACATTGTCTGCCTTTGAGTGGGTTCTCAACTTATCGTTAGGATTCCATCTGGCCACCAAGCTCGGGATTCTGACCAGCGCTTTGAGCAAAGGTGCGGCAATTGATCAATTTCTGGACTTTCTTCTCTTCAGTCTGGTGGGAGTGATTGCAGATATTGTGCTGGCTGTAGGATACTTTCTACTGTTTTTTGACTTCCAGTACGCAATGATCGTCGTTTTCACGTCGTGGGCGTATGTCAGCGCAACAGTGTACATGGCCCTCTATCGAGGAAAAGCGAGACGCAAGATGGTGGATCGTAGCCAGGAAGTGAACGCTGTTCAGTGAGTTGTTTCCACGAAGTAAAAGCGTCGAGCTAACAAAAGCGGCGAAGAACCGATGCGCTCTCGACATACGAGGCTGTTCACTTAAATTCGGCTCTTGAACTCCAGTCAACCAAACTGAGCGAGAGTATCAAAGAGTACCAGTTGGGAGAGTTTGCCGTCTTGACATCTCTCAATGCGCTCAATGCTATCCAGACTCTTCTCTTTTCGCTGGGGATTCTGGCTGTTTCACTACTGTGTGCATATCGAACGAGGCAAAGCGAGAATCGCGTCGCTGACTTTGTCACAATTGTGACGTACATGGTTCAGCTTCAGCAACCTCTGGGATTTTTGGGTAGCGTGTATAATGTTGTGCAGAACAGTCTTGTTGATGCTGAAAAAACTATGAGTTTGGTATGTCTCTCGTTGTCTCGGGCCTTGAACTTACTGATGGTGTCCTAGTTCCAAGAAATGCCTTCCGTGAAAGACCGCGATGATGCCATTGAGCTGCAGGCGTGCCGTGGGGACGTAACGTTTTCCAACGTACACTTCTCGTATACTCCCGGCTGTCCGACGATCCACGATTTCAGTTTAACTATCCCACAAGGTCAATCTGTTGCTATTGTCGGCGAAAGCGGTAGTGGCAAGAGCACTCTCCTCCGACTTCTCCTTCGATTTTATGACGTTGATCAAGGCTCAATAACCGTTGATGGGGTAGATATCCGAGATGTGACTTCCGAAAGTTTGCGTAGAGCTTTTGGTGTTGTTCCCCAGGAAACAATATTGTATAACGATACTCTCATGTACAATGTGCGTTATGCAAATGCCGGTGCGTCCGAAGAGGATGTGTACCAAGCTTGTCGTGCAGCACGTATTCATGAGAAGATTGAGTCGTTGCCTGAAAAGTACGACACCGCGGTTGGAGAGCGTGGTTTGAAGCTTTCTGGGGGGGAAAGACAGCGAGTGAGTTTTGCTACGAAGAGTCGGCTTTAGACATGAACTGACGAATCAGATCGCCATTGCAAGAGTTATTCTACGAGCACCCAGCATCGTTATTTTGGATGAAGCGACATCTTCGCTAGACTTGGAAACCGAAAAGCGGATTCAGACCTCTTTGGAGTCCGTCAGTCGCAGCAGAACATCTATAACCATCGCGTAAGTTGGTTTGCATAGTATGATGGGGCATCACGCTAACGAGAGAATGTGTAGTCATAGACTATCCACCATCGCACAGTCCGACGTAATAGTGGTTTTACATAAAGGCTGGATTGTAGAGAAGGGCTGCCATGCCGATCTAATGGCTCTCGGTGGAAGATATTCCCAAATGTGGGAAAAACAGAGCGAGATACGAGAATCACCCACCCACTCTGAGTGAACCTCGTAGTTCTTTCTGGCCTTGAAATGTAGGCCTCATCCAGGAAATTGTGAAAAACTGTTCTCCACGAATTTCATAAACGCGTTCGGGTACATTGTAAGATAGCAATATTTCGCGCTGGAGTTGAACATTCCGAATCTTATGTTTCCACCTTTTTCTCGCATCTGAATCTTCAGAAAAGAGAAAGTAATCATTCTACCTGTAATGAGATGTATGTTGAAGGGCTAAAACCGGACCCCTGAATCCAATCTGCTAAACAAGTCTTCCAAATGGTATTGTGAGCTCTTTCGAAGCTGCTTTCCTGAAAGGAGAGTGCCTCGCCTATTCGAAAGCGCAACCATGTAGACCCTAGCTAGCAATCGGAGCTCAAAACAAGGATCGGGGCCGGATTACTATTTTTGGATGCGGACATAAGATTTATGAAAGCGTGCATAAATTGTATGTTGAGATTGCTAATACGAGCATTCTACAAAGTGAATAGCGTAAGATTACCGATAGACTACCTCGGTTGCCGAGCGTTTGTCGCATTTCAAGGTGAAAATTCGGCGATCGATGACAGAGAACATGCGTTTCCTCGTTAGAAATAAGGTTTTGATTGTGATTCATCGTCCCCCCGCCTACCCAAATTTCCACGCAATCTACAGAAAGTTGGATATTCTTGTGCTGCCTCTTTTCCCATGCTGGGGAAAAGCTCAATCTCAACATTATGTCTACTGCCAAGACAGATTTCAACCTAGCGAATCTACCCGACGTGAAATATGGCAATACGTCCTACAATGGCGTACCAATCATCTACGTCGTCAAAGGCAGGTCTTGATCCTGTTTACAACGTATGACAGTTGGCTGATGTCGATGCAGCCTCCAAGACGTCATACATCAATTATATGAAAGTCCTGATGCTCGCCGAGGAACTGAATCTCAGCTACGAGGTATCAATCGTATCCACTAAGGACGAATGGTACCACGCCGTCCATCCTGAGCGATATGTTCCTGCGATCAAAGATCGTGATGCGAAGACGCTTGAATACTTTTTCGTATTCGAAAGCACGGCTTGCTTACAATACCTCGTTGACGCATACGACAAAACGGGTACGTGGTCTGGCCGGACACAGAAGGAAAAGGCTTTGGTGACGGCCTGGTTAGCATATCAGACTGCAGGAATAGGGTACATAAATTCCATTAAAAACTTGTTCTCAGTCTTATACTGACCTTCCACTGTGCGACGTCAAAATACTGGCTGTACTTTTCCGCGCTTCACCCGGAGAAGCTTCCGAACACTATAAAAAAGTACTCATCCTCCCCTGCATTTCGGTTTTTTTTTTGATTGAGCTAATCGCGAACTCAGACTGTATGAGAATTGTGTCAAGCAATGGGGTATACTTGAGAAACGACTAGCAGAGCCTGGTCAGGGGTTCATTGCTCTCAAAGAACGTCCGACTGTTGCTGACATCGCGTATTATCCGTTTGCGATGTCGTACATGTTCGAATTTCTCGGCGTCAACATTGCTGACTGGCCAAACATCATGAATTGGGCGCAGAAAATGGAGGCTCGGCCTGGAATTCAGAAGGTGCTGCAATGGGCGCCTACTATTGGAAGCTAAAATGCGTTGGTATTCCGTAACACCCAACGACTGCCCATGGCCCAATTCACGGGCAACGTTAAGATCCCTCTCATAACAACACTGAGTTTCTGTACCATTCACGATAGTTGAATCATCCCAATAGATCATTGGACACCTAAAAATGACCATGCCAAAAGAAATGTGATATTTGAATATCCATGAAAGATTGATGTTTTTGCTATTTTGGGTCGTTCGTATGGATGAAGGATCATGCGCCCGACGACCGCCCTTACCTTGGTATCAGCAATACGCTTTTGTTTTAGCAGACTCGCAAGACTTCTCTTGCCTTTTTGAGAAGGTTGCATAGATTTCTTGGAATTCCTTACCTCGTATCGTTGGCGTTCTCAGGCAGCCTATTCTCTGTCTATTTGTTAGCCGAAATAATCTTCTAGTTTCTTGATCATCCCATGCAGCTGAGCCTCTTTGCGTTGCTGTTTGTACCAGCGCGTGAATGCTGTACGAATAGCACCATACCCTTTTGAAATTGCGCCTCACCTTAAAGTTGCGGGTAGTAGGTGGCCATTTTATTTAATTGCCTTTTAATGGGCCCAAATTGGTGGGGCATGCAGGTGTGAAGATACAGGGTAAATTGGGGAAGGACTTCTGCTACTAGCCCGTGTGTTGATCATTCCGGGCGTTGGGTAATCCGAAACGCGAGTTGATGCTTCAAGTAAAAAAATTGCCTCGTGTAAGTTAATTTGACGCTCCGTATTCAGCTGGAATGTAGGCTGACTCAGTCGTCGTCGCCTAGATGATGGATTACTGTAGTAGGTCGATAAAATTTCTCAGAGTGGCTGTATTTGATTTACCAGCTCTATGAAGAAGTGGCTGTGCCATCTAGGGTTGTAAGCCTCAGTTCTTGTATGCAGAAACGGCAGATACAAATACATAGAATATGGGATCACGAATGAAATGAGGCTGAGGAGAACGTCACTGGTTGACTCTAAGATTGTGACAAGAGTGATAGAGTTTGAATTTAATGCTTAGCACAAATCACAGCCTGGTCTGACTTCATTCCATCGCCCCAAGTCAGTGATTACGCGTACTATCTTGGTCAATCCTCTGACAAAAATTCTAATGAGTCTTAACCCCCTGCTTGTTTGTGGCCATGTCTTTATTGAGCGTGGGGACTGGGGCTCTGGGCGCTTCTTCCTTGGCGCTCTTTTGAGTTTGAATTGCTGGGGTCAGGCCAACTTTGCCCCTTTCCAGTCTAGGAGCCATTCCGTTGACGGCTTGTCCTGTGAAGTGATTGAGATTGATGGTGGCCTGACACTGAAGCATTTTGCGCGCCTGAATCGTGCGAAGGATTCGTTCGTCATCCTCTGACATTTGGAGCTTGCTTCGCCCTGGAATCGGGTTGTTCATCTCCTTCATCAATTTCATGCCATGCTCTTCTTCGTCGGGGGTGACGTAGTTGTAGGATTGCATTGCGAATTCAACAGTGTTGGATAGCTCCTCTTGAGTAAGTTTGCCGCTGAAGTCGGTACCAGCTGTTCCTTGAATGACTATGGGCAACTTAGTTAAAATTCAGCGTTACTGAGAGTGGAGAGGAACTTACTTGGGCGATAATAGGAGAATGCCCGCTCAAAACCCTCTTCATCCCAATCGCTCAAAATCGGCTCGAGTTTTGCACGGATCTGCTTCATAGTCGCCAGAACAATGAGCAGAAACACAGTGTACCCCTCGTTGACCTTGTCGTTGTGCCATTTTGCTGCTGTGGCTTCGTCGCAATCGCCATTTCGAGCTGCTTGAACAGTAGCCACTGCGGATAGACTGCTTGACAGAGCAAGATGAACACCGGAAGAAAAGTAAGGATCAATAAAGCAGCCCGCATCGCCTACAATTCGAAGGTATGGCGACGCATACGCGCTGGCACTGTACGAGTAGTTTGAAGCTGACTTGCACTCCTTGACCATCTCCGCGTTCTCCATAAAACCTTTGATCAGGGGAGCGGACTTGATGCAGTGGCGATAGAATTCGACGTCAGATGGAGAGCCCATTGCCTTTCGCTTTCGAATGGCTACTTCTTGCTCCATAACTACACCGACAGATACGGTGCCATCGTGCAATGGAATGTTCCAAACCCATCCAGTTCCATCTATGCAAGTTAGCCACCATGAGAAAGGAGTAGAAAGCTGTATGCATACCATCAAGTGCTTCAAATAGCGGAGCACCTTCACGTTCGGTGCCCACGCCGTATGACTTTACTCCCTTCCAGTAGCTCCATGTTGCCAAGTTCTTCAGGCTTTGGTTGAATTTTCTGTTCTTCATGTATTTGGTGGAGAGGACGCCGGCTCTTCCACTGGCATCTACCAGGTAGTCGAACTTGATCGTACCGCGTTCACCGTTCTTGCGCGACCAATCAACTGATACAGGACGACCAATGTCATTGACGGTAGCAGGGTAAGGTTCGAACTGAACTTTATCGACTTTTGTTCCGTCAAAGACCTTAGCCCCGCACTTCTCGGCGTGTCGAAACATCATGTCATCAGCCTCAGAGCGAATGACGTTCCAAGAATGGTTGCCTGGCCCATTAGCAGCTAGGAAGTCGGTGTCTGTTATGTTCAGCAAACGTACTTCATTCGACAGTATCGGGGTGATGACGGACAGCCTTCTTGCTTATCGTTAATTTTGAAAGCCGCGCCTCGCTAATCTATCATTAGTTACCGCAAACAAGACTGCTTGGTTTACGCACTTTCTCATTGAAACCGTGGTTGTCAAACTCCGAATCAAGGCCGATGAACCGGAGGAAGAATCGTATAGATGCCAGCATGCTTTCACCTATGTGATACCTGGCGTCGCTCAGTGGGCGAACGTCAAAAGGTGTATTCGCAATCTTACCTTGGGAATGTTTCCGCTTCAAGCAGAACGACGTCTACACCTTCGCGGGCAAACGCTGCAGCAGCGAAGGATCCACCGGGGCCTGCGCCGATGACTAAGACAGAGCATGAGGTTGGAGTATCCATCGCTAATAAAGTATTCGGTTTGATTTTCTTAGCGTGTCAAGATAAAAATCGCTTGCAATACTTTGCTGTTGGCTTTCGTTATGAAGGGGGATGGCAGGTTTTTAGTAGAAAGGATAGGTGTCTTCGGTTACCTCTGAGTTTAGCGGGAGGCAGTGCATCACTCATCGATGACCGAGATTCTGGAAGGCGAGATTGGTCAATTTCATTGTATTATCTACTACTCGTAAAATGTAATGCCTCTGTGTGTAAAATAGCAAATTGACCGGATAGACTATGCAGCTGGCATGTATCATCAACCGGACACCGGCACTGAACTACAATTACGAAGCTTACAACGCAACTTCGTTTGCGGTGTTCGAACCCACATTTTCATGTCGTCATTTAACAGCTCATTCAAATCACCCCCTGGCTCTGCATTTTCGAGACTGATTCTTCCGACTAAATGACATAACAAAGCTCTCAACATGAAATCGGCAAGATATTTGCCCATGCACTGACGTGGACCCAGCCCATATCGCCACAATTGGTATCGGTTCTATATAGGCTGTCAGTAGCATTAGCAACTTCATAGCAGGCTTTACTCACTGATGCTTCGTTGACTTCTTGGAACCGACTCGGACGGTAATCGTGGGCATCTTTGCCCCAAAACTCTCGCCGCATATTGACGGCGAAAGTATCCACGATGACCATCGTCTTTCAGAGCTTACTCAGTATATTTTTCACAAATATCATGCAGATTTTCGTGAAGGGAGTGGAGATTCTTACGTTTTTAGGAAGCAACCAGTCGCCCACTATGCGGTCTGTGGGTGGGGCTTGCGGGATGGAGAATGCTACGAGATTTCATCAATTCATCTGGTTAACGCAGTTTTCGGAAGATACCATGACAACTTACAAAGAATTGGTCGATGACGAGCGGTCTCTTTGATACAAGCTGCTAGGTAGGTTTTGTCATTTTTGATGTAGCTCCTCAAAACATCCGGCCCATCTGCTGTTGCGTTTCCGATCTCTTCGTGCAATCGTGCCTGTACAGCGGGGTAAGCTGCTAGAAACACCAGATTCCACGCCACTACACTGCTTGTCACATCGAGATTGGCGAACAAAGCCTCATCCAGCGTTTGCAAAAGCTTCACATTTTCGTAAGTTCAAGCATACTTAATAACAAGGAGCCATTCACGAACCTGCTCCTCTAGTATTCCACCAGCCACCATAAGATTCCAGAAGGAAACTATGGGAACATCTAGCATTTTTGATGTCTTGTCAAGATAGACCTGTCTGTTAAACTCCTTCCACTTCGTTTGAAATTCGCGTAATAGATGGTTAAAGCGAGTAGGAAGGTATTTGGAGATCGCAAAACGCGAAAGGCCACCTTTAAAAACGTAGGTAAATAACTCGATTCGCAGAGGCATGATTTCTTTCAAGTTTTGGGTCTGACTTGCGTCCAGCTCGCCGTAAATCAGGGTTGCGGTGATCAGAAACGGGTAGAACTCCAAATCTTTCATTGGGTCAAGATGGACTTCTTGGAAGGTTTCCGCTCGAAAAAATTCGTCAAAGTATTGCTTCGTTACTTTCAACATCATCGGTGCGGAACTTTCGATGGCCCGGTGTGTGAACGGGTATTCCAACTTCGTGCGCGCTGCCTTCCACTCTGGTGGGGACAGCAAACCAATACACTTACCAAGAATTTGACTCATCAAATAGCCGGAATCGTTGTTCTCCGCTTTTGAATGGCGGTCGGAGTCGGAAAAGATTTCTTTCAAATGGATGGGATCCGAGACAACACTTGGTTAGTTAGCCAATGACAATCAGTCAGGAGTTTGTGCCCATACATTTCCGGGGTACTACCTGCCCAAAGGCGATAGATGTCACCGTACTTTTGGCGCCAAATTCGACTGTTACGTGGCCCATTAATGAATTTCGCGGTGTCTCCAGTACCATTGGGCCAAGTGTACGGTAGTGAAGGAATTTTTTTCTCTCGGGAGACGTCGCGAATCGGGTATTTCCAATGATAATAATGCTGGAGTGCTGTTAGCAGACGGTTTCAGATTCTGAAAACACATACGTTGAGTAAAGTGGACAAGAAGGTCACTAGCAGTTTCCTAACGCCAGTTGAGAAGCCTGCAGTAGCAATGACGATGCAAACACCAGATACCGCCAAGACTTCCATGTCTAACGATCTGTACTTCACAATTCTTTAGTCCGCAAATCCTGAATACAGGTGGAGAGGGAGTTTCCGGGAATCTTGAATATTGACATGGCCAATGTCGGTCGCCGACAAAAGGCACGAATCTGTCATATTGCCGAATACGCTACGTTGATGACGGCAGCCAAATTCGTTCTTTGTGATTGTTCAATGTCATTCCATTTAACGGATATGTTGGAACGAATACTGTGACTGATAGTTCCTTTTCATTTCCTAAAAAGGTTTACAGGATCTTCGTTTCAACATAACCATTCGTTTCGATGGCACGATCATCGGCAGCACAAACGTCTGACTTGAATTCGCTTTTGGGTATTCTGAACAAGGCTATCCCAGATGTTGTCAGTGCAGACCCTCGGTCATATGAAGAAGCACGCATCGAAGCCATCCGGGCGTGCGAAAAAATGACCGCCCTTTTACACGATCCGTTCCAATGGCTGTTCGTGGAGTCAGCCGCATACATCGTTCCTGCTGCGATGTCGGTCGTCTTAGAGCTCAAGGTCCCTCATCACATATCTTCTGACATTGAAAACCCCACCACTGTTGAGCAATTGTCCAAGGCTACAGGCGCGCCTGTTGGTCTGTTAGGTGAGTTGATCTCATGGCTGTTTCTTGAACAATGTGCACATATGCTGAATTCCAATTTTAGAGCGTATGCTTCGTATCTTGACCAAAAGGATGATATTTGAAGAAATCAAACCAAAAACATACATTCACAATATGTTCTCCGAGACCATTCTGGTGCCGAGCGTTGAAGCCTGGGTAAGCTTAAGGTAAGGAAGGTCTCGAATGACGCTGGGATCAAAGCTAAAGTAATATACGCAGTTCCGACGACAACCTCAAAGCCGCGGCTGCCCTGTTGCCTCTTCTCAAAGAGAATGGTTTCAAGATTCCTCAAAATGATGGAAACTGTGCATTCTCGAAAGCATTTCAAAGTATGTTATCCACATCGAAATTCCCGAACATCGCATTTAAAATCGCATCCTCGCGGCACATGTGTCGCTGCCATTCCGCTAACCTGGAAACCAGCTCCACTCAATCAATTCCAGTACTATTTTGACGTCGACCCTGAACGCAGCCGCAGAGCGGCGCTATCCATGGCAGCTTTCAACTCGACATCCATGTTTCGGGACTTTCCTTTCCCGTTCGACCAGTTACCACAAGACGGTGTAGTCGTCGATGTGGGTGGAGGAGGCGGTCACGTCTCAGTCGAGCTTGCGAGGAAGTACCCACATCTAAACTTTGTGGTTCAGGATTTGGGTGAGTCCATAGCTTCCGGTGCAGCAAACCCCGAATATGCCACGCTGCCCATCAAATGGCAGGAGCATGGTTTGTTCGAACCGCAGGCAGTTAAAGGCGCCGATGCGTATATCGTTCGTCACGTGCTTCACGGTTTTGAGGATGAGACTTCATCCAAGATCATTGGATACATTGCCAAAGCCATGGAGCCTGGCAAGTCCAGGATTTTGATCATCGACTGCGTGGTTCCGAAAGCGTTCGGTAGTGACTCTATACCGTTTGTCAACGCAACTGACATACTGGCTATGCTGGGTGGAAACGGAAAGCAGCGTACTGTAGAGGCTTGGGATGCCTTAGTTAAAATGGCGGACAAGCGATTGGAGGTGGTGAAAATTTGGCAACAGGGGCATCTGGCTTCCGCCGATGCAGTCATAGAGATAAGGACGAGCCGCGTGTAGCTATAAAAACCACGAATCACGAATCAAGAAGTTATTCGCATCACGTCTTGAGCAGTTGAAATTGGTTATAATTTTATTATCTGGTCTGCGGTCGTGAGCTTTTGTTGTGCTGGGGATGAACTATCGACTCAATTGATCATTAACAAACCGAACACGATTCCAACTCTCATGTCTGTGGTGTCATAGGAATCTGTCATAAGATCATCACTTACAAAGTCGCCGGCCTTTCGGGCATCGGGGTATACTTCATGGCCCGAACACGGGGAGGTGCTACTAAAAGAATGATATTCAGTTGACTTTCCTTTCTCCACCACCTGACAATTCAAGCCACAATGACAAACGTTCGCTCTTCAATGCTCTTCCTTGAGCCATGGCACGACAAAATTGAAAACCCATTCCTCCGGAGTGGCGCGCAGGATGGATACGAGGGCCAAAACTTCGATTACAAACGGTCCAATGTCGAGGTCACAGACGCACGAAAGACGATGAGTCAATTTGACCTGGACAAGAACGGGTTTACGTTTGTCAGCGAGACGCAAGCTGCGGCGCCCGAGATTCTTGAGAAATTGCGTCTCAAAGATAAAGAGACCATCGAAAACTTTTATTACGACAATATTGAGCGGTTGGTCAAGTCCGTTACAGGAGCCTCCAGAGCGGTAATTTTCGACAGCACGGTCAGGCAAAGGATCAAAGGATTGGCTGGAAAGAGCCCGACAGGGAGAGAACAGCCGGCATTCTCGGTAATCTCCGTGGGTCAAAAAGAACTATCGAAAACGTGGCTAATCATCTAATAGGTGCATGTTGACCAGTATGAATTCTTGGTGTAACTAGTCTGCGTACAAGATGACAACTGACCCACAATAAGATCCCCGATAGGCGCAATAAGACGCATTCACCAGTTGATGGGTGATGAGGCTCCGAACTTGCTCAAGAAGCGTTGTCAGATTCTCAAGTGAGTACAATCGTAATCAATCATGACAGGTGTGAGTGCTAAAGTGAAATAGTGTATGGCGTCCCTTGAACGGTCCCGTCGATGACTGGCCGCTAGGGTTAATGGATGCTGGCAGCCTCTCTGCGACTGACTGCCACCCTACTTTACTTTGGCGACAAAGCTTTGATTTCCGCGGATCGACAATGTTTGTCACCCACAATGATGCTCAGAAGTGGTATTATCTAAACAAGCACAACACGGACGAGGTGACAATCATAAAGATCTGGGATAACAAGAAGAATGTGCAAGCAAAATGTAAGTTCGAGTAGTCACGACATGGCAAGTCTGTATTCACAAATGTCCAGGTTGCGCGCATTGCGCCTTCGAGGATCCAAGTACGTCGCCAGATGCATCGTTGAGGGAAAGTATTGAGGTACGATGTTTGGTCTTTTACGAGGAAGAGCTTGAATGAAAAGATGTAGACATCATTGAACAAGGACCGTTTTTGATTCAGTTATCTTTAGCCCCATCGATATTCGTTGATGTATGATTAGGCATCAGTTGCCTCCATGATTAAGTGTCACACATAGGAATGTGAACAGAGAACCGGTAATACATAGTTTTGTGCCATGATCTTCGAGGGAAGAAATTCATCACTCATCAGATGAACTTGTCTCCATGAAACCGCCTCGTACATGAGGTTAAAGTTGGCTGACGATGCCTCCGGAGCAGGCCGCTCCTGCTGATACGGCTCCAGCGACAGCTCGGAACATTGTACTGATATCTCCTGCAGCAAAACAGCCACGAACATTTGTTTCATGAAATGGAACGCTGGTCGCAACTGCGGTGCCGGTCTCAGACAACTTCAAGTTCAATTTGCGCGCATAGTCGATGTTTACAGTTGCTCTTGGCTGATGCGCAAAGAATCCGTGCTCAATCAACTCGCATGTTGAACCGGTGTCGAGTTCTATTGCTGGATGAGCCCCGTTCAAACCCGGAACTAGTCGTTTGATAGTGCGCGAATCGATGGTGATATCGGAGTATTCCTGAACCATTGGTGCCAGCGCTTCTGCGACTTCCTTGGAGCCGTTTGTGTACAGAATCACTTTCCGTGCGAACGGCCTGCTCATCTTGGCGAAGTGAGCCGCCACTAGAAATTGTATATCATTAGCTTACGTTGGTTAGCTCCCCGCTCTTGATACGTACTGGGGGGCACCATGTTGTCCACTGCGATGACGCCAGCTGAGTCGGTGCCAGAGTCTTCGAAACCATGGCAGAAGAGGCAGTGGTATCTAGAGTTGAGTTAAGCTTTACTGCGGTCTTTCAAGAGTCGTTTGGTTAGAGCCAAAACTCACATGTTCATATTCAACCACGTTTCCTTGAAACCCGGAATATCAGGCATGATGTCGGTAACTCCAGATGCAATCAAAAGCTTTCTGCCATGCCACTCCTTTCCAGTGGAATCAATGGCAACGAACAATCCAGACTCATTCTGTTCGACAGACTCGACGCGTTGCTGAACGTATTCGGTTGTGCTATAGCGACCACGAATCAATTCGTCCAGTGCTTTTGCGCGGAAGTCGGATGGTGCTTGGTGGTCCCAGGTTGGGAAGTTGTGCATATGTGGAGTGATCGCATTGCGATACACTTTGGAATCGAAGAGTACAGCAGTCCGACGCTGCCTGGACAATCCCAGAGCAGCCGATAGACCGGCAGGGCCTGCACCTACAATCAAGGCATCGACGACCATTGTAACAAGCATGGTGACGGTGATGAACAGCTGTGACGGGAAAACTAGAAACAAGCCGATATTCCGCTGCGCTTCGATGAGTAGGATCGAAAGAATCGCAAAACAGCAAAATATGAAGAAGAATGAGGTTGGATGTCCGGAATCGGTTGTTGAGAGCTGTGGCGTGTCATTGAATGATAGGAAGGGAAGTGGCCCTAGTTACCTACGGGTAATCAGCCAGTTCAACCAATCGGAGACTTCAATCTCATGGAGAGAGCGTTACCGGGTAAGTCAATAACTAGGCAACCGACAGTGCCTACTTACCCCACCGAGGGTTCCCCTTCGGAAACTAATTGCATGCCATCAAGGATGTCGACAGAGCAAGATCCATTGCTTGCGCAAGATCATGTTCCTCCCAATCATGATCAAGAGAATGACATCAGCCACCAGAGCGACGACGAGCTGTCAATTTGTCATACACCTCTTGTTGCTTTCTTCAGTACCTTTGGCATGAACGTGGTAGCTGCCTCGAGCGTCTTCGTTTTTGCTCGCATTCTGTGCAAAGATCCGTCTTCCTGCTCTTCAGAAGAACGACAAGCCTTCTCCGGAACTCTAACCAACGCAACCATCATCGCAAATGTTTGCGCTATTCTCGTTATCCAGCCTTTGAATTCGGTTTCGAAAAAAAGATCGAAAGTGGTATTGCTCTTCTGGCTTGTGTGCAGAAGCTCCGCTATTGGACTGCTGTGGGTTGCGGGTACGCGTGATTTTCCACTACATTTCCCCATATTAAAGCTAACGTTCGGGATAGCCAGGTCCAAAAGCATTGGTATTGTTCTATTGAGCAAGGTCCTGGAGGGCACAGCTACCGACAACATCCTACAATTTGCGCTTAGTACCATCTACGCCCGCAGCAATGATCCCCGGCAGTTCTCCACTCTCATGTCCGAGTCCATGGCATTCTCGCTCCTCGGATCTTCTCTGGGACCTGTTACAGCAGGACTTTGTAACAGTTTCAGCATCAGGATCTTGATCTCGATTTGCGCCATGTCCTGCGCTGTTTTTTATGTCGGGTTTCTCACCACAATGAGCCACGGAATAAGAAAACCCAAAAGCCATCCCATTGACACCGAATCCTTTCCGAACACTGTAGCGAGTTGGCCCATATTGACCATGCTAAGGGGGCTTTGGGACAGTACTTTCTCCCATCTTTCCATCGTTCACAAAGAGCCAATCTTTCTTGTCCCAAGCTTATCCTTGATGGTATACACGATGGGGCAAGCATACGTTCTGCCAGCGCTCATGGTATACACTTCGGGCCGTTATGGTTTCACAGATCGTCAAAATAGCTGGTTGCTATCACTTGCAACAGCCGTATCGGCATCCTTTGTTTTCGCTATCCGGTTAGTACAGCGAAAACTCAGAAATGACGCGGCACATGTGCGACTAAACATTATTGTGGCTGTCATGGGAATCTCTGCGCTCATGATCTCCTTGCCCTTCATAGCGTATACGCAAACGGCATGGCAAATCTATCTCGTTGTAGTTATGATGTCTCTAGGATTTTCATCAAGCAGTTTCATCAAAACGTACGCCCTCTGCCAACTCCAGCATCCCAAAGACGGTGCCGCCGCCCTCGCAATCTTTGAGACCGTGGGAAGTTTCTTGTCTCCTCTCACTCTCGGGTTTGCGCAAACCCATTGGCCAGAAGGGAAATGGACTATTGTTTCGTCGGCAATGTCAGCTGCTGCCATCATCATGCTCTGCGCAGTGCAGATGCGCGAGATGTCCATTCGGGGCAATTATATACCACCACGAAATTAATTCGAGATGATTTGTCGCTTAGCTGCACACCGTAGTCTATTGCTTCTTGATTAGATCGATTAGTAAAGGCAGTTCAGGCAAGGTGAAACAATCAATGGAAAACTAGTGAGCATGCGGCGTGAGCTACAGACTATCTCATAAGTATCACACATGGCACGAATATATTCAAAATACACGTTGCTATTTTGCATATCGTGGTATCGGATTTACCCTCTTATATTACATGCGATCACGTGATTCGGTAGCATTGTATCTGTTGACCTAGAAGTCGTCGCTCTTTTTTTCTATTACCATCATTTTCACGCCATAATTTATTCCCTACCAACTTTGAGCCTTTGTATCATGGGCAACTCTCTTCACTGCTACAGTAAAGTCGACGGGTCATACCATACATACATACATAGTCGCCGAGCCACGTGATAAGATCTCGCTGACCGAGGATTGCGTTTATGGATCTCGTTTATGGCAGTCACGGTTACTGCACATTAATGTCGCCGAAATGTCGCCGAACAAATCACAACTTCGTTAGACACATTTCTATACCTAGCGATGCATAGAGTGACCCAAGACTAGGTTACCGGTGTAGGCGCTGTTCATGAAGCGAACTCTGATGGACGTAAAAAGCAAGTATATTGATCCGAACATTAATGTCGAAAGAATAGACGTTCTTCATACTATTGATATGCTGTAACGCAAACTCGTTCTCTGAAAAAGCTTGTTTTGTTTTGACCCCACGGATACAATGAGCGCGTCAGACACCCCCCGCTCAGATGGATTCTTCACCTTCCGACGAGCGCTCCCTGAAGATATTCCAGGGCTGAGGCTTCTTTTGACGGCTCTCTTCGAATCGGACAAGTTTGGCAGAGATCTGTCCTTCAGCGAGTGTGAGATGGAAGACTACCTTGACTGGTTTCTTCCCAAAGCGCTGGTGGACTGTTCAATCATTCTATACGTGCTTCAGTTTCTCCCGACAAGCTCTTCCCGAACATACAAGCCGAAAGTCATTGGATGCTGCTACGTCTCCGTCAGCGACTCCTCTATCGTGCCGAAAAGAATTCAAAGTCAGAATCATATGTTCTGGATATTCTAGATCATCGCGCTGACTTTTTTGAAGGTCTCGGCTTCATGAAATTGCATGTTGTCAATGCACTGTCGGATTTTCAGGTATGGCCAAATCGACAAGCAGCAGAGGTTCACCGAAAATTCCAGCGTGCACGCGAGACTAGGGCCGCAATGAGATCACGCGATGATGCCACAGGAACTTCAGCACTTGTGTTGCTTGCTGCTATACAACCCAAATATCGCGGGGTGGGACTAGGAACAAAAATGGTGTCGTGGGCGAAAGAAGCAATCTCAGCTCTGGGTGTAGACACAATGTATCACATGGGGAGTCCCAGAGAGGTAGAATTCATGCGTCAGTGCAAGATCAAGTCAATTGTCATGTCAGAGTTCTGAGATGTCAGTTGTGCAACAGCTACCTAGTTATATATTTTCTTTAATGCCGTAAGGTACTGAGAGTAGATAGTTATTCGTCAAATTTGATTTCCAAACCTTCTCCGATCAACAATCGTATACTACCCTCCCATCAGTGAGATACTCATGGTGACCGCCTAGCTAGCTCTGCACAAGTACTTCCTCGATGATTGCGAGTCCTTTTTTCAAATCTTGGGGTCTAAGAGCAAAGGTCAAGCGGTACCAGCCAGGCTCTACAGACGAGTATGACCTTCCCGAACTGATAGCCACTCTGCGCTCGGACAAAGTTGCTGCAAGCTCCGCCTCGGCCTCCCAAGTCTTGACCTTTGGTGAAAGCTTTGCCCAAACATATACACCTGCAGCTACTGGAAAGTATTCTATATTCAGGCGTTTGAGGAACGTAGACACAACATGGTACGCCTGACTCAGGCGGGTCTTATTAAAGGTGATGATGTCACCCAGAAACTTTCTGTCGGATAGCATTCCCCGTACCGCAAGGCTGGAGAGATAGGATACTTGAGTGTTGGAGGTCATGGAGACTCCAACCACCAATTCCCGGTTCTGACTTGCGAAAAACCCCTATGATTTTCCTTGGGGTTAGTGGAACATCCGTCTTGGAATGTGCGCTCAGAAAGTTAAAAAGTTATGGGCTGGCTTACAACTCGAAGTCCGTTACACGCTAGGTCTTTACTAGCACTCCACATTGTGTGCAGTCGCGATGGTGAGACACCTATAGCTTTCGCATCTAGCCGAAGTATACTCGTGAAAGGAGAGGCCTTTGGTAGATCAGGCGATTCGAAAACAGAAAGAGCGTAAAGTTCATCAGACAGAAGATGCAAGTCGTGCTTCTCACAGAACTGTGCTATTGCCGCGAGGGTGTTTGCCGGGTAACATTGACCGAGAGGGTTATGAGGATTACAGATGACAACTGCCTTTACAGTCGTATGTGCATCATGAAATGCTTTTTGGAGAAAATCCACAATCTTCTCGCTGAATGCGAGTTCGTCTGGAACTTGAACAGACAGAATCTGGACTTTTTGGAGTTTGAATTGGAAATGAAATCCGCCTGTCGAGAAATATCAACTGTTAGAAAAAATACCCTGGTTGACCCGGTTGGAAGACTGACTCACTCCAGAAAGGCGCAATGACCAGTACTCCATCTCCTACGTCACACGTGGTCGCTAAGAAAGACTCCAAAATAGCACCACCTCCAGGAGCAGTGCAAACACAAGAGGCGTCCAATTCTTGGTGTGGATTGAAGTAAGACTCAAGAAACTCGCAGAACGCCTGGATGAGATCAGGATCGCCCGTAAATCCTCTTTGATAAGAGAGACCCTGATGAAGTACGTCAATGTTGTGTCAGACATTTTCTCGGTAGTTTTCATACTTCAGGTGAGATGGTTTCCTTGACTGAGTGAATACAGAACTGTATCACTTCTTCGCGGATCAGCCAATTTTCCGCCGTGCCCATGTCTATTAATGGGATTTTGGACGACCGCTGCGCGACTTGAACGGCAATCTTGGGCATCAAGACCCTGAGATCTTCAGAAACTCTGTTAGATAGCGCCATTGTACTATCGAAGTGAATAGGCTTGGTAGGTGCGATGGGTTACAGGGTGATGAGACTGATTGGGGCGTGTGCGGTAGCATTGAGAACATGGAACTACTCATTCAAATCTTAGATAGTATCGGTTTCCGAACGAACCCGTAGGTAGAAACAGCAGGATTCGGTTGCGAGTCGGACCCCGACTAGATCTCACTTTTGCCATGAGTATCAGTTGTGCAATAGGATGAGGCTTATACATGTTGCATTGTCCCAACCTTCGGCATTTCGGGAAAATCGGGTCGAACATTCACTTACCTATTTTTTTCTTCATCTAGTACAACTGTTTCTTTATCGAGCCGATATGGAGAATCCCGCCGATAATATCTTGACTCTATTTTTCGACATCTGTCGAAAACACCCACTCAGGATCGCGTGCGACGGGGAAAGAAAGCTGAGCTATGGAGAGCTCGATCTTGCATCATGCGCGGTCACTCAGCAGCTCACTACGATGGGAGTTTGTACAGGTGATGTAGTTCCGATTGTCACACAGTCCAGTGTCGAAATGGTGATAGGGATTCTGGGGATTCTGAGAGCTGGTGCAACGTATGCTCCACTGGACGTTTCGCAATGGCCTCTTACAAAGATTTGGACCACAGTGTCACGTCTTGGTTCCAGGATTGTGTTATACTCTGGGCCTGAGGTAACTTTTGGGTCGAATTTGAACACACTAAGCGTGGAGGAAGCACTGAGAACGTCGACAAACACCTCCCGCCCCGATCACCGCAATTACACGCTTAGGGATAGCCTCGCGTGCATAATATTTACGTCTGGTACGACGGGCGAGCCCAAGGGTGTCATGATAAGGCACTCTTCGTTGTTCCATTTTGTAACCTCGCCACCATTCAACTATAACGTTGTAGGAAGTGACCGTGTACTTTTGGCTCTCTCATGTGCATTTGACGGTATGAGACTTGAACAATGGCTTGAAAGGTTCTACTTGCTGACTATATCTAACAGCATGCATGGGAACAATTTTCAGTGTCTTGTGCAATGGCGGTTGCCTTGTCGTGGCAGATGGCACAAACTTCTATGCGCGAGTTAGGGAGTGCACTGTTTTTGTAGGCACACCATCAATCTTGGAATCCCTTGACCCCCCATCATCATCATGCGATTACCCCTTACTCGACAGACTGATACTGGGAGGGGAAACGCCGAGCAAGCAACTCCTGGAAAAATGGGCCGTTATAGGAAAGCCGATATGGATCGCCTATGGACCTACCGAAGCAACTTGCGCAACTCTAACCGGCGAGATCACAGCCACTAGAAATACGGGAATTTCTGACCCAAGGATTCTCGGATTTCCGATATCTGGTGCCAAGATCTCTATTGTCGATAGGAACATGAAACCAATTACAACACTTCAGGAGGAAGGGGAGCTTCTAATTTCAGGGCCCGGACTGGCAAAGGGATACTGGCGCAATGACCAGCTAACCACCGAGAAATTCATTCTATTTGAAGGCACTCGAGCCTATAAAACCGGCGACTATGCTAAATGGACGGAAGACTTGCATGGAAACCGCACCGTGTATTACTGTGGCCGCAGAGACCGTTTGGTGAAGATTCGAGGCTTCCTAGTCAATCTAGAGACGGATGTGGATGCTGCCGTATTGAAACGCATTCCAGAAATACAATCAATATATTCCTACTACGACGGTGTAAGAATCTGTACTGCAATCAAGCCACAGGATCTCGACGAGTCGTATCTGCTCTCGCAGATGCGCCTTTTCATGCCGCAGTACATGGTCCCGGAAAGAATATTTGCTTTGGGGAGTTTTCCGAAGAACTCACATGGCAAAACAGATGTGCGAAGGCTACAGGAGATGCTGTCCCAAAAACTGGAGAGTGAAGTCTTGCAGCAATGCGAAGGGGTGTCCGAAACTCAGCTTGGCAGAGATCTACTTGACGGACTGAGTGAGATTTTCAATGCTACCGCGAAGAATGTCTATCCCGCTCTCTCCTTCATTGGGAACGGCATATACTCATTGACGGCGACACGTTTGTGCTTTTTTCTGCGAAATCGAGGATACAATTTTCGCCCCATAGATTTCTTGTCATCCTCCTCCATCACCTCGTTTATCCAGGCGAATTGCACACAAAGGCCGAACATAGTTGATGGTGGCGATAAAACCCTCACAAACGTGGATACGATGGTGGATTACGCTCCCTTAACTTCCCAGCAGCTACGATTGATTCATGGCACTTCGAAACAATCCCACTTCAACATTGTCAATTACATCTTAGAATTTGACCGCCGGCACTTGAGTCGTCTCCAAAGCGCGTGGGGGCTCTTGGAGCAGGTGGAGCCGATATTCCGCACCGAGATTGTTGCCTACGAAGGCCAATACATCCAGCGGATCGCAACTAAACCGTGCTCATCGTGGACTCAACATAACATCAATTCCGCAGAGCTCGAGAACGAGGTCTCCAAGGTCGCAACGAGCACACAACTCGGGCATCAATTCACCATCATGAACTTTCGAAACTCGAGCAGGGCTGCATTTGTGTGGTCTGTTCATCATGCATTGATGGACGGATTCTCCGCTGGTATTCTTCTCAAGAAGATCGAACAGTCCATGCGGGGGGAGACCTTCACTCCTTCGAGACCATTTCCAGCAGCGATCCAATCAATTCAAGCTGCCTGGCAGCGCGAAAACAGCACAAATCAGACCTTTTGGGAAGAGCAGGAGATGCTAGTTCCTCAAGTTGCAGCAGATCTCCCAGTTCCAGAGCCACAGAGTTTGGCGTCTGCTTCGACTCATAGAACCTGTTGCGTGAATTTTGACGATTCTGCAGCACAAGTGGTCTCACATTACTGCGCCAAGTATAGTGTTACTCCTGCTGCGATTTACTATGCAACATGGTCTCTACTCCTGTCAACTTATACAGGTTCTGATAGTGTTGTTTTTGGCGCAGTTTTCTCTGGTCGGGCTAGTGTCCATTGCGATATCGACTGCCTCGTTGGATGCTTACTCGACACCTTACCTCTGCGTATTCGCGTTGAGAGAGATGACTCCTCGTCAAACCTTGTTCAATACGTACATGATCTGATACACCGTACTGCCAAATTTCAAGGAAGCTCCAACAGCATTACCCAAACCCCCTACTCGACGGCAATCTCCTGCGATCCGGAACGGTGTGATCACGGTCTTGCAGATCTGGGTTTCAGTTCACGGGTCCTTCAGTACCCAGATTTGCCATTGCTAGTCATCGTTCAAGAGGATGGAAATGTTTCTCTCCTGTACAAGACAAACACGTTCAGCGAGGGGTTTATGCGGGACCTAGGAGAGGTTTACAAGAACATATTCATGGCAATCTTGGCGCCACACCTTTCGATCCGGGAAGTGCTGCGGCAAAAGTACACGCGGGTGAAGCAGCAACATATGCTTGAGCTCGGGCACCTCGGCAGCAAAGAAACTTACACAGCTTCTGTCGGGTCATCGTCCATCGCAACTATGTTCGAAGATGCAAGCAGGCTCTATGCGTCTGAGATCGCGATCGAGAAAGGAACCACAAGATTGATGTATCTGCACGTCAAGGAGAAAGTGAATCAGCTCGCTCTCATCCTCCAATCACTTGTGCAGCCAGGAGACATCGTGTGTGTCTTGGCGGATCGATCGATCAACTGGGTCATCAGCATCTTCGCTCTGTTCAAGGTTTCGGCCGTTTATTGTCCCATCGACGTGGGCTATCCCAGCAACCAAGAGAAGATCATCCGCCTTTCGCAGACGAAGCTGGTTCTTTTCGATGGCATCGAACAAGGAGAACTATTACCACATAATACTGTTCCCTTGTTATGCGTTTCCGAAGTTCTGAGAGATTCCAAACCCACTCAGTCAATAATAGAAGCAAGACGACTCCCAGAGCCGGAAGATGCAGCTTTTCTGGTTTTTACCTCGGGTAGTACTGGAGAACCAAAAGGCAAGCAAGGGAGAGTTTCTTTGAAAACGCTTGTAAGCTAATCAGCAAAGCTCAGGTATCGTGATAGAACACCGCTCTCTTGTAGCGTTGGTAGGCAGTTACAAGGCCCTGTTTCCAAATTTCCAGGGAGCTCGCATTGCCCAATTTTTATCCCCAGTATTCGATGTTGCCATGCACGAGATCCTATGGTCGATTGCGTCGGGCGGAACTCTCGTTCTTCGGACAGACGACAGAAACCCGTTTTCGCATATTGGGAACGTAGACACGATCATGGTCACTCCATCTGTAGCAGCCAATCTAGACCCCAAGGAGTATTCCCATCTGCGCTATGTATGTTGAACCAGTATGCTACGACGCGGGATGATATATATGCAATGATAAATGTTAACATTCAATCTAGTTACATCTGGCAGGGGAGCCTGTACCGGAGCATGTTGTAAAGATGTGGGATTCTCCTGGTCGGGAGATTTTCAACATCTATGGTCCAGCGGAGGTAAGCAAAGAACCTTGCCACCTCTTTCATACTGTCGAAACGGAAAATCCCTAACAATTATGCAGGCTACAGTCGTGACCTGTACGCAGCGTTTGAAATCCGGTGAGCCAGTCAGCTTGGGACGTCCTATTCCTTCCATGCGACTGTACGTCCTGAACGACCATATGGAAGTCCTGCCTCCAGGAGTAATCGGCAACATCTATGTTGCCGGGATCCATGTCAGTCGCGGCTATCTGAACAACGAACGTGCGACCGGGTCTGCGTTCTTCGATGACCCCTTTGCGCTTCCGAATCCATCATCGCAGGAGCGCATGTATTGTACCGGAGATCTGGGATACGTGGACAGCAATGGCCGAGCGTACTATCGTGGTCGCAAAGACCGGCAAATCAAGCTGCGGGGATTCCGCACCAATCTCGACGATGTAGCGCACACCGCCCAGAGACTGATGCCCGCGCTCAAAAAAACATTTGCGACGGAAAGAGATGGCCGCTTGATACTCTGGATCGAGCCCGAGAGCATCGACAAAGGATCATTGCAAGAGCTTCTCTCGACTTCACTACCCGTACACGCAATTCCATCGACCATCGTTGCGCTGGAACGACTGCCGCTGAATCCCAATGGCAAAGTTGACTCCAAGAAACTAGGAAGCCTGGTACTGCCTAACCCGTCCAAAGCCACGTTAACCAAGTCATACACACTCTCGCCTGTCGAGAGCTTCATTGCGGAGGAATGGCGGGATCTTTTGAGTCTAGAGGAGACGGCGTTGATTCAGTCCCACGACAGCTTCTCCATGATGGGAGGACACTCGGTGCTGCAGCTCGCTCTCACCGCTCGTCTAAAGAGGAGATTCAAGGTACCTATAGCAGTGAAGGATGTCATCACGGCGCCGACCTTAGGGAAACTAGCGGAAAGAATCAACGAGAAGATGGTAAGCCAGCAAACCGCGTGCAAGGCAGCACTCACAGACATGTCACCACTGGGCCGACAACGTCTCTCACCCCCGGAACTGGACTGGTGGTATCGATACCAATCCGCTGAGGAAACCTCTGCATTCAACATACCATTTGTCGCTCATTTGGATTCAAGCACGAACTTGCGCAGGCTCAAAGTCGCAATTGAGTCCGCAGTGGCGCGCTATGAGGTTCTGAGATCTAGGTTCATTGCTTGCGAAGGCAAGGATCCACAGCGCGTTCTTTCCCAAAACCATATCTTGGTCCACATAGCAGAAGAGAAGAGCTTCGACGTCCAAGCGTTCCTGAACCGGCCATTCGACCTCACCGAAGATGCTCTGGTCCGCGTCACTTTAACGAAGCGAATGGTGGCGTTCTCTATATCCCACATGGTGATGGACCTGACTGCCCTTCGCCAGCTGCTCTCGGATGTTGCAACTGCATACAACGACGGAATCGGCGCCTTGCAACCTCCGTTGCGCCAGTACTTCGACATCCCGCAATGGAACGCCCCAATTGATCCAGCCAGCGTTTCCTTCTGGCGCTCCTATCTCGATGGAACCGATCCTTGCCGGCAACGGCCCCGCAGGTCCTACCGGGGATCCTCTTTGTTTGCTACCGTCGACGACGCCATCTATCGGCAGATCCTCACTCGGATTACGCGACAACATGTTTCTCTCCAACAATTTACCCTTTCCGCCGTGGGCCTTGTATTGCAGGCCTTGGTGGGCTGCACACCCCTTGTCATTGGCACACCGTACATCAATCGAACCCTCGAGCTCGAGGAGACTGTCGTTGGCCTCTGTCTTGAGCCCCTACCCATCCGCATCGATTGGCCTCTAAGGGCAGCTAACAGCGACGACCTCCTCATGGCTACGAAGATGTCAGCCCAGTCCGCCCTTGCCCACGCCGTGGCGTGGCCGAGGTTACTGGAGGCTCTTGAAATACCGTTCCCGTTGCGTCAGCAAGAAATCTTCGACGTGGTCGTGACCGTGCATGACGATCGGCGTGGGGTTCTCGGGCTGGCGATTCCAGGGTTGGCGGCGATGCATGGCCAGATGCCGCAATTGTATCCGCATGGAGCCAAGTTTCCGCTATGCTTTGAGTTGCAGGCATATAAGGAACATCTGACCGTGCGATTAGAATACGACACTGATATAATGCAGAGTATGCATGCGCGCATCCTGCAACGTCTATTATCAGTGGCATTTGAAGCGCTGTTGCAGGCTGACTCGACATATACGGAAACACTGTCGCGAATAGAGAATGCGCTGCGCAAAAGTAGTATGGAGAACTGTGTCCACCTCGAAGAACTACCATATATCGCAAAGACTCGTTTGGTGTAAGTAGTCAAGGAAGCAACTTTTTCCCTTATCCGTGTTACTCTTGTCAGGTATCAAATGGCAAAAATAATTGAAATAGTAGAGGTTCAGTCATGCATAATTGCTTTTTGTCCCTTCTACCGTCGGTAATCTTGAACATAATGATCTTGCTGTATATCCCGGTCTATTCGTCAAACCACGAATCTATGTTTTTCAAGTGACGCTACGTGACTCGGCTTCATCGTTTTCGTTCACTCGGAAGTGCTTGCTCCTTTTCTTTGACCCTATCGTTGCTCGTTTTTGTGAGCATCAAGCCATCATTTGGTTAGTAAAACTCTCTTTAGCCCCGTTTGATAACGTACTCTTACTGATAGATGACACGGTAATCAGACTATTTTTGCGCTTCGCCAACGTAGTTATCTGTTCTCTTCGTTTTTGCTGTCCACTTACCAGCGTTTCAAACGAAGGGCATGGTATGAAACACTAACGGCACGCGTGATAGAGTGATTAATGAGAAAAATGAGGTTCCTTTTCTCCAAAAGTCATACGGGCTAGGTATACAAAAGATCAGGCACTCTTGAAAGACAGTTTTGCAAATAATACAATACCTTGATGCTAGCAAGGACTTGAATCAGGCAGAAATGAAATCGAAGAAAAAGGAGCGATCACTCAGAAGTGAACAGTCATCGAAAACGATACGATTGAGTCACGTGGAGTCATGTCGTGGAGAAAAGGAACACATGAAGTTTGCAAACACTCTGAATCTAAAAGAAAAGTAATGTATCTACTTGTGGTTGGCCAGCTCTTTATGATGGTAAAATGTCGATTATTTATCAGTGAATGGTGGTTGATGGTTGAGAGCGTTGATCCGTGGTTTTACAACGATGAAACCACGGATTAGATAAACTTTCTTCCCTTATCACGTGACATCACGTAACTAATAGCATCATTTTTTATTTTCATGGGAGTAGTCGCTCCTTTCTTATTGAATCATAATTTTTTAGCTATATTTTTCGTCCTTGCCAGTATTGAGTTATCGTCTCATGGCATTATCGATTTTCAAGATAGTGAATCAGTACCATATTGGTACATTTCTACAATTCCTTTCCAAACACAGGCGTGACCAACCAATTGCCGAAATTTGTCATAGCGACACAAGCGCTTTCAGGCACCCTGGGCAGTCAATTTCAAACTTTTCTCATGATGAAGTCTTTTTTGTGCAGCTCTACGGCCTCACTTCGATGTGGCTGAGCATGAGGTAGATCGCGCGTTGCGCGTCTTGAGTCCTCGACCTGCGCCTATGCCGCGGGGCGATGAGCCCTGCCTCTCAGCTTGAAACGACCTCATTATCAATTCTTGACATTCACGCCGTGCTCCTCAGTGTTGACTTGCTTCTCCTGCTCTAATCCGTATTCCGTTTCCAAAGTTTCACGGAGAGCTAGGCTCTTTTCGCAAAACACAGCCAGAAATCCGATACCTGCTATAGCAATGGCCGCGTACCACAAGGTCCTCAAGGTATCTGTATAAACGCTCACGACCTCGGCCAGCGTGGTGCTCGACCACGAGGGATGTGTTCCGGTGGAATGATAAGCCTGGCCGCCGCTCAAACTCGCGCGTACATCTAGGTTACTGATTCGTCCTTCTAACTGGCCCCAACGGTTGTTGAAAATGATGCTTGGAATCGTGATACCCCAGAACCAGCCAAAGCTGCGTAAGAACGAATAGAGACCGACGGAGGAGGCAACCTCCGACTCGGAGAGTGAAGCTTGAATGGCGGGGAGAATGGTGGGAATCAACAATGCCTGACCCATGGCTTCGATTGCTTCAAACACAACCCATTGGACAGTAGGCGTATCGTCATTCAAAAGGGTTAGAAGTCCCAGGCCGAGCGTGCAGAGTATGAATCCGGTAAGATGAAGCGGCTTATATTTGCCAGTTTTGGAAAGAATAGCCCCGGTTATAGACGCTGCAGGGATGAGGAAGACTTGAAATGGGAGGAAGTTGATTCCCGATTTCAGTGGGGAGACTTTTCGGACGCCTTGAAAGTAGATAGGTAAAAAGAATGCAACCCATTGCATCAAGATGGATGCATCGAAGACGAGAAAAAAGCCGACAATGGACGTTCGATTGCTGAACAGGATGGATGGCACACTCGGCTCCTTGCAGGAGCCTGAGACTTCGTAGATGTGGAAAGCAATCCAGCCGACGATACCCAAGACTATGGGAAGGATGACTCGCCAAGAGCTCCAGGCAAATTTTTCGTCTGAGCCGCCGAAAATGAGGCCAACCAGGAGGGAGCAAAGAGAAGCGATAAAGAGTGAGCTGCCTATCCAATCTACCCGAGCAAGTGAAGCTTTCCAAGTAGCATTGTTTTGGTGGCGGAGACGAACAGAAAACCTCATCATCAAGATGACAAGTGCGCAGATGGGAAGATTCAGATAAAAGATCCATCGCCAGTCTGCCTCCACGAGAGCTCCTGCGATAACAGGTCCGACGACCGCACCGACGGCCGAACTGGAGAGCACGATACCAAGATATTTTCCACGTTCCCGCAATGGCACCAGGTCGCACACGATGAGTTCCACCATCAACAAGATGCCTCCGGAACCGATGCCCTGGATGGTCCTGCCAGCAATAAACATGGTAGAGTTATTGGCGCCTCCCGCAATGCCGCTTCCCAGGGCGAAAAGCGCGACGGATGCCATCATGGGCGTACGACGTCCGAAAATGTTGCAGATCTGCGAAAGCGGTGGTTGAACAACGGTTTGAGCCAGAGCAAAAGTATCTGCCATCCAAACATAGTCCATGGAGCCAGAGGTCCGGATTTCCTGCGTGATTCGTGGAAGCGCTGTGCCCAAGACAGTGCCCTCGAGAGTCGCGACGAAACCGATGAGATTCAGGGAGAGAATAGCCATCCAGAAACGCCATCCCCTGGTTTTTCTCTGGTCAGTCGGTTCAGTGGATGGCATCTTGATAGGCAAGTGAATATTTCTGGGTAACGAGTTCGTTTACAGAGAAAGCAGACGAGGGTTTTCGTTTTGGGTTGTGAAAAAGAATCAATGATATAGGGGGACAAAATGTAGGAGGAAAACATATGGCTAATGGAACTCATGTCAATGTTACAAAGGTAATATCATTAGTGTTTATTGCTGCATTGATGAGGAAGGAGATGACGTCAATGCTTTCCGAAAAAGTGTCCGACAAGTCAGCACGTGACTATACCTACTTAAGGCAGGCCGTTGCAACTAGGGGTTATTTCTCCCAACATTCTACGAGCTTTTGAGACTTCAAGTCACAAGTAAACTTTAGTGGCTCTGAGCGAGCAAATTGCGTGGCCATGGAGATGAGTCGCCTTGAGTGACGAGTTCCACCAATGTCGCGCATGGCAGCAATTGATTGTTTCCTGTTTTCCCAATATTAAAATCGCCACTCCGCTATTAAAGAAATGCCTTCCTTTCGCTTCTTGAATCAATCTCGTGATGCACAGCTCCTCCTATTGGATATTTGGCGGCGACTGCCAACTCTCCGATTCACTGCACTGGAAATTTTCCGTGCAAAGCACACACGCATACACCCACTCTATTAGAGTCGCACCACTCTTGAACATTCCTGGACTCAGTTTATATACCTAAAGAATTGGGTCTGTCCAGTGGGGTTACGTTACGGGCTACTTTACGGTGACTGGCCGGAGAGTTGAGGATTAAGTCTCCGGAACTCTCCCAGTGGTTCTGCGCTCACCGGCCCCGCCGAATTCTAAGAAAAAAGAAGGTTGGGACTTGGAAATGCAGATTACGTCCACTTCTGGGCGCCCACGTACGTAAACTTAGATATCTGGACAGCAAATAATTCCGCCCGTCGTGTAAAGAAAGATATGGGAGTGACGGTGGATGCTTCCCTCGTAAATCATACCTTTCATCTACCGCCATGGAGCACATCGGTTGCGAATGTTCAGCTACAAGCCGCCAGCGGGTGGCAGACTGTCTCGGTCAAGAGAAGCTTCCCCTGGACAGGATTCTAGAAGCCGGGTCCGAACTCTGTATTATTTTCGGCTCGACGACGGACTGCAACCGCTGCATCAAGACGAAGCGTATTTCCAAGTGGTTGATCCAAATGACCATTCGACTTATCTGTTTCTACGAAGCGGCTATCAATCAGACCCTGCCGAGCAGGACACCACCCGCTACGAGCGGCGAGGCGAATTCGCTTTCTCTTCAGCAGCCAAGCACTACAATGGGCTTCCCAGAAATGAGGTTTGGGGAGGTCCACATCGAGGGGCCAGAGGGCCATCTTCTGATCAAGCTCGCGCTAGTCGAGGCGTGCTCGCACCTCAACGAGACGATACAGATCTGGAAGATGACGTCGGACGAATCGTTGGAAGCGGCCGATCAAAAACACCTTGTGCATTACAACGACAGAGTACTGGGTCGTTGTCTGGACTTGCTGGCGAAGCTGATAGGGCTGTTGCGCCTCGACGGACTCATGGCCGATCAGTCTTGACTACTCTCCACGTCACGTGAGGAGTGTTGAGATACGAATCAATACAGTGAGTGCAACATCGATTGGCCGACCGGTCTTTTTGCACCTTCTACCCTTGTAACACGGAGGGGAGGAACGTGTATGCGTACATAAGAGGCCGGAACCAAATATGCCAATCTTGCCTACCAATGTGTGTACAGGGAGGTCAAGCATCCGGATATCCGATGTCGCATATCGGCAGCTATTATGTATAAGGTGTCTGGTGCTTACGACCTTAGCGTCTGTATAGCGTATTCATACAAATTCAACAAAGCTGTAGCCCTATCCACACGATCAACGTGAAATCGAATCAATCATGATAATTCAGAACTACGAAGATAGCTGGTCACACGTATTGAAGTGCTTTTACACAAATTATATAATAATTAGTACTCAATATTTCATTAAGTACTTTACTTTAAGCTATAAAGTTTTCAACTTTCTTTTTATATAGTAAAACTACTAAGTAGCTAATACTACTTAAAGTATTATTATTATACTATTAAGTTAATACTTTATAACTTTACTATAATAGATATAAATAATTTGAAAGAAATTCTAAGTTTTAAATAAACTACTCTTTATTTTTAGCAATTTTAATATTTACTAACTTAGTATTTTTTATTTATTTGTTTAATTTTTAAGTATTCAAAGTACTTATTTTTAGCTTTATAAAGATACTTATATAATTTAAGTATTAGTTCTGATTTAGTAATTAATAATAGCAATAACAAATAGTTAATAAATAAGTTTATAGCTTTTTATGAATCAAATATTATGATTAAAGTTCAGTAAAAGTAATTATTTACTTTTTTCTATTTCACTTACTTATAAGTAGTAGTTAGTTAAAAAGCTTTTAATATATTATTTATATAGTATTACTTAAATAGTTTACAGTAAGTAAAAAGTAAAAAGCAAAACTTTAACTTTTTTTAAATTATTTCTCTATACTTTTCTATTATAAAAAGTAGCTTAATTTTTGCTTTTATACTAATTTATAATTATCTTATTACTCTCCTTTTCTTTTTTTATCTATTGCTAGCCTCCATTAAGGGTGTGGTACAATTACTCTATTTTAAATACAAAGATAGCTGCTCTAGTCCCACTACGTAGCTAGCTCCCGATATGCGACCTCCCGATACTCGACCTCCTGTAGGTGCAACAATGCTGAAATGGTTAACTCCATATGTATCAATGATCTACGTGGTACGCGCTGACCCTAGCATGTCCATCTCGAGGGAATGCAGATCTGTCTTACAGGAGGCAAGCTCGTCGTTTTTGACCAGATTCTTCCCAGGACATCAAACATCGTTATCATACAATTATCGTGAGATTTTGCCACAGATTATGACTGCGCATAGGGGTACTCAGATTTCGCAGATGTTTAGCACCCCGTACCCAGTCTCCTACGCGAACTCTTTAACATCACTATCAAGATCTCGTGATAGTGCCACGTTCAAAAGAGCAAAGGCTTAAAGATCAAGCTCTATTAGATGTGTGGGATTGACGTAAAAATTGAACGCGAGGAGAATGTGATAGCTTAGCAGCTGACGAATGGACGGAGTGATGTCTGATTGAACGCTCCACTTATTCAAAATCGACGAGCTTGCCTCCTGTATAACAGATTATACGTATCCCTTGCCTTGATTGTGTCAGGTTTGGCTTGATGCAAACATGTATTGGCACATGGCCAACGCGCTCGCTGGATTTGCATACCGCTGTTTTCACACCCACGGATCCCCATGACCGGCGTGGTCAGCAAGCATTTCACGAAAAATAGATTTTAGTTAGCTTCGCTTTCGGATAGTTTAATAAGTGGGGGGGGGGGGGGGGGGAGAGGGCAATGAGGGGGAAGTGTCCCTTCTATCTAAAATCGATTCACATGCGTATAAGAGTCGATCATTGATCGGTGGTTCTTCTGTACTGTCTCTTGACGTGAACCAGCCCAGTCCCCAAGAAGCTGACTTGGTTCAAACCGCTCACTATATACTAACCCAAGAGATCAAGTAAGCGGATGGCTACTACTACGGCTGGCAAACTCGGTTCGGGCCGGGGACCAAAGTACCGGACGTCGTGTGACGGCTGTCAAGCCATGAAGATCAAGTGTGGTCAGGAGAAGCCCTCGTGCCGCCGTTGCTCTACCCAGCGACTCGAGTGTGTGTACAGTCTCTCCCGTCGGATGGGACGACCGAGAGAAAAGCGAAACACACAAGACGGAACAAGTAGCCGCCAGATTCATCTCCGTGACACACCTCCCGGCGATGGGAGCTTGGGTAACGCCTTGAGCTCTCCTGCACCAGTCGCGCCCTTGGCATCTTTCGACGCGACGACGACGACGACGACTCCTTCACGGCCCAATGACGTGACCGTGAACGTCAACCACCACGTGACCATTGCTTCCCCCTTCCCAGACCCCGCCGATGATTGGCCCATCAGCCCTCCAGAGACAGAACAGCATGCTTCGAAAATGGGCACATATGACTCCTATCCGGCCGATTCACAGCCGCCGCCGCCGCAAACGAGCTCGCTGGAGGATTGCCTGCAAATGTGTTCGCCCCTGGGAATCAACGGCGCGACCGAATTCGCCGATCTGTACGACTTCCTGGAAGACACCATGCCTCCTCTGTACGACGATGCCTCCCAGAGCACAGCGCCTCGGCCTACGTCGAACGCGTTCGACCTGCAGAACCTGCCTCCTTTCACCAGCCTATCCAGCTTCATAGATGACCCTCCGTTGCAATCGAATCTCGGTGCTGCGCAAATGACACACACTGGGGACCCATGCGCTTGCGCGGCGGGCCCACCCTCCAAAGACCCTTCGCAAGGCGACGCGGCAGGCCTTTCCGACAACCTCGCTAACACTGTGTCGGACGCAGCCTCCAACCCGGACCAGTCGCCCGCTCTCTGCATCGCGCCCGAAAAGGACTTGTGGTCAACTTCGGGCCGCTCGATTTCCGAGCAAAACTACCCCGGGACTATTCGCCCCTTCGCTGCGACGCAGTGCACCTGCACCACGTCAGTGCTGCAGAGCATCGAAGCCGTCAAGGATACGAAGCGCAAGAGAGGCCTGGTGTCGCTCGATAGCGTCTTGACGCTGGAGGCGGGGAGCAAAAGCTGCATCTCCCAGCTGCTCACGTGCCGAAGCTGCCGCGCGGACACGTCCACACATCTCCTAGGCCTGATGTGTATCCGCATGGTGCTGGACCTGCTGCACAAGGCGGTGCGCGAAGAATTCGTCCCACGGAAACGTGCATCGCTCGCACTCTCGTCTTCCTCCTCCGCAGCTGCTGCCGCCGCCAACACCCTCAACCACAACAGGTGAAAGTGCCCTTTTCCTCTCTCCATTCCCTTCGCCTTCTCCCCTTTGCCCGTTCCTATAAAACTGATGGTCGGAATCGCATAGATCAGATCTCTACATCGGCATTTTCAAAGTCCCGCCACTCGTGCGTTCGCATTTCTTACACCGCGCGCTCCAGGCGCGCTTCCGGAAGCTCGCAGCAATGCTGACCGACTGGGAGCACCTCGTCCGCGGGGATGATCCGGCGGCGCGTGCTGCGGCGGGCTATGATTGCTTCTCGCAGGCGGCGGCGGTCGTGCTTAGGGACGTGGAAAGCGTGTTGAGGATGGTTGTCGGCTGGGTTGACATGGGGAGTGCGAAGGTTTGAAGAGGGGATTTGTGGTCAATGCGATACTTTGCTTTTATCCAATGTGATGGAGTGTGCATGCAAGACAGAGTTTTGTTTTCATCTCTCGGTAATTGCCTTCGGTCTTGACCAAGCAGAGAGATCAATGGATATTCCCGTTGACGGTATTGGACAGCGCCACTGTATCTGGTCTAAGCTCAATAGCCTTTGCCCACACATTTCTCATGTCCACCACGGCCGCGACCTTCCACGCCGTCCTACCAGCCAGGTCCCTCCACTCGGCCACTGTGCGCTCCTGGCCGTTCACCGCTGACATCATAGTAACGTTTCCATAACGCCAGATCCTGGAGCTGCGTCCATCATCCAAGACCGACTCGATGATGATCATCCTCGCGCGCGGCGTCACACGTATGGCCTTGCGCACCACGCGCAGAATCCTCATCACGTCCTCGTCCCCCCAATTGTGCAGGCACCACTTCATGGTGTAGATCTCGTACTCGGGGACCGCATGCAGGAAATCCCCGACGTGCAGGGCCGTCATGCGCGAGGCGACATCGGCGAACTCACCGCCGTGAGCAAAAAACTTGGGCCACACCAGGTCGACGACGGACGCGAGCTCGAGCAATGCGCCGCGAAGCTCGCCGTGTGCGCGCAGCAGGCTGTGGATGAAGGACCCCCCGCCGCCGCCAATGTCCAGCACGGTGGCGTCGCCGAGCTCGGCCCACGCATAGTCGGCGAGTAGGCCGGGGCTCTGCGCGACGGCGCTCGCACCCAGCGCACCGTGAAACTTTTCCTGCATTCCCGGCTGCTGCGCATAGTAGGCGAATAGGTTCTGATCCGAGGCGATGCCCTCCGTCATCTGCGCCGCGCTGCGTGTCTCGCCCGCCCGAATGGCGGCCGGGATGCGCGCGGCGAAATCGTAGAATTCGTTGCCGTAGAGCGAAACCCACCGGTGCCATTGCGTCCAGTGTTCTGATAGCAGCAGTGTTGACGAGGCGTTGTTGGCGTAGCGGCTGGTGCCGGCGTCGTAGGTGAAGATACCGTTATTGTAGAGCACGGGCATGATCTGCTTGAGGCGGAGAGGCTGGAGCGCACTGTGCGCCGCGAGCTCGTCGAGAGTTTGCGGGCCGGCAGCTAGAAGGTCGGGGATTCCATGTTCGACTGCGGCACAGAGACACTTTGTGTCTAGATAGGCTGGTGTGTGGTGTAAGTTCGGACAATTGATGGAGGTGGTGGAGTTCAAGTACCGAGGAAGCTTTCGGCCAGTTGCGTCGCAGGAGGCTGTACTAGACGAAGCAATCGGTCTGCTAGATCGATCGTGCGCGTAGCCAATTCGGATGATTCCTTGTCCGGCAAAGAAAAGTCGGAGGCCTGGAGTGTCGAGAGGCGAGTGGCCTGGAGCGGGCCCGACAGTGCGTCTATCGCTTCTCCCAACGCACCGTTCACCTTGGTCAAGACTTGTTCCATTGATGTTGATGAATGGCTGTTAGCAACACAGATGCATGTATTCATGCTACATCGTGAATGGAAATGACTGGGGGGTAACCTCTTGAACCGTGTAAAGGCTTCAGTTTCCGGTCGCCGACGCTAAAGTAGAGAGATTGAACTTGTCGGCAGCCGAGCTTCGTGGACATTTCCGTGATACACTGATCAATCAATGATGGTCAAGAGATTCTTTCAGAAGCGTATGTAAGTAGTGGCCTAGGCAGTCTTGTGCTAGTGCTCGTCTCTGCGGAGTCCAAAGGCAGCAGATACTCTTTTTTTTTCCAGCATGGATTAAAGAACAAGACACGTCGGGTAATTTGAGATGTCGTTACTGTCACGTGCTATAGAATATTTCCGAAGAATGTCTATGGTATACACATTAAAAAGAGGGTCGGCGAACGATGTCCATTCATACTTTGACCAGTATTCATGATCAAATGTCAACCACTAAGCAGCAGGCGGACCGACCCTCCATGATTCGGTGAAGCCACCGTCCCAAACGTGCCATCGTGAGAAACAGTGCTGACATTCTGACAGTAACATGTTACAAGGTAGGCGCTCTACTTGCTAAGCTAATACTATATAGCTTTTTTTAACTAGACTAAAAAGTAAGCATAAGATTCTTAAGCTAAGAACCTGTATAGTATAGTATATATATAGTGTTAAAGTAGGTGTTGTTAGGATCTCAGGATACCCACAACCTCAGCCTATCATCTAGTTCACATAACCACGCAAAGAAGACACGGTAGGTCGAAGAACGCCGTGAAGAGGCCGTTACTGAGACCTGGTCACGTGGGCGCTCATGGACGAGCGGCTAACCAAGCGACCAATAAAGAGTCGCTCGCCAGCGAGCGTACCCTCACGGTAAGCCCACGCCTCACCCACTGTGAGTGCTCATGGACGAGCGGAAAACCTCATGTATATAATCAGTAGACAAGAAGCCCTTATGGTTTCTTGTATTCACTCTAAGTTACAACCCACTTCTTGGAAATACAATCTAGTTGTTACTTCAGTGTTACCCGTGTTACGAACCTAAGAATGGGGATGCACAGGTTATGAAGGAAGGTAATTACAAGAACACTCACGGTCAGCAAACAGGACACTACGTATGAACCAATAGACTTCGCCACCCCGCACGTCACGTGGTCCCACGAGTCTTGGCGGAAAGTTGCTGTGGGACAAGTCACGTGTGTCCCACAGGGTCCTACGAGATCCCACGATATCCCATCTATGAAACCCTATGGGACATATGGGAACTATGGGACAAAATATGTATATAGTCAGTAGACAAGAAGACCTTATGGTTCTTGTATTCACTCTAAGTTACAACCCACTTCTTGGAAATACAATCTAGTTGTTACTTTATACTTCTACCTTTGTTACTTCAGTGTTACCCGCTAGTCATCCGCGAAACCCAACCAGAGTTCTCCAAGATCTCAACATTGTGAATACCCTTAAGATGTCTAGCTTCAGTACCACTGACCAGCCTACCCTTACTCCCGATATGGACAACGACACCCCTGTCAGCATCAAGACCAAACAACCTGACACCTACTATGGGGAACGTGTCAAGCTTGAGGAATGGATCCTGCAACTCGAGTTGCTTTTCAAGTTCAATGAAAAGATCGAGAACGACGACAAGGCCACCTACGCTGCGACTTTTATGCGAGGTGATGCCCATAAATGGATCGCGCCTCAGCTCACCAAATATCTGGACGACGATATCGAAGACGACGAAAACACCACTCTGTTCGAAAACTGGGGAGTGTTTAAGACCAAGCTCCGCCAGGTCTTCGGAATATCCAACGAGAAAAATAAGGCAGTGCGTGAAATTCAACGCGTCAAACAGTTCAAGTCTGCCGCCGACTATGCTGCGAAGTTCCAACACTACGCAGTCCAGACTGACTGGGATGACAACGCACTCATGGCACTGTATCGCCAAGGACTCAAACCCAAGGTCAAGGAAGAACTCATGAGGTCTGGTGTGGTTATGGACACACTAGAACGACTCTACGAGGAAACTATCCGCATTGACAATGACTTGTTTGAGTTAGCCGAAGAAATGAAAGGGATCCACGGTTATAAATCTGCCTACGGAAGGACTCAGGAAGCTGTTCGCTATTTTCCCCAGGGAAGAGGCCGCAGCGTCCCTGTTCGACCCAGGGTCAGATACACCGAGGAAATGGACTGGACACGTGACGTTAATGCAACGTTTCCATCCAAGGCTGGAGATAACAATGGAAGAAAGAAGTATGACAAGAAGAGCAAGGACCCTAAGGGGATAACCTGCTACGGATGTGGTAAAACCGGCCACATAGCTAGGAACTGTCGATCAAAGAACAAGGTCACACGATTTGTCAACGTAACGACCAAGTCTTCATGCCCCGGGGGGGATGAAGGCGAATCGGAATGGGAAATCCTAGAACCCACGCCGGGTGAAGGACGACTCATGGTGGATGACCCAGATTCGGAAAGCGGTCCCGAGCATCATGAAGATGCACCACCACCTAAGAAACGTCGAGCGGAACGGAACGCCCGACAAGCTGCTGCAAGAAGCAGGAATGATCGACGAGAGAAGCAACGTCTACATCTGACACAGCAGTTCTGGGCTGAAAATCCTACGTCAAGGAACTATGCACCACCAGAAGCTAAACAGATGTACATTACGAAGAATCCACGGGGATTCGGATCAGACTCGGAAAAGGAGTACTTATCTCCTGAGGAACCCGATAGCCCGAGAGGATCCATCGAATACGATGATGACGAACTCGCTAAACAAATTGAAGAACTGGATCTGCCGAACGAAACAGCAGATGGTAATTGGAAAACGAATCAAACCAAAACAGAAGTCTTAGACCTATGGGGAGACAACTACGTACAACATGTCTCAGAACACTGGCAAGATTGTTGGAAGTACGAGGAGGACAGCAAGAAAACCAAGAAACCTGAACTGCCATCCATGCGTCAACCTATGTACGACGTTGACTCACGAAACCAGAATCATGGACGACTACATTTCAGTGCTTGCATGTACGACCTTTGCTGGACACACCAGTCAGACAAAGGTGCTTCCTATTATCCAAAAAACAATCTGCACAAAATCTGTGGATACAATTGGACGAAGTGTCACAACGACTTCTGTCCCATCCACCTGTTCGATAAGAGACTTAGTTCAAACTTTCCAGGCAAGACACCAAAGCAAACAGTGGATATGCAGATCGCAATAAACCGACAATGCATCGGAGATAACACATGGCAAACCTGCTTATGCGATGATTGCGAACGCCACTATGACGCTAAATGCGCCAACGGATTCAAACCAGTTCATTCTTTTTTAGGGACACGCCTAGCACCAGGAATACATACAGAACCGTATGTTCAACGAACTCAGAGAAACTAGTTAGGCTATCGGTTGAGCTTAACGGACACCATTTCAGAGCACTACTCGATACCGGTTCTTCAGTCAATCTCGTGTCAAGCCACGTGGTTAAGAAAGCGGGACTTTCTACTCGAGGAAAACATGAGCAGTACGGTATTCGAGCAGTCACCGGGGAGCGCTTACCCAATGAAACTTGGGTCGATAAGGAAACTAACCCAACGTTTATGGAAATTGGTGGACACCGGGAAGAGATCATCCTAGACGTTTTGAAGATGGCCACCTTCGACGTCGTACTAGGACTCCCCTGGTTACGAAAGCATAATCCAGTGACGGATTGGTCCAAAGGGACACTTTCGTTTGCGAACTGCAAATGTGCACGCAGTTCAAAGCCTACGCACCGCGCGCCGCGAGTGGTAGATGAGAGGAGCGTTAACGCAACAACGCCATCGCCTAAGATACGCCCAGAGAGAGCGGTCGACTCCTTAGACACTGGTTGGGTACCAGGTCACGAGAAGAGAGTTAAGGAGACCAGCACAACTCCTGAAGTCCCTGTACAGTATCGGAAGTACAAAGCACTATTCGAGGACTTAGAACCTGAGCTTGAATTACCTAAGCATCAGCCCTGGGATTGCGAAATAATCCTCAAGGATGAATCGAAACTGCCGATTGACCCATTGCGCCCGAAATCCGAATCGGAGCTAGCAGCTATACGAGATTACATCAAAGAACGACTGGCTAAACGACATATCCGAGAATCGGAGTCGCCAGTAGCACACGAGACCCTCTTTGTAAATAAAAAGAATGGGAAACTACGAATGTGTGTAGACTTCCGCAAGACCAACGACAACACGGTAAAGAATAGGTATCCATTACCTAATATTGAAGAATTACAACATCGACTTGCGAAGGCCAAAATCTTCACAGCTCTGGACCTTAGAGACGGGTACCATCTGGTACGAATGAAGAAAGGCGAAGAATGGAAAACCGCATTCCGCACTCGTTATGGACATTACGAATATACGGTTATGCCTTTTGGACTCACCAATGCACCAGCAACGTTTCAGGCACTTGTGAACAACGTCCTTAGAGATCAACTAGACATTACCGTCATAGCGTACCTAGATGACATTCTAGTGTTCTCAGAGAACGAACACGAACACCAGAAACATGTGCATTGGGTGCTCCAAAAGTTACAAGAAGCAAACCTACGAGTACGACCAGAGAAATGCGAGTTTCACGCGAAACAAGTCAAGTTCCTAGGATTTGTTATCCGGGAAGGAGAAATCGAGCAAGACCCAGAGAAAGTCAAAGTTGTCAAAGAATGGCCCACACCAAAGAACATCAAAGAAGTACAATCGTTCATGGGATTCTGCAACTTCAACAGAAGATTTATCCAGGACTTCTCTAGGATCTCGATTCCACTCACACGACTTACGAGGAAGGAGGAAACCTTCCGCTGGAACGAAGAAGAAGACGACGCATTCCGGAAACTTCGGGAAGCATGCGCTTCTGCTCCAGTACTAATCATGTTCCAATCAGGAAAACCAATGAGAATGGAGACCGACGCTTCGGATCTCGCATTAGGAGCATGCATCACACAAGAAAAAGATGGAAAATGGCACCCTATTGCTTACTACTCAAGAAAGTTCACGTCAACGGAAGAACGCTACGATGTCTATGATAAAGAATTAATGGCTATTGTCGATTCAATTCAGCATTGGAGAATTTACTGCGAAAGTTGTTCTGAACTATCAATTTTCACGGACCACAAGAACCTTGTCACCTTCACGACCACAAAGGACCTTAATCGACGACAAGTCCGATGGGCCGAGAAATTAGGACAATACCAGTTCAAGATCATACACACTCCAGGAAAAGATAACGGAAGAGCTGACGCTCTCAGCCGACGAACGGACATCGCAGGCGAGAAAACGGAAGTACGACAAGCGATACTTAAGACAAACCAGGACGGAACCATAGGACCAAGTCATTTCCAGGAAGTCAATGTTACCATGCAAATTACCAACGATGTACCAGAAGAATGGCAAGAACGCATCATACGCCAACATCACGACGACCCACTATACGGACATCCAGGAATTAAACGAACCATGGAACATATACGAAGAAACTACGACTTCACGAACATGAAAGAGAAAGTCACACAGTACATTCAGGCTTGCAACGAATGTAAGAAGAATAAACATGATACACACGCAAAGTACGGAAAAATGCAACCAATTCCGGTGCCTACGACACCATGGGAAGATATTGCTATGGACTTCGTAACAGGATTCCCTGCATCACAGGACCCTGTCACAAGAGTGTGGTACAATTCGATACTTGTGATCGTGGATAGATTCACTAAGTACGCACTTATGATTCCATTCCATAAGAACTACTCAGCCGAGCAGTTAGGACATATTATCCTAGATAAGTTAGTACGAAACTACGGGATACCAAAGACAATCATCAGCGACAGAGACAAGCTCTTTACCTCCAATTACTGGACGACACTGATGGCAACAATCGGAACGAAACGAAAGCTATCAACAGCTTACCATCCGGAAACAGACGGACAAACAGAACGTACGAATCAAACCATGATTACGTACCTACGGCTATACAGCAACCAGAACCAGGACAACTGGATTTCCTTATTGCCTATGGCACAGTTGGTATACAACAACAAGTTATCAGAAACAACAGGCGAAACACCATACTTCGCAAACCACGGAAGACATCCAAATCTCTTTGAAAAAACATTTCCAACAATAAAAACACAGAAAGCGTTAGAAAACGCAGAACAATACAAGGAGACATACAAAAAACTGGAAGAAAACATGCGAAAAGCACAACAACAATCAATCTCATATGTTAACAAGAAAAGAAAAATGGCACCTCAGCTAAAAAGGGGGGATAGAGTATATTTGCGAACAAAAAATCTTCGGACAAAACGACCAAGCAAAAAGTTGGACCACGTCAAAGTCGGACCATTTTTAATTGATGCTGTTGTCAGCCCAGTTAACTACCGACTCCAACTCCCAGAAGATGCAAAAATACACCCAGTGTTCCACATAGCGCTGCTGGAACCTGCGAACCCCGGAACGCCACTACAAAATACATTCCACTACGAAACAGAAGAAGAAAACGAATTCGAAGTCGAAAGAATACTACAATGCAAGTTAGACCGCGGAAGGAAAGAATATTTGGTAAAATGGAAGGGATACCCACACGAGGACAACAGTTGGGAACCAGAGGCACACCTGGCGAACTGTCAGCAAAAAATCAAACAATACAACAGGAAAAGGAGACCGCCGCTGATCCAGAACAACTAACCTCAAGAAGCCAGTACGGCCTCGTCAAATAACGGATCACCCTCCAAAACAGAGGGCATGTACGAACTCCAGTCCAGAGCCAGGGTACCAGGCATCAACCCATCCTCAAGGTTGCCCACATCCTTGTTGAGTCCTTCCAACGCCTCAAGAGCTTCAATTTCTTCAACGAATTTTCCTGAGTCATCCATCAGTTGCTGCTCACGACGCTTAAGTCTTTTCTTCTGTTTACGAAGACGGTCCTTCTTCGCTCGCGCCGCAACCAGGGCCTCCAACGCTGCTGCCTCGGCTGCGTCCGCTTCTGACTACAGGAACACACGACGTTACGCCATTGCGATAGCAATTCCCACACTCCTTCTTCAAAGAAGACATGCGACACTCCAAACCCTTTTTCGAACAATATTGACAAGATACCATGGCGATTTGTCCAACAGCGTTTATCCGATCCCCAGTGGCGTGACGATGAGCGGTGCTTTTGGAAACCATGAGGTCAGTTCATGAGGACAAGAACTTGGAAGAAGGGGGTAGTGTTACGAACCTAAGAATGGGGATGCACAGGTTATGAAGGAAGGTAATTACAAGAACACTCACGGTCAGCAAACAGGACACTACGTATGAACCAATAGACTTCGCCACCCCGCACGTCACGTGGTCCCACGAGTCTTGGCGGAAAGTTGCTGTGGGACAAGTCACGTGTGTCCCACAGGGTCCTACGAGATCCCACGATATCCCATCTATGAAACCCTATGGGACATATGGGAACTATGGGACAAAATATGTATATAGTCAGTAGACAAGAAGACCTTATGGTTCTTGTATTCACTCTAAGTTACAACCCACTTCTTGGAAATACAATCTAGTTGTTACTTTATACTTCTACCTTTGTTACTTCAGTGTTACCCGCTAGTCATCCGCGAAACCCAACCAGAGTTCTCCAAGATCTCAACAACCCGCTAGTCATCCGCGAAACCCAACCAGAGTTCTCCAAGATCTCAACAGGTGTATACAGCCTCTCTTTATAAGCAACCTTGCTTTGTAGTTATAACGTACGTAGTTTATTATATAATAAATTAGATGCTTTATCTATGCATTATAAAGTAGTTACGTAAAAAGTTAAAGACATTTAGCTTATGAAAAGTATAAATAGAATTACTACTATATTTAAAAGGCTTTTTACTTGCTTAACTAAATGCATTGAAAAACACACGTTTTTATTTTTAAATAGTAGCTTATTAGCTTATTATCTAAGTTGCGCAGCAATAACAGTATATAACTAGTCAATTAAATAGCTAAAATTCAAACTACAGCTACGCAATATAGATGTTACGAACCTGAGAACGGGGGCGGACGCAGTTTATGAGGAAGGTAATTACAAGAACAATTACGGTCAGCAAACGGGACACTTCATAAGGACCAATGGGCTCCGCCACCCCGCACGTCACGTGATCCCATGGCGGGCGAAGCCGTCGCCGTACATGAAGAGGTGGTGGGACGAGGACCTCACGGCGCTGCGGAAGTCGTACACGTACTGGAGAAACCGGGCGTGCACAATGAGACGGCAGGGACGCGTGGACGCAGAGCTGTTCGACACGGCCACACGAGCGAAGAGACTCTTCCACCGGACCGTTCGACGGCACCGGAAGCAGCACTGGGAAGCGTTCCTCGACGACAGCGACAACGTGTGGAAAGCGGCCAAGTACCTGGAATCGCAGGCGAGCAGCGCGTTTGCTAGGGTCCCGCCGATCAAGAAAGCGAGCGGGACGGGAGAGGTGGCCACGGAGAATGAAGAGATTGGAGAAGAGCTGCTGCGGGCGTTCTTCCCGACCCCACCGCTATGCGAACCGGAAGAAATTCCCACGGCTTACGATCAATTGCACTGCGAGCCAATCTTCAAGCACGAGGTGAAAGCAGCCGTCTTCAGGGCGAGCCCAGACAAAGCGCCGGGCAGAGATGGGATACCCGCGCGGGTGTGGAGAGAGGTGTCGCCCGTCCTGGGCGACGAGATTACGTTGCTGTTCGTTCGCTCGCTCGAGACGGGGAAGGTGCCGAAGGAGTGGAAGATTGCGAAGATCGTGCCGCTGCAGAAGCCGAAGCGGAGGGACTACACGGTGGCCAACAACTACCGACCCATCTCGCTCCTCCCCACGCTGGGCAAGGCGCTTGAGTCGTTGATAGCAGAAAGGATAGCGTACCTGGTGGAGGAGCACGGACTCCTGCCCAAAACACACTTTGGGGCGCCGATTTGACCAATTAAATCTGTGCCAGTAAACGAGCGCTTATTGGCCAAACCCAATAATTGACCTCGGCGGCAGTATATCAACGCGTCCCACCCCAACTTAGCTGTGGCACTCGATGCTATATTATTCCATGATTTCTGCGATATTAGACAAAGAACGGAGTCGTTCCTAGACAGTATCAGCAGAATCATCTCAAACTTGGAGAAGCCCGCTATTTCAATACGGGCCCCACTGCGGGAACTAAATTCGGGAGCCATGGCACATACGCAGATCAACCATGCCATTTGCCCCGAAACATCCTCAGCGCCTCTAGGGCAAGTTCTGAAGGCGTTGAGTTTCACATGAACAGACAAGATAATGAGCAAACAACAATATCAAAAAGGTGTAGGAATACGACCTCTTTGCTCTTCATTGATTATTTCTGCAACTCATGGGCTTGATTTCAGGTCGGGCTGTGACCTTGTTTTGATCTGTTTAATGCGTTCTAACATGACATCCGCCAAGTCGTTTGAGGAAAAAGAGCTGTTTTCAGCTGACTCCCGAATCCTTGTCGCAGTCTCCACTTATTCAAATGCCTCTTCATCTTCCGACACAAGTTTTGGCGTTGGTGTACGCTTCCTCTTGGACAAGAACGGAATGTTCTTTTCCGAAGAAATAGGGCTAGAAGGTGCTTCTGCAGTCTTTTCCTCCTCTTCTGCCTCTGCCAAAAGGCGCGCCAGTTCTGCATGGGAAATCGCGATCGCCCGATCGTTGGTTGCGCTTATGGTATCGTCCGGGCAAAAGTCTGAAAGTAAGAGGCACATGGACCCCTCAGATGTACCTGAATCTTCTATTGAAAATGGCTGCTCCTCAATCTCTGCATGTGCCTCCCTTTGCCAATCCCCTGTTTGTTCATCGCGAACCAGCCTATGACGATATATAGAATAGACCGCCGTGCGAGGCGGCAACGAGTGAGTAGCACGCTTACCTGGATCTCGGTATTCCAAATCTATAGCCACCACAGTCTTGATGCGGCCCTTGGTGCGCTCGATATATGATTCGGCGAGGCGCGGCAGGTCGCGACGTTTCTGTGAGTTGGCAACTTCGATTACCAGAGGCGGATACTTGGTGCCCGTGAAGCGGAACGATCCGTCCGGGGACTTTTTCCCCTCTATCGAAGCATCACTAAATCGAATGTCCGATGTGGTCGCCATCTTGATACGCTTTATTACTGGGCGTGTCCCTTCCTGCACCGCGAAATTTTCAAGTTCCCGGGCAATCACCTCTTGTAGCCTGATGGCAAAGATGTCATGCAACGGCGAAGGCATGCGGAGAACAAGTTCGCCCTCGACTGAGTCGTAGTCGTATCTGAGCTTGTCTGCGACCCAGGCTCCAACGTGGGCGTCTTTCTCCAACTCATTCTGCAGCACCTGATACCCCCTTGGTGATATTCGAACACTCTCCCACGTATTTTTCAACAACTCCCCTTGGTAACGCTGTTGTATGCGATGGTATAAGCGACGAATGAGGTGCGGTAAGGGTCGAGGTGAGGAGTCGGCAAGGACCGTAGCTGGCGGGGAGATCGGCAACGACGTGTCGGCGTCTCCGGGTGCAGAAAGCGTCGGGCTCTCTGGAGGCGTTCTTACAGCACGTAAGAGGAGCTTACTCGCGGATGCAGTTTTATGTGGAATGTTATCGGTGCTCATGGCATGAAGTTCATGATAGGAGTAACTGTGGTGCGGACGGTGAACATGACGCTGGAATCGGTGGAGACGCCAAGAGCGGCTATAGTAACGCTCGGACAACTCAAGCGATCCTGGCTGTGGCTGTCGCGCCGAGCCTATTGATGCAATCGCGCAACAACTGAACAGCCCGGGAGACTGTCTTGATCCCACGAACTGTCTTTTGGCTCCTGCAGTGGGTCTGACTGAGTTCCCTAGTGCGGATCCAGCGCTTATTAGAGAGCCTGCAGAAGCTCTTACCACACCTTGCAGCAACCACTCTCCTTACGTGTGAGCGTCAGCTCTCTTTGTCACGATTCGTCCTTCAATTCTTCATCAAACCCTCAACATATCGCCTACAGGACAAGGTCAGGGCCGGTGCGGTTCGGCCGTTCTTTGAGGCGAATGGTGGCAAAGTGCCTTAAGCTTAGGGCGGCATGCACAAAAGAACGGTAATACGGACAAGTGCACAAACTCGGAAAAACATACTTCCATCCTCAGCCTCATGTGCCAGCTTAAGCGGGGCTTTCTCCACTTCACGTTTCTCGATATACTTAGCTCTAACGTACTTACACGATTGCTTAAGCTACCATCTTATACCCGGCGCAAGGTTTATCTGGCTACCTAAACGCTACTGTGCCGGACACGACCTCAAAGTTGCTTCGCACGAGCGAAATGCCTGCAGCCGCGTTCAAGCGGGGACTTGCACTGTACGATCAGCAGGAGTACAGCGAAGCGGAGGTGCAGTTCCAACAAGTAGTAGACGGGCAAGAGAGGTCACTCGGCAGAGACTATGAAGGCACGCTCTACAGCAAGCACTGGCTAGGACGCGCACTCTACCATCAAAAGAAGTACAGCGAGGCAGAGGTGCAGTTCCAACAAGTAGCAGACGGGCAAGAGAGGTCACTCGGCAGAGACCATAAAGACACGCTCAACAGCAAGCACTGGCTAGGACGCGCACTCTACCATCAAAAGAAGTACAGCGAGGCAGAGGTGCAGTTCCAACAAGTAGCAGACGGGCAAGAGAGGTCACTCGGCAGAGACCATAAAGACACGCTCAACAGCAAGCACTGGCTAGGACGCGCACTCTACCATCAAAACAAGTACAGCGAGGCAGAGGTGCAGTTCCAACAAGCAGCAGACGGGCGACGGAGGACACTCGGCAGGGACCATGAAGACACCCTTGCCACCCTAGGTCTGCTACACAAGGTTAAGCTAGAGTCAAATGCGGCTTTATCTCTTCCGAGTAACAATGCTACTTGGCAGACCCCAACCGGTCGACTTGAAGACTTTTTTTCCAAGAAGCGAGATAAGCGAGACCCGTATACCGATTCAGAAATTAATAACATATCGTCGCTGTTGACCCTTTCCAGTCCCCAATGGGGCAAGGTGCCGCGGACATATATTGTTCTTCGCACTATCGGACACTTGAACCTCCTTCAGGACGTTATTAATCTTGGCTTTTCCGACTTCTGGTTTCCAGTCACTGAACAAAGCCTGCCTGGGTGTTTGAGCCCAAGTGCCCGTACAGCATTCGTTAACGCTCAGAAAATCGTGCTGACGAAGTCAATCGATCTTGAAAAAGGCGAAAAAGGACAGCACTGCCACTTTAAGCAAGGGGACCCTCTCCCTTTTGAACTGAAGGGAATCCTAGGCACCGGCGGGTTTAGTCAGGTTGACAAAGTGTTTAGTAAGTTCAGCTCTAAGGAGTATGCGAGAAAACGAGTCCTCCGGAGTGCAGCCTTTAGGGGCCCTAAAAAGGAAGAGATGAAGCAATTTAGTGCTGAAATCCAACTTTTAAAGCGCCTGAAACACCACCACATCGTGGAGTTTGTTGGGAGCTATACAGACTCCAAATACATCGGCCTGATCATGTCACCGGTTGCCGAGATGGATCTAGGCGCGTACTTGAAGCAATGCGCCGCTCCTAGTCACCCTGAGCTACGAACCTTCTTTGGCTGTCTAGCTACAGCACTTGAATTCTTGCACGAGCAAAAAGTGCGGCACAAAGACATTAAACCTGGTAATATTCTTGTGAACTGTGGCAATGTTTTGTTTGCAGACTTTGGCCTGTCTCTCGACTTTACGGATGCAAGTGGAAGCACTACTACCGGCATGACCTGGAAGACCCCGAGATACTGCGCGCCTGAAGTTGCTGAGTATGAACCTCGGAACACGAGTTCTGACATCTGGAGCCTAGGCGTAGTCTTTCTAGAGATGGCTGCTGCTCTGAAGGGGAATACTCTCCAAGATATGGATGAATTCTTTAGGCAGCACGGATCACAGCAGACGTATATCCGCACTAATATGGCTGCTTTGCCTAGGTTTGTCGCGATGCTAGAGGGGACAGGAGAATCTTCGGACAACGTAGCATTTACTTGGATCCAACAGATGCTATTCGCAGAGTATAAATCGCGTCTAACTGCATCTTCTCTAGTCGCGTCTATTATAGAGAGCAAGAGCGTGGGTTTCTGTGGGATATGCTGCGCATCTCCCGAAGTAGATTTCTCTGATTAGATAGATGAGTAGTAAGGCACATATAGGACGTGTAAAGGGTTAAGGTATTTCCAACGAAGCAACGTACTACAGGTTTATACGAGTGTCTGTGAGTCAAAATGTTAGTAGATTATAGCTAGTCCGCTCTTACTTTATGGAACAAAGCTACTTTCTACTGGGACACTTTTACCTTGTTGTAACAGACGCTGCTTTTAGTTTCTTGCAGCTTGCCACCACCCGCTAGGAAGATGGCCGGCCCGCACCGGCCCTGACCTTGGGTTATGGCAAGAACGGGTCGGCCACCTTCGCCACTAGCGGTAGAGGTTTAAAGTACATTTCACCCAGGCCACGATTTAGGACGGCTTGTAAGCGAGTTGCTGCATTTAGTCTATACTGTTTTTGTACTACTTTTAGCCTGCCGCTTTAGACGTAAGCTATTTACTAAGTATGTTGCTTTCTTCCTTGCTGTTACTTTCATCCTTAAGTTGTAAAGTGTCAAGTCGCCATGACGTCAGCGTTTCGCAAGAGAATACAGTATCGGAGTGTTCAATACCTAGGACTCTTCCCTGCAGCCTGCAGCAGTTCTCAAGTAACAACACTGCTTTACTTATGGAACCCCGGGATTTTAACGTGAATGCGAGGTTAATCATGCTAGTCAGCGTGTCGGGATGCTCGTCCCCAAGCACCCTCTTTCGCATCTCCATCACTTGCACCTCCAGCTCTTCGGCCTCCTTCCATCGGCCCTGATTACAGTACGTTGATGCCAGGTTGGCTATGCTAAGCAGTGTGTCGGGATGCTCATCCCCAAGCACCCTCGAGCTCGTCTCAATCACTTGCACAAACAGCTCTTCGGCCTCATTGTATTTTCCGTCGCTCAGTAGCGCCTTAGCACATTTCCAGTCCAGCTCAAACTTTTCTGTGCCTTCTTGGTTGCAGCAAGTATGCGACAAAGCGTACTTCGCATGAGGCAGCATCCGTCTCCACTTACTTCTATTACCGTAACTATCGTTGGGGAACACCCTACATAGTCGGGTAATAGTTATCTGGGTCCATTCGCCTAGTATCCCTCGCTTCCACATCCACTGACGTAGAGCGCCTTGTACTAGCCGGTGTAGATCGAGTGCAGACTCGGCAGGCCGCCTCGTAATCAGTTTGTAATTGTTAATAATCCGTATAGCATCCTCCCTTTCGCGAGACGAGGGTGCTTCTAGGAACTCGAGTAGGATGTCTTTTCGGTCAACGCACGCCGCAAGAAAAAGGTACTCGGCTGCCAGCAGACTATCATGGCGGATCTGCTCGATCGAGAGATGAAGCGTCGTAGCTACAGAACTGTCCCTGTTGTATTCCTGTAGCTTACTGTCTAGTGCATTGCTGATGCTATCAAGGTCCGTCTGATGTTGCTTAGATAGCTGCATGCGGTAGTCCTGAAGCGTAATGTTTCGAATATTAATGTAGGCCGCTGCCTGCACAATTGCTAGCGGGAGATGCGACAGCTCTTGCAGCAGAAGTTCAGCGTGCTGTTGTTCGCTCTTTAATACCGGAGTGTCTAAGTATTGCTCCAACATGCTTTGAGCCGTGTCCTGTTCCATTTCCTGTAGCTCTATAATCTCATGAGATGCTAGGGTTCCAGCAGCGTCACCACTGGTAGTGGTAAGGAGTATAGAGCAGTGTTCAGATTGTGGTAGACAATCTACTATACTGGCATCGCACCCCACAGAAGTCCCATTCGAACTTAGGTTGACGCTATCCGCGTTGTCAAAAATGAGCAACGACTGCCCTGCGTCCCTCCTACTCAAATGCAGCTTCACAATCTGTCTAACGTCTGCCTTCTCATCGTCCCAGCCAGGAATCTCGAGCTTCCGTGCAATATCCATGAATGAACGATGTGCTCCGTCTACGTTGCTCGCATCAATCCAAAATACAGCACGGTCTTTGTTCTGTTGCCTAGTTCTGTAGGCAAGCTCGAGTGCCAGCTGTGACTTGCCAGTCCCTCCAGGGCCTGCTATCACCACGATTGCAGTTTGGTTGCCCTTAAAGAGCCTTGCCTCCAGTTCAGCCAGCTGTGACTCCCGACCAACAAAGTTATCGTTTTGCGAGAACGGGACAAGAAACGGCGCGCTACTGTTTAATTCAGCTTCGAGACGTATCCGTGCTCTCTTGCGTCCCTCGCCACAGGATGCAGTTAGTATAAACGTCCAGTTAGTATAAACGTCCAGTTAATATAAATCTCCAATTGTATGAATTAGAAGTTTGTATGAATCAGAAGTTTGTATGAATTGAAAGTTAACACTAATTGAAGTGTGAGTTCACGATGCATGGCGTTGTGGCAGCAATGTAACCGATGGGCACTTGAAGCATAGTTTTGCATTGCTTCCCCCTCCTTTTTGTAGTACCTCAATCAGCTTTTTAACGTTTCTGTTAGATCTAAACAGGCTCTTTGGAGACTATGTCTTAATGCAGGCGGCCGCCCCTACTGTGGCTGTGCTCATCATTAATCAGGTTTCCTTCAATTTCCTGCACGAAACCTTTCCTGCCCGTTCCTATTGTAGCGCGATTCGACACTGCCACGCCTCCTACATCAGTATAAGTGGCAAGAAGCTTTTTGGGAGAGTCACTGGCTACCACTAATTCTTCTCAGCATTCTTTTTCTTTCTACTGTTCATATTTGTCGGTAGCAGCTAATGTCTCCGCTGCTGGCCAAGCTGGTCACGTAAATCCCTCTATTTTGCTGTAGTTAGATGAGGAGCGGAACCCACAGGGAGTGGCTGCCTGCTGCCTGTAGTAAGACGAACGTCGGACTGCTGGGAAGTCTCACTAGCGTCCGAACTGGAGAGAAACTGGCTCGGGGTAGCTTGAGTTGTCTCGCAGGATGGAGCAGGTAACGGCAGCCTGTGTGGCAAGAGCTTTGACTGGATGTAGTCGAGATCCTTAGCTTCTGTAGTCGCAAGTAGGGACAGAAAGGCCCTGATTGAGGACAGAAACTGCTGCTGGAATAGCGGAATCGTCATCAGGACACTTGACTTAAGTTACCTCTTCTTCTCTTATCCGGATATGTGTGAGATCCAGAGACGGCTCACTAGTATTGGAGTTCTTGCCTTGTGTAAGCCATACAGTAGTGTTAGGAAGCGAATCTTTCGGAAGCAGAAGTAAAGGACACTTGGGGTATATTTAAGTAGAGTGCCATGCGGCAGGGTGAACAAAAAAACCGCTGCTATTAAAAGGTGGCAGCTCAAAAAGCACTTCAACATTCTAATAAGAGCAAGTGACAGAGCCCCTACCGTGACATCACGTGAAATGCCGACGGTGTCTCGGATCCGACACTTCACCTTTCCTCAGTCTGGCTTAGCAAGGCAATGACGAAATGAATCGCATGTTCTCTTTGGCTTGCTAGGCCTATTTGAGCCTTGAAAATACTGGAGTGACCTCAATTTCTTACACCAGCAATTTTATACCGCAGCATCCCATGAAATGCCGACGGGTGTCTCGGATCGCAACGCCTTCTGCTCAACTAGGACTAGTGGTCCCATGTGAAGTCGAGAACACCCCGGCGCATGGGACCGCTAGGCTTGTTTGGGCCTCAACAGCATCAGAATACTGTGCCATCAACTTCTTGCACCAGCAATTTTGTACCGCATCGTCCCATGAAATGCCGACGGGTGTCTCGGATCGCAACGCCTTCTGCTCAACTAGGACTAGTGGTCCCATGTGAAGTCGAGAACACCCCGGCGCATGGGACCGCTAGGCTTGTTTGGGCCTCAACAGCATCAGAATACTATGCCATCGACTTCTTGCGCCAGCAATTTTATACCGCAGTACCACATGATACGCCGACGGATGTCTTGGACCTGATGCTTCACATTTCCTCAGTCAAGCTTAGTGGGACCATTTCGACGTGAATTGAACCCTTCACTCGCGCCCACTATACCTGATCAGGTTACAAAGTATGGCAGTGTCATATGTCCTTGACATCACCGGCTGGCCAACTGCTTATTGCTGGGATAATGGAAACAAGAATTGATAGATTCGAGTGACACTTCACAATAGGATGATATGATAATAATGCCTTCATCCGAATTGAAAAGCTCGCGGATAGGGGGAAGCCTATCCCCCTTGATTTATCGAGCGGCAGCCAGAAGCTGCTCGTCGGACTCTCATACTCTAACGTGCTTCCCTGGGTCGGGAGACAACCGCCGTGGGGAGACACTTTGCAAACCGGACCTCCGGCATCCTTTCTTTGTGAGCTGGCGAAGCTGTAACCATATGCACCAATTCTATAGCTTTCAGTCCCTTATTAACTGAGTCTCCGATAGAAATTGACGCAACGTTGGACGTGCTGTTGTTCATTTCATAAACGCAAAAAACGAGTCCTCCTACTTACCCCCATGTCCGTCTTCGACCATGAAATCTTTGATGCATCTCGATGAGCTGTCGAAAAAGTACATTTGCGAAACAATGTGACCTTGGAATTCAGAGATATTTTGACCTTCCCAATGCATGTGCCGGAAGTTCCGTTGCGAGCAACGCGAGGTCCCTTGAAAGCCTCCCGACGTGGCGAGACGGCCTCGCGTATTTAGTATACGCCGTTCTGTATTAACGCTCCAGCCGTAGCCTTGTGCCTTACCGTACTAAAAGCTGCGCTAGCTCCTCTGTGACTGTCCCCCACGGCCGCTTTGTATGATCGCCGAGTGTAATTTACAACAATGCCCGTTTTTCTCTGTAAGCTAAGTCTGAGACTAGCTCGAGTTCGGAATGAGAGGATCCTATTCCGAAGCATCCCACACTTACTAGCCACAGCGATGACTAACCCCTACATCTTCTTCCATATCGTTTGTCTAGCGGTGAACCCTTCAACTATCGAAGCGCCGCAACACCGCAATCCTCCAGTCACCCCTCACATTCCTTCTACGTTCCATCGCACAATGGCGCTCTTCTGCATTCGCAGCATTTGCAATGTTCGTGTCACTCACACCGGGCGCACCTCTGTCGCGACACGACTGTAGCTGCATTGCGTAACGGCGGACAACTGGCCAGCACTCCAACCGCCTTCGCCGATCGTAAACCGTTCCTTGGTGGTGTGACAAGATAACACTTCGAAAGCTTGTACAACATCGCTTCGCGTTGTCCGAGGTCGGATGGGTGCAGGTTGCTCCATTGCACAATGTTGAGATGCGATGGATGGGGGGTTGGAACCCAATGTAAGGAGTAGAGCGTTTTCGTAACACTTGAGGTTCGGTGTACAAGTTACGCAAAAGTCAGTCAGAGCAGGAATCCTGTAAGACTGCAATAACTTTGTGCAACGTTGTCGAGAGCGTAAATGGGCAAAGGCTGCCTCAAGCTGCGCGGCTCATTAACAGATGAACTTTGCGAACCCGTTCGAACCTCAACCTACGTACGCCTCTACAATGGTTAGTGATAGCAGCATCTCTTCGGTACCTTCCTCGACTCCACCCTCCTACCCACCGAACACGGGTGCCAGTCGTTCTGGCAATAGCGCGACAGCCGTTACGTCCTTATACGATGACCGAAAACAAGCGGACAGGACGGCTGTGATGCAAGCGCTCGCAGATCCAGCGCTTGCGGAATTGGTGGATTTGATGGAAAGAACGGCTAGGGCCTGTAAAGTGAAGCGGGTTAACGGCGGCACATACTGGTATGCAAGTCAAGTTTGCAGAAAGGATTCACTGACCCTAATACGGTGGCGATGGCAGAGTGCTGGGTTAAAATTAAGGGACCACCAAACAATCCGTCAGTTGAACGATGATACCTCGAATGGAACCTAGGAGGGGATCCTGTGCTGGTTGTAGACACAGTAGACTTACTGATTCGGACGATATCGTGAGCTTGAGCTCAGGCTTTCCTATGCTGGGAGAGACGATGAAGCACCGCTGGTATCTATTCGTATCCTGTGGAAGCTTATGAAGTAGACTTATTCAAATGCTACTGTATGAGTTGGAGCTGTATCATGGGTGTCAAAAGCTCAAAAGTGACTGTGGAAACTGCATGGGCTTGGAAGGTCTTTTGAGTCAGACTTTGCCGTGATAGGTTAGCGCTCAGTAACGGCAGCGATCTGGGGTGGGTCCCACTGCGGGAACTAAAGGGAGCCATAGCACGTACGCAGATCAATCATGAAATGCCATCTGTTCCCAGAACATCTCCATCGCCTCCAGGACAAGACCAGGGCAGGAACAGGTCGGCCGTCATCCCTAATAGTATTGCTGACATGTTTGCCAGATAGCCAGCTCTCTTTGTTCACTTTACTGTAATCGAACAAGCGCACAATAATCCACAAAACTACAAGATTCTCCTGAGCACTTAACGTGCAGGTTAAGTTCTCGGTTAGTGAAGCAGACTCCTTTGATGTGCTGGTCCAGCGCGTTAGAGTCACGCTGTGAGTAAGCCGTGACCATATTGTCATACACGCCACTCGATTAAGATCTTATGGTGCCTGCATGCAATTCATCTCGACCTGCAAAGAAATCTGTATGTGATGGTATCTTGAAGGTCGAAAAAGACTCATGTTGCATGTCCCATCTTATTCTGATTTCCCCGCTGTCCATCGCTCAAGCCCAATGCATGCCCCGCACCAGCCCCGCGTGGCATTCAATAGACATGCAGGGTGGGCGCACTTGTGGATTGACGCTATCTGTATTGATCAAAGGAACGATCAAGAGTGCAGCGCTCATGTACGCGTTGTGGACGTCATCTACCAAAACGCCTTTTCTGTCTCGGTATAGCTAGGACTTCCTCCTGCTACTGAGAGGTACCGAACGCTTTTCGAACCTATTAAGACGCTCAATGACGATGGCTTCGGTTGATTCGATTCAGTTCAAGAGCTATCTAATCGACCTTATTGGGGTCGATTTTGGGTCATCCGAGAGTTTTTGTTAGCACTGGATGTGAACGTTTACTGTAGAGGAACTTGAATGAACTGGGGCGACTTGAAGGATTTGCTCGGACGGCAAACAAGATGGGCAGATTACCTTCTGTCAACCTTCAATCATCATCATGATACTGGCTCATGGGCGTCGTGGTCACTCCTTGTAGGACGGCACCTAGGTCGGTGTCCAGAATTACAGCGGCCTCTATACAAACTCATCATCGACCACTGCAATTTGCAATGCAAGGACCTAAGAGGAAGATTATTTACATTGTTGGGACTTGTTACTCCTAACGAACGAGGACTCCTTGACCGTTTCCTTCCCGACTATGCAATGGGTAAAGATAATGTTATAATCATTGCGTTGTTACAATACTTAGGAAAGAGTAACAATGAGCGACTAAAAGGACGAGACTACGACAGGTCGCTTTGATCATTTGATGGAGTCTTCCGTTCCCGCTGCTCTAGTACTGTTTTTACTTCCCTGAACTGCACAGGCTGGTAAAGATATTCGTTCACGCCAGCGGCGAAAGCATTTTCTTTGCAATCGTCGCGCAAAAGCCTACTAAGTGCAACTATATAGGCCGAACTGACGGGATGAGGCGTTGATTGAGTGACACGTCGTTCGATTTCGATGCGACGAATATTGCGTGTCGCGGTGAAGCCGTCCATAACAGGCATGAAAAGACCTGTGTGCAATTAGCGTCGGTTCCCGGCCTGAGATTTGAAGGTATATAATAGGAGTCAGACACGTACCCATAAAGATAACATCAAAGCTTTTCATACGTTCCTCCACTGCTTGAACAGCCAATGAACCATTCTCTACGAGTTGAACGCTGGGGCAGTTGATTTTACGTAAATAAGCTCCCAGGACTTTCCTGTTTATCGGGTTATCCTCAACGACGAGGATATCGAGATTCGGAAAACCCGAGCTTGAGTTGTCGGCAGAAGGTCCAACAACATCACATGCAGAGCGGTTTGGGAGAGTAGTATTACTTGTCATCTTAAGGGCTTTCTGCCTTCGCTAAGAAGGCGTACGGTGCAAATAGGCGTTACAAAAGCTGGATGTATCTAATTATCGGTAAGCTTATAATTGACTTCTGCATAGGAGTAAGGGAATAGCACTTTTGTAGCTCGTAGCCTTAGATAGAGGGTTAAAAACGGCTAATCAGAAACCTCGTGGAGGTTCTGATCAATATCTTAATAAAACTCTACAGGTTGCCTGGAACATTCCAACAGCTCGTAGGCTGACTAATCTATCTAACCTTTTTAGGGTGTGGCAAATCGCAGCAAAAAGCGTTGCCGACAGGTCATATTGCATTCTTCGCTACTGCCTATCAGCTTGGAGCATTTACCACCAGCCAACTAAACGCTCTTAGCGTAGGAAATGATTTTGAACGAAACATTCACAATAGCAGTCACTGAATTGTTACTCAACAACAACCCTGATAGATGTAGACATAGATACAGTAGTCCTTGTATAATATACCGCAGAGTCTCGTAGTTAATAAAAACGCCGTTCCATTTCCCCTAAGCCGTAATTGGGTAACAATGATCGCTTCATTATCCCTGTCCAATCGTAACTTGACCTCTGCTGTCTTTGTCCAATCGCAGTTTATACAAAACAAGATTTCACGGCATTTACTATGCTGAATTTAGCTTTCTGTCAAAGCCCGTCTCAGTCTGACTATAGTTAGCATGTGGCCACAATTCGCATTCGAACTTCCAATCTAACACTTCGCGGATGATCATAGTACAACTGTAACTTGGATTTGTACAAAGAGGCAATCTAATTGCTGTTTACGAGGTCTATGTAGAGGTGCAATAATCATGTTTGTTTCTGGCGGCGATTACGGGGCTCGTAATCATCATTATCATCGCCCCCTTCAACCATTTCTACCACGAGGTCTTCTCTGCTAGTGACTGCTGCGTTCAAGCGGGAAGAAAAGTGTGAGAGGTCATTCCAGTGAATTAGCCCCAACTCATATCTTGCCCTCATGTTCGGGTTGGATCTCTCCATTCTGATTTTGCGACTTACATCGGCCCTTGCTCTTTTGATTTGTGGATCGACATTGTCTATGAGCTGACGTGCAGCCTTCAAGGTCAAGAAGCCTCCATTGCCTAGGCTGCTCACGACTGCTGTCTCGATGGACTCTCGGGCCCAATACGGATTAACCAAGTACGCATACGCCAGAAATTGATTCCAGCTGTTCTGGACTTCCTTGTCCAACTGCTCCTTGTGGCTTGAAGATGTGCAGTCAACCATAGATGGCTTATCGGTCTTTTTGCTTGACTTTTGTCTCAGCCTATCCTTTCTGTTATTGCAGGCTGCGTCCGCGTCGCTAACACTCGATACGTCTCCGTCGTTATTGTCGTCTATAACAGGGATTGGATTTGCCCAAGTCCCCAATTTCTGGCTAGTCGATAGTGCTACTCCAATGGCTTCGACGGGCTCTGGTCCGACAAGGTCGTTGTTCAGTTGAGTAGTTAGGCTTCGCTCCACATGACTTCCAACAGAAGGAGTAGCACCTTCAGACCATGCTCCTGTGCTCACTGGAAGTTTGGTATCATCGTGTGGTGAAACGCTTTCGTTGGACTCAACTGACGGATCAGATTGGCTTTCTGTCCGATATCCAAGCTCTGGAAAGGCTTCAACAGGCGTATTGACAATCGTATCACCAGAAGTAGACTCGCAACTGGGGGTTGCTCCGGATTCCTCGAGAATCACTGTCTGATTTGCGAAGATGTCATGGCTGACACGTGCGTCGGCAGAAACAATTGCCTGGAAGTTTGCTATTGCTTCGGGCTCTTTTTCAATAACCTTTCCCAAAGCTGCGTCGGTGGTTTTGGATTCAGTCTCAGGTGGAGGTTCCCTCGCTAATTCGCTAGGCGTTCTCAGTTTCTTTGGTGAGTTTGAAGCATCTGTCGTGTTCGAACGCTTTCGGGAATAGTCATTTGGAGGTGCAGTCTTTTCTGGTTGGAGCATTCCTGCTTCAGAGGTAGGTTCCTGGTCAACATTTTCATGGGATGATATCTGTTCGTCAAAATAGAAAGATATTATCGATTCAGTGGGAGGGGAGTTGTGGGACAGATGATGGGGAAATTCGATCGACTGTATCTTGTCCAAAGGCTGTGGGATCATGGTGTATTGGGTAATATGGTTGGGGGTAAGTGTGCTGGCAATGAAAGCAATGTTTTGGAATGTGATGAGAAAATTGGCTTGACCCAGCGAGCACAGTGGTCTTATATGCTTCCATGACTATCTTAGTAGCTTGTTCTAGGGGTGACTCGGCAAGGGGACGCATGCACCTCAGCCAGGATGTTGTGACAGCACCAGTGGCGATGCTTTGAGCTTTGAAGTTGGCATAGTAGTTACATAAACAAGGCGCAGGAAAACCCAGCCGATGACGAAAATGTACTGGCTCGCCTGACTTGATCGTCAGGGAAACTTCGGCATCCAACCCACCATGATCTAGAGTGGCCGAGTAGTCTTGGATAGAGGCTCAAAACTGGAAGGAGAGCATCACGGCAGGCATTTCCATGGTTCTTGGTAAACCCAAGAACGAGTCCGGAGTATCCTTTGGTCTCATCTAATGTAACCCAGGCCCCTAAAAAAGACTCTACAAGGACTGTATGCCTGGATTTCGTGTGCCTGGATGCTTTATCATCGAGATGCCGCGTGGCTGAGTAGACGAGCGTGCAGCTTTGGGAGACAGCTTCCCCACATGGTACCCAACGACATACACCTCTGTACGCGCTGGGTGTCTGGGCCTTGTTGTAGGCGCCGTCGGCAGATAGTAATAGCAGTTGTATGGGCTCAAGGGTGTAAGCACTGTGATGCGTCTAGTAGTAGCCGTGCGTGGCTGGATGCTTCATCAACAGAAATGCTGCATGCAGCCACCCGGGTAGTCGTCGAAGCGTAACCGATTGGAAGAGCGAGGAGGTTTAGGTAGTGGATATCTATGCATTGCCTGCAACCTCGCCACGCCTCCCACACCATCATGCCTCCCAAAACAGCCCGGAGCTGCCGACAAGGCAGGGTGTGCACCAGAGGTGCCACGGAATCCGAGAGTTGGACAATGGAAATCAGAATATTCCTCGAGCTCTCGAGGATGAAGTCCTCTGATAGGGTCGATAGATCATCTGAATGCATAGCTTGGGAACACTGGAGAGGTAGCAACTGGCACTCTTGGGCTGATGAATACGGAGGTCAGTCGTAGGGGGAAACGATTGGTTCGTTGAGTACGGCGATGGAAGGTAGAGTAGGCTGCAAAACTCGACATGCCCCGTCCAGCCATCCAACACCGTACCCTGAGCTTCTTCAGCATATAGCAGGAGCCTACACAGGCAAGCGCGGCTTTGCATGACAATCCTTGGGGCGCTATCACACAGATGCTCGAAGTTTCGATCCCGGAATATCCCGTCACGTTAGACTAGACGAATCAAGACCCTCGAGTAGGTTCGGTGTAGCATCCATGGGTGTGTGGCTTCAAGATGTTGCAGAGAGGGGAAGGAAGCTGGCGCTACCAGGGCAGCGGCTACGACAGGCTTCTTTGAAAGCTGGATGTTATAGCAGTTTCTTCGCGCAACCAAGAATACGTGACCAATTTCCAGCTTTGACGATTCCATAATGACTTCGAGTACGCACGGGAGGTCGTTCAGAGCGAGGAACGGTCCTCGCGGTCGTCCGGCGAGGGTTGAAGTGCAACGGTTGCTTTGGGACGGCCTTGGATCTGAATTTGTAAGATATTGCCCTTGCCTTGACTGTAGAAGCCATACCTTTACCATCATGTCATATGTGGGGAGCGTGTTGTTCTTGCTAACAACGACGCGTGTGCAATGCAGTGAGGTACAGGTGCGGATGGAGTCGACTAGTGGCGTGTGCCGTTCATAGCGATGCCCAAGCAGGTTACTAAGATATGGTGAGGGCTGGTGCACCCCGGTCACGCTAAGCAATTTCTAAACCTCATGCTTGAGCACACCGCGAACGCTTAGCAGCACGTGTCTTACGTAGATATATGCAATGGGGTTGAAAATATGTGAGTGATGACAAGTGGTAGTATTACTAAAATGAGTTGCAGATAAGACATATACAACCAAGCAACACGAGCAGTGCTTTCAGTCCTAAAAGAATCTCTTTGAGTGTTGTGAACATAAGATGCCCCAGGAAAATAATGACAGGTCCGCGGACCATGATTATCAAGAACAATTGATCCTCGATCTGGAACTGATGCTGGATGCATCTCAGGACGACGGACTCGACACGGAGAGCGAGCATACGGATGAGAGATGTATCGCTATTCTCTGTAAGCTCATGTATCTCAGGGTGGAAGGGACCGGCTTACAGCACCGTCAAAGCCCGCAACTCATCTGTCTCAGATGCTATTCGTCCAATATCTCCAGAAATATCGCCCTGTGAGTTGTGGTCTTCCTCGAACAAGGTTGCTACTCCATCAGACGCCCACCCATCTTCCGGTTCATTATGCGCCCCAATCGCGACTCTACCCTTCGTCTCCATTGTCGGATACAATAAGCCATTGGCAGGGCGAAAGTAATCTAGCACTAAGCAGTTAGAAACGATATATAGGCTTCTTCTCATAAGATTAGAGAAGGGATGGCAAACATTCACTATCCATTTGGATTGTAGTCGAGAGAAAAGTGTTACTCGCAAGCTTGATAGCAAAAGGTGAAAGAATAAGCTCTGGATTCGTTCCCGTAGCTTACAGCACGACGCTTTTACTTATACTCCCAGCCTAACAACAGGAACTGCCCCCTTGACTTCCGCGACCAATCGATGTACCTTGGTGAATATGAGACAGCCAACTGCGGACGGTATATTGTTCATGCTCATCGACCAGGGTTCTAACAGTGCCAGCGCGTAGCTTTTCTAGAACGTAGTGCGACTTGGTAGGGTGTCGTATCATGCCGAAACCATGAGCTCACAGCGAGACGATCAGGCTCGAATCTGCTCTGCCTAGGATGCTTGGTCGTTTGTCGATGCCCTAGACGCTAGGTTCAAGATCCAAGAGAAGCCAGAGGCGGAGCAAGTCATTCAATGTCCTCTTTGATGGTCTTGTCCAAACCAACTCAAACATCCAGCGCTTAATTCACCTTGCAGAGAGGAGGCTAAGAAAGCAAATACTTGAAATCTCTACCAAAGGGCACCAATGAGTGAGATGCATCCTCAGGCCTCCCCCAGGCAGCTATGAAGGAGTCAGTACATAGCCTACAAGTGTGTTAGCCTTTGCAAGGTGTGGATAATTGGGCAGCAGTTGAAAAAGCATTGAGAATTACATAACGAAACAGAGCTCGGTAGCAACGAATGAAGGCTGTTATGCGCAATTTACTCTTTGATTTGTTTGGAAGTATCCAGCCTCGCGAAACCTCAAGACGTCTCCCTTTATATTTTAAGGTTTAACCCTTCAAATACTCTCATCATGTATCGAACCCGCTTCTCCTAGACTGTCAAGTCTAATAGCTCCCTCGGTGGTGGTGTCGGTGAAATGGCGCGACCGCATCTGAGTCCATGCCCGCTTCATAGATCGACGCGCGCCGCTGACGCAGAAAACGAGAGGGCATAGAAGATGCGTAGATGTACAAGTCTATCTTGGTTAGATTAAAAGAGATTGATGAATCGATACATACAAGAAGAATAACGTAATGAGTCTTGCTTGTGATCTCGCGACCTGTGAGTACCGAGCGGTATATAATCATTGCTCCAAAAAACTGGGACAGAGCTGATATTGCATTCGAAATGGCTAGCAAGATCAAGAGCCGTAGAAACTTCGGATTATCCCCTCGTGCGATCTTGTGCTGGTATGCTAGCCAGGACGATATAGTTGAAGATAGAAGCGACGGAACGGCAAGGTTGAAGAAAAACCAATAGTCGGAAGATCCTCCTTCGATTCTGAACTAGGTGAGAGGAATAGAAACATTTTTGGACGGGTTCTTACGTCAAATATACAAAGTTGAGCACGATAGAAACCGTGAAGACTACATATACTAGAGGTGTAGCCCAAGGAAGCACCAACAGGCGGCGTAGGACGCGAGCAGACTACTCTGTTAGGTTAAGCTAAGGGGTTCTGATTGAAGACACTTACGTTGACTCCTGCATAGATCTGGAGCGTACTGGAGCACACTGCCTCCATCCATCGAACTTGCTGGCTCTTGTGAAGTGATTCTGCCGCTGCTACATCAACAGCAGCGAGCAAGCCTATCTGCATCAAACCAAAAATGACCGCTAAGTATCGCTCTAAGCGGCTGTCACTTGCTGTAGTTGGGGCCGATTTCGATTTTCTGGAATCAAGATAAAGGAGAGGAATGCTAAGCAGTATCCCACACGATGAACAAGAGATAAACCCAACAAGAAGTGCACGCTCCATGTTGAATCTGGATGTGGGGCTTGTTGTTCGACCGGAGATTCCAGCTTTATCTAAGCTCTCTATTTTCAAGCCTCGTGAGGGCTGCTGAGAATCTAGCCGGGCTACACAGTGTCGTGGAATGCGTGGATTGCCGCCACACTGTTCATCCAGTAGAGGTGACGTGAACAGGACAACGTAACGCTGTGACGAATTAGTCTAATGACGTGCAAGCATGGGTGAGGCATTCCATGTATGCGTCAGCAACTGCATTACCCGTGAAAGAGCTGCATAAGGATGAGACTTTCCACATCCAAAAGTCACCTTATTGGGTATTCATGGAAGCTGTTGTCACTGAAGCCAGAGTATGCTCCCTGTTGAAGTCCGTGTTGGATATCACAAGGGCACCCTACCGCTGGTATAAGCTATGTAGGGGGGTAGACACTGCGGTGACGCCAATTGATTCAGCTGACATTATACGGCGTGAGATGAACATGTTCTGCATGTCTTGGTATTGGAGAATGCGTAATATTCGCTGGGTCACATTTAGCTAGTAGAAAAAAGGATTGACCTCCCCTTGTCATTCAGATGGCGGGCCTTCAAGAAAAGTAGGGAGGGTCGCAAACACCAGGATATGTCCTTGTAGCTACTGCGTATGACTGATTGGATTGACCTCCCCTTGCTAGTCTTTTAGCCGTAGCAAGCGGGAACAAGGTATGAAAGACCGTCAGCTCTGCATGAGTATGCCTTGCTTTGGTATAACGAAGACACGGAACAATGGGTGAAGCATTATGGGCACCTCAGACACCTATCAGATGAGCCACCCACCTTCTCGTTGCGGCAGCCACAGCATCACTCCCCCTGAACAGCACGGGCATGTCCGGGCGGCACGGAAGTGTGCAAGAGAGGATGGGGGATGTGTGGTGCGGGCTTCGCCTGTCGAAAATAGAAGTGCGCGTCGAGCTTGCGTGGCGGCTGGGTAGCAAAAAATGGGATATAAAAGGCTTCTTTGACACAAGGAGAGAATCGAACTTACCTCCTCACTTCATTACTTCATCACTCCATCTACACTGATCTGTGGAACCTCTCATAATGAACCTCTCGCAAACCTCGGACAGCTCGACGATTGAAGATCCGACTATGAATCGGCAGACGACAAAAGACGACGAGGGCCAGGTAAGTGGTACTTGCTAATCGGTATAATCCAGCAGCCTTGACCTAAACATAGCCGATCTCCAACTCAAGAAGCCCAAGCGGTAGTGTGCTTTCGTCGCCCCGGAGTGTCGCAAAAGAATCTCGTGGGATGAAACGACGGCATTCTACGGAGACTGTTCTAGAAGAGGAAGCTCTTAACCTAGAAGTGAGCTGCTACGCATCTCTTTGTAAAACAAAGCTGCTAACGTATGTTAAGGCAAAACGACCCAAGCTTGATCTGTGAACGCGGGCATGCTTGGGAGTGGGTCCTTGGAGATCAATGCTGTGGCGTCTTTTCAGTGATCGCGCTGGTGTAGGCTGTGGGAGGAGCAGGGGTAAAGATTGCGTAGCGAACCTGGAGAGCGATGGGCTTAGAGTGGCTGTCTCATTGCTGTTTATGTTTGTAGGATTAATGTAGTGTGTATGGATTGAGCGAAGCAGTTTCTGGTTCTCTAGACGCAAAACAATCGCATTTTCAATGAAGGTGACTATCAAACCGTAAACAGGAAACAAAACACAGGAAACATGAAACGCAAACTTGAAATGGTTCACATGTAGCCGCCTAGTGCCTAGTAAGTGTGCGCTACGGGCGCCTAAGGTGGGGCAGTGCTAGCTAAAATTATCTACGAGCATACCTAGTGTTTGCCTGCTGTTTGATCATATTTGATTTAGGTCCCCCCAACTGTTCTAAACTTCTAAGCCGTTTTCACTAAGCCCTAACTCTTCTTGCTATCGCTGCCCTTCTGCAATCGCTACAAAAATCCCTTCGACGGTATATCCCCCTACTATTTTCAAGGCGGGGCTTTCTGACCTGAAAGCTCTAGGACAAAACGATAGGTTACTTCTGCACCAGTATTGCATCCGCTGCGCCACGTCCGACCACGATGCCGCTGCTCAAACTTCCCAACGAATTACTTTTCCAAATAATTGAGAGTTTGAGCTCAACCCAAGACATCCTCTCCTGTTGCCAGGTGAATAGCCGCCTGAACTCTACCGCAAAGAAGCACCTCTATCGTTACGACGTGCTACAATGTAACAGCTTGGCGCTATCATGGGCAGCCGCTAAGGGGCAGGAAGAAACAGCAATGGAATGGCTAGATGCGGTGATATCGCTAGGAGAACGAGCCTACAGTGGAACTCTAGTAGGCGCAATTCTAAACGCGTGGCGATTAGTCGCACATCATGGGCACGTCGAGGTGGCGCAGCTGCTGCTCGACACTGGCAAGGTGGATATCGACAGCAACGACTTAGACGGTCGGACGCCACTTTCGTGGGCCGCAGGGAATGGGCACGTTGAAATGGTGCAGCTGCTGCTCGACACCGCTAAGGTGGATATTGATCGCAAGGACTCGTACGATCAGACGCCATTCTCATTAGCCGTAGAGAATGAGCACGTTGAGACGGTAAAGCTGCTGCTCGACACTGGCAAGGTGGACATTGAAAGCAACGGTTGGAACGGTCGGACGCCATTCTCGTTGGCCGCAGGTAATGGGCAAGTTGAAATGGTGCAGCTGCTGCTCGACACTGGCAAGGTGGATATCGACAGCAACGACTCAGACGGTCGGACGCCACTCTCGTGGGCCGCAGGGAATAGGCAAGTTGATATAGTGGAGCTGCTGTTCGACACTGGCAAGGCCGTAGAGAATGGGCACGTTGAGGTGGTGCAGCTGCTGCTCGACACTGGCAAGGTGGATATCGACAGCAACGACTTAGACGGTCGGACGCCACTTTCATGGGCCACAGGGAATGGGCACGTTGAAATGGTGCAGCTGCTACTCGACACTGGCAAGGTGGATATCGACAGCAACGACTCAGACGGTCGGACGCCACTTTCGTGGGCCGCAGAAAACGGAAACATTGAGGTAGTACATATGCTACTTGGCACTGACGAGGTGGATATCGACAGCAACGACTCAAACGGCCGGACACCGCTCTTGTGGGCTGCAAAGAATAGGCACTTTGAGGTGATGCGCCTGCTAAATATCGGCTCTGAGGATATCGATATCGACTCTGATTGGCACTGATGACAGTCGCACTACGAGGTCAATCTATTACACGCTCCAAACGTATTTAGAAAAAAGAAATAAGATAAAGTAGTAGGATTCGTCACTGAAAATTCTTACCCCTCATTAACATATATAACGCCGCTATATGTTTGTATCGTCGCCAGCGCCCACCATCGCCAGCGTCTACCAGGCTGGCCTATCGGCATCGTTTAATGAATTCACATCTACAATAGCATTGATGAAGTTCTCTTCCTGTAGACGGAAGCATCCGCTCTTTTCAATGATTTTTTTGGATTCAGTTGACATTTTCGGGGGACAGATCGTGGTGCTTTTGTTGGGCCAAACTGTGATCAAAGTCTAATACTTTGAGCTGAAATCTTGCAGGACCGCAATAACTGCCAGCCTGAATTTTCGCGAGCTCGTCGTCTGGGTTTGAAGCTTGGCGATGGATCGTTGTGGTCATACGAGCCTTGTACGGTCTGAACTCAGACCCGAGACCAGGATCGCGGAGGTCTGAGAACGAGATACAAGTTTAGCGAAACACCGTAGACAGGGATCAGCATCCATGCTACTGACATGTAGCGCCAAAAGCCACAAAGGTATATAAGTCGATCACGACTCTGGGTCCCCACCCAAACATCATAATGACCAGCAAAGTAATGGATAACAACGACCCCTGGATAACCTTTGCTGACAGTGGGCCAAGTGGGCGCACAATAAGCCTAGGTAGGAGTAGTGCAAAGATACAGAACGCCAAGACTGCCAATGCCCTTATCACTATGATAGGGCGCAGATCGAAAGCCACGATCCTTGAGAATATAATAGGAGTGACGTCATTTGCGGTGCAGCAGCAGATCTATTTGAGGTCCTCCTCAAAGCTCACACTCCACCACTTGCCCGTGCTGGTAGCTGACTGCGATGTCAGCTATCGAAAGATAACCCAGGCCATCAATCCGCAGTTGACTTCGGCATCCTGGAGCATACCAGCTACGGAAAATGCTACCGCTGTATTTTCAAGTCGGGTCCTTGCACCGTTCTCTGGCGTTGTCGCGTATTTTGTATCCGATCTCGGTGGACCGAAATCCATCGTTCAATGGCTTGCACATCAGGCATCCCTACCCCCTCCGACGAACCTTGGCATGGCCCCCATCGTTCTCCTTGTTGTAGAGACGACATCAGACACATTTGACGAGAGCGTTGCAGCAAATCGATTCTTGAGCCAGATTTCGGATGCGATAGGAAGTTTGGAAGGTGTCAACGAACTCGATGCCCACAAAGCTATAAATCAACATTTCAAGCAAATAACAGTCATTGGATTGAGGTCTTTCATGGCCAATCCGATGCGAGCGAAGGTTTTCAAGAGAAGAGCGATCGGTCTACTTGAGTTGGCCTCGAACTATCGGCGCCAATTAAGCGTGGAGTTTGAGCAACGACATTTTCATACTTTGGCCAGGAAAGCCATCGACAATCTCTCGGAGAATGGTTTCACAACTGTGTGTTTTGCAAACGCCTCAAGGTCCCACGGTTTTACATTAGAAAACTTCCCATCGTGTCTGGATGACCTGTTGACCCAGATGCCCTCTGCCACATGGCTATGGCATGTTGTCATACCCCTCGTCGCATCTGCCTTGTATCTAGCCACTTACCCCCCAGGCTCTCATTACTTTTCACCGGACTATATATTCACCCAGCTTTACTATTCTCATTGCGAAGAAGCCATAGCCAAATATACTAGTGACCGGGATATTCAGAACAGATTCATATTCTGCGTTTTATCGGAGTTTCGCAACATATTTACTGATTCTCTAAAAAACAGGGTATCCTCAGCAGAGACTCATCGAGCGAACATTGAACAACTCCAACCTCATTTAGTTTGTTTCAAAAGTCACAGGTCGTGCTTTTGCTGTCTTATGCGAATGCCGGAAAAGTCTATGGCATGCGGGCATGCATTCTGCGATGCTTGCATCAAGACTCACGGAACTCGCTCCCTCTTTGAGAAGAACACATATATCCATTCTGCATGCTTACTTTGCGGCGTGAGCTATCCCAACTCTATTTTCCGATTTGTTCCACCTACAGCTGGCATACGAGTTTTGACAGTGGATGGTGGCGGAGTGCGAGGCATCATTCCGCTCGTTTTCCTCAAGCATATTGAGCAGCTCATGCATAATTTCGATTGCTCGATCAAAGACTACTTCGATTATGTCTGTGGTACTTCCGCAGGTGAGTGCCCAGCCCTAATGCTTACTTTCGCTCATATATAGTAGGAGGACTTGTTGTGATTGGAATCTTCCTTCTTCAATGGGACACTGTACAATCAATTCAGCAGTTTGACGATGTTGCGAGAAAGACCTTCAAACAAGATAAAGGCGCAACTATCTTTGAAAAGGCTCTCGAGATGATGCTCGCGTACATCAAAGATGGAAAGTATAGCCTTTCCGCTATTCAAGACGCGTTTAAAGCTACCTTTAAATCGGAGATCAAGATGTTCAATCCCCTACAAAATGATACAAAGGTAGCAGTGACTACTACCACTGTTAACGAATCAACGCCTAAGCTGTTTACCAATTACAACGGTGGCAGGCGGCCAGCTGAACTAGGATACGACATCTTGCGTGCTGAAACGCCAGGGAACGATGCATCTTTGAGCGACGCGTAAGTCAACTCCTGTGGATACCTTTTAGATGGCTGACCGAATCAGCGCATGCTGCACTTCAGCTGCTCCCTGGTTTTTTAAGCCGCGGCACCTACACAAGCTTGGTACTTTTCAAGATGGAGGTCTTCAACACAATTGCCCATCAGATATTGCAGATTGGGAAATAGGGTTTCTTTGGCCTGAAAAACCAATCCCCGATTATGCGCTCTCACTAGGAACTGGTACAGCCTTCTACACAACCTCTACCCTGCAGCATCGCAAGTCCTATAGATTTCTTACCCGACTATTCAAAAATTTCATGCGCTCACTAGATGGAGAGGATGCTTGGAGGAAGTTCTACAACAATCGACCCGCGAGTACACGTGGTAGATATCATAGATTAAACGTCCGATTTAGCAGCCACGAACCACAGCTTGACGACGTTTCGAGCCTCACTCAGCTCAAGTCCCAGGCAACAGAAGCCATATGCAGCACCCATAACGACATAGGCCTGATCATAGATACGATTAAAGCCTCCATGTTCTACTTTGAGTTGGATAGTATGCCACAATTTTCCGGATCTACATATAACGTTTCTGGTTTTATCCTATGCCGACTTGACCTTTCTGTACCTGGTCGTCAGCATCTGTATCAGAATCTCCTAGATACTGCGTCATGGTTTGTAGTGCAGGGCAATCCCACACGGTGTGTTGATAAGATCCCTAAAGGGTGGCCGCCCTTCAAGTGTCGCATCAAATTTAATGTAGAAAGCATTGACGAGGATGTCTATATATCAGTCCGTGGGTTGACTAATGCTACACACCTGATCAGTGGCTTCCCTACAACCTTGAAGGATCTTATCAACCAGCAGCGACTAGATAGCCCTTTCGGCACGATTGACCATGTAGAGATAGAGAAGAACTACCGGAACCCCCTAAAAAAAGGGCTACAGACTATATGCAGATACAAGAGAAGCGATTGCGCCGGGGGACGATTTTTTAGTGCAAAGCGGCTTTGATATTTGGAATTACAATTATATGTTACCATCCTTATCTGCCATGTGCCATGTGGAAAAAAGAGCACTATCCTCAACCATTTATGCCCCTCGCTCCATTTATCCCGTCCACATACCACATTCAATAGAAGCTTTGACGTCGTAGGGCGACGTCAAGACACCCTGAACGTCGGAAACCCTAATGTCTATCCCGGCGTCGTGAGACGCACGGTGTGATGAGACAAAACAGGGGTACTTTGAGTTTAAGAGAGCATGTCTCTATAAAAGCAACTAATTTTTAGTGCGGTTTTCGCGGAATATTTATTGCAGCTTCTTAAGATACGATATCCTTTCTTTAGTCTAATCACAACTATTATATCTACCCCCTAAAGCCTGAGGCGCGCGGAGCCTTCGTTCATGGCGAAAGCATGCCCTTTCAATATACTAGCCACAACAGCGCTTCGTCGTGTCAAATCCATCGTGGGTAATCGGTTCTGACTCTTGAGAACTGGCTTCAATGATTTTAAGCCATTGTCAGCCTTATGGCTGCGTGGCGCGCAGATTCATGCAATCTCGCAACCCCGGTCGGTACTTCTAATCAAAGCAGCTTTCGAATTCGGTTAGACGTATAAATCTTTGCGGTTATAACATTGTAATTATACTTATGTCATTCTAACGGCCAAGCTTTGTCAGCTGTCAGCTTGTGGCTAAGCTACTCTCGTGCCCGGAATCTGCGGTCTTTTGCCGAAAGCTTGAGCGGGCAAGCCACTCAACCACTCAGCCTCTCTCGCTGGACTTTAGTGATCACGACATGACTTGATTTCATACACATATCCTTTTACATACATCGGTTATGATGCTAAGTTACAAAGAGCACTTCGAGCTCTTGATGCCCATCTTCGCCAGCCCACGTGATAGCTTTGACCTCTTCTTGTTGGGTATGTTTACGATATCAGTAGGTGGCACCGCAGAAGAAAGGGTCGACCGATCCTGCTTTTGCAGCGCAAGCATTTCGCGGTAGTGTTCTCGACATGTGCGGGTAGTCGGGTGGTCTTCTCCTATCACGATGGCATATGCAGCGCATGCCCGCTCGTATAAAGCGCGAGATTCGGTGAAGTGATGTTGATTGGCGAGGAGATGGGCGAGGTTGTATACGCTCGTCAGCGTGTCCGGATGCTCCCGCCCAAGCACCTTCTCCCTCTGCGCCAGCGCCTCCCGGTCCATCGATTCCGCCTCCTTGTACTTGCCTTGGCTCTTAAGCACGACCGCCAAGTTGCTCATGCTCATCAGCGTGTCCGGATGCTCCTGCCCAAGCACCTTCTTATACCGCGCCAGCGTCTCCCGGTGCATTAGTTCTGCTTCTTCGTACTTGCCTTGGCGCTCCAGTACGGTTGCTAAGTTGCTCATGTTCATCAGCGTGGAGGGATGTTCCCGCCCAAGCACCTTCTCATGTCGCGCCAGCGTCTCCCGGTCCATCAATTCCGCCTCCTCGTACTTGCCTTGGCTCTCTAGCACTTGCGCTAAGTTGCCCATGCTCGCCAGCGTGTCGGGATGCTCCCGCCCAAGCATCTTTTCCCTCTGCACTAGTGTCTCCCGGTGCGTCGATTCCGCGTCCTCGTACTTGCCTTGGCTCTTAAGCACGACCGCCAAGTTGCTCATGCTCATCAGCGTGGATGGATGCTCTGGCCCAAGCACCTTCTCCTTCCGCGCCAGTGTCTCCCGATTCATCAATTCCGCCTCCTCGTACTTGCCTTGGCTCTTGAGTACAACCGCTAAGTTATTCATGCTCATTAGCGTGTCAGGATGATTTAGCCCAAGCACCTTCTCCTTCCGCGCCAGTGTCTCCCTGTGCATCGTTTCCGCCTCCTTATACTTGCCTTGGCTCTTAAGCACGACCGCTAAGTTGTTCATGCTCGCCAGCGTGTCGGGATGCTCTGGCCCAAGCACCTTCTCATACCGCGCCAGTGTCTCCCGGTTCATCGATTCCGCCTCCTTATACTTGCCCTGGCGGTCCAGCATGAGCGCCAAGTTGCTTATGCTCATGAGTGTGTCAGCATGCTCATTCCCTAACTTCCTTTCTCTTAATGATAGGGCCTGTCGGTGCGCCGTTTCTGCGGCGGAGTATTGACCAAGGCTGGTTTGACATCGTCCTATTCGATTCAGAAGCGAGGCCTTGGCCGTCTCCTCCAACACGCTGTCCGATCTAGTCACATGGATCGCGTGTGCCAGGTACCTCGTCCACACCTCCTTCTTCTCATGCCCACCGTGTGGGACCAGCTCCTTCAGTCGCGCAGCAGCTCTCGCCGTCCAAGCCGACCGCTCACCACGACCCTCCAGCCACCATGCCGACGCCATGTGCACCAGTCGGTGCATGTCGAAGCACTTCTCGCTGCCCGGCTCCTGTGAAGCCTGCTGCCGCTCCGTGACGAACGCGTATCCTTTTAGCGTCCCTAGAGCTTTGGTCTGCTGCAGTACCGAGCTGCCGGGAGGCAGCAGCGACCGAGGGATGCTGATGCGGTCAATGCACGCGATAAACGAAAGATACTCCGCAGCAAGCGGGTCTTGCTTTCGTATCTGGTCGAACGAAATGTGCCAGGTCCGGGCGATCGTGCTTTCCAGCTCCCTATAGCGGCTGGAGTCCTCAAAGTGCTCGCCGAAGAGCTCCGTCTCGGTGCCTGCTGTCCGGAACAGCGAGAGGTACTCGGACACTAACACGTTATTGCTGTTGATGAAGGCGGCCGCCTGCACAACGGCAAGCGGCAGATACTCGAGTGACTCTAGCAGCTGGTCTACAGCCTCTCCATCGCCAAGCAACGCCGGCTTCGATATACGCCCCGCCAGCAGCTGCCGCGCTTCTGTCTTGCTCATATCATCTAGCTCTAGGACGTGGCTCGGAGTCAACTCTTCAGCAACTTTCCTGCTCCGTGTTGTGAACAGGATCTTGCCTTTGTCGCTGTGTGGGAGGTAGTCCTGTAGACGAGCTGATCCAGCATTGACGCTAGTGCCGTCCGCGAAGACTCTAGTGTTATCTGCACTGTCCACAATTATCATCCAGTGGCCCGCGCCGTCCGAGCTCAGCACATCCTTGACGAGCTGCTTGATATCCGCATTATCCTTGCTGATGCCGGGCACGCGGAGGCGGATCCCGATCTCGCGAAACGCAAGCTCGAAGCTTTGGCGGCTGATGGCGGGTACCCAGAAAACGGGACGTCCAGCGTCTTTAATCAGTGCGCGGTAGGCAAGTTCGAGGGCCAGAGCTGACTTCCCGCCGCCTCCCAGGCCGTATATCGTTATGCGACGGTGTGTGTTGGAGTCGATGAAGTGCTCGAGAGAGTGAAGTTGGTCTTCCCGACCAACAAACTGCTCATTCCTCGGAAAGGGCAACGATGAGGAGACTGCACTTCATTAGCTTGTACGCAGAGCTGCTACTTTTGCGAACGTACTCGTCAAGTCGCGAAGACGTTCCGTTCCTCGGCCTTTCCGCCGCTTCTGTATCTCTTCCTTCAGTCGTAGCGTTGCGTATGCTTCCCCTTCGCCGTAAATAAGCGGCAAGAACACCCCACATATCCCCAGCAGACAGTATACCCTGTCCTCATCCAACGTTGTTGTACGCCTAGCCCCCCAGCTTATCCGTTCCTCGACGCTGAACTCAGTTAGACGCTGTCCTCTTAGTGCTTCGGTAGGAAGCTTAGTGATCTCATGTATTTCCTGCTCCAGCGACATTCTGCTGCCTAGCTGCTTACCCTCCTTAGAAAAAAACTCGACTGTGGGCGGCGCAAGCAACTCTTGCAGCGTCCAGCCTCGCGTGAACCATCGGCTCTGACGAAATGCAGCCTCCCACGAAATCGGATACATTTGGGCGTCGGTAACCTCGCTCGGAATCTTGACATCGGACAGGTATACGTAGCACTTGCTTGCTCGTTGATACCAGCGGAACATGGAGTTGATCGCAGTGCTAACTTCGACGCTGGTGCTCTTGTCGATGCAGCAGGTGTCCACCCACGAGTACTGCAGGCCATCTTGGTGCGCTCTGTCTACGCAGAAGTTCACTTTCTTGTAGCCGGCCTTATCCTTGCCCGTCCCCGCGACCAGCTCATGGTAGGAGACCTCCTGGCCCTCGGTCCACGTGTGCGATAGTATGGAATACGGAGGGAGGTTGTTGTCGTCGCTGAACAGAACTAGCTCGAGACTGCCGTTAGGCGAGCGCTTTAGAAGACGCATCGGATCGCCGAGTATCCCCGCGAGCAGCGAACGCTGGCCGGGTTCGATGGTAATGCATGCGTGCTGTCGTGGTAGAGCAAGCGTTGCAGAGCAGCGGCGCCCATATCGCAGCCTGCTTGCGGTTGCACGTGGGAACTCATCGGCGAGGCTGCAGGCTGCAAGCTGGCGCTTGGCAGGTGCTTGGGGCTGTGTGGTGAATGGTGCTGGCCAGTATGGAGGGATTCACAACTCCCTAACGTCGCATTTCATTCTTTGTTACCTGCGCAACACCCAGCGGAAAATAACTTCTCGACTAATTATAATTAATACATCGGTGCCGTTGGAGCCTTCCATGACGCCATGGTGGCCTTCGCCGGCTCTTGCGCTTCGCCCATCCGTGCCACTTTTTTTGTTCTGGCTCCCGCAGATCTGTTTCCCGGTTTGGCTGCGACTCTAACGCGCCCACCTCAGACTCAGCATTCTTGCGCTTACGACCGCATTTCCCTTTGCTCGCGGCGGCTTTCTCTTTCCCAGCGCGCCAAAGAACACCGTGGACACAATGAGCTGGGCATGTGATGAGCGCATTCTAGAAAAAGAATCCAGCGCCACGAAGTGGCTTGAACGAAACGATACCGTTTAATACGATAGTAAGCAAACTTGATACGCGCTAATGCATACGATGCCCCACTAAAACATAGAAGGATTTTCAGGTCCTATCGGCGAACGGCGAAACTCCCAGAGTCCATCTTTGTGAAGTGTAACTAAACGTCAAGGCACGGAAAAATATCTTTTGTGAATAAACTTTCTACTCAAGCATCTGAAAGTGAGTATGGTCTAGTATATCTCGAGAAAACAGGGGTCAATTACTAATGTGGCGATTGATGGCGACAACGAATTGACGTATTGCAAGACAACCAGAAAGAAAGATTGTACCAGAAGCTAGACGCTTAGAGCTGAGTTATTGAGGAATCATTATGTGTTAGTCTGATCTCTATATAGCGATAGGAAAAAGACCCAGGATGTCTTTTTTCTGAAATTGTCTCATTACACCGTGCGTCTCACGATCCAGGGATTGACCTTAGCTAACTAACTAACATCCGTCCCTGGGTTACCGGACACCCCCTGTGACCGGACAAGCCATCGGTACTTTGACTATCAGCAACTGGAAAACCCATGCGCACAACGAATATTGCTATAGTTCTACGAAATAGTCAGTTGTAGCTAATGCCGAATGTCTATAATCTACCCTTCCCCAAAAATTACGTTCGCGTTGCCGTCGCCGAGCCTGATTTGAACAGCGCCTTCTTTCGCCGCGTAACAGACCTTCCTCCCTACATTGCTGATCTTAAGCCTTTATCGCTCCATATTTTCGTAGAATAGCCTTGTCTAAGCCTAGAACCTCCCTCTCAAGCTAGGAAGCCATTATCAACCCTATGCGCGCCGTCGCGGACAGATTCATGCAGGGCTGCTATGTCGCTTGGTACTTCTGGTAGAAGCGAAACTCTAATCTGGGCTAATGCGAGAATGCATTAGCAGGTATTTTATTGTAAGATCTGTGGCTGTGCAGATTGCACAAGCCCTCGGATTATCATTAAATCCGACCTGGGATTGAGAACAGTGCTTCCCACTCAAAAGGCTTGGCGCTTGTTTCGTCAGCGAACATTTGTCGGCATTGGAACCGCGAGCGGCTTTTGACACAGCCCTTATGCAACTTTAAGACGCGGTCCGACGCATAGCAATATGTACTCTGTAACGCAAGGGCATACCATCACGTCACCCTCAAGCGCCGGAACCCGCCGTTGTCTCCTCCGCTGATCGAAGGAAAGACCCAATCAAGCCCACCACATCTTCATGCTTCTCACGCCCGCCAGCGCCGATTCCTAGACTAAACAAGCAGCTGAGATCCAGTGTCGGCTCGTTGAAGGGGATACGGTGAGATAGGAGAGGTACAGGACAAGGTAGAATGCAGGCGGCGCTTTGGCAAGTGGGTTGAGCGTCACTGGCGCAACGCCGTCGTTGCGAGCGCATACGAAGGTGGAAAGTCCTTGCATGCTTTGGTGATACAGCTGTCGTGCGGTCATACGACCAACGGCTCCTTACATGAGCACTGCAATTTGTAGAGCCGTAGAGACGTGCTCCAGTTTGCGCGCTGAGGGTCGCTAGGAGCTTTGGGTTGTTTATATTCGGGGAGGGATGGGCACTAGCGGAGCTGTGATGGTAGCCATGCTTTGCAAGGCTCTACACTATTTGGAGCCGCACACAGCACTCTTCTCTTCAGCCATATCTATAAACTATCGCCTCCAGGACAAGGTCAGGGCAGGAGCGGGTCGGCCAACTTGCTGCAGATGCACCGCCACTCTCATCTACATCATCACCACATCTGTCGTGGTCGCCATTTTTAGGTATGGGAGTTTGTTCAGGCGATATCTTGCAGCCATGTTTGCATGGGATAGGGCGAAGACAAACGGGGTACGTATAAACTGCTGCTTCAGACCATATATCATATTATTCTAAACTATGGGTAATTATATCAACATATGGAACAATATCTTATAATCTCACAACTGCCCGTGGACCTTTATGTGTCTTGTCGTAACGTTGATGTGAGAGCAGCATGTTCTTGCAGCAGCTTCTGCAATGCCTTTTCTTCTTTCAAAGGCTTATACTTCATGGTCGGATCTCCATCTTGATTACGTGTCAGAACGGAGAACGGATCCATTCTACCTTCACAAATCAAAAGTTGACACATCTCAACATCTCCAAGCTCTACAGCAATCCGAAGGGGGTTGGGCTGCGCATAGTTGTCTTTCTCGGGGTCCATGTATGCTAGCAACACTTTTGCGGCATCATGACGATCTTGCGAATTGGATTTGTTTCTGATAACTCGTGTGAGCGCCGTATCCCCATAAATGTCAGTTTGACCCATGTCATTCTGGAAAACGGGGGCCAGGAGGCGAAGAATATCCGGGTTACATCGTCCTGATGCTAGATGCAGAATATTTGCAGATTCACGATCTGTGCGATGAATGCTCGCTCGAAACATTCCCTCGTTCATAAAGTATCTCACCACATCAACGTGATTTCCCAATACAGCTTCTGTGATTGGCTGAGAATTACACAGTTCACCCTCCACTTCCATGTGATCCTGCGCTCTCCTTAGCAGACGTTGGATCATGGGCATGCATCCGATGCGAGCAGCAAAGTTCAGCAGTTGATGACCCCATTTTTCTTCGACCAACAAATCTTGCACGGAGTCGATGAGGTCAAAAGCCACCTCCCAATCATCATGGCGTGAGTTGAGTTGTGACCATCGTTCAATGACGAGACAAAAAAAATCCAGATTTTTTATCTGGTAACCGATTTCGCTGTTTAGGAGGGTCCTGAGCCTCGACAAATCTCCCCATTGCAAAACTTGGTCAGCCGCTCCTATGGCTGGAGATGCAAGATATTTGTTTTTGTCAAAGCTTGAATTTTCGAGCAAATCGTGGAGGACGATATTCGAGCCGTAGAGCGAAGTGATGCTGAGTGGATCATATAAACGACTGTCAAAATCGAATCTGGCCTTAATCGTGCAGTTGGGGCGACAGCTTTGGTTGATCCAATTATCAAGTCGTATTGAACCTGCTTCACATAAATTTTCTATGTTCATCAGATATGTGATGGGTCCGCTTTTGACTGCGCCGAGATGCTTGAGCCAGTGACTTGATGCATACACGAAGAACTCGCCAAAACCACGCTCAGTTGGATCGTAGCGTATCATGTTTTCTTCCCAAACTTCCCATGTGCAGTAATTATCGTAATTGACTGAGCTGTCATCGCTGAATAGATCGAAATCTTCTGGTAGCTGATCGATTGCAATTTGTTCATCGGAAAACAAGCGAGACCTTCCAATTTCGTCCAAACAGAGGTATCGGATACATAGCTCTAGGATGAATTGCTCCAGACGCTCATTTTGGTGGTTCTCAGTTTGGTTGGGTGCTCTTGTCGTAATGGATCCTCCATGGCGCCATGATTCCTCGATGATGTATTCTTTCACTGATTGATGTACTAATTGTACTTGGCGCTTTTTGACATCGACGAAGTCAATGCGCATGATGAAGGGGTGGATGAGACTGACCACCCTTTGGGGATCGACTAATTGGGCAAGAGCGGCTACAGTAGTAACATCATGTTGGACCGTAGCCAATGCCACAGCCCAGGCCAGCTCTTGTATGCTAAGAGGCCTGCATGCAATAGCTAAAATCTTCAAGGCCCCAATTGCAATCGCCTGGTTATCCGTATCATCTGCGGAGCTTCGTTCAAGCAGGGTGGTGTAAATGTTTGATAGATGCTGAGGCAGAGGCAAGCCCTCTAAAAATCGCTTCATCGGCCCGTGCGCTCTAATTTTCCGGATTTCGATTAGTTCCACTATCATCTTGGTCCATATAGCGCTGCCCTGCGCCATACGAGATAGACTCTGTATGATGAGGGATGCGACATCCGCCGACAAATAGTCCAATCTTTTTTCGACCGTGTGCTGAACGATAACTCTATCTCTATGAATATCAGAGCTCATGACGATAGTCGGTGTTCTATCCATTTGTTGCAAAGTCTCTTCATCGAGACGGGACGAAAATACAATGCTAAGGCGTGGGGCCTTACGCAGCAAGGTATTTGATAGTTCGAGAAGAATTTTCCGAGAGGTTCTGTCGCATTCATCTAGCCCATCGATTGTGATGAAGATTGGGCGGTCCAGTATTTCCAGCACCTGTATTAAGAATTCTTCTAGTTTCGGGATACTTGTGGCTGGATCTACAATTCCCAACGACTGGTTTTCCTTGTACCACTCATAGAAGCTCTTCTTCAAACCAGAAAGCTGTTCAAGTAGCGCTAGAATCAACGAGGAAAGTATGTAGACAGGTTTCCCGGTTCCATCATTTCGGCAATAATGATAACATACTTTGGGTCTTGGCAATTGATGCTCGTTTCTGCGATGTAACTCGTCCACGAGAAACGACATCAAAACTGATTTTCCACAGCCCATCTCTCCAAGAATCAGCAGTTGTCGAGAACCAGTAGCACGATACCAGTCCATGAAACTAGGATGTGAGAGTAGGAATTTGCAGGCACTATCAGATCGAAGATCTTGCAGGTGTACGTGATATTGACTCTGCAGATTGACCTTGTCACTACCAAGCCACCTAGCAACTGCGGGCGAATTAGTTTGCATCTTAATATGACTAGATCAAGAATATCTTACTTTCACGATCATAAAGCATAGCCTTGATATCCTCAACAATCTCCCAGGTTGCTTTTTCTATCAGTTTTCGAAGCAATTCAGCCTGTTTCAGAAAATCCTGGATGATGTGCGGTAGACGATCTGTTTCTAATATCATCTTCATTGCCAGTTTTCCACCCCGTCTAGTAAGGATGTCATGTGCGGCTTCATAAAACTCCAAAATCTTCTTATACACAGATACGAGTGCCTGTAGTATATTAGCTAGACCCTAGAGAGCCACACTCAACTTACCTTATGAATATCTGCCCTATTTCCCCTCTGACCAAGGGTATCACAATCATCAATGTACGAAATTTGCTCTAACATTTCTCCGATTTGCTCCGCGAATGCCAGATCGGCCGTTGCAAAGGTTATGGCAACCTTGGCTATATCAGTCCAACGTTACAATGTCATTGTTTACCAAAATGATTCATTGGGGATTTAAGCTCACCGCTGTAACACCACTGACCACCGTGAAAACGGTTTTCGCTGTTGGGTCCAGGTTAGCCCAGGGGGATGCCAGATCTAATGCTAGCTTGAATCTCTCAAGCGGCACCTGTATAGAGCGCAAGTAAGCCACGCCGCGTAGAAAGGCGGACTCTTGAGTTGCGTCCTTATCGAATTCTTCAAGTTTTTCGAATAATTCGGCAGCATTGCTATCAATGTCGATGACGAAGTCTGTTTCCTTTCGAAGACCATCCACTGCCTCGCGATAGGCTGCACTCCACAAATCTGATGGAGGTGCTATGCTGCGGACAGCGTCATTGGGGGTACGAGTTTCGTCATTTCTGCTGACATCGAGCTCTGTAGACGGACCGAATGTTTGATAGGATAGTTGCGAATCAACAATGCTTATTACGTTAGCGCAAGGCGTACACAAAGACCTGAAACTTACTTTTGCGAATTGCCTGAATCTGGATTGACAGCCTGGGCAGATTGGACGCTATTGTTACTAGGGTGGTGCTGGAGCTTGTGACGAAGCCGTCTCAGTCGTAGTGAGATCCTACTCCGAAAGCTTTCATCCGGTACAGACGAAGATGATGCCATAGATCTTGTTGGCTATTACGTCAATGAACTGGAAGAAATAAACCGTAGCGTGCTTGACTTGGATGAGACATGAAAGGGGGATTCTTTAGTTTAATACCCATTGCATTGGGGGCCAAGAAACGTCCCCTGCTTCCCCTCAACTCTGATTGGATAGGCTTTCATCCGGGCGCGTACAAGACGCGCGCCTGGCTACCGAACCATTATATAGGATCTGCAACTTTATTACGTTACTAAATCAAACGTTTTACTGATCATTATTGGGCAGTATTTCTTGCCAATGCACCACATCCTTCGTCTACTGCACATCTTATTACCCAAGTCGCCATGACGGGGAAAATTTCTAGGAAAAATTTGAGTTACGTACTGTAAACAGTATGTTTACATGAAAAATTCACTAATGAGCATTGCACGTGGATTTCCTAGATCCATAGATATGTTCACAGCGCTTTTGGCAACGGAGGAGTAAATGTGGGGTAATCACCCAGACTGGAACTGGCGTCGGAGTAAATTTATCCCGATCGCAAAACTTGTTAGCCGTAGTTAGACTGCCCCTCAGTGAATTGTCAGCCATATCTTCTACTCAAAACAAATTCTTTGCATAAACTGCCATATTAGTCCATACCACTAGGAAAGGACTTTTGTCACACATTAGTGTGCTTATAAAGAACGAGCATGGGTTCTATTGGAAGGAGCATCAAGGCCTCAGCGACACCAGGACATCCTTCACAATCGACAAGCTCTGCCAACCCTAATTTCCTCAGCTTGCCTGAGAAGATTCGCAAGGAGATTTTTAGAAGAGTGCTCAGTATACTACACCCACTCTTCATTTTCCAAGACCCCGGTTGCCCGGTTGAAATGTTTGCCCCCGACAGGCCTCCTCACTGGCTCGCGATAACATACGTTAATCGAGAAATATCCTGCGAGGCCAGTTCGGTGCTTTATGAAATAAACCATTTTCACCTTCTCGACATGACACAGCAACAATCCAACATACTGCAATCGTTTTTCAACTGTATTGGGGCTCGGAATGTGGCTTTTCTCTCCCATTTGGACATTAGCTTCCCTGTCGGAGAAGCCATGGACAGCCAGCCTGGAACATTCAGATTCGGGAGCGATAGCTTCCAGAGTTTGAAGCTCCTTCAGCGTCACTGCAACAATCTATCGACTTTGGAGGTTTTCATTCACAACAAAAACATCGGCTTCTTTGAAAATCCAGAAGGCGTTATTCATGAGGCACTCTCAGTCATAGCTGCGGAGTTTAGAGCCATCAGCTCATTGCAGAACGTCGTTGTTCGGGTTATACCCCATGAAGGAATTCCGGCTCCAGCAAAAGATTTGATGCGTAAATTTGGCTGGGCAATTGTGTTTGGAGACAAGGATCCTTGAACTCGGCATGTCTGAGCGTTTTGGTGATCGACGTCTTGTAATTGATTCAAGAAGAAGAACAGAATCAACATTTGACTTAAAGCTTGTAAATATTTCTCGTTACTTCTCGCGAATTCTCAACACTATGAGATATATTCTTTTCTCTAAAGCTTAGAAAAAACCGTAAGGCAGTATGCTACGATCCATGGTAGTTAGCGTACTGTATTACTTGCAGTGGGATGAGTTATTCATGGAGAAGTTGATCAGATTTGTATGCCATCGGCCATCTGACAACTGAGGCATGTCTAACTATATCATCAGCTCTTCCTTAGGCAGCTGTCGCAAAAAAAAGCGTTCAAGGCGTAAACCAAGGCATGAAGTTGTAGACAATGCCCATCTGCCACTTTCTGGTTCCTTAGAGATAAGGTTGCCCGGAGCAGACTCGCCCTTAAAAGAATACTAGTGGCGAAAGAAGGTAAACGGGATTTAAAGTACTACTAGCTATGTACCTTATTTACTTGCAATTTAATGTAGAACAAAGTTAATTATTAAATACAAGTAGTAAGTCAGGGCACTGGAGAGTGGCGCGGCATCAACAGTTGCCACCACCAGCTGAGAGGATGGCCGGCCCGTTCCTGCCCTGACCTTGCCTTGGAGGCGATGAGGATGTTTTGGGGGCGGATGGCATTTCATGGTCGATCTGCGTATGTGCCATAGCTCCCGGATTTAGCTCCCGCAGTGGGACCTGCAGTGGGACCCGCTTATCACAAGATCCGACCTAAAAGCCCTTCCAAACCCATCCAATCTGCACAGTCACTTTTGTAACCCATGATATCGTTTCAACTCATAACATTCGACTACATCTACGTTATGAACTCCTACAGAGCACTGAAAGCTCCCAGCACTGCTTCATCGTCTCTCCTAGCATGCGAAAGCCTGAGCTCAAGCTCACGATATCGTCCGAATCAGCAAGCTGCGATGTGAACAGCCAGCATATGCTCCCTCTTAGGTTCCGTTCGAAGTACCATCGTTCGATAGGCCTTCGATTTCGAGCTGGCACTCTGCCATCGCCACCGTATTAGGGTCAGCGAATCCTTGCTGTAAACAAACTCAACTTGCATACCAGCATGTCCTGTTGTTGTTCCGTTTCACCTTACAAGCCCTAGCTGTTCTTTCCATCAATTCTGTAACCGCTTGGTCTGCAAATGCTTGCGCTATGGCTGCCCTGTCCGCTTGTTTTCGGTCATCGTATAAGGACGTAACGGATGTCGCGTTGTTGCCAAAACGACTGGCACCCGTGTTCGGTGGGTAGGAGGATGGAGTCGAGGAAGGTGCCGAGGAGATGCTGCTATCACTGGCCATTGTGGAGGCGTAAGCAGGTGGACGTTCGAATGGGTTCGCGGAGTTCATCTGTTCATGAGCCGCGTAGCTTGAGGCAGCCTTTGCCCATTTACGCTCTCGACAATGGTACACAGAAGTATCGCAGTCTTGCAGACTTCCTACTGGTTGACTTTGCGTAACTTGTGCACTACACCTCAAGTGTTACAAAACGCTCAGCTCCTTCCATTAGGTCACACAACCCCCATCGCATCTCAACATTGTGCAGTAGAACAACCTGCGCCCATCCGACCTCGAACAATGCGAAGCGTGTTGTACAAGTTTTCGAAGTATTGTCTTGTCATGCCACGGTTTGCGATCGACGAAGGCGGTTGAAGTGCTGGCCAGATGTCCGCTGTTACGTGATGCAGCTACAGTCGTGCCGCGGCAGAGTTGCGCTCGGTATCAATGATACGAACGTTGCACATAGTGCGGATGCTAGAGAAAGTTATTATTGCGGTGGAACGTAGAAGGAGTGGGGGGGTTGACTGGAAGATTGCGATCTTGCAGCTTGGACAGTTGCTTGCTGGATGGACAAGAGCGAAGAAGACCCGAGAGGTAGATTAGTCATTACTGTGGCTAGTGTGGTTGACCATCGCGTTCCAAGCTTCCGTACGCTACAGACTAGATAGCTACAAGCTCGGCTTATGGAATGAAACAAGTAAATTACATTACAGCCGAAATCGTATCGCTCTGTCGGCATGTATCTGCTCCTTTGTGTACATAGCTAGTACTTAGCGAGATATGCACAGCCACAGGTAAGAAAGTATAGATTAAAAATTACGCTGCTTAGAAAAGATAAGAAATGCAGCTCTATACGGCGCTAGCCGCAATCTGCGATCGCCCCAGCTGGAGGTACTGATCGACGTCGTGCTCCTGCATGAACCTGCACGTCACAGCGCGCACAGGGCTAGTTACTTGCAGGCGGAGCCTGAAGGGGGGGACTTCCAGAGGTTTGATTAAAGCTCAGTTGTGTTTCTTTGCATATCTTGTCACTGTTATATATCACGTTGTGTGCGCGACTGTTTGGCGGCAGCAGGTTGGTCATAGCTGCGTCTGAAAACATGCTTGACTCTCGAGGTACTAGTAGGTAGAGTTCAGTACCGCAGATTATGTAAACAACAGACAGTGAGATATACCATTCCCTCTTGGAAAGCCTACGATACCCCCCAAAAGAGTTCCCTGGGTCATGAGGATAGCCCTCTCAGCCCAAGAATGCGCTGCAGTTACAGAGAAAAGCATATGTACACTAAAAAGCTTCATTTTCACGTGTTTTAGGTCTTGTAGGTCTACGGAGGGAATTAAGCTGCGACTTATACAATTGCGTACCGAAACCGCTCCCAGTTTCCCGGAATTCGATAAACTGAAACCGGGAAACGGACGGAGCCAACACTATAAGAGTCTCTAGGGCCTCTCCAAGGAGGAGACAGTGGATCTTCAAAATGTGCCTTGTTTTCTTCTTCTGGCACCCTAAGTCCCCAAACTCTAGCAGAAGGGCTCGAAATCGTCTTAGAAATCGGTATGTTAGCTGCTAGTTGAATCCCAATACTCAGCTGAAGTAGGCCTGCAGTGCTCTCAGTCCCGCTCCAGCCTACAGCAGCACACCAAGCTCCCCTTCTCAGCTTCAGTAAGCAGTCCATCCGGTGGATGAAAATCCAATGCTAATCGTGGAAGGGTTGAACTCATCCCATCCGATCAAGAAAATGGATCGCTCCAACAGATGGCTATTCGACCAATTCAAGGCTTTGCTGTGCGGCAAGGTCTGAGGAGAATTAGGCGTTCAATCTATAACTCTGGGAATGAATGATGGTCGTTGTAGGATTGTCTTGGCGCTCAGGGGTCATACGTATATAAACTTGTCGCATCGTTATCTCATGGCTGTAGCTCAAACATGACTTTCTCTTACCAAGTGCTCTTGTTGATTTGTTACGTTTTTGCCCTTGGCAGAACACTTGTGTTCATGTATAAGGATCGAAACACGCCCATGGATTACCATGCACAATATGCCACCATTATACTAAACAGCATCACCGCACTTCTGTCCCTTCTCAACATCATAGTCGCTGCCATATCTTTGGTAATGAGTCTTCATTGGAGCAATGTTGTTGTGGCCTGGGGTTCGTATTTTCTTGCCTACAGCAACGTAAGTCAGATACACACGGTCAGTCACGATTGTCTTAGCTGACTGAATAGATATCGAGGATGCTTAGAGCTTTCGGCGCCTCCCCGCTACATCTTTGGGCCACTTTCGTCCTCACAATCATATTTACTTTTGATCTGTTCACGACGTAAGCGAGCTCCCCATCATCCCACAACAGTACTGATGAATGCTGAAGCGAACGAGATAATTTCCTATATGACTACATCTTGCTCATACGCATCACTTTTGCGTATGCAATCACAACACTAACCACATGTGATTGGCTCATGCATGCTGAAATCAATTCTGGGATTCGCGATGTACAAGGTACCGCGAAAGCGCTTATGTTCTCTAATGCCTTTGTTGGCTTGAGTCATATGTTTGGCGCACTGGCTTTGTATCTCGGATCAGTAACCTTCCACGAAGGCGTGGCTTTTCGACCCAACATTTTGCTCGTAAGCCAATCATAGCACACGTTTTCATACATGCTTACATAGATAGATTTGCCTAGCCATCCAATTAGTTGGCTTCATCCAGGATTCACTTCGGAGGCGGGTGTTTGAACCAGCACAACGTCTCCTCGGCTATGTGCCTCCACGGGGTTGAGAAGCACGTAAAACATGGAAGGTGAAGTGCGGCTAGACGACGAGAACTGTGGCCGGTGGTTTATCTCAATGGCGAGAAACTAGTACGGTAGATATTGTTATCCAAGACTGTGTTAATTTCCAATTTGTATTTCGCTACATTGACGCAAAGAAGATCAAGTACAGCACAATCTGGCTATATACACCTAAAAATCGTGTCTAGCTCTACAAATTGACCAAGAATTGTCAGGACGGAAGCATGCTGAAGACGTATATAGAAATGTGGAAGTAATAGTCGAAGATTGGGACACCAAGCCCGCGCATGGTGATATGGAGCAGGTAGGCTTGACTAGGGGTCCCAGTCAAATGTAGACACAGGATCTGTATCAGGTGATTCAATTCGGATTCGGAGTTTATCCTTCTGGTGATCAGTAGATATTAAAACTGAAAGAAGGCATGTCCTTACGTAGAGAGTGTTCAGACCCTGCAGCTCTTGTGCACTAAAGCATCTTTCAACACGGTCGGCGTCTGAAAAAGGCAATAACTTCCCAAGAAACAAATGTGCAGTGTCAGAAGACACAATGCCACTAAGCTTCATGAGTAAAGCTTTCTCAGCGCCATTAAGACTGTTGTAGGTTCTGTGTGCCCTGCCTAGTGGCGCGAACCCTGGCGAACTTCCTGATTCAACACTGTGCACAACTGATAAAGCCTGGTGATGACGAGCCGATATGGTTGTTGTGTAATTCCAGAGGCAAAGACTACGCACTAAGAGGTCGTAGATAGTGAGGAAGCCTCGCGCAATGGCTATGCCAGCTGTCGCGTGTTTGGCACCCACACGTGTACTGCATGAGATGGAAATAGCCACAAGCAGGAGAAGAGCATATGCGCCAAATAGTATCCGCATGAAAATATCGCCATCAAAACTCCACTTGAAGTCGTGCCAGAGTGCAAGACTGCAGATATGCCGTAAAAGAAGAACCAAGCCTTTGTTTTCGGGTGCAGGACAAAATAATCGAGCGGTAATACGAGGAAAGGAAACACGAATGCGCATACACGGATGGGAGGATATCTCTGGGCGAACTACGATAGTGTTAGCTACTGTGTACTTGTGATCAAAGATAGATACCTACGAGAGACGTAACCGCAGAAATACCAGCGTAAATATTAAACAGTAGGTCGCAATTTTTGTCGTCTAACTTGAGGAACAGGGCAAGAGCAAGGATTGTGAGCTCAGCCATAGTGAAGACAATGCAAATTGGATTGAGTTTACGCAGACCAATGTCGACAAAGGCCTCTCTCGGTGACGGTAGATGTCCTGAATGCCGCCCCACCTCACGGTATCTCCAAAAATACGGGAGCAAAGCCTGCGTGATGTAGACAACAAAGGCAATGAATTGAATCAAAGCTTGTAAAATGAGAACGACCAGCTGGAAAAGGTGCATAGTGTGTTGAGTGACGGTGGTGGTAGATTGTAATAGCGAGATGGTTTCCGACACTTGGACATCCGCTACGTTTTATACACTCCCGCGAACGTCTGTCTCTGCGCTGACACGATGACGGGCCTCCTCCCTTCCGCCACCCCCTGCGATGTCCATTTTGACCCCCCCTGTGATGTGGACTTGTCCATTCTCACCCCCTGCAGTTATGGACAACTCCTCCAGAATTCCACAATCCCTCCACCCTCCTTGAGCTTCCTCTCATGCTTCCCGTCTAGCCATAAAAACGTGGAATCTGCCTAGATACGTTTGCGCAGTGTGAGCAGCCTTGATTGGATAGGCTTCCCCTACACGATATTGTCCATGCACTCATCCCTTGCGCCCTGAACCTAGAGATCAATGTGGTCTGTGTCACCTCTGTGCTTTGACATTTGAATTCACTACGATAGCAGATCACGTGCATATCTGTCCGCTAGATACCTAGGTCCGTGCAAGTATAAATAGCGACTGTTCCTAAGCTCGTTCAGCCACGCCGCACGAATTTTCTCTCCAGTCAAATTCGGAAAACTCCACCCTTCCTCTCGCCAGCGATGCCTGAAGGCCACAAGAACAAAGCTTCACGCCGTGCCTCCCGCAAAAGGTCTCTATCTCCTCTGAATGAATCGTTGCCTGAAAAGAAGCAGAAGAGTACCCACCATGAACTTGACTCCCAGCCCTTCACACATCTTGTGTCCATGACTATGGCTATTCAAACGGAGATCATAGGGGTTCGTCAAGAGATGAAGGAAAATAATGAAAAGGTTCAGAAAGCTTTAGAGAAACTTCAAAGCACTCAAGGCCGCCAGACGAACCTGATGGAGAACACACGGGTAGATGTCGGCAGCATCCAAAACAATATCAAATATGGAGCAGGCCAGCCGCTACCCTCAAGCGCACCTGACTATGCTGACCCTCCACGTACACCATACTCTGCGCGTTCGCAACGCCCAATGAAGAGCTATCAATCGCTCTTGCCACCGCCGCAGGATCGGCACCGCTCGCCGCCCATTCCGCCCGTCCAGCCGCCGCCGTCCATCCCGCCAAGTCACACTACATTCAACTGGCCCAGCAGTATTGCATCTAAGGGTGAAAGACGTTGCTATGACAAAGAGATACATTCCTATAAACAATCATTCTACCAACCCAGCCCCGAACGACGCACACGTTGAAGGGCTTCGATATCTCCAACCAAAACGGACGCCATTTCCTCAATTTCTGGTCCACAGTCGCCGATACCTGCGTAGGTCCATGCGTGAGCTTTCTCCCTGGCATATATGCACTGGATGTCGGCGTTTGGGGAGCGTTCTTGAATTAGGTCCAGAAGCGTACGAGTGTCCTCAGGTGGGATATGGACATCTTTGTATCCGTGAAAGGCTCTAATTTTAGGGACGTAGGGTGGTGTGTGTCAGGGGAGGTTTCAGCGTGAGACGTAGGGCATCTGTCTCCGGTATATACTCAATGTTGAATTCTTTCAATCGATCCAGTCCAACTCATCTCACTTCGATCTCATCTCACTTTAATCTAGTTATGTGTTTATAACAACAACGGTGGTTTACAAGCATGGCATGCACCTAGCTCAACGTGGCAATGCAAGCGCGTTGTGAAACAAATAGGGATTGATGGATTAATGTTACATAGTTGCAGGATTAATCTAGTTGCGCATACATCGCATGGCGTTTTCGTCTTGGAAGATATTGGTATAACGCGATCCACGACCCTGGACGGGGTTCATGGCTCTCGAACATTTCTGGAATAGCTTCCAATTTTGGTTGAAATCGCTTCCACGCTTTTTTCAGCATGAACGTCGACTTTGAGTTTAATCCAAGGCTGGATGAGGGATGTCTAGTCCTAGGCTGTAGTGGTGGGGGCGGAAGGAATAGCATGATTTCAAGTTCGTTTGGGGCGGCGACTTCGACTTGTATACAATTACGGGAGAGAAGCTCAGCGAGCTCCTTGACACGTACGTATAATACGTTAGCTGCTGCTCTTCCTCTGAGGTTTTCGTTGTCTTCATCCATACATTCGAAGATTTTCTGGACGATTGGCTTGTTTGGGACAGCAAAGCGGATTGCATGATCAGAATCACGCTCAAAATTGGGTAGCTTGGGCATAACATGTTGTATAGCGGGCTATAATGCTGAGGTGGTTGCGAAAGATTTATTATTCGGAATAAATAGGCGCTGGTCGTTACTTACTATGTAGCAATGGTGCAAAAACGGTAAACGGTTTTCAAGAACGCGGTAAACCTCTGCTGCGGAAAACGAAAAACGAAAACACGTCACCCTGCCTCTATAATAAGACGTGTATGGCCTCCTGCCTGCACACATCAACAAACCACAATGAAGTACTCTCCATTTTTCGTAGCTGCTACTGCCGCACAGGTCCTCCCATTTGACCAAATCCTCCCTATCCTCTGGAGCCCAGTGCCCACGGTGGAAGCTGGCCAACAAATAGCTTACCAGTTAGTAGTACACAAATGTCGCGGGGTAGTCTAAAACTTTACCAGGCTCTCAAATACCCGCAACGCGAGCTGTGAAGCAACGCTCCGCTTTAATAACTCAACCTTTCTGCCAATCACAATGCGCGTCCGTCCAAAGTCATGTGCAGGAGATCAAAATGCATTTTTTGTACTTCCGCTAAATGTGCCTAATGGTGTGATTGCAATTGAATGGTAGGTTCACCTCACTAGACGCTAGCGCTTGCTTACAAATACAGGGAATGCTCTGGAAGCAACGCGACTCTAGTTGATATAATGGCAGTAACTGGAGGTAATGGCGATTTTGAAGCAATGCTCCAGGAGGAGACATCTATGCTTGTTGAGTGTCGTGGCAACGCCTTTAGTGGATTGCTTGCCTGCTAGAACCAATTCATCTTATACTCATGCATTAAATCCTACTGCTCGCCATTGAAACACAACTTGTTAATCGGATGTACTTCAGCCTTCTTATTGTGCGACGAATGCAACATCAATTGGGTTTGACTACTTATGCTACATAATAATGCTAAATACATATACCAGAAGTTGGACAAGTGGCACACCATTGATACTACCGCTACTTAGTAAAGCCGGGCTAGTTTGGATGCTTGAGTTGAACGTAGCCGCAAAGGTTGTGGATGAGGAGCTAACGATGGATGGACGCGTTGTGTTTTTTGAGGCAGTTATGCCGCAGGGTGATGGTTTAGGCGTACCTGCCGCCGATAGCGCATTTGACACAAATTGCCTTTGTAAACCCCCAGGGTTCACACTGAAGACCATTCCCGAGCGACAGTGAGATGTCTGCGCGCAAAAGAACCACTGTGGCTCATCCGACGCTACTTCATATTGCACTACAAACTGCCCGCTAACGTTTCTTGGATTAAACTGTTTGAATCCGGTATCAAATCTTCCGCTGGCTTTGCAAGGATGAGAAAGGCTGCTCTGAGTAAGGGTGTGATTCAAAGCGAGAAAATTAAACAAGATCACTGTGCCGATATCCGCGTTGACATGAGAAGGTGAGAAATTCAGCCCTTCAGCGCCAACGGCAACAGTAGCAGTGGACTTGGCAGTTGGAGGCGAAGTCCACGCCGCACTTGTGTGGCTTGTGTGGGTCCAAGCGCCTGTACCAGACAGACAATTGGACGATGGCGGCATGGCAGTTGCATTGCTGTACGGCGGTGTCATTTTCCATCCGTGTGCTGCCAGGCACGAGAACAAAGCGACAACGACAAAAAAAGACATGTTTAGGCTGTGACCTAAAAGGATACAGGCGCTCTTGGAGTTAAATAATCACTTTTATAGAAACCGTATACCCAAATACGCATATCAGGTTCCGGTTATGCAGCGTACGGAAGGAGGTTTTGTGGGAAACAGGTCAAGATAATGCAGTATATAAACATGAACATTGTCTACAAAGGTCTGCAGAACATCACAAGAAATCATTTTGAGCAGGCCTCATTGTTATTAAAAAATCCACCAGAATCCACCAGCAGACTTTCACAACCATGGCAAGCGTAGCAGTAGGCGACAAGCGCAAAGGCCACCACCAAGCCACCCCTAAAACTTCTAAAACTACTCCCAATGCTCCCAAAACTCCCTCTGAAGATAAATCGACCCCAAAGACAGGAGGAGAAAAGGGTGGGAGATTAAACCCGTTCTCTAGTATTGGGGCCAGGATGATGTTTGGGGCGACTGCGACTGTGGAAGACGAAGACGAAAACGGAAACGAAAACGGCGCTGGCTCAGAAGGAGAGGAGGAGGGAGAGGACGAAAAAAGGGAAGATGAAGTGCGGCGTGCAAAGATGGAAGCTGAAGGTGCCCAAGGTCTTGCCGAAAGCATTAAGAAGGGAAAACTAGAAGTTCCCCCAACTATTGCAAAACTTCACGGAGAGCTTGCAAGGCTTTCTAGGGCCTGGTGGATTAAGGGAGAGATACCTCAAAGTCACAAAGGATCCCTTGAAAAAGTACAGGACAAGATATCTGCGGAGTGTAAGAAGCTGGTCGCTAAGGAGCTCCAAAAGGCCGCGATGGAGGAAGTTGATCGGCAGATAAAGGAAAAACGCATCACCCACCAAGACGCACAATCAGAGGCCGTGTTCAATAAAATTAGAGATGATCTTTGGTATAAGACGTTCTCCAGCCAAGAAAAGTCTTACGAATCGCTCTACAGGTTCCCATCTGAGACCATAGTGGGGCATATCCATACTATTGGGAGTCATGCTAATGGGGTATGGGAACTTGAAAAGACATCAAAAGAAAACAAAGAGCTTCCTGCGCACAAGAAGCAGCTAATTGAGGGTTGCTTGATTTTCCACCAGTATCTAGTCTCACGTGGGCTCGAGCCAAGACTCATCATTCCAGATAACTACAGTAAGTTGTTCTCGGTAGTGGCGAATGACTCAAAAGACGCGCGCGACGCAGTAAAGGAGTTCCAGCAGGCTTTGACAGCTCCTCTTTCCAATCAAATGGAGATATGGGACAATGCAAGCACCGACCTTCGTCAACTTGGACAGCTCATTCTGCATGATGGTAGCCAAGAAAATGTGGATGAAATCAAGGACCGTCTGACGGAATGTAACGATGCCATTCAATGCGTGAACAAAGAGTATGGCCTTAAGCTTTCAGATCATACGATTCCTCTGGAATATCTCGTCATACTGTCTGAAGAACGAAGCCAAAACCAAATATCCGAGGAAGTGGTAGTATCTGCTTTTAAGGAACTCATGGCTACGTTTGAAAATGTCATGGGAAAGGCATACGCCGCCAAAGTATTTCCTAATATGACACCCGAATACACAGAGAGGACATGGGCGACCATCGAAAACTTGAAAAAAGACATGGGAGTGGAAGAAACAGAGGATATGTCAGACAGGGGCGAAGAACAAGAAGACCCGCCTGCAACTGATGAGGCTCCGCCTCCGCCTGCAACTGATGAGGCTCCGCCTCCGCCAGCAACTGATGATGCTCCGTCTGCAACTGCAACTGCTGATCCGCTTTTTGAACCGTCTGGCAACCTAGATTTTCTAGACTTCGACTTAAACCCCCCTGACTACGGGCCCGCACCTACCTATGAAAATGGAATCACTGAACATGGCAAAGTTGTAGCTATCCGGATGTCTAGTGCCAGCGCCCGAAATAGTCGCTTCATTATTAACCGTGGGACAGCCAAAACTCCTATATACAAAGTGTGCAAAGGCAACGTTTTCTGGCCCGGTGGAGCTGAAAAGCTAGAAGAGGATGAAACATACCACGTCCGATTTGACAGCATAGCAAGGAAGAGAAAAGTACGTGGGGAGGTCAATACGGCAGTTGTTACAGGATGTGTGGAAATGCCTATAATGAACCCCGCCCCACCTGGAAAAAGAGCTAGGAGGCCAGATCTGTATTTCAGGGTGGTATACCACTCGGACTTGGACAGAAACCCAAATGCTAAGTCTTTGCCCTTAGTTGAATGGCTCACGAGGACTGAGTTAATTCAACTTGTCGGCAAAAAAAAAGCAGAAGAGGAGGAGCAAAAGTATCTGCCCCATCACCGAAAGCAAGTAGCTGTTTTCCAGCAGTACTTCCTCGCTGGCTATCACCCAGACACCAGAAAGCCGCTTACAGCTCAGGATCGACAGGAATATCCGTGGCTGTTTAATGGCGTAAATTATGCTTTTAACATCAATCTCGACGATATCTCATAAGATGAAGTTTAATTTTGTCGTAAGGAAGACTGACGGGTAAATGGTACGTAGATAAATACATAGCAGAGCTTCGATAACTCAAAGCGAGACAACTTCTCATATATACACACTCAAATGCTTGCCTTAGTTGAACAAACCATCGCGCCATCTCCAATAACGTTCTTGGTATGGCTGCAGAAGTCCAAGGATACCGCACCAGATAGCAAATTGAATAAAGATAGACACAGCGACAGAAAGGCCAAGGACCTGGTATCCAATCCCCAGAATGAACTCCTTCTCAGCAATAAAAGGCAAACCAAGACTCATTACAATAACAGGGACAAGTGGCGACCAAAGTGGGAAAGAGTCGTCGATATGTACTAGCACAACTGACATGGGAACGCTAACAACGCAGATGCACTCAACCAGGTCCGATCTGCCTGTAGGATCGTAGTAGCTCAAGTCTTATCAAGGTCAGCGTGGGTTCAGGGCAAAGAGGTTGGGGGACCTACGGGGTCTGTAAAAAATGCCCTCGTCATAAAGAACCCAGAGCAGATAAAGAGCGATCGCACGTTCAGGTAAGCGTCCAAAATAAAAGAGGAAGACAAAAACAATTGTGAGGAAGTAGGCAAATATGATAACGTTGATCATGTTGGGCGAGGGCGATTTGGATAGAGGTTGAGATAATGCTGAATGATGAAGGCGTAAAATGAGTAAGGGCGTGGTCCTGGGGGATAAGAGAGGATAGATGAAGAGTGCAGTTTAGACGCCTCTTATAATAGAATGTCAACACTCATCAGGTGACTAGATGCAAGGACTAGGGACAATGACTACGCTGCAGGTGTGCGGTATTGAATATGCAACTCTGCCTATCCTTGCTGTCTAGGCGGCCATCAGGTTACTTATGCATACACAGGGATCGGGGAAGCCGGTCTCTATAGAACAAGATTAGGCTGTAGCTGTGCCCTCTGCATTGAACATGCAACAGCCAAGCCAAAGCTCGCTTGCCAAGTAGGTTTAGGCAGAAAGTCAGTGATTCGACCAATCTAGCGACATTGATACTCAGAGAATGGGATTGTATTCGGTAGAAACAGGCATATATGACGGCACTACATTGATGGCTGGAAGTTACGCCCGCTTATCGATATCAGCGTCCTTGCTCCCGTCGAAACGAATCATCTGTTGGAAAGCAGAGCGGAGGATGAAATCACCCAGTTCTTTCTTCCAACGAAAATACTCCTCCCCAAGTCTCTTCTCAAGTCTAATCCACAGCTCCATTTCGCAGCAATAGATCTCTTGATCTACCAACAGGAAACGCGATACTGGTCGCGTCCATATCGCACGCATGTACAGATCTTTGTGGCAGTTGTGTATGGGACAAAGCTCTTCGTGATGCTTTGACTCCAGCATTACTGCAGCGCGAGTATTAAGAATGCTTTGCAAAAAGCACCATGCTGGCCAGAGAGCTATAAAAGTTCGAGCTGAACAGTCAGTAAGTCTCCTAGGAAACGTAACTTCCAGTGCACACCAGTGCATGGTAAGCCAAATTGTTTTTGGTGGGCACAAGGCAAACCCGCATAAGTCGGACTCAGGGTAGTGACGCATAGCAATTAGAGCTAGCGTTGCATTCGGGAATGAGGTTGGTATCAACACGGGGTCGCGCTGATAGTATTGCCACAAGACAGAGCTTACATAGTGTGTTAACGAGGCTCATAGCTCCCAGGTAAAGATGCTTACATCTCCAGAAATAGGTCGTATGTCTGCTGAATCTTAAGGTTGAACAGCATGCTGCTAATAGAGGTTGGCAGAGGTGGCGCGTCGGGGTTGTGCAACTCACAACCCAGGATCCTTATCGCCCGTGGGTATTCAGCGTCATCGAGAAATGGGGGTCCGGGTACGTCCATTGGGCTGATAGCATTGAATTTATTAACCCGCAAAATGCTCAAAAGATGGCCAAGGTTTTCGTTGAGTGTATACTTGGGGTCAATCTTCGTGATTGTGCTATCCACTGTGCCTGAGATGGCAAACAAGTGATGAATGAGAGAAATGGATTACCCAGGGTCACGGATGTCAGTGGTGTCTTTGCGAAGTCGCTTCTCAAGCTCTTGAACGTTGAAATTTGGAATCTCTTCGTTTTTGGTGTACTGAATCAACCAACTGATTTCTTCAACAACTTTCTTTTTCGATTCCGGGGAAGCAAGTTTGACATTGAATTGGTTAGTTATTTTGGCAGCAACACAAAGCAAGCAAGAATGTCTTACCTGGAGCTTTGCAGCTAGTTGAGCTGACATGTTGACTGGAAAGATGCTATGAGAGTTGGAAAATATGGTTGGAGCAGACAACGGCAACTCTGGCTTTGTGCACCTATGTATGGGCTGAGCGCTTTGACCATCAAGAACGTCAAGACTACCACCACCCACCCACACAAACTTTCCAAAGTGCTCATACGTCCGAAGGTCTTCCCGAAGACAAGGGATCCTTGTGTTAGCTTGAATCTGAATCCCGATTTCGTGATATGCCGCCCGAGATTGGACACTACAATGACACGATCCGCGAGGGGTATTAGTCTACGCTATGACGGGTCTCCATGATATCATGCATTTGGAGTTAATGTGAATTTCAACCATTCATGGAGGAGTCGTTGGTGCTATAACGCTATACTACCCACCCCAAACGGCATGTTCAGGCAGGACGAAGACGTGGCGGCGGGTCAAAGAGGACATTGCAGGGGGTGGGTGGGAGGAGTGTCAAGGAGACCATCGCTCAGCGCAGGGGTGGTCAAACAAGCAAGTTATTGAGACCAAAAGCCACCCGGAGTATGAGTGTGTATTGGTGGCTTGAGCTCTTCCCATACCAACCCCAGACAAGGAAAGGTTTACAGCTGGCTGTGGTGCAGCAAAGCGGTCAAGTTGCGTTTCTACAAGTTTTGCCTCATAGCTACACCGTGCCACAACTTTTCGCCAACACTTTATAAAACATTCTCCAATATTTAACAGGGGCATGTGTGTCCGCCCCGCACTTGGTAGGTAGGGGTCCTGCAACACATTCCCTTCTCAAAACAAGCATCATTACTAGATTTGCTGTCTTCTCATGGGAAACTGGTAAATATACGCGTCCCGTGTAAATATTCATGCTAATATCTAAGTGCCTCTCGACAATGGACCAAGAAAGAGTCCAAAGAACTACTAGAGCAAACTATCGCGACTGGGAGACACGCTGTCAGCGGCCGGACGAACATCGAATGTGTCAGGCACTGGAAACAAATCCTTCATACCTGTAAACCCCTGTTTGAAGAGGAAGCTACAGCTTTTATGGAAAAGCAATCATCCGAAGAACGAAATAAAGCGCAAAAGGTGTTCACACATCCGGCTGTTGATCCTGAATTGTGGTTATGGATGGTTGGTGAATTCGATCTTGATAAGATTGTGCAGTACTATCACGAACGAGAATAGGAGCAAATCTCATATGGCTACCATGTGCTATTCGTAATAAGCGCCTAAATCTTGAATATGCAGTGGATGGTATAGAAAGACGGCAGAAAAACGAATCGACGCGTCTTTAGAATGGAAACGGGAGTCACGTGAGGGCTGCGCCGTTGCCAAAAGGAATGTTTAAGTAATGCAAGGCTGATTAGTTACAAAAAGAAAGGGTTGAAGATCAGTCTTTGGATGAACAAATGAAACAGAGATTGAGCGCGGTCATCCTAGACCTTGGCACCTTTGAGGCAATCTTGCCGCCCCCCAACAAGATCTCGCAATCGTTAGGATCGCTTATCACGTCTTTGAGGTCGCCGGCAAATATAACAAGCTCTGCAGCGCTTGTAACCACTGAAAGCCTCATAGCAGTCTCGTAAGGTCCCTCTCCTATGAGTTTTGTCACTCTTTCTCCCCATTGACAGAGGATATCCCAAGGTAAGTACACCAGCTGGAGCACAGGATCATCAAAATCCTTATATGTTTTCGAGTAAACATTCCATAATCTGTTTGATCGGGGTTTGGGGGCGTAGTTGGGCCATGTTCTACATATGTGTAGACATCTGTAGTGATCCGAATGTGTAGCGGACTACCAGTGTGCTTAGTTTCAGTATGGCGGAAGGATAGTTGAAAGCTTACAGTCTATTTTCAGCGTAAATATCTCCAGATGATGACAAATGAGAAAACTTGTCCCTTTTTCGATATTGTTCTAGTCGCTGGATACCTGGAAGAGAAAAAAGAAGGATAGATATGCACGTGGTATGGCCCTATGTACATTAGCATGAGTGGTTGCGCGTAGAAGCTACTTACAAGCGCTAGCCAGACTGCGTTACGATGAAGTAAGAAGAGCAGCCCATCGGCGATAGAGATCCCTATGTAAGCGAAGGGTAGCATAATACCATTCTTCCATTCAGCGCGCTTCCATTTCTTTCCCGTTGTCCTTGCGTACGTAAATAGGGCTGCTCCAGATATATGGAATAGAGAGCTTCCAGCGTGAGCAATGAGAATTGCTTTCTCATGGTGCGCGTCCAGGTGGGAAAGGGCAGCACCGGAAACTTGAGCAACGAGTACGGGGAGGCAAATCAGGACGCTATATGGGAAGTATCCCTTCAGCAAAGGAGTGAATTGAGAACACTACATGTAATTTAGTAATAGCTACTGCGACTAGGAGAGAAGGGACGAACCTCAGCAACCAGTCCAAAGAGACCTGATAGAACCAACAGTGGTAAGAGAGCAGAGTCGGGCAAGCACTGGACCGTGACTCCCAGGCCAACAAAAAAACCGGCAACGAGGGTAGCAAGGGCTGCTGTCCAACCCCACCTAGATTTTTGAGACCACTTTTCTGGAAATGAGTTCCACACATGTATCGACGACAAAAGTACGACAAGCACCACCAGGGTTGCTGCGAATACAGTTTGTCTCAACGACAGCTCGATCATCGCGGCAGCGAATAGTCTGCGAGATGTGCAATACAAGGTACAAGGTAGGATGTAGGCCGCAGCAAACATGCAGGAAGGTAACCGGTGAAAGACTGAGGAAGGCGGTAAGGCAATGGACTGAAGCACGTCTCAGCCTGACTGGAGGAGAGGAGCATGATATATCGTAAATGGTTCGATCGATCTCGAATACTTTAAATGAGGCTCCTGTTTCCAGCTGGAGCCAGACACGGGTTGAATCCGCGAAATCCATCAGAGGTATCCTGGCACATCTTTCGGAAAGCGGTACGGAGGCCACCATATGAAAGAATACCAAATACAGCTGGTACCCTTGCCGACTTAGTACAAGAACTGATCCTGCAGGAAGTAGCATTCCGTCTTCCCGCGGCATGGCGTTGACCCCATGGCGCCGCTATACTTGATCGGTACGACTCTTGGAACTTTCCACAATTGAAGCCGATCAAGTATAGCGCATGAAGCGCCCAGCTCTATTAAATGCAACTCGCCGGTGATCGTTCAACCTGTATCTCAGAACGATGTCTGCCCGAAGCAAACTGGAGGCCCACCAATACGACAAGCTCACTCAAGACGATGTGAATGATCCATCCTAACAAGACGACATTTACTGATTTCTAGTAGGTCACATTGATTTTACGGGCTTTGGCTGCGTATGAACACCCAAAATCACGAAAAGAACGACTAGCTGCCTCGTACAAAGCCAAGGGTAAACGAGAGGAAATAGAGAAGTGGCATTCCAATCCAGGTTGTTTCTTGAAACATGAGCAGTCACTGGAAGGAAGTCTGATAGACAACCTTATTCACATCGCAGATTGGCTTGATCATAGCCTTGCTTCCAACCGACTAGCGAAGCGGATAGTATGTCTCGCGATGGCAGATCTGCATGTGAAGGGAAGAAGCGTGAGTAACATATTGCCGCAAATCCAGGGTTCTGGAGGGGAGCAGAAGAAGAAGGGGGTCGCCACCAAATTTTACGAATATCTTCGAGTTGGAAATGGATGGAAAGAAATCATCCTACTTTGCGCATCAGCCGCATCGAGTAAGAACCGAGATGAGGCTACAAGATTTTCTTACTCCGGCATTATCTGGTTACTGGGCAACGGATCAATGTAAGTAAACCCCGAGTGCTGGGTGCTTATGATTTACCATCCTTAGGTGGGAGAGGGCCTGTACAGAGGAGCGCAAGGAAGCACTAAACAGCCTAGGAGATGATTTCCTCGCGGAATGCGAAAAGTATAGCCCTACGGTAGACAAGATCCGTACGAATCTGAAGAGTATCAACTTCTACGCCTACTCTCCGTTTGATACCCCTTTAAAAAGGCATAATCAAACTGGGGGCGCACAGACAGTACGATTAGAGGAGGATACTCAGGCATTCAAGAGACGTAAGGTAGCTGCGCTATCACAGAACGTTGCCGCTATCGAGCATGCCAACCCTCGCGATGGCTCGAGTCAATTCAACCCAACAGTGCAACCAAGTATTGTTCCGACTGAGCACATTGGCCATTTGTTCCCCAGTGCAATCGAAGACAACGATTTTGCGCGACTGGGAGGACATCAAGGGAGGAGAGAAGATGCTCAATCCCAGGAATGTGCGTTTGTTTTCGCTTTTGAACCACTTGGTTATTCATGGCTAATCATGCGTAGCTGACACTCATGGCTGCTGTTCACCGTCCCATCGAATTGAATTGCCGAGGCGCGGTCAGGAATGTAACGAAATAGGCTTGTCTACACAGCTGAGCATTTATATGGAAGAAGAACTTGAACCAGTTGTTCAGGAATGGACGACCATCTGGGACCCAAAATAAGGTGGATTGTTCTCAACTCTCCTCTGCTAGCGGAGAGATAGCTGGTGATGTGATGCGACAGAAAAAAGGAACGAAGGGAACACTGTCTGGCATGACATAGAAAACGTTGGGGAAGATCACAATTAATCCCGGTATCAATTTAGTCTTCGAGCGAATGTCTCCCTTCTCTTTCCAAGTCTGCAATTCTGCTCGTGCAAGCCCTTCGCGAGATTCGATGGGCAGAAAAACGCCGACTTCGTTTGGCCCCATCTTGAGAACTCCAGATTCTTGGCGCACTGCCATAGGTATTGTTCTTGGGAGATTCACGGCTCCTTCGCTTATCAGAGCGTTGATGTCTTTACCCTGAACAGTCCCAGTCAGCAATGATCTTGAAGGCGACCACGATCTTGCATACCCTAGGGAATATTTCTGTCCGAAGGTTTGTGACCAAATCCTTTGGTAATTCATATTGACACAACTGGGCCCCTCCCTCTACTGGCAGAGGAAACGGGTGATCAAGAACTATAGAGGCGACAAGTCCCTCTAGATGAGGCGTTGAAGGCAGGATAGTATGTAGAGACATGAAGCAAACATGAGGCACGTCTAGCCCTAGGATTTGAAGAGAGTGTTTATATAGCGATGAGAATATCAAGGAAGCCACGTATCTGATAACAGGTTTTATTGTATGATTACTAAGCCTCAAAAACCCTAACCAGTTAGCGAGATCACCAGTCTGCTTGTCCAACCATGTTTCCCTTTGCTTATTTAATCAGTTTCCTAATCCAGGCTCTTAACTACTGTGAGAGCTGGAAGCAGCTTCCCATAGTCTCTTATCTTCCTCAGAGACATCCGAAGACGGTAGGTACGAGCTCAATTGAGTTGCATCATTCGAACCTCCTGACCCGTTGTTCTGAACTTGGCTCTGTGTGGTTCCTCCGTTGACGTTGACGGTTGGAAGATTGTTGCTTCGCTCGCCTGCAGGCTGGGGAGTCTTTGGTTCATCGGTGGGCATGATGCTAGGCGAACAGGCGTAAGAAGGTTATTCGTTGATCGGTTTTTAGTTCTTAGTAGACGTCAATATACAATCCCATGAAGCTCTAGCTGCTCGCGAGGGCTATACTATACATGCGTGAATATTCTGATTCGAAGTTTCTCAGATTGTTCTGACCTAGATAGCTTTAAACTGGTAAGGCTTCGAGCTATCGTATGGGAAGTGATGCTAAGGGTTGGACTCGACTTTTGATCGCGAAGGCTACGCGGCCGTCAGATGGAATGGACGAAGATGGATGTCAGGAATGATATTGAAAGGACGACGAAAGACAAGGTGCATGTCATGACGAAGCTCGTAGGAAGGAGTGGGAAATATGAAGCTTTATACCTATCTTTCTCCCCTTCTGTCTCTGAATACTTCTAGAAGCGCTGGAGAAACAGCATTAGTCGGCACCCTTGTAAACAAACCGAACCACTTGTTGATACGTGCTAAAATGCGTAAAGAGGCGAAGTGCATCTTATGCCCGATTCGTTCTAATGCTGATGTAGGAGAAGGAGTACGAAGCTGAGGTCAATTTGGCATAAAATCACATAGCTATGGTTAGTTTGGCATAAAATTACAGAGTAGTAATCGATATTGTAGGACACCGCAGAATTGTGGTTTTTCAGCCAGGGCACCACAGGCTAACAATACAAGCCACGTTTCAGCTAGGCACGTGCTTATATGGCGTCATGGGAGTGTGGCGCAGTGGACCACCTGCCCCGCTTGCAGCTTGCAGCCTCTCGAAAATTTTGAAACGCAGGTCAGGCTACACATGATCAGTCCAACACATAGTCTGTTCACCGCATAGTCTCATTTATGGTATCAACAGCGTTCTCGCTGGACGCTGCCGTGAAGTCCATCAACGAAGATGGATTCGTGGATTTGGAAGACATGTCAGTGGGTGAACTGGTTTCGGAGATGGAGGAGAAGGGTTTTACCTTCTTGTCGATGTATGGCCTTGACTACTGCAACAACCACATCCTTAGCGACACGGTAAAGTTTTATCAATATTCTTATAATCAATCTACAGCTAACAACCGGTAGCGCATCAAATCTATACTTGAGTCACTCCTTCACAAGTGTAGCCTTGGACATTTATTGCGATACACTGCCTTCCCCGGACATATTGAGTCCTTCAGAAAAGGGGGACCGAAGGCTGGTTTGCGTGTTATTGTAGTCCAGCAGTGGGCAAAAGGTTCACAGGTTGTTTATTATGGCGGCTCTCACAAACACAATTTTCCAACAGTCAATGGTATACGACAGTTACACGAGACACAGACGACTGCACTTTACGAGATGGGCTGTGGCGCTATCGTAAGAAACTTTCCAGATGGAGGCTTGTAAGCTCTTCTAGCTATATAATGCAGCTATGTGCTCTGACAGAATATAGGGTAGTCCGCGACGCTCGACTCTATGCTGAAACTAAGACCGGCTACGCATGCACGTTCATATTCGCTACCGATGAAGTAGTCGCCGCGTGGCCTAAAATAAAGGTCCCAGATTCGCAGAACTTCAGGCAGAAGGCTATCGAAATAGAGAGTCCTACAATAGGGGTTAATTTCTCATTCTCAGGTCTGACCGAAAGCTCGGAATAGACTTGGTTGATCTGCTGCTACCCCGTGTAGTGGATGGCTAAGCTGATATAGGAGAGGGGCGTCAAAAACGTCATTTATCCCCACCGCGTCAACTGGAAAGACCATTGAACCGCCACTAAAGACGTCTATTGTTGGCTCTGCCTCGAATTCAGCCACTTCGGGAGTCACCATGTATGTGGTAGTTGATTGCGTGGGCATTGATGGAATGGCGTCTAGATTAATATCAGTGAACAGAATCTGCGAGCAGGAAGGAATAATATTACTGATTTGTTGAGATTCATCCACGATTGGTCCATTGTTTCTTGTCACTCCCATATCTCCGGCCTCGCGATCCAGATGTGCCTCATCCCAATTTCTTTTCGTACCTCTTGACTGTCCATCGTCGCCTTCTAAAATTCTCTTGCCTTGTACGAGAGAATGTAGCTCTAATTCAGCAGCGCGTCTCAATTCTTCGCATGCCTGTCTCATATATCTTGCTTTCCTATCATCCCCGCTCGGGGACGGCGAATCCTTAGTATGTGACTCTTCAGCATGTCTTCTGAAAGTGGATAATCTTGTGAATCTTTTGGAACAATAAACGCATATTTCATCGCAGGTGAAATCTGTGACCATGTTGCTATTTAGTTATTATTATGCTGCACCAAAACAAGAACTCACGCTGCTCAAAGTGTCGTCGAAGTTTTTGCCCGGTTGCAAACGGCTCTCGCCCAATACATTCCTGGTGAGGACAAGACGTGTTTTTAGCTATCGGTCTTGATTCTACCCTTGAATGGGTTTGGCACTGCTTGATTAGAGCAGCGAACAAGTTTTCTTGTGTCTACAAGTAAGTAGTTAGTTTGTGTAAAGAATGAGCTTTCGGGCACTAACCTGGATTTCTCTAAGATGTTGGTCCAAAAGTTCACTACTCGGAAAGGACGCATTGCAGCTACATCTGGTGGGCCTTTTTGACATGTTGATACTCATTGAAAGTAGTAGGCAGATGGTTTCGGAGGGTGATAATTGGAATGGGGGCATCGCTTTCGGCTATTGATTAATCCGACTCGATAAGAAGGCTCTAGCGTCGTTCGCCAAGTACGGCTTATCAATCGCACCCAATTATCGTTGCGTATAGCGCACTAAGAAAACAGCACGGAGGGTATAAATTACGTCGGGGTCCGTTTTCTGCGCCTGCACAACTGTTTTCACATTCCTCAAACACGACTTTTAAACTCATCCATCTCGGAGACTTTACTGCTCTGCATACGAAACCCACGCATTTCCCCGCTCTTTGAGCGAAAGATGCCGCCACCTTGTGAAACCTGTGGGGGCAAGGGCATTTCAGGCGGGGCATGCCCTACTTGCGGCCATCCAGCAAGCTCCTAAAGCGGAAATTCCTGGGTGAGCATACTCCAGTTGATTTTGAATTGATGCGGTATCCCAGAGAACCACCATTAATTGTTTCTAAAGGAAATGATAAACGTCGGAGAGGCATCGGAACATGCTGGAGGTTGTGCGCATTAGCTCGGCGCCATCACTGTGAAGTGTATTAGTCCAGGGCTTTGGAATCCAGCCAAACGCTTTCAATTCCAATCAAAGGCTAGATAATATGCCTTCTCCAGTGTGCCACCGTATGACACTGCTTGTCATGGTGGATGCATGCAATGCATCCACCATGCCTTAGCCACATTCAGTGAATGCCAACCACGGCGTTGTGGTGCCCTGCCGGACTGGCCACGGCGACGTGGTGTCTAGTCACACTAACCACAGGACTGCGGTGCCCTGCCAAACTAACCACGGCGTTGTGGTGCCCTACCGGACTGACCACGGCGACGTGGTGTCCAGCCACACTAACCACAAGACTGCGGTGCCCTGCCAAACTAACCACGGCGTTGTGGTGCCTTGGCAGACTGACCATGGCGTCGAGGAACGGAAGGAAAATGCCGACATCTCTCGACCAATGAAATATCATGTCCGTGGTGAGGCATGTGACATGGATAGTGCAAAGTATTATGCATCGTGCCACGCGAACCAGTACCTCCCTATGTGATCTTGCTGTCACGATGTAAAGAGAATATAAAAGAACGGCCTATCTGCAGTGGAAACATCAACACTACGCAACGTAAAGATATAAGCCCTACCATTCGAATACCACGCAATCGTCGCGCTACGTCGAGTAACGCTGAATAAAGTCAACAGAGTAAATGCAGCCTACCTAACTTTCCCATCGAAGCTAACCCATGTCAGATGTGCACCAGATGTCTACATATGGGGATGTCAAGACAGACAGGTGATAAGAGAAAATCCATGCGGATGCGGAGATTGGAAGGAGAATGTTCTTGGTTTTTACTCTGGCTATTGTCCTGAATGTATAAAATCGTTGAAGAAGTGAAGGACAACAACTATTTAATTATGGGTAGAAAAGGTCTTCTTGATGTCCGCCAACTTCACCAGATCGATAGCTATCTCGAATGAATTCCAACCCCGAAACTCTGCCAAATGTCGATGAAAATCGTCAAGCGGTTGGTGCAATTTTCCAGCGTGACTCAAATCGATGAATCGGATTTGGCGCATGCTGTTAAGCATTACGTTACTGGGAGAAATATCTCCGTGAACGATACCATGATGATGTAGTTGCGATAGTCCAGTTTCGATGTCTGCGATGTAAGAACCGATTTTTGCAGGTTCAATAGCGACCAACTTCTCCATTGAGTACTCAAAGATGCCTTGTTGATCCTCCAAAGGCTGTTTATCAACTTTGACAACAGGGAGACTCTGAGAAGACATTTCTGAAAGTATTTCAAACTCTTTGGAGATGAGCCGCTTCGAAACTGGCGTATCGTGTGCCAGTTTGATCACTGGAAAGGGTGCTGGTTCGGTATTCTCTCTCACAACGCCATGCGAGCCAAACGACCTGAAGCATGACTGTTTCCACACAGCTTCCTTCTCAGGACTGTGTGTGACCTCCTTTAGAGTGACTCGCTCGTCAAGTGTTGGGAACGCAGATAGATCAGGCTGCCACTTGGAGGTCTTCCACATCATAAGAAACTCATGCCCAGATGAGCCAATTCTCATCGCATAGCAGGCAGCTTCTGAGTCCCAGAAGGTAGGAGACAGTTGCAAGACGGATTTCTCCATAAAATTGCCAGAAGAATAGAACTAAAGAGCGGTGAAACTGAGCTTGTATTGTAGAACGAAAGTTCACTGAGGACGATTTACGATGCGTCTGACTAAGATTATCCTTTAACCTTATTCGTGCTAGGCCTCGCTTTGAACCAGAAATGTCATCCAACCTTATCCCCAGCCTAACCTCCTTAGGGTTATGTCAGCAGACGAGCGTACGTGCGTCTGGTACCATCATCAACATCATTGGAGATGAAGAAGTAATAGTTCCTTCCCCATAGAATACCATCTGGTCCTGCCTGATTGGGCGGGGTTCCCAGCTGGTTGATGAACGTATGCAGTGCGTACAAGTTATGCGTTATTTTAACAACACTATTTATGCAACAAATGGTATTTTGCAGGCTGGCGGCTATGTCGGAAGCGGTGTGTACGTTGCCACTCCCTTCTATTGCGAATATGCCTACAATCTCTCAGTCGGTGACAATACTGTCATCGGACCCGACTGCCGATTGCTAGATTCTGGAAAAATCAACATCGGAAGGAATGCTGAGACTGGTGCTGGGGTTATTTTGTCGACTTTAAAGATGCCCATCGACACAAAAACCTCAAAAAGAGTGAACGGCATTAAAGTGGCTTCAGAAATCTATATTGGCGACAATGCCTATGTTGGTACTGGTTGCATTATCGAGGTTGGAGTACGAATTGGCCATAGCGCTATCGTTTGACCTTGGTCTGTTGTTGATGATATACCTGCTGGCTGTATCGCGTCGGGCAATCCAGCTAGTATATGTACGGCGATTGTTTGAGATGAGTTATGATAGCGGGGCGAGCCCTTCACGGCATTAGTGCTGTGTTCGTGTTACTGTAGCTCAAATAGGATGAAAAAGTAATTGAGTGCAGTCAACGACAAATGGTCGACTCGCGCGTCGACGCAGAGGGCATGGAGCTTCTGAAAGAGAGAAGAGCTATATACGATTACGGGGCTGTTCATTTTGCAAATGCTGCATGCCCGTAATTCAATATTCACTATCTCCTGGCCTTGCCAGTTATTCAGATATGCTGCCTCCTTTGAGGGATACGTTCATTGTCCGTCTTTGCAATTCAGGATATATTCGCTGTTGCCTCTCTAAAATGGTGTCTCCAGCCTCTAACTTCGCCTTTGCCAAGTATTTCCTGCATGGCTGGCCACAGCATGTCGGATGCCACGGCAGTCACGCGCCGCAAAAGATTGAAAAGGAGGAGTATACCATGGCGGGTGGAAGTACTGGTGTGCAATCCGTCGAAAGGACCTTGGCACATCTAATGACAAGATGTCAGCTAAGAGCGCGCGAAATTTGGAAAAGAAGCTCATGACTCACAATGCTGTTGTCAGGCAGCAGACTCGAGATGTACAGTGACCACTTATGCCCGATAACAGTCCAACCTAACACTGAGGGTACTAGACTCTCTATCTCCTTCTCCTCCATCGGCCTTTCTCTCCTCATGTTGACCAGCTCCCTTATCTTCCACAGCATGGCTGCATGGTAAACAGCAAGTTGCATCTCTGCTTCTGTAGCTTTCCCCCCAGCCTCCTTTAGCTCTATGGCGCATGCAAGAGCAGTCCCGGAGGTGTATGCATCCGTCATAGGACTAAGCGTGGCACCTTTGTTGTCCGATCTAAAATTCTCGTAGACTTTGCTGATGTTCTCATTGTCATCTCCGCAAAATGCAAGAACGAAGTCGGCCTTTTTTGATACTGCCAGACCCGAAATATCTATCGATAGATAATCGGGATGTATGCTTTGTGATTGGCTGGAAAGTTCCACCGTTAGCTACGTAATACCAGCGCCAGATAAGACAGAGTAAGGGAAGACTACTCACACGCTGTTGATTTCCAGACATGCAACATCATCATTCTCTACCACTGCCTCTAGAACTTCCCAAACAACTCTTGCCCATGCATTCTCGTCCTTGTTGTTGTTGTTGCATCGTTTTGCTCTTGTGTGGATGCGTTGCACCCGTCTCCATAATGACTCTAACTTTTCTGTTGTCGCCTGATCCAACTCTGTTTCATTTGGTCGTTCGAACATATGCGATCGAATATCGTTTCTAAAGACTACTGGATCTGCTTGACGGAGGCGTTCCTAAACCATTACTAGTCAGGCTTAGGCAAACGAAAGTTGTCGAGAGATAATGGAGACATGCCCTGAAGTATTCTGGGATAAAACAATCGGAGAAATCATCGGATAGAATGCCTTGTAGCTCCTCTGATGAAGCTATCCGACTTGTACTATCTGGTTGTCTGATACGGATCGGAGGTTTTCCTTGCTCCAGCAAAACCCGCTGTGTTCGCTCCGGACTTTGCGACCCTTTCCGCTTCATCAATGGACTTGTCGCTTTCAGTCTTCTTCTAGAGTCCAGGGAGAGTATAGAGGATGCATCAGTAGCCGAATCCATGCTGGATGAGATATGTGAAGACGCTTGCGCAGATATATCAAGTCGCGGGCGGACTCGTCGGTGATGACTCGTACAGCGGCGGGCTCGTTTCGAACGTAGGGGAGGAGAAAACTCGGAATCTGATAAGGACGAGATAGATTTCGTCCAGGCGCGGACCTCTTCCATGGCGATACTGGTGGTGGTCGTCGAACTGAGTTCACATGTCCGTTAGGGAGGCGATGTGGGGTAGTGAATGTCCGTGCGTTGGTTGACACAGCAACCACATCATTTGCAGCGCTTGCTGCACTTGAACCGAACACCTCTTTTTTGATTTTCTCTCACCAGCCGCATGGTCACCATGACTATGGGCTGCACAGCTCAAGATTGGATGCCGTAAATACTGATATTTATTGGGTGTGTCTTTGAACATGTTTCAGCAAGAAATAAAGGTTAGGTCATTGGGCTAATAACAGCTTGGAGTCGGGGGCGCGTCGGTTGACTACAATTGTACTGACAAAGAAACCCCCACTGCCTCTGCAAATCCTGTTCCTGTTTCTCCGGGCCAGATTCTGGTTCCCGTAGTGGGTCCTTGTATTTCGGAACCGTTTCCAGGTCCTGGACCTATCCTGACAATGAAATGCCTTTCTGAAGTCGTCTTTTCGTCCAAACAGACAGCTCGATTGTTGAAGAGGCGATAATCTTCCGACTCCATCACATACAGGAAATGGCGGTTGCTGTCAGCACAAGATGTGGTTGCAGCTTTAACAGGTTTGCTAGATTGTGGCGTGAGGAAACTAATCCCCGTCATTGCCGAGGCATCCCCACCCCACATGACATCTAGAAAGATATTAATGCAGTTGTAGGCCAACAAGGAGTGAGAAGCCTGTGGATGGATTGATGGACGAATGAATGAATGGATTTCTGAACTGAAAATATGCACTTGTGACTCTATAACGCCTCACTGTGGCTCTGTAACTCCTCATTGTGACTTTATGGCTCCCAGATCTGATTCAATCACGCAGTCGTTTTCCTCCAAAGTATCAGACCGCTTACGTTTCAACCGTCGGGGGCCAAAGGGGGGAATACCATGGATGTCGGTGGCATGCTGCCAGAAAGCTTCATGCGAGCCTAGGGAGTCATCGCATCTTGGATGGGGACATGTGTCCAGTTGGGTGTTGTGCTCCAAATGTGACTTCATATGTTTATGAAGCATAAATATGTCAGGATATTGCGCGCACCGGACGTGGGGAGGAGCGTTGACATCGCCAAGACAAAACAGACATTGGGCAGCTACAATTATCAAGCCATTGTTGCGAATGAGCCCACAGAAATCGTTCAAGTCTTCTAGGTGCTGGCGAAGGTGATCAGACCATGCCTGATCTGACACCAGCCAGAAGTTATGCTCGTAACAGTAGTGACGCCTTGTAGTTGTTGTCCATTCAGTAGGCACATCATGCTTAATCCCAACATGAAGAGCGAGATCTTCATAACAAGCTGCAGTGAACCCGCAACGCTCCCACAGGCATTGTTGCAGTCGATTGGATTCAAGATGACGTGTGACGTGGAGAGAATACGTGCCAGCGCTTTGCGATCGAAACGAATGGCCGCAGTCATTCCAGCGACAATTCCGGAGTGACGATTCGAAATGTGCTTTTATATGCTGGGTTTGAGCTTTGATACGAGACTGTCGTGTGCAATTTAACAGATGGGCATTGAGACGCTCGGGACGCTGCCTATTATTTGATTAGCTATTATTGTCAGGAGCTGCAAAAGCAAACGTACATGTTCAACTCTGTCTTACAATGAGAACACCTCTCGGACTCAGGTGGGTCTACACCTCTGTACGTCGCCCGTTTCTTCCCGGGATTGGCCATTCGCTGCAGAGTCTCAACGCATGCACCAATCTGTGGTGACTTAGTGTGATAGAACAGTTCGATCAACTCTTGTCGATCTGGATCATGGCGCAAGAGAGCTGTTAGGTACCGAGATGGGTTGCGCACCGTGTTTGTGGCGTGCTCGTGCTCGTCCTCGCACTTTTCATCGTTGCCTGATTGCAAATCTGCTTCTTCATACGAGCCGTTTTCCTCTTCTAGATAAGCCTTCCATCTTTTGGTGTAATTCTTGTTCCGCATTTGGCGCCGCAATTCGTATTGTTGTTTGACGGAGAGTTGACTGGCGATAATAGATTCCTCATCTTTTATAGGTACCACCTTCACATCCGTCAATCGGCTGCCTAGCTTTTGAGGAGCTCGATCATCTGCCTGACGAGTCATGCTTATGTTCATTTCGATAAGCTGTACCTTCGGAGCTCGGCCATTCACCAACGCTTGCGTGTCAATGGCGATAGTATCCGGCGCATAAGAATCAGCGTGAATTACTTCACTATTGCCCATCATTTGGCGCCGCTGGATCGGATTTGCATCTACTCATTTCAGTTGTCTTCTTTGCCAGTTGTGAATTTGCTTACTCGCTATGACACTCCCATATCCCCGCCTAAAGCAATACACAACAAGTTTCTCAACATATCCAGCTCTCTGTCCAAGACCCTTTATCATATTACGCAAGCAACTATAAGTCAGAATCTTAGTTGGTGATATTGTGCCGTCTTTTTGCAGAGCACGCAGAACAGGCACTTCGAGAATTTCAGGCCTCATGCGGAAAATGTACTTCCTCGGGCCAGCTGTTGGGCGACGCTTGTCAATATCATCGAATGTCTTGCAGTCACGAAAAACTTCGTCAGCCAGCGCATGGCCAAGAAAAGCGACGATGGGACATTTATGTCTGTTCTCTTCGGGCTCGGCATGGAGTGTTATAGCTGGCCTAACAAACATTATATTCTAGGTCAATCATCAGATAGCATAAACATACTTGTGTGAGGCATTCAACCGTTTTCCTTTGCGATTTCTCAGTCTGATTGTCATGACTAATCCTGAATAATCCGGGCTACATTGTCGTGAAAGGGTAATGTCCTTGTACAATAAACCTTCATTACTTCCTTTCCAGCCATCCGATTCTATGATTTCTCCGGGTCTGCTGCCAAGGTAGCCAAATATAAGCAATGCGAATCGCAACTGTGTGCCCCATCGAGGATGTGGATATTGGTACTCGTCACATCTGAGCGAGAATTCGATGAGGTCGGTGATGGTTGCCATGGTCGCAAGTGGCTTCTCATACGAGGAGGTGGAAACGCTCTCCTCGTGTGGCAGCTCTCTGTGAATAAACTATTTACATGTAAATCAGTAAGCTCTTTCATGATTGCGATTGTAATACAACGTACAGTATTAATAGCGTTGTTGTACGCTGACGAAAAGCTAAGGGAACTGTAGGCTTTAACGGCACGCTTGAGAGCTGCGACTTTGTTAACAAGCGTGGTTGTTGTGACTACTTCGTCAAGTATTGGCTTTGAGGTGCGACTATACCAACGCAAGAAAATTTTGATGTTTTCAAGTTCTGGCATGTGCAACAATGGATACAACCGGTCGGGCTCATCCTCTTCTAAGCACTCTTCGCTGAATTCTTTCCAAGATTTGAGAATTTCTCGGTGCGCCTGGTACATCTTTGGGGTAAGCTTTTGTTGGAGATCATCTTCAGCATTTGCTTTCTTGCTTCCTTTGCGAAGGTCTGAGGTATCAACTTTACGACGAGCCATTGCGAGGCTAAGAAGTGGAAGAGCAACAAGAATAAAAGATGGAGCTACCGGGAGAGCGGTGGTTTGATGGAGAGCTGGTGGAAATGGTGGAAGAGCAGACTAGTAGAGGAGCGAGCTGGTGGAAGAGCGAGCTGGGGGGAGAGGTGGTGGAAGAGCGAGCTGGCTGGGGAGGATTTGGCAAGCGACATGATTCTGGTTTCCGGTGTCGCGATGGTTAAAGCAGCCATGCCCCAATAACTGAGTCCTTGATCCAGAAGTACGTTTTTGGGAGGTTTGTATGATGTATTAGGCTTAGCGCGGATTTCCTTTTCAGGAAACAGGAAACCGTAGACAGGCGAAAACACCAACATTTGGGCAGTCGGACAGGAGAAAACAGAGCTTCCCGTCCGCTCAGCTGTACTTAAGCATGGTACCGGCGGATTAGTAGTCAGGTGGGTGACCACTGGCGAATACCTGCTGTTGTATGTTTTTTTCTTTTTGGCCAGTGATTCCACTATGTAATAATGACTTCCACGCCTGCTGTTATCGAACCCGAAATTCGTCCCGAGCGCTTCGTTACATGTTGATTTTCCTCTCTGACTCGCTGTTGTCAAGAGATTGTAACTACCTAGGTAGTTATTTCGCGGTTATATCGTGGTTAGCGTATCTCTTCGACCATGATTCTGCAAACTGGTGCCTCTGCCAACCTTCTGCATCTTCTTGAGGTTAAACCCAGCATCTTTTTTATCTCTAATCGCAAAGCAGAGTCGTTTGTACAACAACTATGCAGCGATACGTCACTTTTTTAGTAAGTAATTCTAAGTTGGAGTTTAGGTGATCCTGTACACAGCGGTGGGTTTACAACGATAGATCAACTAAAAAACAGGCGACAACTACGAATCACTTTCTTAGACCCCTACGCAGGACAATAACACATTGCGGTTATTTGCACTTGATACTAAGACTTCGGATTCAAAGATTGAAAGCCCTAAGCTTTCTTCGGCATTCTTTGATTTCAACTTCTAATTGGCGAAGAAAGAGAGGGAGGTAAGGCAACCGTGCGTAGCGCGCAACGACTCCGCCGCTCCGCTATGTAGGTATCCACGACGCCTATATATAATTGACCGCCCACGTATCAGTGTCGCACACCTATTCTCTTATATCTTAAGCCTAAACTTGACTACTGTACTCGCTATACACGCATACGTTAGTTCTGAGTCACGTGAGCGGAGTCACTGCAGGAAAGCGCACTTTATTGAGTAAATTGTTGAGCCTTTGTCACGTATAGTGGAGCTCACTCTGTTACCAGATGACTATTCAAGAGTACAACCCCTCTTGCGGACGCGCGTCTCTTCTACATCTCGCTATGGATCCGCGGGTAATTACTCGGGAAGAACTCGCCAATGCCACGAGATTCGGCGACTTCACCCCAGTCTACAAGATCGATACAAAAACCGTGGTCAAGACTGGAGATTCCGTTCGACTAGCTGAGGCTGCCGCTATGAGACTAGTCCGCGAAAAGACGAGTATCCCAGTACCCGAAATCTACAACGCTTATACCGATGGCGATACTGGCCATGTGCGAATTGTAATGCAGTTCATCGAAGGGGACTGCCTCTCAAACAAGTGGGATCAATATGACGCTCAACAGAAAGAACGCCTTCTCCAACAACTCTCCGACATGTTCCCACAACTACGCGATATCAAAGGCACGTTCATTGGATCTGTCGACGGAAGCGCTTGCGAAGACCCATTGTTCGATGAGGATATTGGGAATTATGGTCCCTACAAGGACGAAGCTTCTTTCCACCAAGGCGTCATCACAGCACTTAGAAATACGCTCGAGGGCGGCTGGGTTGACACAGTATGCGCCATGGTCAGTGCTCTGAGCGAGCATGAAACCGTCTTGACTCACGGAGATATATCACCGAGGAACATCTTAGTCCGGGAGGACAAAGTCGTTGCTATCCTGGACTGGGAGATGGCTGGCTACTATCCTGAGTACTGGGAATATACAAAGGCGCTCTTCAGGCCAGCGTGGGAAAGTGGCTGGATCAAGGATAAGGCGGTGGATAGGGTGCTGCAGCCATATCCCATGGAATTGGCTGTATTCTTGCATGTACACAGCGTAGGGGCTTGGTGAAAAAACATTGTCTTAGAAGACAAATCTTATTAGCTGGCAGGTTGATCTGATCTATATAGGAAGCATGATACTGCTGAAGCTATATTTGGAAAGCGTCTTTGTAAGTAACTTCTAGCAAATTCCTGCAGTTGTATGATATGGTTTGGTTGTTAAGTGATTCTACTATAATATTTAGAGGTGTTGGCGACCCTGCGCTCAAAGTTCGACAAAGTTGTTGCGGAACATACAGTTCCCCTTTTAACAAAAATTAATTAGAAGTTGAAGTGTTTCCTATACTTAAAAAAAGCCAAAAATATAGTAAGAGGTAACAAAAAGTAAAAGGCGACAAAAAGTAAGAGGCAACAAAAAGTGAGAGGCAACAAAAAGTAAGAGGCAATAGAAAGTGAGAGGCAATAGAAAGTAAGAGGCAACAAAAGGTGAGAGGTGACAAAAAGGTTTTACAAAAGGGGGTGTCTTATTTGACAAAATGGAGTAGTGAACCATGGTTCGCGGGTGAAGTCTGGGTATAAGAAAACGTAAGGTCTTCGCCTCGCAGAGCATACCTTCCCTGACAAGTAATAGTGGCTTACTTGCTTAAAAAGAGTGATAAGAGAGCGGGCTCCTGGATATCAAAAATGTGCGAACCAAACATGGACAGTTCCCCAAACCCCATCCTCCTACGCGTGATTCCACACTCTGAAGTCATTGCCGACCATGAGGCAGTCAGAACCAGACAAGACACAGACGCATACTCGCGGTCCCAGCGCTTCAATACCGCCGACCACACCCGCGATGAGATCCTCCCTATCGTCCCCGAGCCCCCCAACTTCACCCACTCGCCGCCGGACTGGAAGCTCTACTCGTACATCCTCTGGCAGCCCCTCATCGCCAAGAGCCAGCATTTGACTTCCTCGGAAAGCGTCGTTTCTAAGCTCCCGAACTTCCTATGGGATGACTTGATGCGGTGCTACGGCGCATGGCTGTCCGGGGGCAAGCTTAGCGACGCACTGCTAGAAGACGTCGTCGAGATGTGGACGTCGCATCCATCAGGGAAAGAGTTAAAGCGCTTATTTGACGGGCAGAAGAAGTGGTTTGTGCGTCTTGCGCAGATGTCGCCCAAGGATTCTCCGCTAGAAGGGGCACAACCGTCGTTCACGCTGCGGGACGTTGTAGCCAAGGTGTGTAGTAGCATGCGCGCACATGGGTGTTTGCAACGGGAGAAGGAAGATGCGGCTAAGGAGCATCGTGAGATGGAGATTTATATCGTGGTAAATAAGTGGGATGACGATATGGATCCGGCGAGGGAGTTCCGTGTTTTTGTTCCGCCAGTGCTTGCTGCAAATCAACAAACAACACCACCATTTCCACAGGGGCCGACGATACATTCGCAGGAGCCTACGATCAGTGGTATCAGTCAATACGCATGGCATCGCCCGTTCCAACAAGTCTTGCCCAACTCCACCACTCTGGCTGCCACAGCAGAAAACATTCACTCACACGCAAGGGAAATCCTGAATGACATGGTAGATTATGCCCGCGATAACTTTACCGACGATGTATCCTATATGCTGCTCCGATATGGGCTCACTTTTGATATTTGTGTAAAGGATACAGGGGATGGAGTAGAAGTACAGCTTTTGGAGATTAATCCTTTCGGAGCCATGAGCGTTTGTGGAGCTTGCTTGTTCCATTGGATTAGGGATGGAAGGGTACTTTATGGGCTGGAGCCGGCGCAGTTTTTGGTTACTACGGACCCCTAGAGTAGAACTTACTCTCCTGTCAGCAGCAACAATTACCGGCTTGATAGAGAAGCGCTTCAAGCTGACTCGGTAGTGTTTTAGAGCAATATTGTGGTGTTGAAGGAGAGAGACGTTACTGTTGGAGGAAGAGGAAGGCTCACTGTCTTGCACAAACATGCGCCATTACAGCTATCAGCCAGCTAATTATAAGTATGTAAATTTGTAGCTAGGTAGGTGACCGCTAGCGAATACCTGCTGTTGTGTGTTTTTTTTTTCCCCTTCTTGTCCCTTTATTTTTGTCGTACCTCGAGTTGTATACGTAGAACTAAACCCTACGAGCCTTTGTATATGCTGTATAGTATATTCAACGGATGATGTGCAAATCATTCCGGGAGCGGTTGAACTTGAGCTCTCAAAAATGTTTCTTTTCCCGTTCATCAGTGATGACGTAACGCGTTTATTCATAATGAATGAATAGGACTTCCGCATAATCGCTTGTAGCAGTTCCTCCCTACTATTCCAATTCGTTCATATCTCGCCTCTCAATTTCGCTGTTCACTTGGCTCGACGCAATTTCTTCTCTTTGATCTTCAATTATTGCATCTTGAGTTTGGGCAGGAGCTTGGGCTTCCTGCGCAAGTATGCCATCATTATTCCCAATTTCTATTATCTCGATCTCAAACCCATCCGTATTGTGCTCCACACTCGTACTTGGAGGCTGCGGGACGGCCGCACCAGCTAACTCAAATATCGGCGTTCCGGCGATCTGAGGAACGTATTCGTGTCTCTGCAAGGGATTTCCATCAAGTTCCGGCTTTGAATGTAGCGTGGTGTTCTTTATGTTACGTTTGAACCGCCTTCGAGGGCGATGATTTTTGAAATGTCTCCTGGCTACCAGATACGACAATAGTGCGATGCCGACCAATACACCGAGAAAAATTCCAGCGACTTGACCTGGGTCAAGTCCCCGAGGCTCCTTCGGATTGTTTGAGATTATAAAGGTTGACGGGCCAATGTATGTTGCTGTCATATTACTAGTAGTGGTGTTTGCAGTTGACAAGACGGATGAAGATCGCGCCGTGACGGAAGTACGCTTGACTACCAAAGCCCTATGGTGCAGGGTATCGCCACACATATCTAGGGGTGCCGTTTTGGGGAGTGTATAATTCGCATCGGTATGTGTCCAAGCGAACCCTAGACAAATCTCAATCAATGCAAGACCAGGCTGCAAGTTGTATAAAATTTAGTGTTGTCGGGGGAAGGAGAAAGAAAAGAAAGGAAAAGAAAAGAAAACACTTACTGCACACTGGGACATTCTGTTCTTCGGGGAAGTTCGCTCTAAAGACCATTTCAAACGCTAACACACTGTGCGGAAAGGTCAACGTGCGTCTAGAGATGCGTCTTTTCTTTTGGTGCATACTCCAAACAACAAAACATCGACGTCCATCCACTCCCAATATCCGAACTTCTTTCCACATATCCTTGTGGACAACTTGTACCCGAGTATAAAAAGTTACAAGTATTCGGCTGAGGAACACAGGGATAGTCTCCATACATGGAGCCTGACGGCGGAGGAGGGTCAGGGAGCCAGCGTTCATACATTGTGATATGATGCGGCATCGACTCGATATTACTATTGCCTAGTGTAATACACTCCTCAGCGACAATAAAAGTGAGGCGCTTTACATCTTCTAGTGATAGACAGCGGTTCTCGTCGAAAGTGAAGTCCGAGTTCAGGGAGCACAAATCTGAATCCCGACGGACGACCGGAGCGGGCGTAATGAGTGACACCGTTGTTGAAGGGCTTCCATATTCCTTGGATGTGGTTTTCGCTGGCGAAATGAACATGGCGGGCTACTCGGGCGAAGGAAGTGGCAAAGCTAACAGTCTGCCTCGCAAGAATCAGGCCGTGTAAAAGTAGCCATTCTACGGAAATCACAGAAACCTATGTGAATGGCCACACCATCTCCGAGATGTTACGCTTTACTTCTTTGTACTATATTGCCAGGCACTTATACATCATCCGAGCAGTTGAGATGAGTCCCTCCCCTATTCGTCGAGAAGCCAAGCTACGAGGTCACAGATACTATATATGCTTGAACTGATTAGGCAAGGCATAGTATCACAGCAGCGTACAGGACGTTGCCTCACTTATGGTAGAAAGCTAGCGCGAACATTTTTCACTTTCGCTTTCCCAACGTTTTAAAAGAATTTTGGTCGGTGGAGTTGTACGTTCTCGAGCTTTACGACATTAAAGGGATCCTTTCTCTCCTGTCCTTGCCCCAGATTTGATCTATGGGTATTGATAATGAGCCAACATGAACTATGATAACAAGGGCTTGGGTTTCTTGAATGTGGGTCATGCTCAATTGAAGTCACCATACCGTCAAATGTGGAGTCATTGCTGTCGATCAGGCGTTCCTATCATTTGAATCGAACACAATTCATGCAATCACTGAGTCGTTTAAATCAAAATGCGAATGACAGGAATCACCTGAAAATCACCACATTGTCAATCAATCTGGTCTCACGGGAAGTTTGGACAATTACAAGAATAAACATGTACGATTCACAGACTTTGCAGTCGAATCCATCAGTATTATTCTGTATGAACTTGACCCTCGCAACGTCCATCAAACTTGTCGATCGCGGGACCCCTATCTTCCACAGTTTTCACATCGTGACTCGGTCCTTCTTTTTCATCCATCTCCTCACCTTGAATTTTCTCCTCCCTTGTAGTTGTCTCAATTCTTTCCACTTCAAATACCCCTGCACCTTCACTTTGCTCTGCACCCGGGGACGTGGGTTCAATCGAATCGGGCAACTCGAAGATGGGCGACCCAAGAATCTGTGGAACATATTCATCTTTTTGCAAAGGCCGGCCGTCCAGTTCGGATTTTTCCGCTTGTATCGTTTCGTTGTTCCCAGCACTGCGCTTTTGAAGAGTTCTTCGATGTAGAAAAATAGCCAATGCAATAGCACCTAACAAAAACAGCCCTGCAGTGCCCACGCCGATACCGATGCCGACCTTGGTACCAACATTCCTTTCAACATCATCTTTGGGGATGATGCTTGTGGTACTAGTGCTTGGGATAGTTATTGGATTGTTTGTACTCGAAGCCGCAGGGGTGATCGAAGCTGCGTGTTCTGACGCAAATGCATCGTGGGTGACAATCATGGCCCGATGGAATAGTAGATAATTCCCCGAGTAGTCTAGCGTTGCGCGAACAGGAAATGTATCTGTACTGCCACTCCACATGTATACTAAGAGCACGTATATGGGTTAATTGGCTGACTGGTTCCCAGTAAAAATAGAACGTTTCTTCATTGCCAGCAGTGGATATTCAATGGACACTTACGACATATTGGAATGGCTATGCCATATGTCACCGAATCATCGAATGCTTCTGAGACCATATGCATATCATCATATGCAGACGCGCTTCGTTGGGGCTTATTATGGGACTTCAATAACAAAGGGCATGCTTACCTTGGGCAACAATATATAGTCGTCCGATGCTCATCTATCCCCGACGACTTCCCTGCATAGCCATCCGGACAAGCTTCACCGGTGTATATGAATTCGCATTGCCCATCTCCTGGTAAGCACTGCTCGAGTTCCTCGTCAACTTCATCTATCCCGTCCGTATTGGATTTGTTGTACCAGAGAGCATATACTGTGTTCGTTTCCAATGAAAATGTGTTCTCAGTTGCATAAGATCTCGTGGTCCTATATGCATTGCGTAATGGTAGGCAGCGGTGTCCATCGAATGTAAATGACGGATCCAGGGTGCATTCTATGGATGGATACGCAGTGGCAGAACCAACAGGAAGAGTAGCCGAAACAGGAGAGCCGATAGCAGGCGTAAACGTAGTAGTAGGGGAAATTGTACTATAAACTAACGAAGCAGTATTTCCCGGACTGGGAGCTGTCTGAAAACTCATGATAACGCTCAGTCGCCTGCGGGTCGTTCCATGACCGCCAACATCATATACTCCTTTAAAGCGGCTGAAAGGTGACAAAATTGTTCCACATTCCGATCAATGACCATATGAAGGCCCCTGCAAGGAGATAGTGACAATACATAGAGCCTACAGGAAACGAAAGTTGGCAGTATGCTTTATGAACATGGCACTGCATATTGAAGTAATGTTTCTTGCAGTTTGCAGTGCGCATGTCAAATTTATTGTTCTGATTAGTGGCTTTCTCACCCGTGAGCAACGATTCCCCCAAACAGGAACAAACTGATATACCTCGGGCTATTTTAAGTAAGAATGACTACACCGCATGCCAGTCTATTCATTCGACTGAATCTTCTCAGGGCTCGAAATGTACGTGGAGCAAGAAAGCAATTCAGTGGCACGAAAAAGGTGATTGCGACACCCAACCCGTCAGAACTGACGTCCCTCAAAAAGCGGAGAACGTGCTACAGCAATTTCACCATTGCATGTTCACCACCAATCAACCCAATGTTAATCGCATATTGTATACCTGAATGCAGACGATTATGCTGAGCAACTTGCACTTCATAAACTCTGCGACACACACAATGGAAGCAAGAAGATTGACTCCTATTCTTCATTACGGACAGTCCAGTCTCATTCCTAACACACAACACTATCTGCTTTTCAACTCTTCTATCTATCATATGTACTATACATACAAGAAAGAACATAGCGTCGGCGAGGAAAATCTAACACCTTATTTACCACCCTCGCACACACGAACCTGTGATCCAAAGACCCAACCAACCTCCCATATACCCTCCAAACACGACAGAATCCCCCAACAGCACACAAATCCGTGTCCATCCAATCAATCGTGCATGTCATCACATCTCGCAGCGTGCGTAGATTGCCTCCCCAACAAAACCTGCGGGAACACTAAGAAAGAAAGAAAAAAAACAAGTTGGCAACCTGTCACTGTAGCGTGCAGCAGCGTCACAAATGGTAGCATCGCCGTCCTTGATACATCTCATCTCAACATAGCTGGGCGCATATACATAGCTCCCGGTGGAACACAAAAGTCGATAACGGTGACGGCATTCATTCATTTGCTGTGCATTCTGCTTCAACTTTGCTTTTACTTTTCTCAATTTTTTTTTCTGGTTCCTCGTGGGATCAACACTACTCCACCCCGTCGATAAGGGGGAGAGAGATAGGTCCAAATAAGTATGTAAGAAAGTCAGGCAATCTCTATCCCTATCTGGCATTTTCCTACTTGCATCGTGGATCCATGGTGTTGATATCAGGAAAGGACCAGCCGACCAACAGGACAACGAGTACGTGGACGAACGGAAAGAGGTAACACAAAAAACACAGAGAGCACATATGACCACTTAGCGTCATCTTCGTGGAGAGGTAGGAGTTAAAACATGCATATCAACAAAATATATAGATTGAGAGGGGGCAAGGGATAAAATATCCCAAGACACGCAGTTGGAGGAATCAAAATCATCGCACAAAAATCAATATTTGGTATCTCGACAGAAAAGAAAAACTAAAAAAGCATAAAGACACTAGAGGAACCGCAAAAACAAGAGTACAAAAACGAAGGTTTTTGGTCACCATGTTGCGCCATAGTCCCCAAACTTCATCCTTCGCGAATGAGTGGTGCTACGTGTATTGATTCATTACTAAACGGAAATAGATTAGTCGTGGCTTTATACGGCAGTCCCTTTGCCCTTGCCATCGTACGGGAATTCGTCCTGCTGAGGTGGCGCAGGGTACGCGTAGCCACTCCCATACGCATTTGCAGGTTGATACGGCTCAGGATAATGCTGCACCGCGCCATGACCAGCATCCGCACCACCATAAAACTCCGCATTGTCATGTTGCTGCTGCTGCTGCTGCTGCTGCTGCTGTTGCCCAGGGCTCAGATATGCACCCACAGGTGCGGGATCCGGATTTGGGTTCCCCTCAAGGGCGCCAAAGGCGCGGGTGCGGGGCGTGACGGGCATCTTCTCACCCCAGCCGGCGCCATGCGTGGTGCCTGGGGTTCGTGGCAGCTGCTGGAGCTCCCACATGTGTTGCCACTGTTCCTCGGGCGTCATGTCATTATCGTAGGGTGAATTAGCGGCAGCCCATTTCTCCTTTTGCGCTTTGCGCTCGGCGACTTTGGCGGCGTGTTCTTCTCGCGCAGCCTTGGTTGGGTAGAGGGAGTATAGGGCGAAGCAGATGTGAAATGCGTATATTGCGCTAGGGGCAAAATCAGTTGGTTGACATTTGGAGGGGTGGAAGGTGTGGGAAGGCGAAAGTAGGGAATGAGAGGACGTACAGCATAAAGACACTGATGGCAAAGGCACTCTTGGCTTGCATGCAGTATCCCCTGACGGTCTTATCCTCGACAATGTCACAATTTTTGGTGATATACCAAGGAGCGCCATGGTTCTGATGCTCGGGGTCGATTGTGTCGGATCCGGTTTGAACGGCGATGGAGACGGCCCAAAGTACCAGGAGGGCAATGTGCAAAGGGAGCGAGAATATGGGGTAGAAGACGTGGAGGAGCCAGCCAGTTACTTTGATGAGGTAAAAGAACATGCATATGACGCCGATGTAGAGGTTGTATTGGGTGTTACTGGGGCGGATGGTCAGTATGCTTTGGACAATTTCAAGCTCTTCAGTCCACTCTCTCTCTACGATGCCACCGTGGACCCACGATTTTTGGGCTTCACAATTTCGGTAACATGACCATGGACTGCTATACCCAAAACGAGGAAAGATGTGCTCACAAGCTGCTCCAGACCATGGGAATCTTGACCGGACGATAATTGGCATAGGCGTAGAGGATATCGGATGGTTCACTGTTGAAACCTCTCCTCCCGCCTTCGGCCCATAAGATCTCTCTATACAAATTGGGACTGGCAACTCCGAAAATGGTGAGATTGGCGACGGTGAAGGGAAACTCGAGGATCATGAGAATGTAGACGATGCGTGCAAGGCGCCATTGGCGCGGAATAAAAAACCTAAACATGGTGACTGTCGAGAGTGCGCTTTGGGGGGTTGAGGTGAACTGCGACGGGACGGGCTATTTGAACGTGGTGATGGTGTTGGCGGCGATGGAGCGAGGCGGGGAGAGACTCGAAAGTCAGCGGCCAAAGACAACCATTAGAATCCGTCTCTTTTGCATGCAAACGAATGCACTGGGATGGTCGAGCGGGATGCGGACGTTGAAGATGGTACACAGCACACGGTGCAGCACAGCACAGCACAGTACTGGAGGCGGGCGGATATGGGCAGAGCGCACAAGCTCGCCACAGGATGCGGAGCGGGATGATGGGTATTTAAAGGGCAAGGCATCCTCTCCACACGGTAGCATGGTATACGAGGTGCAGATGCTGCAGGCCGTCAGCCGAAGTAGCCATGGCAGGCGCTGACTGGCAGCTTGCCCTCACTCGCGTCTGCGCATCACATTGCGGCGTGGCGCATTCGGGCCAATCACGAGCGCAGGTTTGTTTCATGCAGGCCTTCCCACGGCAGGGCAGGGGTGCGAAGGCTCGTGGTTGGATGGATGCTTTGGGAACGGCAATATCGACAATGGGGCCGGATTGGTGCTCTGTCTGCATGCTTCAAGGTGGTCTGGCATGGGCATGAACGGTCGTTTGTGTCTTCATGCAGAATCGCTTGATATATAAAGAGACTGTGACGGTTGATCAAGGCTCCAGCCACATGGACGAATCCGGTCCAAAGGGACTATCTCTCTCGGCGTTTCCCGTCGTTGCTGGCTGTATGGAGGTGGAGAGAAAGTGCGCACCGGTTGCAGCGGCGGTTTGTACCGACTTCCTGTGTGGAAGAGAGCACAGTGACGTGACGGTCATGAGATGAGAGTGGAATATGCCTGCAGCAGCAGACGTCGTGATGGTGGATGGATGGATGCCGGCCGGAGTGTTGAGACGAGGGTCCAAAGGCGAGCGGGCGCTTAAACTATGCACCCGAGGGAACCAATAGCGCCTGCCGTCCGCGCACAGGCATCTCAACCATACAGACGGGTCACCACTTCTGTCTTCAACCAGACTTACATACATACGCCAGAGACCACATCTGATTATTACCTACATAGGTACATGGGAACTTGCAACGGGGCTGAACGCTTCATTCAAACCAACATTCGCGCATGTAAAGCACGAATCTGCACCTAATTGCATGCAAGCTATCTACGGCACAAAAGCCAAAGTTGGGGTCAAAGTACGACGAGAGCGAGCAATGGTTCCCCAAACCAATGACCAAAGCTGTGAACAATCACCTCTCTGTGCTGTCCACCAAAGAAACGGACCTTGAGAGTATACACAGACAAAGTTTGTAGTAATGTAACTTCTTCAACTGGGGGAACTGTGACCCAGCTGCTGGGAAGCCCACGACGGTGCGCCCGGTCCATATTTGCACATTGTTGCCCACACCCATGTGAGCCTAAGAATGAATATCCTCCACCGTACGTGCCACTGGGTATTAAAGCTTCCTACGCCCCCATGCCCCCTAGCAATCCATTGACACCCAACTCCCACTCTGCTTTGGGCTACCACCATTTTTCGCACAACACATGATCCGACTTCACATTCGGTTGGCATTTGAGGAATTCGACAACTCCGTCCGTCATCGCAGGAGGTCCACACACGTAGAACACGGTTTGCCCCGCTTCAGCTAAATTTCCGCATGCACTCATCATGGCAATGTCGTCAATACGGTGCGTCCACGCGACCACCGGCACTTCCGTATCCGATGCTATGTTGGGAAGGGTGAGCGACATCAGTGGGTATATAGGCTCATCATCGCGGCGGTTCAGTTGGGAACCATCGCGTGCACTGGTGAGGAAAAGTTCAAGGCGGTGCTTGCTCTTGTCTGACCGCGGTTTCCGGAAAAGATCGAGAAGCTCGGGGAGAAAAAGTACTTCGGACGGCTGCGTATCTATGGACGGCACTTTGGTGGAATAGAGGAAGCGAACTTCTACCGGAAGTTTCTCTTCGTGCAGATAGGAAAGAATCGAAATGAGCGGGCTGCGGTACAGTTAGCAACGAACAATACTGCAGCAGAGCTTTGAATGGTCGCACTTGATGCCAACGCCGCCAGCAATGAAGATGGCGCGTGTAATGTTGTCCATATCTAGACCAGGCGGTGGCCACACAAACTGTCCTCCTGCACGGACCTTGAGCTCCTCCCCGAGTATGCTCTCAATGGGCTGCCACAGCCATGCAGCCGATGGGTTTTCGGGACTCTTCATTATGGCCAATTCGACGTAGGGAGCGTCTCCATCGGTGGTATCAGGCACAGCCTGTCGCGGGGACGACGTGATGGTGAAGCCGCCAGCCTTTTCGACGCCGGGGACGTGAACATCGAGCCATTGGCCTGGCAGGAACTGCCCTCTATCAGCGAGTGAAGGGCGTCATGGCGAGGAGGTTCGACGGTACGTTGAAGCTGCCCTTGTTCTTAATCTCGAGTCTGTAGGTCCTGATCCTATCATTGACGGCCACCACATTTTTCAGGGTGACGGTATGGAGCGAGTCATGGCGTGGCTCGGTTGCTGTGCGCTCTTGATGGCTGAGACGTTTGGTGACGGAGCGCGTCTGAACCATGGTGCTCAATGAGAGAGCCTGCGGGAAGGAAGGGGGAGTAACACAGCAACGTCTTAGTATATATTGGGTGCCTGCTAGCATGCTAGCTGGCAGAAGGCTTTAAATTCGGTGAAAAGACTTTGTAGTGGGGGTCGGTAGAGTGGGGATGAGGGGCTTCGGGACGTTTGGTTGCGGTGATCAAGGTCTTGGGCTGATGTATGACGTTGCAGTACGCTCTTCGGCAGCTATGTTCCTGGTATCGTGAACGTTGCAGACGACTTCATCGAAACCCGCCGTCAGGGTCCTTGCATCATCAGACGAGCCCATCCTGATGGCACCAGGGGGCGATCACCAAAGGTCCAACGAACCACTCCACGGAGCTCATCGTCCCTATGGGCAAATCTGCTGGCGTCGACCAAGGATGCTCGTGCACGTGACTGCGGACTAGCCCGGTAGCCCTATCCGCCTTACCGCATTGGGATCGAATCTACGTCTACCAGAGTGGAGCTGATGATAACTTCACGGCTCTACCAACTGGACAACCTTTTCGCCTTGGGTCACCTGTTCAACTTGCATATACAAAAACAACATGTCGAATGAAGAAGGCTGGCACTCTACAGACGACGGGAAGAAGCTCTACACCAAAACGTGGAAGGTAGTACACGGCGCCTCCAACATTGCATGATCCCTGCCAACAAACAGCGTACAAAGGTCCAAGATCAGCCAGCCAAGGCGCGGCTTGTATTCATACACGGCTTCAGTGATCACTGTGCGTGACGACCTGTCAGTTCTTTTGTGTGACGGTGCTGACACACCACAGGCAACGCCTACAATGATTTCTTCCCAAGCCTGGCGTCAAAGGGAATAGAGGTGTATACCTTTGACCAGAGGTATATATGACGCGGGACCCAAAGTCAACTGTGAAAATGGGAGTTTGATCCTAACAGGTCTCAGGGGATGGGGTCGTTCAGTCGCGAAACCTGCTGAGAAAGGCCACACCGGTCCAACCACTCGAGTCCTGGACGACATCACCTCCTTCCTCAGAACCGTCATTCCGTGTCCTATCCCGCTCTTCCTAATGGGGCATTCTATGGGTGGCGGCGAGGTTCTTCTTTACATGGCCTCGGGGCCCGCAGATATTCGCCAACACATCCGTGGCTATCTCCTGGAAGCACCATTTGTTGACTTCAGCCCCGAGTCCAAACCGAGCGGACTCACCGTCTTCTTCGGGCGTATGGCGGGAAAAATACTTCCACAACACCAGATGGTGAACAAGTTGGATTGTAAGCTGATATCTCGCGACCCTGTAGTACAGCAACAATTCCTCGAGGACGAGCTGTGCCACGATACGGGCACGCTGGAAGGTCTTTCAGGGATGCTCGATCGTACGGGGCACCTTTCCACTGGCAAAGTGAAGATTGGAGATAATGCTGGCGAGGGCGGAGTGACCCGAGTATGGATAGCCCATGGTGATAAGGACGGCATCACCAACTATCATGCTTCGAAAGCGCTAGCGGACAGGATCGAAGCGAAAGACAAGGAGTTCAAGACGTATGAGGGCTATTACCATAGACGTAAGTACTTGACCTCGAACCAGCTGTATAAGGATCGGCTTCTAATCAGCGATTGCAGTGCACGATGAGCCAAAACCCGAAAAGGAGATATTTGTCAACGATGTTGCTAGCTGGATTTTGACGCGATCTGTCGACCCAGTGCAAGTGGACGGCAGCAAGCCAAAGCTTTAGTCGCGCCCCTCTTGGGTTGAATGTGGAAGAGTTGGTATTGTATAGTCATGTGTGTCGATCTGTAAAATAGCGCGTTTGACAGAGGAGAGTCCATCATGGCTTTCTGCCAAGGTTTTATTTGTGTGCATGTTCTTTGGGGGGAACTGGCAGGCAGGCAGGCATGGTGAAGTAGAAACTTCTTTTACCGGACAAGGGAAAATATCACTTGACAGCCTCGTTTTTCCGTTTCCGAATCGCATAGTCTGGACATGCGCGCGCTTGCCGAGGATTACCGTGCTGCATGACCCTGCTTGCGAAAAGGCTTCGGAGCCCTGTATGTGTATGTGATATGACGCATGGGATTGAGGTCCCCTTCAGAGTGAAACGAGCTCGGCTGCAACTGTCGTTTTTCAAACACAGCGGTGAAGGTGAAAATGATGGCGGGAGTGACACTGAGGCGAAATCTGGACATGATGAGCCATGATCCAATGTGGAGACAGTTGGACGCGTATGTGTGCAGCAAATTGGCCGTTTTTATTTATCAGATCGAGACCAAGACGAGGGCGATGTCGGATGAGGCTTGATCTGTCGATGATGCATTAGCCCAAGCGGGCCGGCTGCACCCGCGAACACCCAATGCAGTATCGAAAATCTTGCGCCTACCTGCCTCTATACGCGTAGTGTCTTCCATAGGGCTTGATAGATGGCCATGCACAGCTAGCTAGGATTTCGCAAATCGCGTCACTTGTCTCAACACCCTCCAGCGAGGCTCTTCCACTCTCGCTGAACCGTATTGCCCCAAGCACGTCTTCTCATGTTAACGCCCACCTGCGCCAGCTCCAGGAATGGCTTGCCTCTCTTTAGCCAGCTCCGACGCGCGACCAGGACACGTTCACCTCTACCGTCATCGCACAGAGCCTCCACCCCGACCATAGCCCGCCAATTGCGCGTCCTCCGCACGACTACGTATACATTGCCCTCAATCAATATTAATCACGCCGCCTATCCGCTTCCCGCAAGACCACGCTGGTCCTCCATCGCTCATCGCAAACCCAGCTGCCTCCTACTCCCCACCACTTCCACCACCACCACCATGAGCACTACCGAGACACAATCCCGCCCTCACACTGGCCATGCCCACGGCCACGGCCACCATCACCACCACCACGACAACACTTACCTCGTCTCCAAGAACAAACATGATGCAGGTGTGCGCATCACCCGCATAGGTCTCTATGTCAACCTGGGCATGGCTATTGGCAAAGGCGCAGGTGGTTATTTCTTCCACAGCCAGGGCAAGTAGTGGAGCACGCGACCACAATTGACTCTTTTGCTGACTTCTGCAGCCCTCGTCGCCGACGCCATCCACAGTCTGACCGATCTCGTCAGTGATATCATGACACTAGCCACCGTTTCATGGTCGCTGAAGCCGCCTTCTGAACGTTTCCCGAGCGGCTATGGCAAGGTGGAAAGCTTAGGCTCGCTAGGCGTGAGCGGCATATTGCTCGGAGGCGGTGTCATGATGGGATGGGCTGCCCTCATCGCACTGGCCCAGCACCTTTTCCCCGAAGCCATGGAGATCGCTGCCCAGTGGGGTCTGATGCCTCACAGTCACCATCATCACGGAGTGGGTGAAATGGGTCCCAGCATCCACGCGGCTTGGTTGGCTGGTGGATCCATTCTCATCAAGGAATGGTTATATCGAGCCAGTAGGTAGCCCCTCTTCTACAGCCTCAAACATGATTAACCTTTTGCATAGCCCTCAAAGTTGCCAACGAACGCAAATCTTCCGTCCTGGCTTCCAATGCCTACCACCACCGCGTAGACTCTCTCACAGCCTTTGTGGCCCTCCTCATGATCGCCGGATCCAATGTTCTCACCAATGCTTCGTGGATGGACCCCGTGGGTGGTTTGGTTATCTCTCTCATGGTGATCCAGGCAGGTCTAGGAAACACAAAAGCTGCGCTCTACGAATTGGCAGATGTTGGCGTCGAGCAAGAGATGAGGGACAACGTTCAGAAGGCCGCTACCAATGCGTTGGCAGACATCAATATCGATTCGACCGCCGAGGTCCGTGTGCGGCATGTGCAGGGCGTCAAATCTGGGCAGAATTACCTGATGGATGTCGAGCTGGGGGCCCCCGCTTCTTGGACCATTGAGCAAACACGAGGCGTTGAGAATCTAGTGCGTGAGCGTGTAGGCGCCAAGGTCCGTGGAGTAAAGAAGGTCCGAGTGAGGTTTGTTGCCGACACCTCCGATCAACCCGATTTCTTGGACGAGTTCATCCAGACAAAGGACGGTGACAGCTTGAGCCCGGAACCGGAAGTAGATCAGGATCGCCACGAACATAGTCACGATAGCACGGGCGTAGATGGAAGTGTCAGGAAGCGGAGATAAATGACGGTGTATCATATACAATGCATACGGCAGCAAGAGGCTTGGGTATGGCGTTTTGTTTACTTAACGGTGGCATGGGATTCCCCTGGCGTATTGTTGATATCTTCTAGACAGCGAATCGAATCATATTCCTTGCTCCGATGGGCGGTCAGCCCAGCCACAACGACTCTAGACTCCCTCTTCAGAGGGTCCACCAATGGCTTTTTCTTCTTCCTCTTTCTGCTTTGACTCTAGATTTAATTCAAGAAGGCAATCCGTGAATTTATCCGCGGTCCAAAGGTGGTGTGCACCAACAGTTCTGCAGGGACAGGCCGGCAGAATTGCTGCGTCATCCAGAGCGAGGTGGGACGCAATTGCACGTAACACAAAAATCGCTATCCCTAGCGGAGGAAAGACCGGAGCACTTTCGACCTTACAACACACGACACGACGCCTCACTTAAATGTCTTGTCAAACAGCCTCCCACCTCCCCACCATCCTCGACAGCAATTTTTCTTCCCGCGATAATGGCTGATCAATTCTTGGGATTCGACCTCAGCACACAGCAATTAAAAGGTCCGGTTCCCCACTAAGACCGTCCCCACTATCTTTCGGTGTAGCGTCACGACACTGACACGCAACTGCGGGTGCTTATGTAGGCATTGTCATCAAGTCCGACCTCAGACTTGTCCATGAAGCCAAAGTAGATTTTGATGCCGACTTTCCCAAATATGGCATTCACAAGGGAGTTCTCACCAATCCTTCTGCTGGCGAGGTTTTTGCGCCCGTTGCTATATGGCTCGAAGCAATTGACCTCGTCCTACAGCGCTTGAAGGAGCAGGGTGCCGACCTATCAAAGATCCGGGGAATTTCGGGAGCCGGTATGCAGCATGGCACTGTTTTCTGGAGCCATGATGCAGAGACGTTGCTGGCTGGCCTGGACGGGCGCAAATCGCTCGTGGAGCAATTGAGCGGCGCTGCTAATGGGGGGCAGAAAAGCGCTTTCAGTCACCCTAACAGTCCGAATTGGCAGGATGCGAGTACACAGAATCAGTGTGAGAGATTTGATGCCGCGCTGGGATCTCCAGAGAAGCTAGCGCAATCCACTGGCAGCAAAGCACATCATGTACGTATCCCCAGAGTTGCAAATCAACATGCTACATTTACTGACTTGACTGTCTACAGCGCTTCAGCGGTCCCCAAATCCTAAGGTTCCGTGAGAAATTCCCCGAAGATTACGAGGCGACTTCACGAATCTCACTCGTTTCCTCCTTCTTTGCCTCCGTTTTCCTGGGCAAGGTAGCTCCGATAGACAAAGGCGACGTGTGCGGCACAAACCTGTGGGATATCAACACCGGCCGCTGGCACGATGACTTGCTCAAGTTGACAGCCGGAGGATCAGACATTGATGGTTTGAGAACGATGCTGGGCGACGTATATGAAGACGGCGGCAAGAGTTTTGGGTCTATTTCCCCGTACTTTGTCAAGCGTTACGGCTTCTCGTCCTCAGCTCAAATTGTCACCTTCACCGGCGACAATCCTTCTACTATTCTTGCCCTTCCTCTCCGCTCCTCCGACGCCATCGTTTCTCTGGGAACATCTACCACGTTCCTCATGTCTACGACTCGTTACATGCCCGACCCAGCGTATCATTTCATGAACCATCCGACCACCTCCGGTCTCTATATGTTTATGCTGTGCTATAAGAATGGAGGTTTGGCGCGCGAACACATACGCGATGCTATCAACTCGCTAACTCCATCGGCGACCCCCAACTCCTGGGATCTCTTCAACTCAACGGCGACATCAACTCCCGTCCTTGGCCAAGAAAATCCGAAGTCTGACCCACAACGCCTTGGACTCTTTTTCCCCCGCCCCGAAATTGTACCCAATGTCAAAGCTGGAACATGGCGTTTCCTCTACAAAAATGATAGACTATCTGCGGTCAACTCCGCAAACGACAATAGTAGCGCCGATTGGCCAATTCCCAAAGCCGACGCCCGCGCTATATTGGAAAGTCAATTTCTCAGTCTCCGTCTCCGTTCCCAAAATCTTGTCGAGCCCCAGGGCGCTCTTCCACCGCAACCGCGTCGTATCTATATGGTTGGTGGTGGTGCAGCAAATAGCGCCATTGCGGAGCTAGCAGGTCAGGTTTTGGGTGGCAGTGAAGGAGTGTACAAGCTCGACATTGGCGGGAATGCGTGTGCCCTTGGGGCTGCGTATAAAGCGGCGTGGGGCGTGCAGCGAGAAAATGATGAGAATTTCGAGGACTTTCTTGAGAAGAGGTGGAATGAGGAGGGATTTGTCAAGAAAATCTGCGAGGGATACAGGAAGGGCGTTTTCGAAAGGTACGGAGACGCACTCAAGGGCTTCGCAGAAATGGAGCATAAGGCCTTTGAAGAGATGGGCGAGGGTAAATTGATGGATCAGAATGCTGGCGGGAAGGTGACGTGATCTTTCTCAAATTGCAAGCTTCCTGGGGACTATCTTTTTAATGAGGTTTTGAAGGGCGGGCAGCCGAGGGTTTTTAGTTCGGGTGTGTACTCTTTTTACCCAATTCGCCCACAAATATCAATTGCCTTGGCTCAGCGGACTATGTTGCCGTATACGTCTAAGCTTGTCGGCTTCCCTTTACCTTACCATTAATTACTTTTTTTTATTTATTTATTTGAGTTGGAGTTTAGGTGATCCTACACACAGCGATGGGTTACAACGAGGAATAAACCAAAATAACGAGCGATGACCAAAAACTCAACCATTAATTACATATATAGTCGAAGTAGTACCCAGGTACTATGATCTCTGAATTGGCATAAAAACCACCTAAGTAATGGAACGCCAAACCCGATTCGTTATCACATATACTCACAAGTCTTTGGGTATCGTCATCAAATCCAGCACCTAATAATAACGATAGACAAAAGCGAGATATTATGACCTACTCCAGTCAACTACGGTGAACTAGTCTTCTGATACAGTCACATGAAGACGTGATTGCATTACCCAACACTTTTTTCAAGTAGTATAAAAGTACAAGGTCCCCAGGTGGATTCGTGTTCTTTCCCGCTCTCTCATTCAAGTGCCGCCTGATATTCGAACCTGACCCTCGCTATCCTACGTTCTCTCTTCATTTCTCAGTCTGTTGCAGTCTTCGCATTATCCGCCACCGAAAACGTCGGCCTCTCCTTGCGCCCACTCTTGCTCGCTTCCAATTGAAGAAGAGGAGATTATCTGTTAGTACTATACTTCGGTTGCGGGGGATGAGATTCATGAGTTCCGGGAGAATAGACTTGGGTCTGCGGAGGAATACGACTCCCTTGTCGACAACACGATGGATAGCAATATGGCTGACGCCACCACAGCTGATGGCATTCCAAAGGACAGCACGACGGCTGAAAGTGACGATAAGATCTAAAGGCTCTCGGCCAGCGTCAAGCCTGTCAACCTGGCACTCATGTATACTTCCACTCTTGCTGTGAGCGGGATGAAGGGTCTTGCTTTCAAGTATAATACGATCGCCTTCTCGACTGAGCATACGTATTCGAATGGCATATAATTGCAGGGTGACTTATCTGATTGTATGCTCGGAACAATGAACAGTCTACAGCTTAACCTACTCTGCAAAGCTGCTTCTCTTATCAGTCCAGAGGTGGCAGATGCTGTGGCACCATCATTTCTAGACTTTTCACGGGTGCCAGGCCTGATGAAAATCGATGGATGGGAAGGAATTTGTAATTTTCTCGGACGATTACGAGGTCAATTTGATAATGGGCAGTTCCGCTTGCGTCGATTGACCTCTCATATCCTAAAAGAGCTGCTACGTAGTAAGTGCACAAACCCAGTCTCCAGGGAAAACATGAAAAGTCACCACTCAAGGTTCAACGAAGACGACATAGAGACAATCGAGCTTCAGCTGAAATGTATCGAGGTCCTTGGAATATACTGAACCAGCAAGAGCTTGGTTAGATGGCAGATGTGGTGGCTATCGTCAACTCGACGGAACGCTACTTAGATCGTCAACTATCGATTTTCAACATCACCAGCAACTATCGAATTTTCCAGTTCTCCTGACATGCCTTAAAGATCTCAAATTCGTCCGGTGATCATTTTAGTTGACCAAAACACTACAACAGAGGAATGGCCCGAATGTTATGCGTTTGGGCTGATTCAATTCTGCATGGAAAACCCACGCCTTCGTACAGACTGCCGTGCCAAATTTTTGGAAAAACACGTTGTTACGAGGTTATGAAGAATCATTCTAGTTTAGGGATGCAACCTCTAGCAGAGACATCAAGATTTCGACGATTCCCTCGGAGATTGGCTCTTGGTTGAGTGAAATTTAGGGTTCGAGCGGTTCTATGCACTGTTCCGTGAACGAACTGAATTGGAGTGGGAATGGGGACTCAGGTATTACCTCGGAAGAGGTCATCTAACATATTCATGATGCAAAGTGATATATCGAGCACTTATAACCAGAGACTGGGGTTGCCAGAATCAGCAGTGGAGACTGATGGGGAAGCATTCTTTAAAAGACAATCTGATATGAAAGGTTTGGACGAGAACCAAACGTAAGTAGACGTTCAACTCATCATGAAGGTTCTATCTCTGCTTTGGATTCGCAAATGGTATTAGGAAAAGGGAGAGGGACACAGTGCATCTCAGACATTTCTAAGAGAATGTAAGCAGGAAAAGCTTGAATTAGTATTATCAACAACACACATGTCCATATGTTACAGATCTATTTGATTGCGCGTACACAAATAAGAGTTGTTGATTGAAGACTTGGCTTTTGATGAGCAGCGAGGGATGCATGCAAGCTGCATACATGGGGTAGACGTACACATGCAGGCAGATATGTATGATGATGGTAGCATGTGATGATCAGGTGGAGGGCATCAAGGGCTTACGTGGTATACCTAGTAGTAGGTGTTCCAAATACTTAAGTTTGGATGGTGTGTATATAGCATTGTCCCGTAGTGTCATGGCATATAAACTCTCTTGCTGTGATACTGCTGCCCCACCTCGTTCAAGCGACAACACCAGGATTGCGTGCAATCTTCTTTGGTCAGGGTGGATTTTTTTTTTTTCATGATTAGTTTTGTTTGTTGTATTATTGCATCCTGAGACTGTGCAGCTGATTACGACGACAACGATGGCGATGATGATGAGTTGTCCTGGTTGTCCTAAGATAGGGTTTGCATGTCATGCTCGGCACCCTCTTCATCAATCATCTAGGCTCGAGTCACGGGTGCACCGGCGCGCGCAATGGAACGATTGGTGGCAAAGAGACACGGTTGCCAGCACAACACGCGGAAGAGGTACGTACCTAGGCACGTATGATCCGAGATGCACACACAGAGCTAGGCAGGTTGGTTTTGTTGTTGTTGTTCTTCACACAGATGCACTGCAGTCTCTCTCTCTGATGATGATAACCATTGAATAATAATATTGCCGAGTGAGTGTGATTTGGAATGGGTGGAATGCAGAAAGAGGCAGGCAGGCCAGGCAGCATCGGGCCTAGCGCGGCTGGGTTCGGCGGTGTGCCCGGAAAGAGCCAAGCAAGGATCACTTCCTGTTCCGCTTAGCCTGCTCATCTTAGCAAGCAGCCAACAACCGAAGTCCATTCAATCCATCCGTTCATTCATTCCAACCTCCCCTGAGCCTCCGTTTCCCCATCGCTGCCAGACACACAGCAAACCCCCAACCCCAAACCGCCGCTGTCCTCCCCCACTGCACCGCTCTGCACTGCACGCCTGCTGCTGCCGCCCCTGCTGCCATCGCGCTGGAATTGACGGCTTTTGAGGCTCGCTCCGACATCCCTTTCGCCTTGATCGCCTGCCTGTATACGCCTCCATACGACGCCTTCGCAGCCCCTCCGCTCCTTACCCGACCCTTCTCTCTCCCGCTGTTTGGCACCACCCGCTCGCCGCACACCCAGGCACGTCGCATCACATCCACCATCCAACGTCGCCTCTAACGCTGCTCAGGCTAGACGCCATCATATACCATTCCCTTTGCTCTACTTGATACACGCACCTTCTCACGTAAATAACCCGTCGTCGTCCCCGGTCGCCGTCGCCCAAACACAGTCACCATGATGGCCACCGCTGCACCCTACGAGATCCGCACCGGCGGCGATGGCAAGAGCAAGAAGCAGAGCATGGCTGAGCTGAAGCTGCGCCGTCTCACCGAACTGAACCAGCGCCTCAGAGAAGACCTGGAGCGCCGCAGGATACCCGTGTCGGAAGCCGCGATAGAGTACGCACAACATACCCTTTCCCTCTGGACCAGAAGATCTTGCTTGGCTAACAATCAACGCGTAGCTTGATCGCATTTACGGATAAAGAACCAAAGGATTGGATGGTTCCTTCACGATGGGGACAGGTGCGTCACCCATATCCGCCGACCCGGTAAACAAGCATGGTAGCTAACAACACTGTGCAGATTGACAAGCGCGAAGACCCATACGCCCCGCAACAAAGCAACGGCTGCTGCGTCGTAATGTAAAAGGGACCTAGCCAGGTGGTTTGCATTTGGGGGAAAGTTGGTGTGTCTGTCTGTTCGCGTGTGTGAAAGCTGTCCGGAGTGTCATGTGTCAAAGCAACGGCGTTCATGCGGTTAGCCTTTTGATGGCCCAAAGTCTTTCGTATACCTACCCTTTTCTTTTATTTTTCTTTCTTGTTTTACATTTATTTCTCTCTCTATTGAAACGGGATAAGGTGCCGATAATACCCCCCATGGTCTGTTCTCCCCGTACCATCATCAGCATCATGACCGATGTGGACGACCATTGAGGAGACCGCACCCAATGTACTACCTCTTCAGCAAACGTGTAAATTATGTATGCGGTTTACTCATGGCCTGTGGGTTTCTTGTTTTTTCATTTCTTTGCTTTTTCATTTTCTTTTGTAGGGGCATGGGGGAGGTGGGAAGAAGAAGAAGAAGGAGAGAGGGAGAAGGCAAGTGGATGCATGGAAGAGGTCTTGGTAGTACATGAGTTGAATGTGTATGTACTCTTTGACGCTACTTCTTTTGCTTCTCTCCCTCTCGCTCTTGTGCAAAGTGCTGGTCTTCTCTTCTTCTACTCATTCTCCTTCATGCTACCGCCCCACCACCCATTCTACCCATAGCACCCATAGTTTTGTTTTCATGATGAGCAAGGATGAGGATGAGGGTCTTTAAAAAAAAGCAGCTAGGAGATAGGTATCGTAATGTCATTGATCGAGTCTTGGATCTCATTGACCTTGTCTTCGCGTGTTTGTGATGATTATCATTTTTTGCTATTTGATTGATTACCTAATTACTGTCTTGCAATCCACGGTTCGTATTGATCCTTTGCAACGGGTGGGTAAAGGGTGAATGGATGAATAGAAGTATTAGCCAGCACAAGACAATTTCCACGACAGCCCCAAACAGACACCTCTCCCCTCTCCCCTCCCCACATCATAAGCTTCTTGGTGAGCTGAGTCGAGTCGAGCTGAGCTGATAGTGTCACCGAGTAAACAGAGATGAGGGATTATTTCAATCGGGCCTTGCTTTTCGTCTCGTTGGTTTCCACTCGTTCGCAACCGCTCGCTCGCTAAGGCCCGGGTTCACATTAACTTGGGCCGGGCCCTGGAGCTTAGGGGGGCCATGGGTTCTCTTGGGGTATGCGATGGCGTGGGTTAGAATTTAGCAGGCACACACTTCCAACTCAAACGTAAAAATCAATGAGCGAGCGAGCGAGACGGAGGAGATGGGAACGGGAAAAAGGGAGGCCTGAGAAGAGCCGTACTAGGCCGTGGCAGTGACATTTTTGGGCTGATGTGTTCTTGTTTTGCCTAGTTCTCTACTTGTTCACTTCCTTGCGTGGTAACAAGATGTCAGTATCCTTGGTATTCTCATTTCAGCGTACTGTCCAACGGTCCATACAGAGAGGGGGAGGGGGTGAACACTCTGCCGGGAGTAAGAGGATCAGGTTCACGATTGATTGATTGATTGAGTTGAAATGTTGCAGCGAGCGGGGGACGCCTGTGGGCGCTGATGATTGGCTTCGCGCTCCGCTGACCCCCGCTAGATGGGAGAGCTGGAATAGGCAACTCGCAGCATCCTCGTGCTTACTTGCTTGCAGTCTGGATCTTCATGTGCATGTGGTTTTTGATGATGATGATGATGATGATGATGAAGGCGGCCTTTTTGTTTCTCTTCTGGACAGCTCATCTATTTACGTGTTGAAGCCAAAATTGCTCATTGGGCTGGATGGAGGTACGGGAGATTCATGGTACGGAGATAGATTTCTTTTTCTCTCCGTTGGATTCTCTGCGGGATCACGGTCTAGCAGCGCATGCGCGGTCAAAGGCTAGACTGCACAAGCTTTAACCCATCTTGTTCCTACATGATGATTGTTTTGTTCTTCCACACAACATGTTGGCCAAGTATTTTCCCAGCTAGCAGGGACCCGGAGTTGCCCACCGAGTGTTGGCATCAGACTACCAGTCCATACGGTTTGGCGTCTATTTCGTCCCGCGGCTGTCGCATCGAGTGTCTAAATTCCTGTCGTAATGAGAAGCCCGGCGGTGATGGGTACCTACTTATAATTTGCGACTCCAATATTGGGGGGGCCAAACACGGCTTACCGCGGTGGGGTATGGACTATGGAGTCAACCACTGCCATCCATGTACCCGTCTGTCGATGGGATGAGAGAGCCGCCTACACGCTGGAGGGTCCGTCAGCTGTCTTGTGACGCTACACGGTGCGCAGGAAGAGTCTCGAGGCGCGCGGACATGAACAGGTGCGTGCAAAGTAGAGAAAGGAACAGGCGCATGGACTGTACATACATGTATGATATGTGAAGACTGAAGCACTGTCCCTCTGTCGTTTGGTCGGCGTGGGGGAAGTACCTGGCATGGGGACCGGGGTGGTCGCTGACCTTCCATTGCATTGCATTGCTTCCAACATCGTCGAGCCTTGCCCTCCTCGCTCCTCCCCCCTCCTTTCCTCTCTTTTCCCTCCTCTCCTCTCGTCTCTGGCTAGCCAGAGAGCGAGCGAGAGGAAAGGCCACCGACCCGCCGAAGAGCGTCCTGTCACCACCATCTGCCCCCGACTTCGCTTCATCTATGTCTTGCCTGCGCTGTCCCGCCAGCCTGCTGCCATTCCCTTAGCAAGCCCCACCCGTATCGGCACCCTGAGCCAAAACGATCGACCCCTCCGCGCCTGCCTGCCTGTCTGCGCGCGCACACCTGTCCGCAGACAGTTTCTCAAACTCTAAACAAAAAGAATTTCTCTGCCATCTCGAAACTCCCACCGTCGTTTCCGGTGCCCTCGAAAGGGTATGAATGAAATGAACGCCCAGCCGCCGTGGTCGGCTGCGGAGCACTTCGATCCCATGAACGCCGCCCCAGCACCACATGACTTTGACCTGCTCGACTTCGAGAACATCGATCTAGACTTTGATTTTGGCCAGCCCGAGCAGAGCGACACGACCCGCCAGCTCGGCCAGCTTGCTGAGGAACTCAATGTTCAACACTTGCACAGCGCTTTCGACGCTACACATGTACCACGAGATGGCCGCGATCCGTCCGCCGTGGGGGACGCACAACAGCAGCAACAGCAACAACAGCAGCAACAGCAACAACAGCAACAACAACATCAACATCTCCACCAGCGACAACAGCACCAACATGCCGTGCCCCAAGGCTCCAACTTCTTCGATTTCAGCATGCCCGCCTACTCGCAGAGTGTGCCCGCCTACACCCACGCGCAGCACGACCAGATCTTCCGTCCTCATGCCCCGGTACCACCCACCCCGAGCAGTGTTGAAATGCACCCGGATCAAGCCCGCTACCTGCAACAGATGGAGGCCCAGCAGGCCATGTTCGAGCAGCGCTACCCAATGCGCAAAGACGATATGGTATGCGGCTGTTCCCGCGCAGATCCTCCTGTTGGATACACTAACAAAAAGATAGACTTTCACGCCACTTGTCTCGCCTGCGGTGACTCCCCATGAAGCCCGCTTTCGCTCGCAAGACATGACCACCGTGCCGGGCGCATACTTCAGCCCCCTGACGTCTCCAGCATTGACCGCACAGGGGCACTCTCAATCTCAGCCTCAGTATCCCACTACGTCGGGCAGTTCCACAGGCGCGTCGCCCATTAACATGGATCTGGACGCTTTGAGTGAACCAGCCTTACCCCCAGGAGAACAGCAAGGCAGAAAACTAAGAAGCAGCAAGAAAGGTGCACCTCGCTCAGCTGCCCCCGCGCGTGTGCGCCAATCGCCAATCGTCAAACCTGGAAAGCGGAAAGCAACGGTTTCTTCGCTGATTCCCCCAAAGGAAGTTTCTGATTTGTTGGAAGAAGCACGAGGGAGTCGGTCGCACGGGCATGGAAACGACACGCGACTCAGCCGGGACAGCTCAGAGACAGATTCGATATCTCCGGAACCTCTCTCAGACATGGGTCCTCCGCCAAAACCAGTATCCGTAACCCCTTCACCTGCCATGCTGGCCCAGAACCATCAAGCTGTGGGTCATGGTGTTTCTCCAGCTACGCCAGCATCACTTATGCGCATCCATCCATCGCCTACGTTTGACGCTTCTGAAGAACCCCCGCCCTTGGACGATCTGACGCTGCCCGAAGCAACTCTTACCACACGGCCTTCTCTGACTCGCCTAGATACTGCGATTCAAAATGGAGGAGAGCAAGACACGCCTCGTCTCTCTGCGCGGAAAACGCCCAAGCTATCAGCCCAACAGACGCCAGGTTCAGCCATTTTATCCGGTAAACCGAGTCCCATGCTCAACGGCATGTCTACACCCACCAGTCCCGCTTTTGTATCCGGTGTGAAGAGGGGAGATCCCAAATCAGGACGGCTGTCATCCAAGAAACGAAACAGTGTAAGCTCGACGCTGGTCAGTCCCGCGTTAAGGCCAAAGATATCACCGAGTATCAAGCCCCTACTCCCCGATGGAGGTAAGTGCATCGCAAATCGTAAGGATCATGTAGAACCGTCTGACTGTAAACAGGTGTCCGGGACGAAACCCATGCGCTGCTGCTTGCTTCCAAATCCAATTATCAGAACATCCTCGACGGCACCACTGTTCCTGGTGTTGTCTACCCTACTTCATTATCTACAAATCTCACGTCCAAACGCACTTCGCACAAGATTGCCGAGCAAGGCCGCCGCAATCGCATCAACACGGCTCTACAGGAGATGCAAGCACTGCTACCGTGCTCGCCGCAGATTGACGGTAAAGAGGCCAAAAGTCCCGATGTCGGTGGGCTCCAGTCCAACAATTCCAAGGCCGCCAAAGTGGAGAGCGCAATCGACTACATCAAACAGCTTCAGCAACAGTGCTTGGACAAGGACAAGCTGCTCGACCAAAAGGACCAGGAAATGAAAGCTCTACGGAAGGAGTTAGCCGCTCTCAAGACCAGCACTCCGGCGGACGCTACAGCCCCACGCTCTGAAGCGACGTCACCATCAGAAGACAGCACGAGCTGAGCATCCGCGATCATGACGAAATCCCATATTGTTCTACTTGTATGTGCATTGTGGACCAAGTAGCTCTATCGATGTACTACCTGGAACCTTCTGCAAGTCTCTGACGGACGCGTGTAGACGTGGGGTTAGAGAAGACGTAATACCGCGGCAGGTGAAGACAAAGCGACCCTTGCGCGGATGATTTCCCAATGTTAGCATCGTCCATGTGGTATCACGCGTTCCTACAGCGACTGGGATGCCACAGCATGATCCAAGCCCCTGGGTCACACTCTCCGTCTCGGATCCGAAGAGGATGGAGAGAGAAATTTTCACTGCGAAGCTCGTCGTGTGGTTGGACCGTGGTTGGTGTCGGAGGCCGTTGGAGGGAAAGCGTGGGGGGGCTTGTGTTGGCATCATGGTGTGGGGAACAGAAATAAAAACTGGGGCAAATGTGGCGTTCAAGGGACTACCTTTTTTTCTGCTGGGAGGACAACGTGTGGGAATACCCTGCTGTGATTGGCGCATTTCTGGTCTCTCTGTCCAACTAGCAATAATGACTATCACGTGCGTCATGGTTCATCTAGATCAATTGATGTCTTCAACAAATCCTTTGAGCCTTGAACCCTGGACCTCCTTGCTTCCTTCTCGTGAAAATCTTTTCTGGCGCTGATGGCGTGCATGTCCGTCTGATCCTCGTCGTCCTTGTTGATCGGTCTGCTGGTCGGGCGTTTTGTCATGGGAATTGCATGCGTGTCCGCGCATCTTGTGCTACCTTGCCATGGCGATGAACCCTCTTTACGGATTGCGTGGAACTTTGTGTACTGCTTGGTCCTTGACGTCTTGACCCGCTTACCCTCGATAGAAAACATGACGAACATCTCCTCCTCGAGTGTGTAATCTGGTGGTTGATTTTGGTGCAGTGAAGTGCAGTCAGTGCACTAGGGGAGTACGTAGCTCAGAAATCTCTTCAGGTACAGTAGGCCCCTACATTTATCCAAATATAAGTGTGAATCAATACAACTAAGCAAGCGAATAGATCCCGCCAGCCATTTGAAGCCCCCACTAGTTGACTGAGTAAGCCTTGATCACCCAGAGAGTCATTACGTCAGTGTAACTACCGTTCTATACAATTCTGGATACTTAAGTGTATAAGTCTACTGTGTAAAGTCAAGAGCAAGAGTGTCAGGAGCCCGTCACATTGTAACAGCGCACCTGATTGGAGCAGCGTCGACTCGCTAAATGCTATGCGGAGTCAAAAAGTCCGGGGTAGCTAAACCCGAGCAAGAGAGACCTCGGTCCAGCACATCACCCCAGACCATGATGCGCAAGAGCTTATCCACAGCAGCAACCTCGCCCACTATGTGATTCTTACCTTTGCAACAGCAAATGCGCATACCCAGTTCTGCATCTTCAAATCCCATCTCACGTCGAATCCAACCTATACCGAACCTCTCATCCATCAACCAATCACACAATATGTCGTCCACCATTCCTAAACCCGTAACCTCCCCGCCTACAACCACCCACGTTCTACTCACCTACCCGTCTCCCTATGTCCTCCTCGTCACCATCAACCGCCCGCGCCAGATGAATAGCATTCCTTTCGCGGGTCATACCGAGATGGGTCAGGTTTTCGACTGGTTCGACGCCGAACCCAACTTGCGCGTCGCCATCGTCACGGGCGCCGGTGACAGGGCCTTTTGCGCGGGTCAGGACCTCATCGAGCTTGGAAAGATCGGACAAGGCATCGTTGAGAAGGATGTCGCGAAACAGAGACACCCCTTGAGTGGATTCGGGGGATTGAGCAGACGGAGTGGGAAGAAACCCGTAATTGCGGCCGTTAATGGATTGGCTCTTGGGGGTGGCTTCGAGACTGTGCTTGGATGGTGGGTTCCCACCTCTTCTCTCTGTAGAAAATTGTTTGGCTTTCCGGCTCGAATATGCTTGTGCGGTAGGTTAGAAAACAATGCCCGCTGACCTTCTTCACAGCGACATGGTAGTAGCTGCACCAAGCGCCATCTTCGGTCTCCCAGAAGCTCTTCGAGGTATATACGCCGCTGCTGGAGGTCCAGCGCGCCTCGTGCGCAACGTCGGCATCCCCATCGCCACCGAGATGGCACTGACCGGCAAACCCATCACTGCGCAGCGCGCCAAGGAGCTCAACCTAGTGAACCGCATCGCTCCCTCACAAAGCACGGTGGTGGATGAGGCGGTGAAACTTGCTGGCGAAATTGCAGCTATCAGCCCAGATGCGGCGATTGTCACGAGAGCGGCGCTGAGGGAGGCGTGGGAGACGGGTAGTGTGGAAAGGGCTACGCAGATTACGATTGATAGGTACACTGCGGCTTTGAATGCTGGCGAGAACGCGGCGGAAGGTTTGAGAGCATTTGCTGAGAAGAGGAAACCGGATTGGAAGCCTTCCAAGCTTTGAGCGTTTTGAGCGCTTTCAGCGAAGAAAATGTACAGCATCATATCTAGATATTTAGCAATTGCATACCAGACTTGTATGTGTCAAGTGCTCTGAATTTGGATTTTCACGTCGGTCAGTACCTAGCCACGGCAACGCTGCGTTCAACGCTCGTGCCCATCTGTTCGCAAACTCTCTCGTCTAGTGTGCGAGCGGGTTTCGGAAGAACTACGTCCATTCCACTACTCTCCTTGTATTCCGTGACAGCAGGATGATGATAGATTATTGAATTAATATGATCAACGCTAAGCGTTATGCACTCGGTTCCCTTGACCTTCTCGTCCCCGCAGAGCATGCGTACATGGGCGCACTAAGTAAGTAGACTTGGGTATGTATCTTCGGGCTTAACGTGGCTTTCGTCCGAATTCCCTCATTTGGAAAGTAGTCGCTTTTGTCCACGCATGGTGGGGCAGCGAGTCTGGGCTCCAGCCAATTGAGATGCCGAGAAATACCGGACATGGCCGGATATCCAACTCTTTGCCAGGTCTGCAGCCACTCGATGAGTTATGCACCACGCCGATATCGAATACGCTCAAGGAGTACATGGCCAATAATCGCTTGCCATCTAGGGATTCAAACATACACGACGGGATGCAGTACGTCGTAAAAGTCCAGTTTGGATTGATCCTACGGACGGGAGCATGCTTGCGGATGTGTATCGTGTGCACATCACGGCGATTCGCTCTCAGGTCGTAATCCGACTTCCCCGCATTCTGGGCCACAAGCTCGTGGTCCGCTAAGCATGGTGCTGTATGGATTCCTGGGGGTAAGGGCTCCTCGGTAGCTAGGATCCCGTTGTCCAAACGATGATATCAGGGAGAAATTAAATCTGTCGGATCCGTCTACCAGTTCCGTCGAACCACCCTTCCGGGCAAATCTACTACATACACTGCGACTCGACGTTGTCGAGCTCTCTCCCCATTCCCCCTTTTCCTCGTTTCAACATTGCGAACCGTGGGTAGGACGCTTCAATTGGTTCCCAGTACCCTGGAGAGTTGTCTTTCCCCCTAGTTTCCACCCGCATACACCTACCCGCAGCACTGGCACGTGGAGACTAAACGTCTACATAACCCTAATAATGGTGACGCGACGCTCTAGTGAATCTGTCGCCCCAGCTGCGCCTGTCGCACCAGTCATCAAACGGAAAAGACGCGCATCGTGCCTGGGCGAGCAAGAAAGACGGGAACGGAAGCGAGCAATTGATCGCGAAGCTCAGAGGTCACTCCGAGAGAAGACCAAATCGCACATTGCAGATCTGGAACGCACCATTCAGATCCTCAGAGACCAAGATCGTAATAGTGCCACAGCCAACCTACTCAGCGAGATCGAGGCTCTACGCGTCGAGAATGAGAAGCTGAGAGATGTCATCGAGAGTGTCAGAGGTATAGTAGGAGGTGGTGACATATCTGCGAAACCACCCGCACCTCATGATACGGAAACACGAATACCGCGGATAGTAGAAGAGGAAGAAGAAGAAGAAGATATTACTATCAAAGGAGACGCAGGTACTACATGTAGAGCATCGCCAGCAACGAGTGAACCAGGTAAGTAACGAACTTTCCAACTCGATCCAGTCGATTGAGAAGAATTGACGATTTTAACATGACTTGACAGGCCAACCGTCACCTCAACCTCAGCCTCAGCCTCCACACCACAAACCCTCATCCTTCGCACATGCTTCCTCTCCTCAAAATTTACGGCCCCAACAACATGATGATATAAAACCTCTCGCCGCAACGCGCTCCCTACCCTCGCCACCCGAGCACATTACGTACATGAACCAAACCATGGACATGGAAGATTCAAAGGTCCCCGTCACTCGCTCGAAACCAGTGGATCTAGACGGCATGACGGTCGTCGCAAACAATGGTCGCGACAACGACGACGAGGACATGCTCCTGTACGCGCCAGATTCGCCCACCCCGGCCGCATGGGTACCGTTTATCGCCGAGATCTGGGGGAGGTATCCTTCGCCTACTGTCATCCATATTGGGAGCGTGGGGGATGGTGATTCCACGTCGCCGTCTTCGTCTGAGCCGTTTGAGTCGTGAGATTGGGGTAAAAAGGGACTCTTTTGTAATTGGCTCGCTGGTTGAGTTTGGTGATGTCAAGGGGCTGCTGTTCTCACGTCTTTTCTGGTGTTTTTGAGGAGTAGGCGTTGGCTTGGTTTTTTCCCGTCGATTGCAGTAGGATTCATTTGTTTCGATCGATCGTTTTTCTTCTCCTCGTCCAGTGTCAGCTTATCGGACGTTGCTTCGATTCTGGTTTCTGGTTTCTGGTTTCCATGCCATCTTCATCACTATACTCCCTACCTGGTGTTATCCTTCTATTTCTTCTGGCTTTTGGCTGGATTTTTTTCCCCTTCCCTGCTATGTCGGAAAACTACATCGTGAACTGAGTAGCGGCGAGATACGTGACTGGAGCACTTGTTTGTCGAGGCTGAACTCCCCCTACACACGCCAAATAAGCGTTACAGGGATCGATAATTCCGCATAGGATCTCGAGTGTGTAGATAGATGAGTCAATCATTCCAGTGTAGGAGGTATTCCGATGGCCGTATATTTAATTTTACAGTTTAGGTCCTAATAGTGCTTGTTGAGTCAATCAGTGAGAAGTTACTTGAGTGTAGAGTCATGTAGGCTTCCTATGTATTTAAAGACAGGACACTGCATAGGAATCGGAGACTCTTGCAACCCGTTAAGGTTATCTTGAACTAATTCACTTTGACTTCACTGAGTTGTGCAAACCAATATCTTCGGTAAAAATTCACGGGCGTTGGAAGTATACCGAAATATGGGTCAAGGCCTTGTAGTCTACCTGCCAAAAAAATCGTGAAAGTAAGACATACGAGTGAGTCTAAGTATTGCCCACTGAAGAACTGCAGCCTGGGTTGATAGCTTAAAAACCATCTGCTGTCAAATACCAGATACAGTAACAAAGTCTACTATCTTAGAGCAAGACGGTCATAAAATTCCATAGGGTAGGGTAGTACTAGCGTCCTCAATGTTTTGTTTTCCACTGTCTCAAATTCTGGTAGGCAGCTGCTACTATCTCGGCTCAAGTTGATTTGTGGAATAAGTGTTAAGCGTAAGATCGCAAGGGACGGTTCAGACATTGTTAATGTTCAACAGTATGTACTGCTGACATAGTAGCATGAATACAACGGACCAGGATTTGTTGTCAACCGTACAGAAAGTCAAATTCATTGCCATTGGAATAGGGCAGAATGTACGGGATCATTCGAACAACTCTTTACGACGACGTGCGACAAACAAGATACTCCATCATATTCAGTTTTCCCTTGAATTCCTATATAGGAATCTACGATGTTCCCAGTATTATCTGGCTGTGAGGGGATCTGGGACGGGAGATATAAATTTCCACAGCACATTGCAATGCAAGATCGCAACTCCCGTAGTTTAGTGTACTCGATATACTAGTATTACGAGGAAAACCAAACAGCAAACCGCATCATTAGGCTGCAGCGAGGATAATTGTGAAAGGAAACTGTGAAAGCTCTGGACGTTCAACGTTTGCTCGCAATCGAGTGGCGGGGCAGAGCGCACGGACCATAACGCCAAGGCCACCGTGATTTTGAAGGTATTGTTCCACTTACCGCAACCCCAAGTAGTGGGAGAGAGAGAGAGCCTTTGCTTTGCACCACAACCCGCCTCTGTCGCTGAGCCTGCTTCAAAGCCCAATAGCGACTGCCCAGCATGGCGCCACCACCGCACAGCAAACCCGAGAATACTCTGTGCGTAAATCCCTTCACCACGCCCGTCCGAGTCCGAGTTCGAGTCACCACGGTGAACAACCTGCTAACCAACCCTCAGCAAACGTGCCCAAGAACTCATCGGAGTGCAGCAGCCCCAGGCTGCTCTGCAACTCCTCCACGAACATGTCATCTCCAAGCGCACCCGAAACAGCCCCATCGCCTCCCTGGAGCCGGTGATGATCCTCTTCATCGAACTCTGCGTCGATCTCCGCAAAGGCAAACTCGCAAAGGACGGTTTATACCAGTACAAAAACACCGCGCAGAACACCAACGTGGGAACTATTGAGGTACGGTTACAGAACATGGCAGAGGAAGGATAGGGCATCCCTGCTAACGTGGGGTACAGCTTGTGTTCAAGAAGTTCATCGAACTCGCCGAGCAAAAGGTCACCGAAGCCCAGGAAAAGGCCGAGAAAGTACAGGCCTCCCTCGAGGCTCCGGGTGATGCTCAAAATGTCGACGATCTCGAGGCCACCGAGACTCCCGAGTCTATTCTTCTTTCCACCGTCTCCGGCGAACAATCTCGAGACCGAACCGACCGAGCCATTGTAACTCCTTGGCTCAAGTTCCTCTGGGAGACCTACCGTACCGTTCTGGATATCTTCAAAAACAACGCGCGTCTTGAAATCATGTATCAGTCGACCGCTCAACAGGCCTTCCAGTTCTGCTCCAAGTATGCCCGAAAGACCGAGTTCCGCCGTCTTTGCGAGCTTCTGCGAAACCATCTCCAGAACGCTGCCAAATTCTCCTCGCAGATGCATGCTATCAACCTATCAGATCCCGATACTCTGCAGCGTCACCTCGATACTCGTTTCCAGCAGTTGAACGTCGCAGTTGAACTTGAACTGTGGCAAGAGGCTTTCAGGAGTGTGGAAGACATTCACACTCTGTTGAGCTTGAGCAAGCGACCTGCGAAGAACATCATGATGGCCAACTACTTCGAGAAGCTTACGCGTATCTTTTTGGTCAGCGAGAACTACCTTTTCCACGCCGCTGCCTGGAGCCGATACTACAACCTGCTCCGGCAATCGGCTGCCGCGGTTGCTTCTGGCCAGAGCCCCAAGAAGGACAACCCTGTGGTCACTGAGGCGGATATGACGGAAAAGGCATCTTTCGTTCTGCTCTCTGCACTCTCTATCCCTGTCATCAGCACCTCGCGATCTCGGGGCGCTTTAGTCGATGTGGATGAGGCCAGGAAGAGCAAAAACAACCGCCTGACCAACTTGCTCGGCATGTCACAAGCACCCACCCGAGCTATTCTCTTCAAGGACGCTCTTAGCAAAGGTCTTCTCAAACGCGTTCGCCCGGAGATCCGCGACCTGTACAATATCCTCGAAGTCGACTTCCACCCTCTATCCATCTGCAAGAAAATCTCTCCAATCTTGGCTAAGATCGGCTCAGACGAAGAGATGAAGAAGTACGTCGGACCACTTCAACAAGTCATCCTCACCCGTCTGTTCCAGCAGCTCTCTCAAGTATACGATTCCGTTGAGATCAGCTTCGTCCTCGACCTTGCCCAGTTCCCCGAGCCCTTCACCGTCAGCAGCGGCACAATTGAGAAATTCATCATGAATGGATGCAAGAAGGGAGATCTCGCTATTCGTATCGACCACGCCACCGGTGTTCTTACCTTCGACTCTGATGTCTTCTCCTCTGCTAAGGCTATGCACCCGGGTTCTGGTGCTGGCTCAGCTGAGAGTGAGACTCGTTCTGTCCAACGCCTTCAGAGCACGCCAGCCGAGATTGTTCGTTCCCAACTTACTCGACTCGCAAAGTCTCTCTACGTCACATGCCAATACGTCGATCCCAGCTTCAATGCCGAGCGAAAACGGGCCAAGGAGGCTGCTCTTCTCCGCACCAAGGAAGGCGCCGAGCAAGAACACCAAGACACTCTGGCCCGTCGTGATATGATCGCTCAAAAGAAGGAAGCGGCGCAGAAGGCACAGCAGGCCAAGGAGAGCGAAGAGCAGAGCAAGCGCCTTCTTCGCATCCAGCAAGTCAAAGAAGAGGAAAGCCGCCGCCTTGCCGAAGAACAGCGATTGCGTGCACAGCAGCGCATTGCGGCAGAGCAAGCCCGAGTACAACGTGAAGAGATCGAGAAACAGCTCAAAGAGCTCAAGCAGGGCGTCAAGATTGATCTTGAGATTCCAGAGGACATCACTGAACTTGATTCTGGTCGCATTCGGGCTATGAAGCTTGCTGCTTTGGAGAAGGAGAAGAACCAATTGAGTGAGCAACTACGCATTGCTGGCAAGAGGATCGATCATCTTGAACGTGCTTATCGCAAGGAGGAAATCAAGCACCTCAAGGATGACTATGAGAAGCAAATGGAGAAGGATGCTCAGGCATACGAGAAGGCAAAGGAAGAAGAGCTCAAGGCAGCAGAACAGAAACACAAGGACGATGTTGCTTTGAAGCACCGTCTGTCACGACTGGTACCGACGTACCAAAAATTTACTGCCGAAGTCAAGCAAGCCCGCAGGGCCGAATTCGAGAAGCGCAGCAAGGTCGCACAGAAGGAGCTCGAGCAGAAGAAGGCGAAGCGCGTTTCAGAGCTCAAGGAGAAGATGGCCAGAGAAAAGCGCGAGCGCGAGGAGGCAGAGCGCCAACAGCGAGAAGAAGAGGAGCGCGAGGCGGCCGAAGCCGAAGCCAAAGCGCAAGCCGAAGAAGAGAGGCGCGTCAGGATGCAAGCAGAGAAGGAGGACCGCGAAGCGAGGAGACGGTATGTCCATTGTATACGAACATTTGTATACATATACTAACTTGAGGCAGGGAGCTGGACGAAAAGGCTGCTCTGCAGCGCCAGCGCGAGGAAGAGGCAGAGGCCAGACGTGCCGCGGCAAAGAAATCTGGCTTCGGCGCAGAACGTTCCGAGGCTCGAGAGCCCGCTGCAGCCTCTGCAGGTGGTCCACCTAGACTTGCTCTTGCTGGAGGCAAGCCTTCGTGGCGTGATCGTGAAGCCGCAAAGGCTCAAGCACCCGCAGAACCCTCGCAGGCTGCAGCGAGTCCTTCCGAGGCCGACGCACCCAAGAGGAGTGGATACATCCCACCTGCTCTTCGCAACCGTACTTCAGAGAGCCCCGCCAGCGGGTGGCGAGAGCGTGAAGGGAGCGGCCGGGGACCAGCAGGTGGCAACGAGCCTGCGTCTGGTCGTTACGAGCCCCCTTCCCGTGGCCGATTTAGTGACTTGGACAAGGGCAGGACTCAATCACCTGCTTCCGGTGGTGGATATGTACCGCCTGGTCGCCGCAACGTTCAGCCAGAGGGTGGCCGCAGCGAGAGTGCTCGTGGCCGAGAGGAGGAGCAGGAGTCCCAGCCTCCGCCAGCACAGGCTCCCAGTGGTGGAAAGTACAGGCCAGGTGCCTTCAAGCGCAATCAAGGTTAAAAAGATTGGTATAGTATGGTGTGCAGGGGAGAGCTACATAGGGGCTCAAATCAAGCAAAAGCCTTGGGTCATGCCCTGCACGTAACGATGCAACATGGTGGCATGGGAAGGTACAGTCAATACGAGGCAAAGTACCGAGAGGAAGGGAAAGTATTCAGGGGGTAGAGTTTGGGTCTCGCCTGATCAGGGCGAGAAAATCTACATTCATCATTTCGTATTCTCCTCCTTTGAATTGTAGATGAGCATGATAATGAAAAGTTTCTCCATGTCTTTTGCGCTAGAATTTGGTATTAGACACGGAAACTACTTAAGTAGCGACATATTGATGCCTTGACGACCTACTGAATCGCTCCTGCGGAATTTGTCTGCATAATACCGTTGATGTGTTTGTGTTGTTGGCAATGTCTTGGGTGCCTTTGAGTTGGCTAGGTACCGCTATTTCCGCAAATTTACCCACAGGAGGTGTGGCTGTGCTAGTTCTAGGATTCCGTCTGCGAACTCTCATCCCTATCCATACACACCAGGAACATATTCATCTGGGATTCTGTGTTCGGCCGAAATAGACCATCGAGACCAAATATGCCCGACTCCCCCTGCTTTGAAGCGCCATCCGCAGGTCCCCTGCGCTTTTCTGGGCAGCAAGATCACACTGCGGCACCGATAGAACCGCAAAGAAGGTGTTTATTTCTAAGTAGATTTCCACCTGAAATCAGAAATGTCATCTATGAGCACGTAGACTGGAATCCAAGATCAAAACCTGGTATTCCCGAGGCCGAGGGTACAACAGGGTACGGAGATTCTGGTGAAGAGGAGGACGATATGAGTTCCAACAAGACCGAGCAATCCGGGAAAGATGTCGACAGCTCCAAATCATTAAGCCAGGAAGTTCTCCGTGCAAGACAGTCTCGCCATCCTTTGGCTCTCCTCCTAAGCTGCCGTCAAATCTACCACGAGGCCAGCCTGATCGCCTTTCGCACATACATTCTCATCGTCGACACGCAGCGTAGATACGCTCTCCTTTCGATGATACAACACCGCACGCCCTTGTCTCCATCCTTACAGTTACACGCCATCTCCTCGCTCGTGTATACTTTCCCACAACCAACCGCGATGAGAACCCCAGTATATTTCATCGCCAACTCACTGGTCCACTTCCCTAGCCTCAAACACATCAAAGTGATCATGCAGCGCTACACCAACGAAATCCTTCCAGGCGGACTATTCCACCTACCCAGATACCATAAACACGATGACCGAAAGTCATCACAGTGCTTCGCCCCTTATTGGTGGTGTAATTCGCTTTCGGTTGGCAACGTGTTGTGGTCGAATGAGCTGCAGAGGAACAAAGACGAGAAATGGAGTGTGCATTGGCCGCAGGACGCAGCTCTGGAAGAATACTCAACAATCCATTCTGGAGGGAGTGAAGACCAGCCTCAGCCTTCCCTTCCCATGGTTGAAGCGCCTCTGGATACAGAGGAAGGAGTGAGACGCCAGACACTAGCAAAGTGGCTCCGCGACAGAAGCGAGGACGACGCAGAAGTGAGACAGATTAGGCTTGCTGCCGCTGCGATTGCTCAAGATGGGGTCTACGAGTCTTGTATTTGTCGATGCGAAAGGCCCAGTTGGATGAAGGCGGAGTTGGTGCATGAAGAAGGGAGAAGAGTTGTTGCTGTTGCCGAGTATCAGGAGAGCGCAAAGGTCGAGGGCGAAGGCCTGTCGGCGCTGGATTATGGGAGGGTGATGTCTGCTGCGAAGATAGATACTTTTTATGTGGTACGGGGCACATCCACCAGCGATATTATACATGGTGCATATTGAGCACACTGTGACTTGCGTACAAAATGTGGCTATACAGTGACCAGGAAAACAATCTGGGGATAATAGTAATTCTATTGCTTCTGTTACTGTCACTCTCTGCATCGCATTCCAATCTAGACTTTAGACAGACATTTGTATTCTCCATGAAGAGAGTTACGCAGCTCTTTCGATCTTCTACTCTATCGACACTTCTCCAGCCAAGGTACTGCAAAGTCGATCGCCACAAAGATTCAGTTCATGACGACCACCGGCTTCGAAACCAACCTCGTGCCTCTATCAAACAGATTATCGGGGTCATACTTTTGCTTTAGCTCTTGTAGCTTCTTTGCATTGTTCCCGTAGATCTCGGAGGCGGGGACATCGGAATCTAATTGCAGGTTAGTACGCCAAAATCATTGCCCGCACGCATGATTATCCATAAGAAATCACAGCATGTCTCAACCTCTAATGACCAGAGGAACTAGCGAAGCGCTGGCGGCGAAAGAAGTAAAATGGACTTACTCGCATAATTCCCGTAGATTCCCACTCCGTCGACCCCATCTTTCACCTCCTCACCATCCTTCCTGACAGCCCCCTCCGCCAATCCTGCACCTTTAGCCAGATCTCGCACGAAATTTCGAACCTCCGCATCCATACCCTCATCATGCCACTTCATCATAATTGCAAGATTGTAGTACTCGCCTCTATTCGAGAACGCCATAGCGTCATTCTTCACCTTGACCACCTCGCGATACGGCACCGTTTCAAACAGCAGCAAACTCTCTTCCATCCCCTTGCGTGCATTTATGAAAGCAAATAACTTATCCACGAGGCTTTGAACGAGATCGATGGATAGTGGAAGCTTGAAAGCGCCGCCACCGAATTGTTTGCGGCCGTCGAAGCCAGCGGTGGGGTTGAGCAGTGAGTTGACCGTCTTGTACGGGATGGATGCTGTCATGTTAGCAATAGGATCCAACGCGAAGAGAGGCGCGAACAAGGCTTTTGCTTCGTCAACTGTTCCATTGTGGAAGAGTTGGGTCAGTAGGACAGGGACATGGGCCGGGGGTGGGCATGATACGCCCCACAGAATTGCTTGGTTCCCGTCATTGATCTCGTGAAATGTGTTTACAAAATCGACGACCTGAGGGAGCTTGGCGAGTGGGAAGATTAGAGGTCCTGCAAAGACTGGGCGAGGCTGGTCAAATGCTTGGAATGTGAAGGAGGTGACCACGCCGAAATTGTGACCCGCACCCCGTACTGCCCAGAACAAGTCGGAGTTGAGTGTCGCAGATGCTGTAACTTGCTCACCAGATGCCAGCACTATGTCGACTTCGAGCAGATTGTCAATGGTAAGGCCATATTTGCCAGTCAGGAAGCCATAACCGCCACCGAGAGTGAGACCTCCGACGCCTGTATGATTCACGGTACCACCTACGGTTGCAAGGTCATATTTGGCGGCTTCCTCGTCGACATCGACCCAGAGTGTCCCGCCCTCTGCGCGAATGGTTTTCGAGTCTGGAAAAACGGTGACGCGGCGCATCAGACTGAGATCGATGACAATGCCATCGGTGATGCTGGAGCTGCTTGAAGTTGAGTGTCCGCCTCCTCGAACCACAAAGGGGATTTTTTGGGTGCGTATGAAAGAGAGAGCCGATGTGATGTCGTCTGCGCAGCTCACTTTGATGACGCATTTCTGGATTTTGACTTAGTTAGCTGATCTGCCTTGATTTGTAAAGAAATGCGGGAGTTGTATTTGTTTACTCACTAGCGACATAGACAGTCGCTTGCAAATGGCCGAGGAAAGGATACTGGTGAGAGAGGAACCGAGGGCAAAAATGGTGTGATCGCTATGAGGAGTACATAGCAGATATAAACTTACAGCCCTCTGAATGCAGTGCTCACTCCATCTCTGAATAGCTTGCTCATACTTTTCCCCATCATTGGGAACCAATACCTCGGCCTTAGTCCCCTCCATGCTCTTCCGAACGAGTGCCTCCATGTCAGACATTTCACCCGTACTCGAGGAGAAATAGTCTTTCTGCTCCTTTTTTATTCCTTGTTTGTTTCGTGATGTACTCCTCTATGAATGAAGGACGTGTATGGAAATCGAGAGGAAGCTCTTAAGGACGGACTGAAATGGAAAGTGGGTTGCTTATGTACATGATTATGCAGGTTTGCGCTGACTGATCACGAGCTTCCTCTGGATCGAAGATAATTGATGTCGCAAGTCTATTCTCCCTCCAATTCCCAAGGTCATACGCTTCTGCCCATAGTCCTCGTTGTAAATTACATGAGCTTAACTATCGAGCCGTATACTTGGCATGTCGATATCAACAGAGCCCCAGTGTAATAACATCCAGCCTTAGGCGTATTGGAGACAGTCCCCGACCGAACTAGACGCATTAATCTTCAACCTTTAATTCCAACTGCATTGCATTGTATAATCCAACCAAACGAAGGGTTGTTGACATGGTATCAGTAGATAGAGCCGCGGGGGCCGAAGCGGGGTCAGGTTAAGGGTTGATGTTAGGGTTAGGGCAGCGCCAGTCAACAACTATCGGAAAGAACAACACATTTGAATTGAAGAATCACCTCATGGCCGCAGTGTCTAGATTTGGAATGGAAATGATTTTTGAGAAAACTCATACGAGCCTTGCACATCATGATTGAGGAGAAACAGCCGCCTCACTCGTACGAAGAGAAAGAGAGAGCGCCCATGATCTACACTATTGTACAATGGACGCTATGTCTCCGTGCCCTTCCTATCATACACCCAGTTTCGCGGGAATTATATCAACACAGAAAGAAACTTTTGTACATAAATGGTGTCCACTAGATTGCCACTTGCATCCCCAGTTTTCTCTAGGAAAGAAATTGCATTCCTTCCTCACAGGTCCAGTTCGTCGTTGTAATCCTGCTGTCTCTTCCTTCCCTTTCTACCGCCACTTCCCCTGATCTTCCTGTCGTTAGAGTATCTGCCTGTGTTCTTGACCCGCGTTCCTTCACCATCATCACCATCGCCAACCTCGATAGTGACCTTCTTCGCCGCTTTGATCCGCCTGCCCTTCTTGTCGAATTCGTCCCTGGGACGGCCGAGCCTCACATTTCGAACAATGCGCGTCTTAGCTCCAAGAGCCCATAGGTCACCCCAGCGCGATTTACGCGCATCGCGGAATGCCTGTTTGGAGAAAGATCGCGGAACGGTCCAGCGTTCGATGGTGGCGGACGGAGTGCAGACGTCGAGGATGATGTGGCCGCGGCGCTTGAGGGCTGGGAGAATGAGGCGGGGGAGAGTGAGCGGGTTGACGTCAGTTGCGGTGATGAGTTCCCCTTCTGCTTTCCATTCGTGGCCCTCGAGAGCGGCGAGCGTAGCAGTCTCGTTTTGGACTATGCCTTTGCCGATGAGATCATGATCGGGGAGTCGCTGATCGCGGCCGCGTTGAACGGCGAGATAACTAAACTGTACGTCTTCATGGTTGCGGTCTGTTGCGTTGAGGATGCGCTGGAGATAGGGAGGACGAATGTAACGTTGATTGAAGAAGCAAAAATCCTTCCGACCCATGCTTATGCCGGGCGACTGATACATTGGGCACGTACCGTGGTTTGTACAGGGTGCAATGATCATACCAGTCTCCTTCTCAAAGTATCTTGAGTCCTCCTCCGGGTTGGCGATCTGTTCAGCAAGAGGGACTTCTATTGTTTCCGAGTCTGGGGAGGCGATGTGTTTTTCCAACAGTAGTTCACGAGCAGCGGCAATGACCTCGAAACCGCGCGGCAATCCTTTCTCCAGAAGTACCAAAACGCCACCCTTCGGATTGAGTAACGACCAATACTTCGCCACCTGTTCCTTGCGCAAATATTCCTGTCTCAACGGCCAAAGTGTGTGAGGTGCAATGATCAGATCGTACAGCTTACGTGGCTGCTGGGGATTGAGCTCCTCTTCTGATGCCGAAAGGTCGGGTAATCGGGGAATGAAAGTCGTGTTCTCTAATAGTCGACTGGCACGATGCCGTAGTGTATCAGACCCAGCTAGAACCGTAGCCTTACCTAGCGGAGCCTCGCCATGCGATGAGGCACCTGAATCTTCATGTGTGCGTGCCCATTCAGCCTTTAGGACTTCATGCCACGCAAGAATACCAACACCACCTGAACCTGCGTCCAGGACTGCACCGCCCTTTTTCGTGTTCAAAATGTGATCTATCCAGGACGAACCCAGTCGCTTCCTAACTTCTACAAGCGCACTCATGACGCTTGCATATGTGCCTGGTTGTACTGAAGCCATGTATACATCGGCCTCGATATTGCCCATGTCGGATTGTGACGGATCAAGGGGTATAGGTTTCTGCTGATGACCGAGGCGTGCAGGGGGTGTACTGGCTGAGAATGGTAGTTTTTTCCCACCCAAGATGCGATTGGCAGATTCGGCAAGATGCTTGTGGTTTGCGCGTGTCAGAAGACTGGCGGTTGGGTCGACAAGAGTTTCCTTGGGTAGAAACACGGTGGAGGGCGAAGGTCTAGATCGACCTGCGATGGTCAATGGATGTGAATGCATGAATTCCTCGTCTTCAGCTTCTTCGACCTCTTCGGCTTCAGCATCCTCCAGTCCAATTCTCGTTTTCTCATAAATTCCATCGTGGTAGCTCTGCTCTTTCTGATCCCGCAACTCTTCCCATTCTTGCTCTGTCATATATTCAGTGGCATCTTCCTCTTCTTCAAATTGTTCTTCAGGTTCGTCGAACAATTCTACCTCTTCCAGTTCGCCATCTTCGCCTTTCCTTAGAAGAACCGTGGTTCCGTCGGGAAGTTCTTGCTCAATGATCTCTTCTTCTAAGCCCTCTAAATTCTCTGCCTCTTTGCCTGGCTCTACAAAGATTGGGGGACCATAAAGTCTCTCGTATACGACGAACTCCTCCTCTGACAAATGCCCTCGTGGCAGTGTGTCGCCAAAAGTCTGTCGCGCTTGTCGAGCATTGGCCTCTATCGTTAAACGATCGCTCGGTACGATAGGTTGTGATGGATCATCCGATGATTGTGTTGCTGAGTTCTGTTCGTGGTTCTCTGAGCTTCGTTTCGTGGTGCTGACGAATGTTCTTCGTTGCAGAAGACCTTGTCTGAGTGCGACGCTGTTGAGGGGGGATCGTAGACTTGGTGGTAGTAAGGTGGGCGCTCGGCTAGGTGAATTGCGTGACTGTACCGTGAGGAAGTTCAACCGGCAACGAAGACATACTGATTGGAGACACTTCCCCCTAAACATGTTCGCGTTTGGACGTTGTGGTGGTGTTTCTTTGAAGCGACAACGAAAGTTGCCTCAATCAACGCGCATCTGGTCTACGCTAGTCCGCTAAGAGTAAGGTTTCCCATCCAATCATCATCGACCAAATGCTAATCCTTTTGCTTGTTCGATGCATTACTTCAATCATCACTCTATCAGTTGTGTAGATGGGCGTTGGACTGGATTATGCGATTGGGAACCATCATCTCTCAACATATACCCCTCGGGAGCTTATATATATGCTCAGAATCTAGTCAATCGAGTGCGTCTTTACGAAAAGTGCAGTGGTGGCATAAAGCTTCTATTAAGGAGAGTCGTCAAAATAACGCGGAAAATATTACTGAACTCCCGTCTGCCTCACAGTACTATGGTAGCAGCTATCCCTCAACATCTCTGGGGCTGGGTCTTCATTCAGACCCTTCCTCATCAACATCAATTGTTCCAGCTGCCTCCCATCGCAATCGCCTTCTCCATCCGTTCCATGTTTACACCAGCCTTTCCACAGAAGTTGCAATTTAGTGATATTCGTCCCCATATCTTCTTGGACCTCCCCACAAGCTGGCAGACCAAGTCACGAAGGAAGCGAGCGCACGGAAGGATAAGAAATTCAAATCAAAAACAAAAGGGAAAGTTGCGGGGAGGGGGGAAGGGGGGATTACAGGTGGAAACAACGCAATAACCAGACCAGTCGGGAACTATCCTCGGCCCTTGTTTGCAGTCCTCCGGATATTGCTTTCGACTAATGCTCATGATGGTGAGGATGTATGTCGGTCGTAGAGCTATCCGAGAATGGAAACACCGTAGGATTGAACCCATAACAAACGTGCAGAGCTGTCGAACACACGCAGAACCACGGCAGAACGAAACACGAGAGATTCGTGGCCAGGCCCTTTGAAGGGATCTCGACGAACAAAGCCGGTGTGATGATCAAGGGAACGGCTGCCGTCCAAGAAGTAACAGGACGGCGGTGCCGCATTTCCCAAGGGTTGAGCTCAGTGGAATCGAATGTACCACTTCTGCCAAAGAGATTAAAGATGATGTATCGAAAGCCGCATCAAGTTTCAGTAACCGCCAGATGCGTACTGATCACCGCCACGTTTATTGGACGAACGAAGTTGCCTGAACAACAAACAAGAAGTTAGTAAGGTCTGTGTACAATCCCCCGCGCCGAGCGTTATGAACGAACACTAAACGCAGAGGAGAGGAGTCCTTACTAGGATCAGGCTTGTCGAACTCACATTCCGGTGCCTTCTTGACGCGCATTGACAGGGCCGCGCTTAGGACCCGAAGCGCTGGCATTGGCAGCGGCAGTGGTGGTGACATGGCGACCGCGACCGTTCTTGTCATCATCCTCGCCCTGTCCCTGATTTCCGGCAGCCTGAGCAATGGCCTGAGCGTTCTTCTGGTACTTGTACACAGTCCAGTCAAAGACGTAGTCGTACTGGAAGCCCTCGCGGACGAACAGATCACGGAAGATCTTGCGGAGGTACGAATAGTCCGGCTTGTCGTCGAAGCGGAGCGAGCGGGTGTAGTTCAAGTAGATGGCAAACTCGTTGGGGAAACCACGGCATAGAACCTCGGTGGGTGTGGTCATCTTCTTCTCCATGATGCGGTCGTATTTCTGCTTCTTGGTAGCAGCCTTCAAGCCCTGCCAGGGGAGAGAGCCGCGACAGAAGTAAAGCATGACATAGCCAAGCGACTCCATATCATCACGACGGGATTGTTCTGCGAAATTCAGTATCGTGCGGCGTGAGAAATCAGATGTACATCACTTACCGACACCCAAGTGGGTGTTGATGGAGGCATAACGGGCTGTGCCCGTCAAGTTCTTGTTCTCACGGTAAGGAATATGGAAGTGAGTCTTGGGGTCACGGTACTTCTTGGCCAGACCGAAATCGATCACATTGACCTGGTTGCCACGCTTTCCAATGCCCATGAGGAAGTTGTCGGGCTTGATATCACGGTGGATGAAAGACTTGGCATGGATGTACTCGATGCGGGAGATGAGCTGGTCGGCAAGGAGAAGAACGGTCTTCAAGGAGAACTTGCGGTTGCAGAAGTTGAAGAGATCTTCCAAACTGGGACCGAGCAAATCGAGAACCATGGCATTGTAGTCACACTCTGTCCCGAACCAACGGACAAAGGGAATACCGACGCCTCCAGCAAGAGACTTGTAGACGCGGGCTTCATATTCCAACTGGGGATGCTTGGCCTTGACACTCTCGAGCTTGATGGCAATCTCTTCGCCCGAGATGATGTTTGTGCCTAGATATGGGTTAACTGGATGCCCGTGGATCGTACTTGAAGTTCATGGGTAGTGCATGCATACCGAGATAGATGTCTCCGAAACTGCCGCTACCAATTTTGCGGCCGATTCTGTACTTGTTGCCAACACGGAGATCCTATGACAGTCAGCTTCAGGGTTCGAGCTAAGACGGGGCGGAGGGCCGCTGGGGACGGAGCGGGGTCGAAGCGTACCATAGTCGTCATGGTGGGCGATAGTTCAACCTTGAGGAGGCTGACCTTGGGGAAAGATGAAGGTAAGAGTGGGCGGGCAGTCGACTGCACGTTGTTGTTGAAGTGTAGACAGGTGGTGGTGGGCGAGGTTCAGCCTATTTCGGAAGTACCGGTCAGTACAGGGCGTTTGCCAACAAGGCGGTGTAAGCGGAGCGACAGAGCCGGGGAATGGAGGGAGAGGGCACGCAGCGAACGTCAATAAAGCGGTTCGATTAACAAGGCCAATAGAGCAAAGACAAGTGAAGGGGAAATAGTGAAGTCGTCGGGTGTCGTGTCGGGGTGTATCGTGTCGTGTCGTGTCAACTTACAGGGCGTGCAGGACAAGCAAGACAGGACGGGTGAAGGAAGCCCAACGGGTAGCGGCACCGGGATTGGGGAGCAGGCAGATGACAGGCAGAGAGGAGAAAAAAGGCTGCGGGGGTGGCGGCAGAGCAAGAGAGGCGGGTGCACACAAGAGGCCAGCAGGGAGCCTCGTACAGATCACTCAGGCCGTGGATTGTGGTGGTGGTGGTGGAGTTGTTCAAAGTTATAGGAGAGGAGTGGGTGAAGAGAGGAAATGGGCTCCAGGGCTGGAAGTGGCCGAGGGCACGTGACTGGCCGGTGGGTGGGTGGGTGGTTGCTGCCAGCCAGCCCACACACAGAGCCCAGCCAGGCTCATGCTCGCTTGCTAGCCGCCATCACTTGAGTAATCCGCGCCTTCCCAAACGCAGCTCGTTCCTTCCCGCTCTCTCGTCTGGTCCAGCCTTGGGTCGGGTCTGTCGGTGTGTGTGAGACAAGACAGGCAGGCAGGCAGGCAGAGCCAAGAATAGCCTCACCTCACCTCACCTAACCTCACTTCACTTCACCATGGGCATACTTCTATTCACCCACCAGCCCTCCTCACACACGTCTTGGAACATCGACGTTGATTTTGCTTGCTGCCCGGATCCACCCAAGACCACCCCCATTTGCCACATCGCGGCCCTTTGCCTGCTACCTACCCGCCCCGTCAAAATGCCGCACAGCGTTTCAGGCGCGTATGTAGTCAATATCGCCCGCCAGGTCACGCCCGCCAGCTGCACCCCTTTCCGTGCAATGCGGTGCCTCTTGTCTTGTCTTGTCCGTGCATTTTTTTCCTATCTCACAGGTAATTGCTGGTCGGTTGTTTTGCTCATTCCTTTTTTCTCCGGCCAGCTGAGCACAGAGTATCCAAACCAAATGCAGCCTGCCAGCCCCATGTCTGTACTTGCATATGTATCCAAGGCAGGTAATTATACAGACAGAATACAAGCATGTACCTGCTCCATGCCCAGAGTGTGTACCTTTAATCCGCTAGCTAGGCCTGGTTAGTACCAACACTGCATTTTGAATCGATTCAAATCCTACAGTAAATCTAAACATGGCCTGTAAATAGTCATGTACATAGGACAGCTCAAGAACTGGCAACTGTTCAGGAATGCTGCGTCACGTCGCCTTGCATCTGTAGTCAGTCAAGTAGACGAATCGTGTGATGCTGAAACGCCATTCCATCATGTTCGCAGGGATTGGCTGTCGCGCCACTGCTGTTCGTCGTCACCTTAGTCGTCAATCCTCATCTCCCTACCTTTCACCTACTTACGTCGACGTTTCCAACCTTTTTGGCATTTCTCGACAACTTACCTGCCCTACAGTACAATACATCAAGCAGGCAGTCCTCAAACCCTTGTCTTTTATCTAACCCTCTCCGACTGCGAACCCCAGGACACAGCTCGTTCGGCTTTGTGGACGGCGTATTCCCGGCATTCTTTTTGAACAACATTGGAAACATTCCACCTCACCCGTGTGCGACCGAATGCGCCCCCCGCCATCCACCAACAATGACAGACACCATTCGTGGTCTTCTTAAAAGATCCGATTGCGCTAGCGACGCCCTCGAGAAGGAAACCAGTAGGTGGAATTGCTGAAAGCCAGTGGCCTCCTACGTATCTGTGTAGCTTCTAACTCCCATCAAGTCGCCGAAAAGCCAATATGGAAGAAGCTCACCTTCCATCATTTGGGGCTCATCTTGTCGGCAACCTTCGGCGCCATTGCTGTAGTGGTCGCCTTTTTCTTGATAATGAAACATGCAAACCATTACTTAAAACCCTACGAGCAGAAACAGTACGTATATCGTGCGCTGCGCATTTCCTTCATCCAGCAAGCTAAATCAGGGCAGTATCATTCGGATTCTCGTCATGATACCCATCTACGCCGTCGTGTCCTTTCTCAGCTACCTAAATTACCGCCATGCCATATACTTTGAGCTTATCCGCGACTGTTACGAAGCATTCGCCATTTCCAGCTTTTTCACACTCTTATGCCATTACATCGCGCCCGATCTTCACGAACAAAAGGCTTATTTCCGAGGTGTGACGCCGAAAAATTGGGTGTGGCCCGTGAATTGGATGCAGAAATGCACGGGGGGAGAGGACAAGGGCTGGCTGAGGAAACCCCAGAGTGGGCTCACGTGGTTCAACGTATGTGCACACATATGTATCTCCGTGATGATCTGTAAATTACTTCTACTAAACTTGGCAGGTTATTTGGATAAGCGTATTCCAATATTGCTTGATTCGCCCTTTCTTCACCGTCGTCGCAGTCATAACCCAATCTCAAGGCCGATATTGCGCCAGCTCCAAGAATCCAAAATATGCCTATATCTGGGTTGCAGGGTTTGAAGCTGTGTCCGTCACCATCGCCATGTACTGTTTGATCCAATTCTACATCCAACTTAAGCAGGACCTTGCCCACCACAGTCCATTTCTGAAGGTGCTCTGCATCAAACTGGTCATCTTCTTTTGTTTCTGGCAGAGCTGGATCATTTCCCTGCTCACTGCTGAAGGTGGGCCCCTCAAGGCGACGGATACAATTGCCGGTCCGGATCTTAGGATAGGCATACCTTCTATGATGACCTGCGTAGAGATGGCTATCTTCGCCGTGCTACATCTCTGGGCATTTCCCTGGAAGCCGTACGATTTTAGCAGACGACATGAGCCGTTGCGACAAGGGACGGGGCCTGTGGCAAGGGAAACACCGAAGACCTATGTTTATGGACCTTTCCGAGCTCTCCTTTCCGCCCTCAACCCTTGGGATATCGTCAAAGCTTGTAGCCGGGGTTTCCGTTGGTTATTCTACGGCCACCGTCATCGCAAACAAGACCCCTCTTATCAAAATAAACTCGTCTCCATGACTCCCAATGACACTAGCTACCACAGCCAAGCCTTTGCAGAGAATGGAGAGGCAAATCTCAGCAGCGCTAATCCGGGGAGGAAGAATAAGAAGGATGGATTTGACGAATCCGACACGTCTGGTCTGCTAAGAAATGCCCAGGCTAACCCGTATCATATGCAGGAGATGGATTCTTACACCGGTACACATGGATACATGAATCCGGACAGTCTCCCTGCGGCACCATTACCCGGTCAGGAGTATCATGTGTCATCCGCACCTCAACAGAACGGATACACGGACTTTGAGTCGCAGCAAATGTCACATCAAGGGCCACCCGAAAGACAGGCACCACCAGGACAATATTTTGGTGGTTCGGGACGGCCAAGTGCGGATTGGGATATGTTCGCAGGCGCGAGACCTGGTGAAATAGCCCCCGGAAAGGGACCGGGAGCTTCGTACGATAGATTTTGAGCGGCATTGGTGGCGTTATGTGTTTTTGGTTGGCAGGCGTTCTGGTTGTACTAGTACAGAGGGGCCTTTCTTTGGGCCTTAAACTTTGCTTCTCGCCATTCGATACCCAGAGATTTGGTTAGAGTTGGGATACGGTTCATGCATGCATATAGATGGTCTGTGATTCGGAGACAAGTATTGGTCGACAGATATGACACTTCCCAACAGGCGAAGCCATATGACGGAAATATTCTTCAAATTCGCGTATTCACGATCCGACTGATGAATTTGGAACACACGCTCAATCATTTGGCCCGGTGCTACCGTCTGAATGTCAGTATATAGGTAGTCTGTTGCACGATCTCAATGAGTTTGGATTGGTCCATATGGGTGGATAGTGAGTACAGCTCGCTATGCACAAATCGCAGACGATAATCCAAGACTGTTGACATGATGTAAGAAAGTGACGTGAAGTTCGAAGTGGGCAATCGTAGATCATATGCGCCAAGACCGTTAGCGTCGCCGCCGGGGCTTTTTTCTTTAACAACGGCCGGTCCGTACTGCATGCGACCATAGCTTCCAAGGTTTGCCCGTCACGAACCCAAATACACGTCTCTCGACGCGCCTCGACCCCCAAACCTGCCCCTATGCTCCAACGCGCATACTCTTGCGACACTACTCTCACATTTTAGGGCCCATTCGAAGACAGCCATGACCGACTACAATAAGCAAACGGTAGCAAATCTACGCCAATTGCTCAAGGAACGCAGTATCCCATCGACTGGTCTTACGCGGAAGGCGCAAATTATCGAGAAGCTCGAGGAATGGGACATCCAACAAAGCGCGCCGGCGCAAGTCGAGGCAAGCTTATTAGCTGTCGATGCTAAAGCAACAGAACAAGATGCGCGGGAGAAGGAGGCTGAGGATACAGCTGCCGATGATGGAAGGAGCGGTGGCAAGGTCGATGGCGACGAGGCTCAGCAAATCACTGAAGCCCCAGAATCGAATCCAGAGGAGGATGTCAATATGAGCATGGATAATGCGCTGGAGGCGTCTGCTGCAATCGCGCCGGCCCCGGTTGCGGAACACATTGAAAAAGGTACGGAAATCAACACGGACGTAGTCGTTCCAGATGTGCCACCGTCTGGGACGACAACGACTGCAGGAGAAGAGCCATCGGTTTCAATCGACGTCGATTCGTTGCCGACTGAGCGGACGCCCTCGTCGGCCCCCGACGAGAAACCGTCGATTGAGAAGGCGCAGCTTCTTCCCATCCCCGAGCGTTCTGCTACCACCACCGCAGAGCCTGGGACAAGGCTGAACACGGAGGAGCTCGAAGCTGAGACGCGTAAGCGTAAGCGGAGAAGCCAGACTCCAGAATTAACAGCACAGGATGTACAGGTAAAGAAACCACGGCCAGACGATGCCAAAGCACCCGAGATTCATATACAAGAAGACAAGGCTGAGAATTCTGGAATGGACTCGATCATGGAACAAGCAGCACCCGAAGCAAAAATAAACGAGACGGGCCAAAGGGTTATGGATACGACTACCGACAGCGAAGGTGACGGTGACGCACAAAAAGTAGAACAACCGACATCCGCTATTGATCCTGCTGCAGATTCGACACCGACAGCATCTGCAACTGCATCCGTTCAGAAGGAGAAAGCTCCTCGGTACCGCGAACTTCTGAAGCCTACAGAGACGATGGAGACGGTTGAGACGACAGCACCCACTACATCTGAGGATCGCCCCATAGTGCCGGCCTTGCATCCTGCAACGCCTGCCATCTACATCCGCAACCTGATGCGCCCACTGCGTCCAGATCTCCTTCGTGCTCACCTTGTCTCTCTTGCCTCACCCCCATCCGGCTCCCCCGACGCCTCCATCATCAAATCTCTCTTCCTTGACGGCATGAAAACTCACGCACTTGTGCATTTCACAACTACGACAGCGGCATCTCGCGCTCGCGCTTCTCTGCATGGCTCTATCTGGCCGCCCGAGGGCAACCGGAAAGAGCTTTGGGTTGATTTTATCCCAGACGATAAGGTCTCGGATTGGATTCAACAGGAGGAAGACGCGATTGCATCAGACAAGGCAGCCCGATCGAGTGGAAGGGTTGCTTTGGCTCAGAAGTTTGAGGTCGTATACCCTGACACCGAAAACGGGATTCAAGCTGTGTTCCAGGTCGTTGGTTCCGCTACCACTACCACGCCAGCAGTAGCAGCGTCCTCCGACTGGAACCCACCGACAAGCCCACGCCGGCGACGTGCTTCCTCGCCTCGTCAGCAGATCTCTACAACTCCTTTTCCGCCGACCGCTGCGCCAGAAGAAACCCGCCACAATATCGCCAAATCCTTCGCTACCCTCGACGATCTCTTTTCCTCAACGAAAACCTCTAAACCGAAACTCTACTTCAAGCCCGCATCTCCTGCTACAGTCTCCCTTCGCCTAAAAGAGCTCGACCGCGAGACCTCAGTTGACTGGACGCCAGAGGAGAAGCGCAAAGGACGGGGCCTGAAACACGCGGGATTTTCCCGTGGTGACCAAATGATACGCTATACCTTTGATGAAAAGGAAGATGAGATGGTTGTTGAAATTGGCGATGATTTCGGGGTGCGTGAGTTTGAGGGTGGCAGTGGAGGTTTTGGATGGAGAGGTGGTGGTTATGGCAGAGGACGAGGCGGAGGAGGCAGGGCGAGAGGTGGAGGTGATAGGTTCACCCCAGGTGGCATACCCCGTGATGGTGGGGGTTTCTGGAGGGGTGGAGGAAAGTGGAGAAGTGGAAATTAAGTTACCAAATCCCTTTTACCTCCTTCTGACTCATCTCTGGGTCCTCCTCTTGTATAATTTGGCTGTAATATTTGAAAAAGCAATGGAAAAGAGCCCCTTGAACAAAATGTTGGTATCGCTGTTGGAACATGTCGAAGCCCCCTATTTGCAATTAGGTTTCACCAATGAGTCCGACTTGGCCTGTGGGAAATATAATCCGCTCTTCCTACGTAATAAGCGTCTGGTGAATGCTCCTGCGTTCGGAGAGCTTCATACGAAAGATGAAAACATTAGGAAGGAAAATTGTATCCACTAGACCATTTTAGTGCAATCCAAAATCTCCTTAGTGTCCCCTCTTCAAGACTTCACACATCATACCTCAACCAACAACTTGATTTTTCCCCCTTGCTTTTGCTGCGCCAGTGTATTCAAAAGGATAAAGGAAAGAATTAAAAACAATGGGATCCGAAGAAGAAGCAGCCAGATTAGGGCACGCCGAGTTTTGGGATGAGCGATACGCCAAGGCCACAAGTAACGACACCAATAACGACGACGATGTTGAGGATAAGAAACCTACACATGAATGGTTCCGGGATTTTAAGTCTTTGGAACCATTTTTCGCGCAGCATTTGTTTGGTGTGAAGAAGCCGGAGGATGATCCGAAGATTTTGCATTTGGGCAGTGGGGATAGTGTAAATATTCCGATTTCTTCTCTCCTTTTTTTTTTTTTTTTTTTTTTTAGTCGTCGCCTTTTTACGTACAATATCTTCACGGTGTTATATGTGCTACTTGTCATGTGCCCAGCCCTGAAATTCTCATAATTTGGACATGTAGCCACCTAGTACCCCCTTCTCTTATTGCGATACGAAACATGATCTTACAATTAAGCACACTTATATAGCATTCGACAGACTTTAACAAATCCCCCCATTTGTTGTTTTCACAACTCAAAAGCTAGAGAAACTGACAGCATTCTTTCTCCCAGACCATCCCATACGACCTCCTCAACCACGGCTACAAAGGTCAACTCTGTCTCGACTTCTCTTCCGTAGTGGTCGATCTCATGACATCACGGCACCAAAATCAAAGTCAAGAGGTAGAATGGCGCGTCGGCGACGTTCGCTCCATGATATCCGTCGCGTCTGAATCAATTGACGTAGCATTCGATAAAGGCACGCTGGATGCTATGATCCACGGGAGTCCGTGGAGCCCACCGGATGAGGTGCTCGAGAACACGGGCAGATATATGAAGGAGGTAATGCCCTTTCCTTTATCTTTCTCTTGCCACAGAAGAAATATACAGATGATGGTGTTGAAACTAACAAAAATGTGGAAAGGTTGTGAGAGTGCTTAAGAAAGACGGTATTTTTCTGTACATCACATATCGACAGCCGCACTTTGTAAAACCGATTTTGAATCGCGACGATGAGTGGGATATGCACATGGAAATTTTGGGTGGCGGCGACAGTTTCGAATATTATGGATATGTGTTGAGGAGGAAGTAGTGAACTCTCAGACGCAGCCCTGATCTGTTCATTGATGAATAAAGCTAAGAACTTTGAGAAATAGCAATACGATCCTATCCAGTGCAACGCGGCAATTGTGTCATAGCCTGGCTGATTGCGACCAGTGATGCAGAGTCGAGACATGTTCGAGATCAAATTGACTCCAACTCAGCATTTATCAACTCAGGTATACGGGTGGGCTCATTTTGTGTCTAATTGTATATGAATTTGATTCTCAGTCCTCGTTTTCCACAATCTGAGATGAGTTAATTGTATTCATCCTCGCATGTGTGACGCTGCTACATTAGTTTAAATTATGGAACTTTCTGCCGTTTTGCATTGCAGTACATTCGCGACTGCAGTGTTTTGGTAAAAGGAAGTGTGCGAGGAAGAGCCCGAACAAAAAAAAAGCCAGGAAGAAAGGCATCATTATACAAGGCCTCTGAAATTCTTTAGATGAGATTAGATGGTCTGGGTTGCTCCCTGGCCTGATGCCGAAAGCAAACACCTTTTGTGAAACTTTTTAGGTGTAGGAACCACTGTAACTTCCAATCAAAAAAAAAAAAAAAAAAACTGAGATTAGATGGATGTCCTGTTCTTTGTTAAACATGGGCTGGTTATAAAAGGCCTCTAAGATCTATTTTCTAGCTTCAGTATGCCTGCCTGACTACTGCCTCCTCTACATTCTTCATAAATGCTCAATTCGAAGGATATTTGAATTTTCGAGTATTCTATTCACTAATATGCACTCTGAACAAAGCTAGAATCCTGCTTAGCCATCCAACTTTAGATGCAAACGCCATAGCTATGCTTTTTAGATATACGGATTTCAAACACAACAAATACGGAAAGAGAGCAGTAAGGATAGCCCACCATGGTCTAGGACCACCGCCAGAAACAGAGGAAAAAAACTAAAAGAAAAGGCAAAGGAGGGTTTCGGCTTGCTAAATTCAGCCGACAAACGAAAACTTGAGTCCAAAGGTAAAAAGACTCAAAAAAGAAATCAGGGGGTATAACCAAATCCCAGTAGTAGCTAACGAAGTTCCCAGAACAGAAGGGAAGGAGGGATGGGAGCATGAGGGTGGCGAAGGGGATACTAGCATGGTAATTGTCCACTGGCTATGTGGTGGACTCTTCCTTCGGACTTTTGGTGCTTGTCTCCCGTTCCCTCTTGACTGCACGCTTCAGCGCACTCAATCGCTCCTCGGTAGTGCGGATCGCATCGTCAACCTGTCTTTCACGCATGCTCTCTGACAACAGCTTGTCCTGCATGTCCTGGCCATAGGTTACGCGTCCACCCGCCACAGAGCTGTGCACGTGGTCCATGGCGACGCGCTCCTCGAGCCATTTCCAGAGCTCGGCTTCTTCATGCCGCCAGAGTTCTTCATACGCCACCTGACGCTGCGCTGTGCTCATGTAGCCCGGGGAGATAACGCCGTGCGAGCGAGGGAATAACCAAGAGTATATGAGAATGCCGCCAAGTAGCAGTATAAGGTTCTGTTTTGTGATGATCATGTCTATGATGTCAGCAACAGGTCCGAGAAGACTTCGTAGCGGATCGAGGACGCCCCAGCTATTTTCCTTGGCCGGTGCCGAGGCTGCCGAGGCGGCAGGTGCAGGTGCATCTGCTGCGACGACGTTTGCTTTGGAACGCTTCTTGCCCTTGCCTGCTTTGCCCGGCCCTCTGGGTACGCTGCTCTTCGCAGCCACAGCGTTGCGAAGTGCTGTGCTAAGACTGGTTGCGTAGGTCAATTGCCCATCGTTCGCACCTTTCTCAATGGGGGCTTTGATAATGTCAGCACAATGTCACGTTCGATGATTAGAAAGGGTATTAGTATAACATACCTCGAAGCCAACTCTTGCCGCTCCATTCTACAGTGAATGTCATAATAAGGCGTGTGCTATTGTTGGGGCCCCACATCAGACAATATCTTGTCTTTGTCACGAATATATTACCACTGGGAACATCTGGGGTCTGTGTGGCTTGCAATACTGTAACGGCCTTGTTCAGATCGTACTGTTCCAGGTTCGATGTGATGTTGCACTTGGTCTGTTTCGGGCCAATACTACCTCCGAGAGGTTTGATGTATGAAAAGCTGAACGTCTTGTTGGCCTCACCGAGACCTTTGCCGTCGTCCTCCATTTGGAGGTCTGTGGATTTCTGGTCTTCTACCAGCCATTTGCGCATAAACACGCCGGAACCCGGGCCGAAAGTCAAACTGTAGATTTTCCCGAGCGGCGCAGGGATGGTTGTGTCAATCAGAAGCTTATCGTAATGCTGATCGTTATCACCGCATTCTGTAGGCGCATGTGTTGCTGCCCCTGGGAAATCCTGAATTGCAGGTGCTCCGTTGATTGTGGCCTCTGCGGTCTCACTGAGTTTTTGAGTACCGCCACTGACAGCCTGTGCAATGGCCGCGCTGGCTTTCCGCGCCTCGCCAGCCACAGATCCAATTTCGCTGCCCGTGACACTGCCTTCCCCAGCGTCTGTAAAACTTCCCATTCCATCGTCATCTTCAGCATCCTCGTCATAAACGTCATCCTCCGAGTCCTGTACAGAGCCATCTTCGCTGCCAACAGATTCTGCCTTTTCTGTCTTATCGCCTGTCCCAGACCCATCTAACGCCACTCCGTTGAGAGACGACTTCAAATTGGGGTGCGATATCTTCCAGATGCCAATGATGAGATCATAAGTAGTGTCTCGAGTCAATAACGACGCGAAAACGTTACGAGCATGGAGTGTCTGAATCACAATGGCATTGGGGAAAACAACAGCCGTAGACTTCTTCTCTACCGACACTACTTCGTCGAAACTTATCACCAAATTGGTGACCCAACCGAGAATGTTGCTGGAGAAACACAGATGACCTTCGGAAACATATAGTCGACCTTGTAGAAGGATCTCTTTCTGCAATGCTGCGCTATAATCTTCGATAAGATAGTCATCTTCAGGGACACTCTTGAACAACGCGTGAAATTCTCTGTTTCTTTTTGGCGATGCGACGGCAAAACCGGTACCATTGAGGCGCTGATTGCTGAGACCACCGGCTTGGGGGACCAAGGTTGAAGTACTGGCACCAATTGCAGCTGCTATAGTATTACCTGTTGTAGCAGAGCTGCCTCGGTGCCGCCGTGTTTTCCCTCCACTTACCCGGCTACGAATGCTACCTTGTCGTTGAATGGAGGCTGCAGCGGGTGAATCTGTGATATCCGATTGCCGAGGTGGGGACATAGCATTAGTGGATGCTGCTGTGAGGGACCTTGCATGATCGTCATTGGGGATGGTGGCCGGGGTTTCAGCAGCGTATGCCGCTGATACAGCTTGAGCTGCCACCAGATCTGCAGCTTTCGCAGAGGCATCATCGGATGCTACCGGCAAATTAGTGCTGGAAGACATGATAGTGGCCTCTTCTGGATCTGCTATCCCAAGTTGAGCCAAGCTCAGATTTCCGGAGCCCAGAGTTTCAACAGCCAATTTACGTTTCTCGGACCCTTCATTCACAGCTGTGCTCGAAGCGTTTGCACTTAGGACTTCCTCGCCGCCCCCCTCTTCTACTTTAGATTGCTGACCAGGACCTTTCGGTTTGTTCGTGGTAGCGGTATTGGTGATGGTGGTACTGAGAGTGTTTGCAGCGTTTTGTGCAGCGGAGAAGACCGAGGAGAAAAATCCACTAGGGGACTGGGGAGGGACAGCTGTTCCACCGGGAGTCTTGGCCTCCTCTATGGTCGGAGTCAATGGAGCTAATATGGAATTGGAAAGTTTGCTTGGGGGATTTGTTGCGGATCGTGCGCGTCGGTGCGATATCATGTTCCCCGAGGGCGAAACTACAACGTTGGGGTTCGTAGGTTGGGTCGGGGTCTTCGCACTTGAAGTTGATTCCGTGTGAAAGGTTGATTTTGCATCTGTTGGAGTGGGAGGGGTAACTAATGTGGTAGGAGCTTCGACTAGGTTCGGTGGGGTTGCTGGGAGCTCAGTGACGATGAGTTTGGGAGTAATGACAGGAAGTGAAGACGAAGGGCGAACCTCCTTGGTCGTAGTGATTGGTGGAGGCGATGCTTGCAATGTATTATCATCCAATATGGTGGTGGTCTCGCGCTTCTTCCCCCCAAAAAGTGTCCCTATTCCACCGCTAGTGCTGGGTCGCGGACTATCAGCCGCGTCCCCTCCTGACGACTTTTGTGTGATAGTGCGCTTTGATGTTGGTGTGAAGGCCTCCTTGAGTTTGCGGCCTGGTGAAGAGCCTCGTTTAGTGGCGGCGACGTCAAAGGTATGAGCGTGGCGTGGAGTGGACGCTTGATCTTCGGAAGCTGCAGACTCGGAAGGGGTTGAATCGACGGTTTGAGCAGCAATCAAAGGCGATGACAAAGTCAAGTAGCCGGCATGGGAATGGTGCGGAGAGATGCCGGGTCGTACCGGGGCAGCACTAAGGAGGGGTCAGCTGAATGAGCTCACACAAGCCAGCTGCGCGAGACATGTAACAAAGAAATATCTCAAGACAGGACGATTGCAATGGCGGAGGCGAGGTTTTGGGAGAAGAAAGAAGAGTGGACATGGATGCAGTGGTGGTGGGGAACCATGGGTGGAACGTATTCGGGGATCGGACGACTTGGAAGGGTCCAAGCTTTGCAGCTGCTGTGCTGTGCTTACGCCGCGCCACACAAACCACATGGCTGGCGTGGGCCGCCGGCGGTTTGAGACGTCTCCATGGTGGTGAGACACAAACAGATACATGGGGCAGGTTACAAAGAGAAGAGAAGACAAGGGAAAAAAACAGGAATGGAGTCGGCACTTACCCTTCAGCGTCCGAGTCTTCGGTGAGCAGGCTGCTCGATACGCTCTTGTGCAGACCGAGTGATTCCTCGCTCGCGGACAAGCCGTGTTGCGAGGCAGCTGGCATCATGGGTACGGGGGGAATCATGTCGTCGGCGGAATCAGAGACGTTGCTGTGGCCTGATTTACGGCGTGTCTTGCGCCCGAATATTTTGGACATGCGGCGACGATGGGTGGACGAGCTCTCGCTGTGCCCGTCCTCGGAGCCGTGATTCTTCAGCTTGTCCATATTGTTGCTGTCGGACGCCATGTGCCAATCGTACGCGCTTCCATTGTCTGGTGCGCGGTCGTCGCTGCTACTCGCAATTGACGTCGTGGACGAGCTGAGGCCGCCTTTGATTATTGTGTGGACGCCCGTGGGCGCAAGGGAATTGTCTCTGCTGCCATGCTGTCCCACCGACGACGCTGCCCGACTTCTTGTGGGGTTGGAGGTTGCCATGGTAGGCAGACAGGCAAGCAGTCGAGTCTGCCCAAGGAAAACGGGTGCGATGCGATGCGATGCGCTCAAGCGCGATCAGTCATGAATGACAGAATGTCAGCTATGCGGAGAAGCGGGGATCGATGATGTCGATGGCGGTAGGCAGAAGTTAACAATAATAATAGCAACGACGACGACGATGATGCTCTGTTGGGTGCTCCAAAGGCTGGACAGTCAGCCGAGAGAGAATGTACGCATGGACTGTGCAAGGCGTAGGCAGACAATCCCAAGGTGGATGAGCAGAGAGGAGGAGAGGCTGGAGGAGAGGTACTGTACTGAACTGCACTCGCAGCTCATGCAGCTCAGCCTCTTCCGGTTTGCTATTCTGGTGTCCGAAGGGGAAAGTAGTGTACATGTTAACACTGCCTATGCACCTATAGTACACCGGTACTAAGTCCCAAGTAGTCCAGGCTGGCTGTGGCTTGTGATCGCCCTCATGGGATGAGCTTAGTGTGGCTCCCCGACATTTGCTACATATGTACCAGTTGACACTCACCACTTGTCAGGTGCAACTGCATTATCCACCCTGTGCACATCTGGACATCTGGACATACTCAACGAGGTATTCACACATGGCGTACATGCTCCCACATTTACAACTCTCTGCCCCCGCATTCATGTAATCACCCAACACCACAGCCGCCGCCAACTACTCCGACCCACCCCTCTCTCTCGTAGCGTCCGTCCCACCGTTCCGCCAACATGGAATCTGCCAACCTCACCAAAGCGCACGAGCACGCCCGCAACGCTGCAACGGCCACCTATGGAAACAGCATCGCGACCGCGGGGCACGAACATGATTCTGCTGCTTCGGCCTTCAACGAGGCAACCCAAGACACGGCAAACTCGGAAGCGCTGCGCATCCTCAGTCTCTTGGAGGACCACCACCGGAAACTTGCTGGATTGATAAAGGAACCCCCTCGCAAGAAAGACACCACGAAGCCTTCCGCCACCCAATCCTCGGATACTGCCGCTGCATCTCAAGGCTCAAAATCCGCGACAGTAGCCAGGGCTTCTTCGCCTTCGGCACCTTCCACCTCATCCTCGACCCGCACGCCGTCCCGACGCAGGCTCCCCCAGTCATCTATTGCCACCAATCTCGCCGAAAAGCGTGGCATTCCGCGGCGAGGCACTCCAAGTGCCGCTCCAGTATCAGTCACCAACGCCCTCGCAAGCCGCAATGAATCCGCCTCTACTCCGGTGCGGGACATGCTCGAGCGTCAGAGTCGCAAGGCAGAAGCGGAGAAGCGCACCGGCAACACGGACAACGGTAGCAAGGATGAGAAAGAGAAGGCAAGAGACTCAACCTCGATCGCATCTACATCTACAGAAGACAACTTCAGACGCTTCTACTCGGCTTTCGGAGGCGTCATCTCTGCCATCAGCGCTCCGTTGGCCTTCACATCTCTCCCACTCAGTCCTACGCCTCCCACGCCCGCGCTCGAACCTCCCCCCAAGAAAGAAGTTAAGCCTGCCCCGAAACCTCCAAGCAGGACACAATCTCCAGAAGCTTCTCGCACCGTCAAATCTTCCGAACCTGATCTTGCCGCTCTGATCAGCAAACCCGCCCTGCGCGCCTTGCAGGAGGCCAATACCCCGCATTTCGCAAATAATGAATCCTTCTATCTAGTTCCTACCTCTGGAGGCACCGTTTCGTATGCCAACATACTCCAGAACCCCAATGCGCCCTTGCACCATCACCACCACCCACACCATGCAGCGCAGAATCCTCATCTGGACTCCATCTCCGAAGGTGACAACGAGTCCGGTTCAGGCCTCAGAGGCTCGTCCCACGAAGAATTCGTCGACGCTCACGAAACTGTCGGGCCCCCTTCCCCGACCACATCCCGCAACAGGCCACGTTCAAAGGGCAAACCCTCCTCCTCCTCCACCACCACAAATGTAGCCACAGCTCGCACGCTTGCAGCAGGCCGTGGAGCCGGCCAGAAGACGGTGGAAGAGTACGAATTACAGATCGAAACTCTACTTCAGACGGTCGACAAACAGTCTAAGCGCATTGCCATGTGGGAAACAACATCACAGTCGTCGCACATTGCCCTCGCCCAGTCTTTCCGTGCTCGCACAGCGAATCCAAACCTCCCCAATACCACGAGCGACCCGTCGGCTCTTGCTCATGCCCTTGCTATGGCAAACAACCACCATCTCGCCCTCCCGTCCCCACCTATTCAATCAAACGCCAGCGTTCCGCCGCTCGTTTCCCAAACTGCTGCTACCCCCTCGTCCCCGACTACCCTGCACCACCAGCCCGATCCATCCTCGGAACTCGTCAAGCGCATCGCCGATCTTGAGACCCGCGTCGCGTCGCAAACCGCGACTATCCTAGACCTGACGGCCGACAAGGAGCAGCTGACGCGCCAAAACGAGAAGAATGCGCTTGTACTAGGGCGGTACAGGGAACAGTGGGAGAAGTTGAAAGCTGGGGCGAGGAAGAAGCAGATGGAGCGCACAGAGAAGAGGGTCGCGGAGATGAGCAAGGGAAATGGCGAGACATCAGTGGAGGTAGGAGGGAGTGCCGCGGTTGATGGTGGGAAGGTGGGGGATGGCAGTATCATGGCAGCCGAGAATGTTGAGGATGATGTAGATGGTGGAGATGTGGAGGGGGATGTCGGAGGAGTATGAAAATGCTGGTGTCGTCCCCTCCCCCCTCCACCCAAAGTTGCCTTCTTACAACAATGTACAAGCAAGACATGCAGGCGCGCGTATCGATGGCCCTAAGGCCCTAAAAAACGGATATGTGATATTGCTCACCAGACACGAGGGCCTTGGATCATGATATAAAATTGTGTTGATTCAATTGACGATTCAGGCTAACATAAAAGTGTTAAAATTGCCCTTTCACCACGCATACCCTGATCACCTAAAGCATTCTGTGTTCTCGACGCAACACTCCTGAAAATTAAAGAGAAGAAACAAGACTACAGATCCAACTCCAAAAAAAAACCTGACCTAACCATAGAGCCCAAAAAACATGCATAACTTCAGCGCAGAGGTGTCTATGCAGCAGCAGCAATCGGCTGAGGCTGAGGAGTGCCTTTCGTATCCATCATCACCTCGGGCTCTACCTTGCCGACTTCGTGGCCACCCTCAAAGTCTGGCTGTGCTGGATGCACACCAACACGCTCCTTGCTCAGAAGATCTACGAGCAGTGGGCTGGGCTTGTTGTTCCTATCGGAGAAGGTAGCCTGATGATCCTTGTACTTCTGAACGCTCTCAATGTACTTGTCAAAGAGGTAGGCAGAGTCGAGAGGGCCACCCTTGGCTTCAGGGTGGAATTGAGCGCTGAAGATGGGTCGAGAGTTGTGAATCAAACCTTCGTTGGACTGATCATTCAGGTTGGTGAAGTACTCCCTCCAATCTTTGGAAAGGGTCGCAGGGTCGACAGCGTAGCCGTGGTTTTGAGAGGTAATGTGGCATTTACCGGTGGTAAGATCAAGGGCTGGGATATTGTGAGCACGGTTTCCGTACTTGAGCTTGAGAGTTTTGGCACCAGCGGCGAGAGCGATGAGTTGATGGCCCATGCAGATGCCCATAATGGGGATTTGAGAGCCCTCAAAGAGTTTCCGGAGGTTGTAGACGGTGGAATTGCAGTGAGTTGGGTCGCCAGGTCCGTTGGAGATGAAGACGCCATCGAAGTGATGAGCAACCTTGTGAATAGGGTAGTCGAACGGGAAGCAGGTGACGCTAGCTCCACGAGAGACGAGACTGCGTAGGATGTTCTCCTTCACACCACAGTCGATAAGGGCAACATGCATGTCACCAAGCGAAGAGCTGACATGGAAGGGAGCTTTGGTGCTAACCCTGCGGACAAGGTTGATGGCCTCGGGATCAATGTAGGCCTCGTCCTCATCAGCATCATACTCTTCTCCGATGGAGATACGAGCCAAAGAGGAACCTTGCTCTCGGAGGTATGTTACAACCTCACGGGTATCCACTCCGGAGATGGCGGGAACGCCCTCGCGAGCACACCACTGGGCAAGACTCTCTACGGCAGTCCAGTGACTATGCTTCAAGGCATAGTCCTGAACAACGATACCGGACGCCTGAATCCAGGGGGACTCAAAGTATCGGAGCAGGCCATGCTCATCGCGAGCAGAGGATGGCACACCGTAGTTGCCGATAAGAGGTTGGGTGAAGACGAGGATCTGACCACGGTAGGAAGGGTCGGTCATAGACTCAGGGTAGCCGACTAGGGAGGTGGTGAAGACGGCTTCACCAGAAATGTTGGCTTTGGCGCCAAAGGACTTGCCAGAGAAGATGGGTCCGTTCTGAGAAAAGGGCGGTGAGTCAACTGTGAAGAGTTTGTGCCGATGTCGGATATACACACCTTAATTGTGAAAGTAGCCCTTTCAGTGGAAACGGGGGTAGATTTTCGGTGGGGAGCGGGTGTTTGGCGGGCAGTGTTGGGCTGCACGGTAGCCATGGAGCGGTATTGTGCTCGGTTCTTTGTCACTTGTCCCAGGAGACTCGCAGACCGCCCAACGGCAGGCTTGAAGCATTGCGACAACATGCTGAATAGAGAGATTGACGGAGACGGTATAATCGGTGGTTGGTTGCAATGAGGAATTGATCAATTCACTGAAGCCTTCCACAGGTGGTCTGTTGGATGAGTCAGTACGGTGCATCCCCCCAGAGGTTGCGTGGGTGAGGGTGACAAGGGCATACCTGAGATGTAGTCCTATGACGATGAGTTAGCTATGATCAGATGGATAAAAAGAACGACGGTGCTCGTGGAGAGTGGTAGCGGCGGAAAAGGAGGCAAACGGGCCGGGCACAGGGCGTGGGAGAGAAAGCGGGCGGCGAAGGCCACGCACAAGTGACGGTGTGCAATCGGCCAGCAGCGATAACAAGATAGATAGATGGGCAATGGAAGGGAGAGCCGGGGAGATTTCCAAGACAGATGGCCACATACCTGGGAAGTGAAGATGGAGACAGCACGCATAAGCGCGATGGAAGACCAGAGCCGGGTGGTGTCAAAACGAGATGGGGGTGCAGTGACCCTGATTGTGGTGGTGGTTGTGGTGAAGGAGGGAGGGATGGATGGACGGGTGGATGGTAGGATTTTGTTGTTGGAGTGTCCAACACCCCGCGAAGGTAAAGCGCGACCACCACAGAGATAAAGCCGCGCCGGCCCACGCTACTCATGACGCAGCCAACAAATTTTCTCGCCGTATCGCACATTATCCTCGTCACCATTGGTCAATTCCTGGGGCCCGTAACAGATCCATCGGTCCGAATGTCTGACTGCTGGATATCTGATGGTCATCTAGGAGGAGTGAAGCAGAAACGGGATCGACAGTGGTTTTTTTTTTCTTCTTCTCTTCTCTGCAGACATTTTCGCCAGTATGTACATATGTATGTATATATGTATGTATAAGCGTTCGTGTATACCTATGTATATATATGTACAGAAGAAATCGTGCGACAGCGAATATGCACAAAGTGCCAACAAATGTTGTGTCATGCTGCTCTGCGAAAACATGACACACCTCCAGATACCCCAAGTACCTCAACGTCCAAAAACCTCGGCATCCCAAGAGTTGAGCAGATCGATGCCCGCCTTTCTCCAATCGTCTGTCTCCGCATAGCCCAAGTTGGCAACCTCAGGATCGAACACCCAGTCCTCGGCAGCCTCTTTTGCGTACCTGGGCCAGTACTCGCCGGGGTTCAGGTCGTGCACAAAACTGACCCACGATGCGCTCATCGTCTCAGCAAGCTGCAAGTAGCTCTCAGGCTTGCCGAGGAAAGGCTCGGTGGCTGCAGGCGCATATCCAACACCCTGCTGGTTGTTGAAGACGAAAGCCACCTCCTGGAAGTGGGTGGCGCCGATGAAGTCGGGCAGGCCGGCGGGAATGCCGTTGAATCGGTAGCAGAAAGCATCCAAATCGTTGTCGGCCCATGTCTGGCACGTCTTGCGGCGAGAAGCAATGAAGGAAAAGTCTCCAAAGTATGCATCTGATCGCCTGCTCGCGTTACCGGACGTGACGGGAGGCACCCAATCCAGGGGTTGGTTGGCGGGGACAACGACACCGTAGGTGGACAGGTCCGCTGGGTAGGCTTCGACAGCTTGTTGGGCCTGTTCAGCAGTAAGGGCGGCCGACCTGCCGCCAGACGTAAGTAGGTTCAGGAAATCTTCTTCGGTGTTGACGGGCTTGGGGCCAAACGCAGTTCCTTCGTCGCTGTTCGCGCCGTCGATGATGGATACGTGCACGAATTCACCCTTTGCGAGCTGCTCAGAGGTCTTGCCCTGGATATAATCGTTGTCGATTATGGGCTTCCAGTCCAGGCCCAGACCAGTTCCATTGATGTAAGTGTTGAGCGTAGGCGAGTCGATTGCACGGAGGCAGTCCAGTTTCGATGTTGCGTCTCCGCAACCCAAAGCCGCCGCGGCTTCCAAAAAGTGCGATTTGTCATAAGACCAGGTTCCGTAGTTGATGGGGTTTCCTGATTGCATGATAGCACCACGGAAAAGGTTGTCGTCACGACCACCATAAGCCACGAGATGCATTCCGGTACTCAAAGCTCCAGCGCTTTCACCGAAAATGGTAACCTTCTTAGTGTCACCTATCAATGTTCCGTTAGTATGTCTGTCAGAACTACAGGATGGAAAAAGGATCTAAATACCTCCGAAGGCCTCAATGTTTTCTTGAACCCAGTGCATAGCCAGTCGCTGGTCTCGGAATCCCAAGTTCTGAAGCTGTTAGCAAGGAAGACCCGTTATCAGCCGAGGATGGGATACTTACGGCGTTACCGGTCTCTTCAACTTCTTCACCAGTAATGAATCCCCACATGGATAGACGGTAGTTGATGCCGACAAACATAATAGGCTTCCCGATATCTACACTCCTCTGCACCATGAAGCTAGCGTTGTACCGCTGATCAATAGCAGATCCTTGAGTAAGACCACCTCCATGGATCCAAAAGGCGACTGGCAGCTTCTCATTCTCGTAACCACTGGGGCGGATGACGTTCAGATATAAGCAATCTTCCGACTGCTTGGCGTAGTTCCAGTTGTCGCTCCCATATCCGAAACACGAGGCTGAGTACTCTTTTGCACTCAAGGGTTCAGACCATGAGGCATTGATAGACTGGGGAGTGCGGAACCGCAGAGCACCGACGGGGGGTTGCGCAAATGGGATACCGAGGAAGTAGTCCTGATCATACAGGTCCGAGTGTACACCCTCTACCGTACCATTCTTGATGTTCACGGTAGGGCCACCAGTGGAATTGTCGGCGCGGCGGTAGGAGCCATGGGGGGCTGCAACGGCAACGGAGGCGAACAACCCAAGGGAGAGATTCTTGAGGATAGCCATGCTTGGTTCGGTGGCTATGCAAAGGCCAGACGACGCAAGCTACAAGTTGGAGAAGGGAAGGGGAAAGGGTTGAAAGGAGCGAACGAAAGACAGGAAGGCCGCTGCTGGGATCGCAAAAGGCTATCAAAACAGAAAGAAAGTGCCATGATGGCCGCTTCAAATACTTCGTGGAAAACGTGACTAAGTTAGACTGGAGAAGCAGTGAACATCCCTTCGTGGAAAATGGACCGATTAAGGGGAAGCTAGAGAAGTGCCCCCATGGGCAATGGCCCTTCCCCAGTACCAGTCATTAAGGTCATTTCACACCAGTGGATCCTATAGTGATGATGCATACATATAGTGCTGTGTTCCCGCCTCTTGTTCTCTGTCCCCGGTTAGGACCGTTGCCCCAACCCTGGGAAGCCAAGACGATTAGAGTGCATGGAAAAAAGTCTAACTGCACCTTCCTGTAGGTACTGCATATGTAGATTGGTAACCACCTGCTAGGTTGTGGTTGATGGATGACCGTCAACCGCCCACAGTCTGCTATCCGCCTACTGCAAGTTGCAAAACCGTACTTCGATATTAAGCCGTGCAGGCTGCGAGGTCTGATGCTCGACAATGTTGATTGAGTGGCTACTTGATCCGAATTCCCCACATTCACTGCAAGGTGGAGTACATGCAAGCTGGGATACCGCCGACCGGTCGCGTTTGCTGTGGCGTGTAAATCGGGGGCTCGTTGATGCCTGTGAGCACGAACAGGGGACGAGAAAAAAGTTGCCGAGGACGTTTGGTAGCCGTCCAAGTTTTCGCATGTGGTGTTGGGGCAATTGCTCACGATTGCCCATTCAGGAACGAGATCCTGTTTCCCCTCCTGTTTCTCCAGCGATGCAGCGCAGAACTCCCCAGTTCCGATGAATGCCTGACTTGGAAATGCCGACTTCGATTGGTAGTCGGGTACATGGTCAAGGCTGAAGATATCAATGTTAAGTACCGGTATGGGGTAGCTTTGCGGGGCGAAACACGGGTAAATTTCGGCTCGACTGGGTTGCAGCATAACGACCCCTTGCAAAGGCCTGTAGTTAGATTGTTGTTTGCTTGCATATGCACATGGGGAAACCAGATCTTGCATCAGGTGAGCTTGGTTACCTGCAAGAATAAGGAGCAAAATCAATGGGAAATCGAACAGTGCAAGCACCGCTGCTCAATGTTTGTTTGCATCGGTACTTCTCTTTGCATACAGACTGATTCACTTAGATCAATCGGACTACAATCACCAACAACATTCTGCATTCCTCTATCTCAACTCGAACCAAAGAACAGCATCGGTGAGGCGGAATCAATGTCGTCATGAAGAACAACTTACGCAAAGAAGTATCCGAAGGCAATCAACTGCCGAAATGCACAGCCGGTATCCCTTGCCAGTTCGGTCCGCCGCCGTGCTGAATCTCACTAACTTAGACCTTAGTCTCACGCCCAGTCGGTGACCACACCTAGGTGTGATCGCTATATTCAAACGGTCGGGGAGTAGATCTCTTCTAGTACGCATCTCCGCACTTTGCAGCATGCACTTCTCCGCATCGCATGCACACCAGTCATGAATATTCCCGGACCTGATTGTGTCTTTGAACATGACTCGCGGCTCTAGTGACCGCCGGTCGTGGGTAGCTGAATCTCAATGTCAGCTACAGCACCTTCAAAAAGTACAGATCAATCGAATAACTCACGCCCAAGTATACTTTGAAAGAGTCGTAGATGAGCCATTGGAAAGCCTGCACACATTGAGTCAGCATATCCGTCACCCATAACATCCATTGCGGACTTACTGTCAACGTTCCAATCATGAATATCCTGACTGGCAGACCATTCCAGAGACCACCAAAGCCAATCTTCCCATAGATTCGCGTCATAGCCTGCCCAGCTCCTTCTCCTGGCTTACGGTCCGAGTTCAGTTTGGAGACCATTACATCTACTTTGTTAGTCGAATTGCTCTCGGATCACCACTGTCGGTGCGAACTTACCTGCGGGATGAGAGACAACCGCACAACCGATTCCTGCAATGTAACCACCCAAGAAAGATACCCCCGTTTGTTGGAGAGTCCCGTAAGATTCTTTCGGCTTTCCCAGCGTCTTATAAATTTGTTCAACTGCTTTCTCGAAGGTCGCAAACTTGACCATTGTATAGCTGAAGGGGCCGGGTACCAAAGATTAGCAAAAAAAATCAAAAATCAAGAAGACACGAATCTCAAGCCGTCCAGGTTTTGGAAACGCCGCGCTACTGGGTGGATAGTTCATCAAGGATTACAGCATGTACGTACGGTATTTGTCTGCCCCATAGTGGAAAGAGGCCCTTGTACAGACCGGCAACGCCCTCTTCCGCAATCACCTTGCTCATGCCTTCCCGAAGTGAGTGGGCAAAAGGAGGCATAGTTGTCTGCATGCGGACCTTGATAGCCTCAAGGGGGCACAGCGCAATATCAGCTATGAACTCAGCCGAAGCCGAAGCAGCGAGGTAGACTAGAGTTTTGTTTGCGTTGGGCGCCAGTCTATCCCCGTACAAGTACTTGAAGATCTCGTAACAGCCGTATTTGCCTGCACCTTGGAAAGCGTACCCGACGAAAGTAGGTGACCAACCGAAGAAAACACCGCGGAGACCTTCGCTACGGTATATCATCTTCCAGGCTTGCGTATTCGATTTGTAGAGTTTATCGTCTACTTGTCGGCGACACTTGACAAGATCGAGAGGAGTCACCATTGTGTGCGTGGGTCCGCAAGCTGTACTAGATCAGCGGAGATGTTGCGTGAAAATCGAGTTTGGCAATGTACCTATGATTCCGCCCAAAGTACATGCTGCAAAGTAGTTCCCCGAGTACAGCTCAATTTTACGCTGGGGCTTGAGCGCTTCTAACTTTCCCGACATTTTGAGCTCGCGTGACAGCTATCAACTACGCAGGGTATCGAATGTCCTTCGACTGTGTGGTGCAATAACCGGCTGTGCTACTGGCAGTCCTGGCAAGAGAATCGAAAAGAGCAAGGGGTATCAACAGAAGGAATATAATCAAACAAGTGCGCAGGTGCTGCAGGAAGCAGGAGTACTAATTGCCTTTCAAGGTTATATATGTACCAACTTTTCTTGTTGGGTTTGTCTCCCGCTGCATCCGACATCGACATTATGACGTCGGTCGCCTAGAACCCACTAGCGTCATCTTTGGTAGCAGATACAGGTGGACATACATCAAGCACTGGTCACTGCGCATTCGAGGAGCTTGTCATCTTGTTACTGCACGTCGCCTGCACAGTAAGCCTCGTACAGAGCCGTCGGCCGGAGCCTCGGTGTTGATACACAATCTGGCACGATGCCAGCGCTTGTCCCCTTGCCGTGATGGGCCGTACAGGTAAACAAACTTCGGAAGGACGGAGCACATGTACACTACGTATGTACATATGTACATTGATCGCACCACCACTTTGCAGCTAATTAGTCTCTATTATATACACCGAGCATCCAAGCAGCCCTGAGAATGGCCAATCCCCATGCCATCCCCAGACTATCCCAAATCACATTTAGTTTGCTTCCCATGACTTCCTTCCATCCGATAGCGACCTCAACCATAGGAATCCCGGCACTCTCGGCCAACATCAGCATTTCCACGTCGAAAATCCAGCCTTCCGAGTGCATATAGGGGACGATGTACGGGAGTGAGGGACGGCTGAAGAGTTTGAATCCGCATTGGGTATCTTTGATGGCGGCTGTAGCCGGAGGTGTCATGAGGCGCAACAGCAGATGGAAAGAATGCATCAGGAAGTTGCGGAGCTTCGAGCGCTACACGAAATACTGTCAGAGCTGGATCTGTGATACGGGGACTGATTCTGTACTTACTTTGACAACGGCCTCACTACCCACCAGATGCGCTCGACTGCCGATGGCCACACCCCGACCTTCCTTATCTTCAACAGACTGGCAGCCGTCCACCAGCTTTCCGAGATCGGTGAAGCGCGATGCACCATCGGCATCTGCAAAGACAACATATTGCCCTCTCACATGTCTCATGCCATGCGTGACCGCGCCACCTTTACCACGGTTCGCCTCCAGTTGAACTACTCGGATACTGCCGTGTGGTATGTTACTGTTGTGTTTGAGGTCTTTGGCCCAAGGCCCTGACCTCGGAGATTTGTGCAAAGAAAGCTGGTGTTCGCGCACAAAATCGAGGGCCATGTCCACGGTCTTATCCGTGGAGCCATCACTCACGATTACAATCTCCCATCCCTTTCTTTTCACTTTCCCAGTATCTGCCTCCATCTCCATTTCGTGCGCACCCCCATATTCAGACTGCAGGTAATCGACAGCCTCTTCCAGCATACCGACTAATCTGTCTTCTTCATTGTATGCAGGCACGACAACAGACATGAACAAGTCGGCAGACTCGAAAAGTATCTGGGCGGGATCAATGGCTTTCGCAGGCCCAGCCTTCTTTTTTGCCAGTTGTTTCTCAGCTTCCCATTTGTCGAACCAGCATGGGAGTTCCTTTGCGTCGCTTCGATTACCCTTGGGTAATATAGTTGTGTACTGTTTCTCAGAACGCCGAGTGGGACGCGGCACAGGGGCTAGAACGTGGACTGCCATATACGCCTACATATGTCAGCCTCCATTGATAGATAGAAGGGCACATGAATTCTTACCCAAAAGAGCAATGCGACAAATAGAAAGCCGAGGGCGACAACGAGGGCCCATGTCGGCGGCATTTCTATGGGGGTTTTCGAGTATTCCCGGACATTGTCCAATGTGTACGGTTTGTTCAGACTCATGGCTAGACAGTGAAGAACTCCGCCCTACGATAGATGTGCGAAGATGAGTTGTGTTAGGTGTTGGGGGTAAGTCGTGAACATGGATGCGCGCTCTAAGGGACGATTCAGAAGCAAGAAGAAAACAACAATTTGGGTGGAAACCAATTGACAGTGTCTAAGGGGAGGACATGCAGTGGAAAGATCGGAAGAAAAGCGCAGCAATACGAGAAATCTACACGCGACGACCCTCTTACACATGCTCGAAGATGATACGTAGTCTGTCATCTGCTGACCGGCGAAACCCCGGCTCAATCCCAGCTTTCTGGGTCGGGAAACGGCGGGGATGAATTAAGCAAGACCTCGGCCTAAAGCGAACAACGACGGTTGTCCAGCTCCAGCTCCGTTCGTTCGGAGTCGCCTCTTCGTTTCGCCCCCTCTACTCTCGCTACCCTACAGCAATTACTTTGTTAGGTACCCCGAAAACAGTATACTTTGGAACGATAGATACCCCGATCTAAAAGATGTCTGGACTAAGGGTTCTGATTCCCGTCAAGCGGGTCATCGACTATGCAGTAAGAACATTCTTCTTCCATCCTTCGAGTCTCAAACACAAGTCCAAGAAAGGCAATGGCAGTCCATATATCACAATCAAAATGTTTTGGGGGGAGAAGGGAGCGATCAAACCTTGCAACCCTTCCAAAGAAAAAAAGGAAGTCACTGACAATGCCGCCCGTCTTGAAAAACACAGGTCAAACCGCGCGTGAATCGCGCGCAAACAGCCGTCGAAACCACAGGCGTCAAACACAGTATGAACCCTTTCGACGAGCTCTCCATTGAAGAGGCCGTTCGCCTGCGCGAGCGCAAAGTCCCCATCGCCGAAATTACCGCCTTCACCGCCGGCCCCACAAAGTCGCAGGACATGCTCCGTACTGCCATGGCCATTGGCGCCGACAAAGGCATCCATGTAGTAGTTGACGAAAAGGGACCTGAGTTGGAACCTCTGGGCGTTGCCAAACTGCTAGCAAAAGTCGTCGAGGAGCAAAAAAGCGATCTGGTCATCTTGGGAAAACAAAGCATTGATGATGACGCTGGACAGACGGGACAGATGCTCGCGGGGCTCTTGGGATGGTCTCAGGCTACGCAGGCTTCCAAAGTGGAGATTGCGGACAAGACGGTTACGGTTATGAAAGAGGTGGATGGCGGCGTGGAGACGGTCAAGGCGAACTTGCCCATGGTCATCACGACGGATCTTCGCTTGAACGAGCCGAGATACGCCAGCTTGCCCAACATCATGAAGGCGAAGAAGAAGCCGCTAGAGAAGAAGACCTTGGCGGATTATGGGCTGGATGTTGAGCCCAGATTAAAGACGGTCAAAGTCACGGAGCCGCCTCCAAGGAAGGGTGGTGTGAAGGTGGAAGATGTAGATGGCATGATTGGCAAGCTGAAGGAGCTGGGTGCGTTGTAAACATGGAGTCTTGACGCGAGGATATGGGTTGGATATTTTCTGTATATTGGCCTGGATCGATTAGATTTCCAAGAAAGAAAGACAAAAGCAACAATGCAAAAATACACGCTCAAGTTGTCCGACACTGCTGTGCCCAGTGACTCTAATCATTGGCTGCGGTCAAATACCTGAGCTGCTTCTACCAAGTTTCTTGTTTATACCGTCCGCTCTTTTCCATATTCACCAAATATGCCTCGGCGTCTTCTCTCGGCATGCTGGCCTCTTTTTGGAAGACTTCGATCAACGCTTCCCGAACTGCCTGCGGCATCTTACCAGAAGAGCCACAAAGATACACAATGCCTGATAGCTGACCAAGAGCTCGGTAAATACCGGCACTTTGTTGGCGAACCAAGTCCTGTACATAGACCTTTTGGAGCTGTTGCATTGTCAGTTTAAATCTGGCTAGAACGAAAGAACCCGCAGACTGACCTGATCTCGCGAAAATGCTGTATACACTTCTAGCGGCACGCCTTTCTTCTTGAGTTGACTCCACTCGTCCCTGAAAAAGTAGTCCGAGTCCGCATTTCGACACCCAAAAATCAACATATCTTTGGCGAGGTTTTCGTTTTCTGACTCCTGACGCCAAAAGTCTCGCTGATGTATCAGCGAGCGCATAGGCGCCACGCCTGTTCCTGGACCGATCATGACTACGGGCCTGTCCATTTCTTTTTTCGTGACACCCAGTCCGCCTTTGGAAAGAGACACTGTGATCTCCTGTCCAGGTCTGAGAGACGCAATGTAGCGTGTGCAAACTCCCTGCCTAATCTTCTTGATCACGGTGCGATATTTGACTATAGCAATCAGAAGATCAATACTTGTTTGACTTGTGTGGAGGGCCGAGGTCAGGGGTAGGTCTGCACTGGCTATGCTGAATTGTCGACCGCGCATGGCTGGGACAATGGAACAGAGACGCTCCCAAGGTACCTTGACTGACTCGAATTCTTGCAAGACTTCGAGGATACTCCGCCGGGGACGAGTCGTATAGTCGTATAACTCATCAATGTACTCTGGATCCGTAAACTCGATAAGGCGGTCGCGCTGAAACTCATCTGTCGTAAAATGTGCTAGCTGCGCGAAGAAGGATCTTCGAGGAATAGACATTATGTCAAGGTGGTTGGTCAGAAGGCTACGAAGAGTGAAAGTGGTTGTGGCCTGCATATTGGGGAGTGGCAAACGAGACGAGGGGGAAGTAGACGGGGTGGTAGGGACAAACTTCAATGGAACATCGGCGATGGATGTCCACTTCATGACGGCTATGAATTCGTTCACGTCAACAGGGAAATTCTTCGGGTACAGAGTAACAACATCTCCCGGAGAGTATGGATTACGGCCAGGAACATGGAGTGTGAGATGGCGGACATCCTGCCAGTGGTTTGATGAAGTCACTCGCTCATTAGAAGCGATTGTCGCTGCTAGACTTTTGGGTACGTGCAATAGACCATCAGGGGGCAATTCATGAACAGTGTCGCTTGAAGTTGCTGGTACGGTTTGATCGGGCACAGGGTGATGATCCACTTCGGTTGCAAAGGCAAGCAACCATTTCGGGTCGAGCAATACATGATCTGGAATCGGCTCAACATGTTCAGGTAAGGGGAATTCTTTGAGTAGATGATGGCGCAGAGTAGCAGACCATGGCAGTAACGAGGCATCGATGCTGGAGTCGAAGTCAGCAGGGCAATGTCAGCCAGACGATAGCATAACATACCCCTCAGGATGCTGCTCGTCGGATTCTCCGCGGTTGCATATGGGATGAGCCCCGAGCTGCACAAGGCGATTGTACAATTTCCGATGTGCCCAGTTGAATCTATCATGTCAACGATGTTGCTATGAAGTGGGTGGGTCACGCCATGGAGCTTACTTGGGGTACGAGCTGTCACCAAGACCAAATGATGCGAACCTGAGTGGCTGGAGACAGCCAGGACGAAGGCGAGTGCTCCGAAGCGTCTTCCATAGTGTTTGACTGTTGGTGGGCAGTTCACCTTGGCCGGTGGTGGAGATGGCGATGAGCACAACAGCGTATTGCAGCAGCTGCTTCTAAAGGGCGCATCAGCAGCAATAGAGTTTGAGGAAGGTGAAGAAGCAAACGTACAGGACCGACTGCATCTAGCTCGGCCACTTCGGTATCGAAGCGCAGCCGTTGGGCCATCTTCCCCAGCTCTTCGGCCACATCCTGGGCATTGCCCGTCTCGGAACCGTACAGGACCAGCGCCCGACGCTCGTGCAGGGCCATGGACATGTATTCGCAGGGGTGTTCACGACGACGACGACGACGACGACGACGACGACGACGACGACGACGACTACTACTGCTGCTGTTGTTTACTCAGGTATGGGCTACGACGGTTACATGCAATCAATCGTGATACATTCCCAAGGATGGCAATGCGAAAGAGCAGCGTGGAGAATTAGTGGACGGGGCAGGATTACTAGACTAATCTGCCGGGTTGGGTAAGGTGAGGCAGTGGTATGTATGCTAAACAAACAAGTAGATAAGTACTTGGGGACATGGCATCCGCCATGAAAATTTCTTTTTTTGTTCTTCGACCCAAACTTGTACGGAGCGGCCGCTACGGCTACGGACGGACGGGAAGTCTCCACTGCCTAAGCAAGTACTGTAGGTGCTATTCACGTCACGTCAAGCCGCCCTCGTCTCTTGCGTGCCCTAGCGTCTGGGGTAGCGAGTGAATTGACTTTGGATCTGGAACGGTGGACATGGAATACGTAAGAAGTATACACTGAACATTCATGGAATTAATGTTTGAATCAGGGCATGCTGTGCACGTGCGCGTGAGATCTGCTGGGTTATGTAAGCCCTTCCTTCCCCCCGGTGCTTGCCTTGCAGTGCTCCTCCCTGTTTCTGTTTATTTACCATGGACGTCTGCTCTTTACATGATGACCACCAGAAAAGGGGAAAGCACGGTCGGCCAACTGGGGGTAGAACCAGCGACTGGCTGGAGTATGTACGTAACTACGCTATGTAACCAAGCACACTTCAATGCCCGGTGAGAGAGAGAGAGAGAGAGAGAGCCAGCCAAAGTAAGAGGCAACAAATGAATCGACGACGACGGCGACGATGATTACAGCCATAATAATAACAACGATAGTAATTGAATGGGTGAATGAATGAATCTCCGAGAGAGTGAATGGGCCAACCCCCCCTTTTCCGTGGCGGTGAGAAACTGCGATTGCTTTGCGACCCTGGCCGCCCTTTCTTCCCATGCAGTCCGCTTCCCCTGCCCGATCCGGCTAGCGCATCCAGGCCTCCCTCAAAATATTTGAAGCTTCCATCATCGCCTGCTCCTTTTCCACCAACAGACAACTCCAGCAGACCACCGCTCCATCAACCAAACGCTTCCCCCCCACACGTTCCGGGCTCGTAGCTACCCACCCCCCTCTCGTCAATTCAAGTTCCACCTCCCAGGCGGTTCGACAATCCCCAACTCTCACCCCAAAACAACCACTGCTTCTTTCCACCGTCAAGCCTTTCATCTAGGTTTGCCAGGACTCCCAAGTTTACACACCTTGTACTCCGTGTCATCAATCAATCCAACAAACTTCAGCAAATATGTCCGCTCCTGTCGACAGTGTTACCGCCCAGTTGGCCACCACCTCCCTCAACGACTCCAACGCCGAGACGGCTGCTGCTCCTTCCCAGCCCACCACGGCCGAGAACGATGCTGTCCTCGCCAGCGCCGCCGAGGGTAGGCGACTTTACATTGGAAACCTCGCATATGCGACCACCGAGGGGGAACTGAAGGACTTCTTCAAGGACTACCTTGTGTAAGTCGTCTCATCCGCCGCCCTTGTCTTGTTGCCTCGCCACTTCCCACTTGGGCTGGCCGGCTGCCTGTAGACAAGTTACTTCCAGTCTCTAACACATCCTTAGCGAGTCCGTCACCATTCCCACCAACCCTCGCACTTCCCGCCCAGTCGGCTACGCCTTCGTGGCCCTCTCTACCCCCACTGAGGCTGAGCGTGCTATTGCCGAGCTTAACAGCAAACCCATCCTCGAGCGCAAGGTCTCTATCCAACTGGCTCGCACTCCCGAGGCTCACGCCGAGGGAACTGGCAGCGGTGCCGAGGGCTCCAACGAGACTCGCCGTCGTGCCTCTACTCGCGGTCGCGGTCGCGGCCGTGGCCGTGGTGGTCGCCAGGGCCGTGGTGGTCGTGCTGTAAGTCATACTTCTTTTGGGCCAGTTTCGTCAGAGCCATACTAATCACGTGCAGAAGGCCGATGGCACCGAAGGTGCCGAACAGGTCGAATTCACTGACGCTGCTCCCGCTGATAGCGCTCCTACAAATGTACCCGGCCAAGTCCTTCCTCTTACCGAGACTACAAACGAGGCACTCACAGCTGAGAAGGGCACTAAAGAGAAGTCTGCTCCTCGCGAGCGCAAGCAGCGCGGTCCCCCCGAGGATGGCGTTCCCTCCAAGACCAAGGTCATGGTTGCCAACCTTCCTTACGATTTGAAGGAGGACAAGGTTTGTTCCCTGTTTCCAACCGAGGTTTCCCGCGACTAACAAATCTTCAGCTCTTGGAAATCTTCAAGGACTACTCCCCCACCACTGCTAAGATCGCTCTCCGCCCCATCCCCCGTTTCATGGTCAAGAAGCTCCAGGCTCGCGGTGAACCCCGCAAGGGCCGTGGTTTCGGTTTCGTCACTCTTGGTTCCGAGGAACTCCAGCAGAAGGCTTGCGATGAGATGAACGGCAAGGAGATCGAGGGTCGCGAGATTGCCGTCAAGGTCGCTATCGACTCCCCTGGAAAGGAGGACGACCACTTGGATGCTTCCGCAGAAGGCGAGGAGGCTGCTGCTCCTTCTACTGAGGCTGCTCCCGCTGAGAAGACCGAGACCCCTGCCCCAGCCCCAGTTGCCGCTTAGGCTGCGACTATTGGTATGCAGGTGATCGAGGCTACAGCATGAACGACTGTTATGACCCACCCTTCACCGAGGCCCTGTTTGAGCATCAGGATTTCCCCGAGTTGCCTATCCATTTGTCTTATTCGCCAGACATTTAGGCTTTGGTTTTACTTAATCGTCATATGACATAGCGTCGGAAAAGTGAATCGGAGTCTTTATAGGTTGCTTCCACGGGGAGAAGCCAGTCTATGCCAAGAATGTCTTAAATTTTTGAGAATATCTCAAGAAATGTCGCCCTAGTCTAGCATTTAGCTAATGTCAGAACCTCGAGCGACCACTTCTGCCTCCTACATGTAGTGTGACGATACTGATATTAGATTGAACCGCCGTCCACGTGCATTCGCCATCGTATGAAGCTATTCTTCTAACCACAGTATCACTGCGTGACGCGACAATTGCCTATCGAGGTGGAGATGCCGGTTACATTGCAAATTCTTGAAGAGTGGGCGTCAATCTAGATGACAGTTTTATACATCCTGGCAACCACGAAGACATCGCATGATACATATGCTTGCATGCCATCTCATATTCTGTTGGTCATCATTTGTCCCGATCAAGTTCTGTAGCCTGCAATTGTTAGCGATGTAGCGACGAAGTCACAGCATGCTGGATGACGTGATTGCATCGCAGCTTATGTGATACCAGCAGGCTCTGATGGTAATTGGAGTTCACAGGGCAGGAATAGTATATTACCATTCGTATCGTATGTCGACAAATTATGAGCCATAATGTGTGAAAGGGCGGCCTCTTGGCGCGGGTTGGTACCTTGTATGTATGCATGCTTGACTCACGAAAAGTGACGTTGACACTTGACGCACCCCCACCAACTAGATCGCACCGCCACCGCAGCCTACTAGCTTAAAGGACCTCACATCACAGCTAGCCGCAAACCTACTCAACCTACTACAACAAAGCGACATAACCAAGCGGCATGGCGGCACAGGGCGAGCAGCTGCTTTCAAAGCCTCTTTACGGTAAACTCTTACCTAACGCCACAACATGCGTCTCAATTAACGATTTCTTGCAGTATTCGACCTCCCGGAAGAGATCCTCACAACAATTACACTCAGAACCCAACATCTTCGCCCAGTCCAAGAGCTACCACACAAACACGAAACCTCAGAACAAGACTCATCTGACCGATCCGGGTCCGAAGATGGCGCGCCGGCGAAAGCCACTTCTTGTAACCTTTGCGGGCTGAGCTTTGCGACAGTCGCAGACCAGCGCAGCCACGTCCGATCAGATCTCCATGGATACAATCTAAAGCAGAAGTTGAAGGGCCTCAAGCCTGTTGGAGAGGCAGATTTTGAGAAGCTCATCGGCGACTTGGATGAGAGCTTATCTGGATCAGAGTCAGAAGAGTCAGAAGATGACGTGGTGGACGAGGGAAACAAAACCAAGGAGTCCACTTTGAGCGCGCTGCTGAAGAAGCAGGCCAAGATTTCTAGTACGGCGTTCGATGAGTATACATCGCAGAAGAAGCAGCGTGGGTCAGGCAAACCGCCTATGCTGTGGTTCACATCGCCGTCTTTGCCGGCCAATACCTCTTTGGGAATATATCGAGCAGTGTTCTCCGAAGCAGAGCAAGAAGAGGAAGCGCACATTGTTGAGACACTACGCAACAAGCAACTTCCGCCCATGCTGCCACCGAAGCTGAACTCTGACGGGGGGATTCCTCTCCCAAATACGGATATAGGACCTCATTATTTCCTTTGTATGATTGGCGGTGGCCACTTCGCCGCCATGGTAGTTGCACTAGCACCCAAACTTGCGAAAAGAGCAGGAATAGAGGAGCGATCAGCAACTGTGGTTGCACACAAGACTTTCCATCGATACACTACCAGGCGCAAACAGGGTGGCTCACAGGCAGCAAATGATTCAGCCAAAGGTGCGGCACATTCGGCTGGTTCTTCGTTGCGTCGATACAACGAAGCAGCATTAGTCTCAGAAGTGCGCGAGCTCTTGACCAGCTGGAAGGCAATGATTGATTCTGCCGAGCTGATCTTTATTCGCGCTACTGGCACTACCAACCGACGAACTCTGTTCGGACCCTACGAGGGACAGGTGCTCCGCAACAACGATCCACGGAATCGCGGGTTCCCTTTCAGCACACGGCGTGCGACGCAGAAAGAGTTGATGCGTTGCTTCGTGGAGCTCACAAGGGTGAAGCAAAGTACCCTGGACGAAGCTGCACTTGCCGCGTTGAACGCACCTCAAACGGAGACAAAAGCAGCAGCTCCCCCGTCCCCAAAGCCTTCAAAACCTTCGAAACCGACAAAAGAAGAGGAGGAAGCTGCCCTCCACACCACCCAGATTACGTCCATAATCAAACGCTGCAAGGTCCCAGCCCTTCTCAACTACATGAAAAGCAATTCTATCCCGCCATCATTCACTTTTCTCCCCGCCAATCACCACACCCCAACACCGCTTCACCTTGCAGCTTCTTTGAACTCTGTACCCATAGTTACAGCGCTCTTAGTAAAAGCTGGCGCCGATCCCACCATTATGAACGATGATGCTCGCACCCCGTTCACACTAGCTGGAGACCGCGCAACTCGCGATGCTTTCCGGCTCGCTCGCTCTGAACTTGGAGAATCCGCTTGCGACTGGGCTGCCGCAGGTGTCCCTTCGCCACTCAACAAATCAGAACTCGAACAACGAGAAGCACGTGAGAAGTCGGAAAAGGCGGAAGAAGATAAGGCAGAGGCAGCGCGTAGGAAAGTCGAAACAGAGAGGCTGAGAAAGGAGAGCGAAGCCGAAGAGGCCAAGAAGAGGGAATCCAGGCTGGGTAAAGGGAAGGCCTTGGGCGCAGCGCCTGTCAAGTCTGGGTTGGAGAAGAGGGAGGAGGAGATGAGGGGCTTAACGCCCGAAGCCCGGGCCAGAATGGAGAGGGAGAGGAGAGCTAGAGCGGCCGAGGAGAGGATGAAGAGGTTACAAGGGAATTAGTTGCTCGCATTTGTCTGTTATGTTTGATTGTACAAACATGGATCGTGTCAATTCTCATCGCTCTATCTATAGACCAACTCACTTAGTGCTATTGAAATGTACAAGACAAGTGTATCCCAATATCATCAACTGTAGAAAGCAAACTAAACCATCTCCTTCGTCGATACACGCTGAGTGGAATTTTGCTGGATCGGTCGGCAAGCATGAAGCCCACAATCATTTAGGACAATATATAGGCAAGCATGCCACTTGAAGTATCCAGACCCAGAAGGTCAATAGCCAGGTCAACGAAATACGTGAACAGCCAAATAATGTAGTCATGTTCCAAGTAGGCTAGAGTTCCCATTCCCAATTCCGCCCTGGAAAGAAATACCGAGCAGAGGAAATCACAGACAGAGTGATGATGTTTATGGTGGAAAATGCATGGATATATGTATAGTAAGATGGACATATACGTACGCTGGTGAGAGGCAAACAGTAAGAAAGGTGAGCCTACCGACCCACATCATCTCCCGTTTGACACGAAGTCAAGGAAATCAAAATCCATGAAAAGCTGGCTAAATTACCACCACACACAGCACCTCTCAATACAAGCGAAGAAAAATGATTGACAGTAGAATACTACAAGTAACAACGACATCCCGCCCGCGTTGGCTCCTCCGACTTTGGGTCTCTGTAGTCCTCCTGGGACAGATCAGAACAGAACCGTAGGTATATATACACGCAAGGATGCATCCTCCCATTTGAGCCTAGAAAGGGCATGTTCGTTCTTGCTAGCTTGCAATTCCACCCGTGACGCAGACACATAAGCCTCGACGACAAAGAAGCGGATCAACTCCTAGTTCGCCCACTTCTTCGAACAGTCGGTGCGGCTGTTGTTCCGTTAGCCGCAGGGCTCGATGGTGCGTCTTCTCCAGCTAGTACAGGGCTGTTAGCTCTCCTTCTGCCTTTAGCCGGTGGCGCCTTCGGTTTCACCGCTGGCTTTGAGGTTCTGGTTGCCTTGGTGGGAGTTTTTGCTTTTGCTACAACTTGGGATTCTTCGGGTTCTTCTTCTTCTTGCTCACCCTCGTCCTCGTCTTCATGTTCATTTTCGTTATGTTTTCCCCCGCGACGTTGGCTAGCGCTGACCTTCCCTTTCCGTTTTTGAGATACTGCGACAGAGGTAGCGACTCCGTTTGACTGTCTCGCGGGCCTACCTCCTCGAGGTATCCGTTTGGGCGGCTCCGGTTCATCAGATGACTCCACGTCTTGGGCGGCAGCCTCTTCTTCTTGTGAAGACTGTCCGTCTTCACCCATTTCGACGTCTTCTTGCACTTCCAACTCAGCATTCGACGTGTCATCAGTATTATCTTCTGCCCCCGCTTCGGCATGCGACTCTTCTTCTTCTTCTTCCCCATCACTTGATACCTCGACGTAGCTTTTGTTCGCTCCACTCCTGCGGTCACTCTTCCTCCGGGGTCCACTTGAAGGCCCTGCATCACCCTCCACATCATCGTCGCTGTCATTGTTTCTCCTCTTCTTTCTCGGAGTCTTGACTGCTCGTTCTTTTTTGGTACCTGTTCTCTCGCTTTTGACCTTCTTTCTTGGGTTTCCGTTCTCCTCTCCTGCTTTTCTTTTCTTGCTCTTGATTGCTCGGCGGACTAGAGGCTCCAGTTCATCGGCAAAATCCCTGTCGAGATACTGTTTCTGTGCAATTTGCTGACCCAAGTCGTGACTTTCGAGAGGTTTGAATATGCCACCTGGCAGTTTTTGCTTCTTTGGCCATGTCTGCATACTCCAACCGTTTTGCTCCTCCCACAGAAGAATCAAGGCCTGGGCAAGATCAGAAAGAATGTATAGATTCTCATCGGTATTACCAGTAGGATCAATAGCGTCTTTAACTGTCTTAACACGTCCGGCCATGTGATAGATAAGAGCAAGATTGTCTTCCGTTGCGATTGATTTGAGATAGAACAGGATGAAGGATGCCATTTGCTTCAAAGCCACTTCTTCTTTAGAGAAGTCCGAATGGTGAGCAATGAGACTGAGCAATCGAGCAAATACGGAGGTCTCCAGAAAGAGGTCCTTTGACGCGGCGAAGGTCGCTCTTCGGGAACGAAGCCATGTCATGAGCAGTTGCCTGAGGCTCGCATCGGGTTCATGTGCAAACATGAAGAGTATAGCATAGTAACGGGTAGGGAGGCGATTCTGGCCAAGATATTTCATGAGTTTCATCGCGAAACCTTTACGGATATGTATACTTTGATCGTGAGCTACGAGGGCGAGTTCGTTGAAATTTGTCGGTGTAATCTGGCTGTCTATACGGAGAGCGCTACTCGAAGCAAGCTTCAAAAGAAAATTGGCGGCGAGGAGACGCTGGCGGTTTCTATGTGCAAGTGGGGTGTTGCCTTTCTTGGAGGTCTCGCCACCCTCTTTCACCATGCGATTCAGCAACTTGAAAATAGGGTCTCCCACTTCTTTGAGTGAATTCTCGTCTTGAAGGGCAAGGATTCGATTGACGAGAATTCGAAGCGCCCATGTCCGGGCAATGATGTCTTCGTCTGGAGTTTCCATCCATTCGTCTTCGACCTCCGCGGACGTAGGATGGCCTTTGAGGAGAACGTTCTGGACTGCAATCTCGACTAGAGCGTCAATGTCATCTTCACATTCACGGTGAGCGAGAAGAACAAGTTGGCTAAGTGATGCCAGCTTGGACAACCAGTGCTTGCATCCGTACTCGAAATTGTTGATGCTTTTTTTCAAAATCTCCTTGGCGTGCAATTCCTTTTTGTTGTCGGCGCTCATGATAATGGTAATGGCATGTTTGGATGCCTTTGCAGGCGTACCATAAAGAGCAAAGTTGAGCAAACCTTGAACCAGTCTCCGGCTATCCTTCGTGTTGAGTGGAATATCTTTGGGGAACTTCTTCGCAAAGCTTGCGCAAGCCTTCAGGTCGTCTACAGCACCTGGTGGGTTAGGTGTCTTCTCCGTTGGTGCCTCGCTCTCCAGTGTTTTGCACAGATCTTTCACGTGCGTCGAAAACACTTGAGGTTGTTTTGTAGATATCTCCTTCAAAACCTCATGTGCTGTTGATCCAAGGCCGCCATTGTCGGTGCGAGTGTAAGCGATGATGGCCGGAACGTGACTCTTATTGAAACAAAGGAGGGCTACACGATAGAGTAGAGGTGTAAAGGACTCTAGGAAAGTAGGGCTCGGTGAATTCTCTTCGCTCCTCTTCCGGAACTCTTTCTGCGTATTGTGTCAACTCATCATTCTCAAAAGAGGAATAGCATACGTACAATTGATTTGTGAATCTTGCGATAGTCGCTATCCGGAGCCATAGAGAACCGAATCAGCTGGTAGCTTCGCCTATCATGGGCTTTCGCAAATTTCCAAAGATCATCAATGGCTCGGGTTGGGTCAGGTATTGTTTTGGCGTAATATGAGATAAATCCGTCGAGTTTCTTCTTGGTTTCCTGCTCACCGCTATCCATAACTCCACCGTTGTACTCCTCGCATAGCTTCAGGAAGTACTCCATAAACTTGGCATTTTGGACTTGATTTGTTTGGTTGGCAAAAAAAACTTTCTTGGCCTTCTCTTCCAAGCCGTGAACGAGTACCAACAACCTTTCAGCTCGAAGCTTATCTAAATCAGCTTCGGTATATCCTTGCTCCCCACCACCAGACTGGCTGTCTTTAACAACCTGTGAAGAGCCATTTGTAGCTGCTCGAGGTTTCATGGGAGGGTAGTTGAGGGGAAACAGCGCATCGTAGAAGGTGGTGTCGACCTGAGCTGTAATGCCGACATCCTTCACGTAGCAAGCCTCTAATATCTTGGATGGAATAGGTCCGAGCATTTCAATGACCCGTCCCTCGCCATTGCCAACAGCTCCCGCAGCCACACCCCATATACTGCCAAGAAGTTTGATGGTCGTCGTGTGGATGGCAGGCTTCTTGTCCTTGATGCGATCGGCCAGGTTCCAAAGAACGGTTCCAGGAGTTGACATGCTCCCATTGTTGCCCAGTTTATCAACAATGTCATTGAACTCATAGTGCTCAATTGCTTTCACCGCGGCTAGTCGAACCCGATCATCACTATCAATCAAGCATTTTGCGAACAGATCCAGTAGCTTCTTCTCTTCTTCGGGGTCGAGACCAACACCACCAGCCGAAGTCATGATTATTCGTGCAATCCCGGTAGTCAGAGACGCACGAATTATGGGTGATCGATCGTTTTGTCGAGAGAGAAACGCGTGGTATGCAGCTGGGTAATGTGATGGAAACGAATTTAGTGACGCGGGTGTTGTGAGGTAGCTGAATACTCGGCCGGATGAGGAAGGCGCAAGACTTTGTGAAGGGTATGCTGCAGGATCTAGGTTGGGTGGTGGCGGTGGTCCAGCTGCGCCAATGCCAGAAATCATGTCCCCAAAAGTTTCTGTCGCAAGCTGGCGCAATTGTATATTTTCGGTGGCTAATTCATCTTGGAGATGAGGAATAATCTCTTGTAGGGCGCCAGGAGCACACCTCCAGAGCTCCCGTAGTAATCGATGCGCTTTGCTGGCATCGTTGATTTCATCCTCAGAGGGACCCCGGGTTTCTTCGTCTTCAGATTCGTCTGCGCTCCCAAGTCGGTGGCGGATGTTCTTTGGCCCGGATGCAAAATCGACTATGACTTGACTGAAATACTTCCCGAACAGACGGGCCATCTTTTCTGGAAAGGCGTTACACAGGTTCTTCGCCATATTGTAAGCGGGGGGTGCTTCTTTACGCCGCAGAGTAGATTGTTTCGTATCTGGGGGAAGATTCTTTTTGCTCTTTGAGGACGTTCCTAGAGTAATGGGATCGGCCCACAAAAACTGTGCTACAATTACATCTACGACGTCTTGCTCGATAGTGGGCGACTCATCAATCAGGATGGACAGAATCTGCGTCATGTGGTGCTCGACGTTCTTGCTCAACTCTTCGCCATTAGAAGCCCTCGAGGGCCCAGAGAGTACATCGAAGCATGTTGTGAAGAGGGCGCTCGTAAGCTGGGCAGAGCTGGGAATGTCGGTAACGATGACAATGCTCTTAAATTCGGCGAGCGATTTGAGGACGTACAGGTGCTGACTGTTGTACGAGTGCGATGGATCGGCGAGGAGCGGGAGGATCTTAACCACGATCAGAGTGAAGATGTCCTTGAGCTGCGAGCCAGAATAAGGCGCGTTGGGGGCGAACAGACGGAACATGTCGACCAGACAGCAGGCTGTCCAGGCGCGCACACCACCATCTTTGTGGTGTACAAGACTCTGGTGAGCCAATTCTTTAGCGGTGGCATCAAGAGACTCTGTGTCCGCCTCCTCCTGGGGAATGTCGCGCAGCTCATCGCAGAGCTTGCGCAATCGCGTCAGTAGCTCTGTCACGCCAACCTGCTTGCCGGGGCGACTGATGAGCGATTGCTTGAACCTGAGCTTCCGGAGACCGTCCTGGACTTCTTGCAAGTCGTCTTCTTCGGCGACGACGGCAGACGCGGCACTGCGCCGGCTGCGGGTCGCCATGGCCTCGCGTGACGGCGCGTGGGCGCGCGTGCTATTTCGTGTCGCAGTAGCTCCGACTGAGCCGGGCGGGAGGAGGGCAAGACAGGCGCAGGCTGGATTTGAGCGCGAAGGCGACCCGACGAGAGATATGTGCGCGCGGTACGGATAGGTGGGCGGGTATTATGGGGTGCTGAGACGGTCGTGGTGATGTGGTGTTGTTGAGGGGGAAGGTAAGTAGGTGATTACCTCTAGTGTTACTAGTGCTGTAATCGCCCGTCAGTGCTTGCTGGCTGGCTGGGATTGGATCAGATAATCTTCGTCTCTACTACCGCCGCCACCACCACCACAAACGGTCCTCCAATTCACAGACTGCATCGGACCATCTGTGCGTGCCATGGCATATGCACCATCCACATTCTCTATGTAACATCAATCATGGAACGACAGCACGTGTTTTTGCAGGTCAGTCTTTACTTTGCCATCCCTCCATGGGGGTCATCAGCCGATATCTTATTGACAATCTACCAAGTTGAAGCCAGCATGTGTCAACTTGCTACAAGTTACCGCAACTCTTCCCCGGCAACCAAATACACACACGGCTCTAACCAAAGCTCTCACTACTCTGACACAGACACTTCAAACCATCATTTCCCAGGCCGGTCCTCTGGACGCCAAGCTTACAGAATATGTCTTTGTACCTATTTCTCAAGTTCTCCGCATCTCAGGGACGGTGCCCATCCACGCTCTCGAGCTTTGCCTGGAATGCATTCTACTCCTCTTACAAGGCCGGTGGGGAGGAGCGCTGGCCCCGGAGCTCTCCGGGCAGCTGCTCATTCTGTTTACCTTCATGGCTAAGCCTTCCTCGGCCGAAAATGGCATATCCAACTCTTCTGAAGAGCTTCAGGGATTGGCTCTCAAGTGTACAGCAGAATTGCTCCTTGAGACATCTCGTTCACCCACTGGGAAGCAGTATCTGATTGCCACGTCGAGTATCCCGGCACTCGGTGAAGCTGTTCTGGTCATCCTGGATAGTTTAACAAACAGCCCATCAGGCCAGGTCAAACTCGATGCCGTCGGTGCATTACGCTCACTAATAGCGGCGGTTCAAGACAAAGATGCGCTCGCCAGCTTTTTCCCGCGCGTAGTCTCTTCTCTGACCCGCATTCTCACGCCCACCAGCAATAACCGCATCAATTTTCGTGTCCTCGAAAATTGTCTGCAATGTATGAAGGATTTGTTCCTGCTTTTACTAAGCGATAAAGAAACTAGGCATCTTCCCAAGTCCATCCCAAACGCATCTGAAGAGCAGGCCAAGACGACGCGCTCTCTTCAATGGCTTCAGGCCACAGCGTCTCAGATCAAGTTAGCTCTTTCTAACGTTCTCAAATTGCGGCAGCACGAGAAGCCCGAAATTCAAAAATCTTTACTATCTTTGTGTTTGGCAGTCGTACAGGATTGCCGGAAGTCTCTTGTTGAATGCACCGGCATGGCCATCGAGACTATGGTAACGTTGGCTGGCCGAGGAAATTCAGGAGATGATGTCGAAGTCGATCTACAGCTTCTTTTACGGGCTGACCAAGAGTTGTCTGCACTTCTCCTGGAAAGTCTGTACGGATGGATGATAACATTGCCAAGACTAATGCAATCGAAAGACGACACTGGCAGGCGACAACTGATTCACCAGATAGCGATCACGCTTCGGTTGCTTAACAGGAATCAAGTCATTATTGGCGATCTCTTGGCGGATCATCTTCGGGACGGTGTTTCCTCCGTCCTGGAGGACTCGAAAATGATTGAATCTATGGTTAAAACCCAACCATTGATGACTTGGAACGCAGAGCTGGGTCTTAAAAACTCCGGAATATTGTCGTTCGGGCCGTTCCCATTTCGGCTGAAGGGACAGCAAGATTTAATGGGTGACTTTTCTCAGCTGTTGGCAGAGCTTGCCAAGTCTGATACAGCTGTCTCAGTCGCTCAAGACCTCGTTAATGGGTTCCGTACCGGCCCACTAACAACTCAATTGGCCAACCTTTGGATCGCTATCAATCTGGTTCGAGGAATGATGGAAGCTAATCCATCTATCGATGACTTAATCGATTTTGGGACACAAGACCCCCATGAAGAATCGCTTGACAGTCTATACTCCCATTCACTTGAGATTCTCGCTCAGCAGTACACCGGACACGTTGAAGACTGGCGGATGTCAGCGCTGGCATTAGAGGCGATAGCTATGCAAGCCGAACGTTACAAAATCGAGTTCCGGGCTGAGCTCAGCGAAATACTCTATCCCGTGCTCTTCCATCTCGGAAGTCCAACATCTGAGCTTCGCATTCATGCCGCCACCTGCCTTAACATTGTCTCGGATGCATGCGGCTACTCCAGCGCCAGCGAACTCGTTATAGCAAATGTGGACTATGTTGTGAATGCAGTAGGTCTCAGGCTAAGCTATGGAGATGTATCGCCGCAAGCCCCTCAGGTCTTGCTTATGATGATGCGGCTATGTGGTCCCTCACTTCTGCCCTACTTGGACGACCTTGTTGGGGCAATATTCGGCGCTCTGGAAAGGTATCACGGATATCCCAAGCTCGTAGAACTTTTATTCGCAGTGCTAAAGGGAATGGTGGAAGAGGGCGTGAAGGCGCCCCAACTATGCATCACAGCATCGAATGAGCCACTACCATGGAACGAACAACAAAATGATGTAGTCAAGATGCATAATATTATCGACTCCATTCGAACCATGGAAGAAACAGCAATCATCAAGCAGTCGGCGAAGATTGAAGATTTGGGGATTAATAGCTTTCCGCGGAAGCCATGGAATGAATCCACAAGTCTTCCGCTAGAGAATGAGGAGACTGAACTTCAATCTCCCGAAAAGTCCCCACAAGACAAAATTCCTCCCGAGCCCTTGACCTTCTCCATCCTTCTTAAGATCTCCGATCTTACGCAATATTATCTCACTTCATCTTCGCCATCACTTCGATCCTCTTTGATCTCTCTACTTCAGACCACGATTCCGGCACTCGCTAAACACGAAGATTCATTTCTTCCGCTAATAAACACACTTTGGCCAGTGCTTGTCTCGAGACTGGAAGACCCTGAGGCTTATGTTGTGGCCAATGTCTTGGAAGTTGTGTCGTTAATGTGCGAGCTTGCCAAAGGCTTCATGAGAAGTCGTATCGATGCCATATGGGATTCGTTAAAAGTCGTCTACCGACGCACCACCAAATATGATAAGAGCAACAAATCACGCAGCAACAACGCTCAATACATTTCTCCCGTCGCTGACAGGTCAATGCTTCAGAAGTCTTCATCGAATACGATAAGCAATGCAGATGCGAAAATCAGCAATGAGGTCTACGTCACTGCTCCCGCGCACATGATCAGGGAATCTCTGATCCACCTTCTGTGCTCCATAGTGAAGCACGTGGAGATTCGAGAGGAGCAGTTTGACGATGCACTAAACATGTTAGAGTCTGTTCTGGAGAGACCTGATGTGAAAGAGACTCTGTGGATGAGAAACACTGATTTAGTGTGGTTGAGGCTTCACCGGCGTGGGCGCCAGGAGTTCGCGGCCAAAGTAGATGCGGAGATCCGTCCGGAGAGTGCTCGGTGGAGATTTACAAAATTTGCGCCTGAATGAATTTCATGAACATCGTCGAACCATAGTTCGGGAAGTGAACAAGGGTAGCACTTGAGTGCATGTTCACGGTCACATGATTAGGCGGTTGAAGCTCGGGCCTACGCCTTGTGTACGATGACGAAGTTTGTTTCGTGATCATAATCAACCCTCGAATCACTCCGAACACCGACTTTCATACACCCAACAACGTAAGCCAATTCTCCCATTTTTGTGCTCCTCCTTTCCTCTGCCACAATGCTCTCCGACTAACATAGTCTCGCCAGACTACAACATGGCACCCTCCCGAGCTATGAGCACCCTTCCCTTCTATTGTGGCGCACGCGCATATTTCCACCACACCTACTTATCAACTTCATGCCGCACTATCTTCACCCAGCATGCTCCAATTGCGCAGCCATTGAGAACACACCGTTTGCTTCTTTCGACCCTACCGATGCCCCGAGCGCCTCACATGCCCGCATCCTCGCCATTGTTGAGATCATATTCGACAGCGATACCCGAACCGCCAGACCATCTGAACGAGCGCGAACTACACGTTTTCAATAAAATCCGGGACGCTCTAGAACCGGTTCAACTTGAGGTATGCGTTGTCCGTTGATAATCTGCGTGAGCTCTACAAGTGATCGGTGTACGAGAGTGTCATCGGATCAGCATTGTACATGAACGGAGACCGATCGCTGCATGCAGACAATGTATGTCATAAATGTACGCTGTTTGATTTCAAGCACGGCATTACATACTGTAGCCGGCAGCACCGGTTCGATTCCTCGTTTCGCTCTCAGTTGTCACGGGCGAAGCTCGGCCGGCGTGCGGTGGCCACATATACGTATATGTACACATGCCGCAACGGATCGCAAGCCGAACCAATTGCAATCTGGCCGTTTATGAGAGATTTTCCGGTCATTTTTACGCAGCGGGTTAGTATAATGAGATCCAGTTCTGACCAAGTACGTTACACAGGTTCAAGATATCAGCGGTGGCTGCGGTTCCATGTATTCGCTCGAGATTGCCAGTACTAGATTCAATGGGCTCAGCGTTATCAAACAGCACAAGATGGTCAACGAAGTATTGAAGGATGAAATTGCCGGGTGGCACGGCGTACAACTGAAAACGAAAGCAATTTGACTGATGGAGTAGTAACCTGAATGGTGACGTATAGTTCATCATGTATATTATGTATCGTTCAAGCATTCAATTTGAGAAAGGTTGGTTTTCTGTCGGTGTATTGTCGAAGCTGGCTTTGCGGGGAAGTCGATGTGCTATAACACAGACATGCTGGTTGTTTCAAACTACACTGCCAACCCAACTATTATCGGCGAAATATGCTCTTGCTATCAAACAAAATGGACCAGAAAAGTTTGAAAGGAGTTTCGTACCACAACAAGACACGAATGAGGATGCTCAACTCACCATCACAGGAGCAGAGGCACCATGCTCGAAGTATTCTGACGTTCCGAATGCTTCCACTGTTTTGCACCCTGGCTTGACAACCCCTTTGCCATATTCAAACGAGACCTTCGGCGAAACCATTATGGTTGGCATCTGCCCACACCGATTCGGATCCCTTCCTTCCAATCATGATACTCCCACTTGTCAAGCTGACGAGCGGTGTGTTGCAGGTATCACCATACACGGCGTGCATGAACGGACTACCACTGAGAGGAGCCAAACGTAGGCTTGGGGAGTAGATTGTGCAACTCTATGGGAGGACTGACACGTCTCCTACCTCATTCGGGCCGGTAGATCTTTCCTCGTGCACGTGCCCAACTTTGGCGGTTCGACTGCAGTAGCTTTGCTGCTTCAAAGCATATTGAAGCATCCCCACGGAGGAAACACCTTCGGCTTTCACCACTAGTTTAGTCGCCGTTCTCCACACACTGTGTCCGCCTCCACACCATGCTGAGCCTTGCTTGCTACAACTTCAGTTTTGGGAGCGTCCAGGCCCCAGATTGATAGGTTCCGGGCCTATTTTAGCTCTGGTTATTGGTAGTCCAACTGACCAACACGATTGCATGGCCTGGCATCGCGACCCCACACGCTTAGGGAGATTGAGAATCATTGGCGCCTTGTACCTCTAGTCGTGCGGGGCTTCTATCTGTATGTAAGCTTATCTCGCCATGATATCCCGCAATAGCAAGATGTAACCGGCGTCCATCTGAAAAAGCAGGTCGCACTTATCTCTGAGCAAAGACGCTGAACTTGACGAAGGGCTCTGAACCTACCTCTGACAGAAATCCATTCCGTGCCCGCAGCATGGTGATTAGTCCAAACACATAAGCGCATCGTAAATTCATTTGCTATAAGGCTTCCACGGAAGCCGAGTGTGACGGCCCTAGAAAGGCATAGGCTTTGATGGCATAATCCAGGGACATGTTCTAAGATTCTACCTGAAAAGACCAGAAGCGTATTGTCGTTTCATGCACATTGCCCGGGTGTTGATATCCAAACGAAGGGCGGGGTTCGCTGCTTGCGCATGCAGTAGTCTCGTGAGTCTTCCCAGTACATATAGTAGTAGTCCACACAGCCTGGGCATAACTCCTCTCGTCCTACCAGATTGGGACATGCTATCTCCGAAGCTTTCTCGCGAGATCACTTTCACTCAACCGCACACACGCACACAAGAAGCAGTTATATAGAGTAACAAACTGGCTGACTCTATGATACTGCCCCACTCGCACTTCGCCTGTGGGACACGGAGGCTTTCAAGCGCATCTCGGCAATCTACCCACTCGTATTATCCATATTGACACTCTTTCGCAGTACCAATCATAGTGTAACATCACGATCGTTTGCAGCCATTTCTATAGTACTCTTGTATTTCCCCTGTCTCCCTTTTCTTCTCAACAAACTCCGTTTCGTGATTGCGATGCAATGATCAAGACATCACTCTGAACTTCACCTTCAACACGAGAAAGCTTATTATGTTTGTCTGCTAGTAATATCAGCCGTCAAATTCCTCGCTGTGTTTTTTCCTATAAACAAAGATGTTTCGACCGTGACAATACCTCCCACCGATGCACAAGGTCAGCTATATATTGAGGTAGTAGAGGTGCCGAGACCAATATATGTGAACTATAGATATAAAGGACCTCCCAAGGGGGCCAACAGTCCAGATTACCATGGGCCTTCGGTACTTTTCTTACTTGGTCCTGGATATGAGAGCAAGATATGCGTGATCAAGGCAATTCGAAGAGGAAAAGTCTTATGAATCGACGTCGGCTTTCATTTCGGGATCCATGTAGCTTCCCGTGTCGACCCAGAAATAGAAAGGAATTGTCGTAATTGTCGATTTTCGAATCCCTCGTAAAAGCCATCAAGCAACCTCTTTCTGCTACCTTCTTTCTCGTTTCGTTCCATTGCATCGTTTCACACCGTTCCATCCAAAATTCCCCACCTGTGTTGTAACTTAGGTGGTAGAAGTGACCGAGAACAGGTGCAAATTGACGTTGCATATTGTACTCTTGGGTTCACTCGTCCCAATGCGTCTTCCCATTGTTTCTCTCTTCGCATTCGCACCAGCTGCCCTCGCCGCACTAGGCAATGATGCACCGCCGCGAGCATTGACGTCGGCGCCGTCCAGTGTCGCCGAGTCGACGCTCACCGCGCCTCAAAGCACCTCGCTTCATATCCCCGTTACGACGCCTCCTTCGTCTTTTCTGACCAGTATCATTTCGCCTAATAGCACCGTGGCTGCCAACAGTACAAGGACTAGCCGGACCCGTAAACCTCATACTGAGCCTATACCCATCTTTTCGAGTCGATGCGATTGTCCCAATCTAGCAACAGTCGCGTACCCTTGTTGGGCGACTGATGCTCTACAGGCAAGTCTCCATTTTTTTTGTCTCTGCTTTCTGGTACTCCGGCACACATAGGTAGAAGGAATACAAAAAGGACCGCCAAGTCCCATGGAATCCTGCCACACTAGGAAGATACAGCGCATAGAGATGAGATCATGGGGAGAGGGGTAGACGAATGGCGATCCAAGAAGACTGGGATCATTAACCCATAGAGAGATCTCTGACTGACAACACGTCCAAAAACCAGCGTTGCGAATTCGAAGAACTTCACTCATTTGTGTGTTGGACGAGCGCGGCACGCGGGTGCCCCACGCCTACACGGTCTGTAAGTTCGAAAGCCATCTCTCAGATACACGTTAAAGCAACACTTCACGAGGACCTATTGCTGATCCACTACGTTCGCTTTCTTCTTCCAACAGTGCCGATCGTTCTTCACACCGCAACCTGTAACAGGGCGACACCCATGCGATATTGGGATGGGCAATCCACCTGAACCGACGGCTATCATGACATCAACACTCGCGGACTTGACGAGTGCTACGCTTGAACCGACGGCATAGTCAGCTTCGCAACAGAATTGAAGAAAGGGTACCTTGCTCACTGTCAACCAATGTGCTCTGCGTTTCCCTGTGTCATGACGAGATATATACAAGATGGTACATGCACATAGTAATGAAGCATAGTTCTTGGAGCTATCTATTAAACTGTCGACTTGCTGGGCTGGCGTGATTACGATTTGTCAATACTTGGATGACAGCTATGCTACACTTACTTGCCTTGTCTGATTATGCACACAACATTCCAGCCGATTAGTATCTGACGTTAAAAAGGATGCAATTTGAGCTTTTGATGGTCATGCAGATAGTGATTACGACTGGTAGACAGACCTTGGACAAGATTTCTACACGTCAATAGATATACGAAACAAGGAATTATACAGAAGTAATGCTTTGCCACAATGAGGGTCTCCTGGGTCATGCAGACAACATTGCATGTGACGTAGTTGCGTATACATACGACGCCTGGGAGAGTGCCAATTTGTATCATGGACACCATTCCGTGTTGTGGAGTGCATGTCCTACCGATCAAATCCCCCGCATTGTTTGACAGGTGTGGGACGATTGCCGTGCTCGACGCGAAAGCATCTTCATAGGAGCAGGACCGGGGTGCTGTGGAAGAGAAGGGCAAAGGATTCTGTTGGGAGGTGGAAGACCCACTTTCTCCGCCCCGAGCAGCAGTGATGGTGGGTAAGATATGTAATGCTAGCCTGAAGTCCGCGGTGGCACAGGATGGTGTGACAATATGAGGGGAGAATAAACCATATTTGACACAAGGGCGAGCTATGAGTGTTGACATCAAGAAGCGGTGCAACGCCAGTGGTTGGGACAGATGTTGCTGGTCTGGAGATGACATTAGGGAGCTTCTGTTTGAGGTTTGACATGGACCCTGATCTCCGTGTGGTGCGTTGACGCCGGACGACCATTCGACCCTGCATATCAGGGTTCCATGATTGAAAGGTCAAGACTGCACTCAGCCCTTTTGTTATCTCTGGTGGTGGTGGTGATGATGATGATGATGATGGTGCAGGGTCTACGACACTAGACTGTGAAGATCTGCGACGATTCGACAGCCAATAGGCACTGTTATTACATATATGTAGCATTCAATCGTTCATGAAGCCATGCAGAATCATGGACTGGAAATTGTCGATCAAGGAGGGGGAGAGTCGGGGAAAGTATGCTAAAAGCGTCTCGTGTTGCATGTCGCCATGGCGCGCGGTGAAAGATAAGAGGACATGGTGCTATGCCCACAACCGTTAAAGCCGAGCATAAGCGCCACCCGCTCTGTGGCCAGGCCTCGCATGGAGCCTTTGTTCGCGATGGGTGATTGCAGCACGCCGTCCTTCACCCACCCACCCACCCACCCATTCATTCATCCATCCATCCATGACCAAGCATACCGGATACGCTTACAGGGCGAAGGGAAAAAAAAGAGGGGGACTGCAATCTGCCTTTCCCCCATCAAGTATGCTAGTGTCAAGGATTCATGGTGGCCCTTGTTTAGGAGAGAGTTGATTTCTCCGGACTACGCCAGGGCGGTGCTGTTCTCCGACATGCTTACCACATCCGTGTCGTTGAATTTGTTGAGAAGCTCGCCACCACCTTTCAAATTTCTGCCAAAATCACATCCAATCCGACTCGGAGCGCCCCGCAATCGACCTACCGTGTACGGTTATGCGGTATATTGCGTAATTTTGGGCACACGCGCTGTCGTGAGCACTCCGACGACAACGACGACAACAACAACCTCACTCGTCCGCAGCATGCCCGCCTTCGAACGCGGAGCACACCGAGGTCAAGCCTGAGGAGAAGGCTGCAACACCCTGGGCGAGATGATGCTTTTCATCAACGGGCTAACCCTGTCGCACATTCTATGTAGATGCAACAAGATGAACCGAAGACACAGAAACTCCAGAACAACAGATGAGGAAAGAGGGGGAGGGTGAAGGGTAGAAAAAGTGTTGAGGCAGATTACACGAGCAGTTGCAGGTGGTGCGTGCTGCTGCTGCTGCAGCATGAGGGGCAACTCGCTTTGTCGCTAGCAACGGTGAAGTAGTGCAGGTCGCCATTCTGCATAGCATAGCGGACTCTCAGTCTTTTCTGGCCCCCTACACAAACTGTTGACCACTTCTGCCATTTCGCATGCTCGAGTCATTCGTCAATGCCTGCGACTGTACGATGCCGCGCCTGGATAGGCTATAGCAAGGATTCTGTGGAGGTTAGCCGAATGCTGTTCGTTGCTCTGTGGTCTAAAAGTGCAGATCTCGCTTTCAGTTGCTCCTGCTGTGATGAATCGGAAAGTGAAGCTGCTCGGACATATGATGGGAATCCCCCCACAAGCCCCGTGCAAGGTCCATACAAGCGCCAAGCAGGTATTGCGGGAGCATAGCATCTAAATGCTACTATAGCCTCACAATTACCACTTGATGCTCGCGGGAGGGCGAGTGCTGGTCCCCAGATGGCGTGTGGTTGGTGGTTCGAGGTCAGTGCATTTCCCCGCATCACGTGTGGCACTGTGGCTCAACGCTCCTTGGCAAGCTGGCTGCTTGAACTGGTGGTCTCTGCGTCGAGACTGTCGATTGTGATTGGTCGAACAAGATGGCAGTGAACAAAGCCCATGGACACGGACCAAGTGCGCATTTTCACTTTGTTTTTTCGTTTCTTCTCACGGGTACCCGCTGAGAATGATTGTTGGATGGTCGCCGCAGGACGTGCTGGCCACGAACTCACATGAAAAATTTGCACAAACACTTGCTTGTGTGCTTACACTGGTTGACTTGTATCAAGTACCAACAACATGTCAAGCGACTAGCAGGTCTTTTGCAATCATGGCATCATCCATGTCCCATCATCCATGGAAAAGGGATCACGCGTCAGCAGACGGCTTCACCGCAACTCGCGATGGAGTTTTAGTCTTGTCGTGAAACTGGGGACGCTTGGTAGGAGACACTTGGTGCGTTTCCCCTCTCTGCAATTTGGCGGCGAATTTTCGCTTTTCCTTCTTTTGCAGATGTCCGCTTTGGGATCTGGTTCTGGTCCTCCCCTGTCTGAAATTTTTCTTCGCATCCAATCTTCACTGTCAGGATAGTGCGAGTTCGGAGAGGTGACATGACGGATCCGAGTCGTGTCCGCGAGAAGGAAAGGCGATGGCACGATTCCATGGCAGTGCCTCTCAGCCTCAGAGGCGTTAGAGAGGATGGGGAATGGTGGGTGCTTCGCGGGCGGTGCTAGCGATCGACCCTCTGGAGCAGATCGGTGTTCTGACGACGGCGCCATTCCGCAAAGGGAGGGCGGTGAAAGACAACCCTGGTCCTCTCCGCGTGAGTGGCTCCAAGAAACCTGAGCCTGGTTCGGTTTGGGGAAATCCATGTGGCTGACGGAGCGCGCCAAGTGGGAACTATTCCCATGCCATGTATCGCACACTGCATTCTGCCTTTCGACACGCAAAAGCGCAACGCGGTTTACACAAAGCCATATGACTAAACAGAGCAAGGTGACGGATCTTGTGGCCAAGCTGCTTGCAAAGATCGCGATCATGGATACAAGGGCATGGCTCTCCGACGGCGGTGAATGGATGCTAGTGCACTCGTTTGCTTATCTGACGCAGGTGTGGTATTGATTTGAGCATCCGTACAGTCCGTATATTGATGCAGCTTCGCGGATGGTGACCAACATGCGACGTTCCCGCGTGGATTGCGCAGCCCGCCAAAGACTGTTTGCACAGATACAGAGACATGCGGATAGTGAGTGCGTGGATGAGGCGGGGCAGGTGCTTGCTGGATGGTGGTTAACGCGGGGAGGCTACGAGCCGTGGGCCCCAAGGTGATCCATAACAATGCAGCACACAGAAATGACATGCGACGGAGGTGGAGTTTCATGTCGTCGAGTAAGTCGAGACGGAGCGGAGCGGAAAGATAGCCAACACAGTACAAGCCCAGCAGATGGAGAGTGGACAATGGGTTAGTAAACATGGCCAAGCGCGGCTGGCCGGGCAGGGATGGTGGAACGGCGCAGGGATGGCGTCTTTGTTGCGTGCGACGGGGTGCCGTGGTGATTGGGAGCCAGCCTGCTGTGGCCGCGCCTTATCTGAGGATGCGCCCTTCAGGTACGTACCGTGGTGCAGCGTCCATCTCCCGCCGGCACACCTCCATTGTCGGGTCTGGAAGGGAGCAGCAGGATGGGTTCGAGGGCATTTTGCATTGTCGACGTCCTGCTTGTTCTGTTGTTTGCTCCCCCCCTCGGAAATTGGGGGCTGTGGCGGGCACGAGCACGAACGCACACGCGCACGCACGCCCGTTTGTTTAACGAGAGAATGACATCACCTTGACACACGGCCTGGCCTGGCCAGCAAAATAGAGCAGAGCAGAGCAGAGCAGAGCCTCGAAGGAATCATCATGACCAGAACATGGCCTGGATATATCCAAGTTTCGAGACATCCAGGTATTTTTGTACTGTATGTGCAGTCCAAGTACCTAGGTACCAGACGAGCGAGTAGGATATGTACGAGGGGGTTGCAGAACGCAGGTGCATGTATACACGCAGTGGTGGGTGTGTGTGTGAGTGTGTTATCGTATCGCCAGCCAATATTTTTTTGACTGGTTGTATCGGCGGCCCCTTCCCTTATTACAACTCACATGAAGGAGCTTCGGATGGCGGCGGGTTCATGTAAATGATTGACGCCTGTACTGACTGTACTGTCTCATATCACGGCACGGCATCAATGGCGTTGAGGAGGAGAGAAAAACAGGCGAGCTTGGTCTCGGCTCGCCCCCCCCAAGCTCAAAAGGCCGCCCACCCATCCATCCATCCCATCATCCCCCCCCCCCCCCCCCCCGGCCTGTTGAGTGGGTCGCTGCAGCTATCAGTGCGCCTGCGTCTGGCCAGCGCCTCTAGTGAGCGTACGCTGCCCGCTAACCTGCCCGGTATCTGCATCCCGGTTCGAGGCGATTCCCAAACCAAACCGCCCGCCTGTCCCCCCCCAATAGTCGCCGCCCTGCTTGCTCTACCGTCTTCTCAACATTATCTCCACCTCCACCTTCGCTCCTCTTTTCCTCCCCACGCCGCCGCCATTGCCAGCCGCCTCCCTACTTTTATTAGGCTTCAACCCGTCCTTCGTCCTCGAAGGCTCTCTGGCAAAACCCCCCGCGAGTCCCTCCCCTCCCTCTCCCTCCTCTTTTCCCTGACCTCTCTCCACCAACCAACCAACCAACCAACCAACCGCGCGTACCTTCTTCACTGGTACGCCTGCCTGCTACCACCGCCTGCCATATACCCGCCTGCACCCAGAGTGCTTCCTGGCCTCATCGATCCCATCGCCATCCTTATCCCTCTTGCCCTTTCCTTCGTGCAGCCTCTCCCCACTCCGAGTCTGTCTGTCGTAATTTTCTTCTGGGGGGCCCCGAGTGTTCTGTACCCACTCACAACTCCCTCGACGTCACTGCTTTGACTAGCTGTGCGAGACTCCACCTACACCCACACTCCCCACGAGCAGCCTTGATTGTCCATATTCACTGTAAGTCCTGCTCCATTGTTTTGCTTGCATCTCCCAAACCCGTTTTCTCACTCAATGTTTCACTTTTGGTGACGCCACCGTTCGCCTTTGTCATGTGGCGCTTCACTTTTGTTTGTTCATTCAGCATTCACAGCAAGCTAATCCCATCGCAGACGCTTAATTCAAATCCATTTCCCTTCTTTCTGTAATGCTTCCGAGCTTCTAATTCTTCGGCCACTGCATTCAACCACCCTTTCAACCGTCCAAGTCGGCCGAATGCCTTACACGCCACCATCACAAAGGTCGCCTGCCACCTCAAAACCAAACAGCCCCGTTCTGAGTAGGTCTCATTCCTACGTCGAGCAGCTACCCTCTTCACCACCCACCACGCAGCGGCCGGCATTGCCTCGCTCCATCTCTTCTACCTCGTACCTCAACAAACACCGACGCTCGCCCTCCATCAACTCCACCAACAATGCTGCTGCAAATGGCCAGGCGAACGGTATGATCCAGCCGTCCGACGCCCCAGGTGGCCAGGGACACGGTAGTCTCCGCCAATCCCCTCCTCCCGTGAACAACCTTCTGATCCCGTCAGGTGCCATCTCCACACCGCCCGATTCTTCTGACGATGATGAGGAACGAGGCCGGAGTATTGGTAACCTAAAGGAGTTGCAAGAGGCCCTTCAGAACATTCCCATCAAGCGGACTGGCTCGCCCGATCGTGATACCGCAAAAGGTCGCGCTGCCACTGCCCCCTCTGACGTGCTGGCTCAACCGCTGACTGCCAACGCGCGTAAAATATCCCACTCGCGGTCTTCCAGCGAGATTGTCCTTTCCCAGCATCTGGTCACTGACCTTAACTCGCAACCAATCATCAGCTCATCGGACGGTAGTGATGCCGAGGAGGATGAGTTGCGGATAAAACCGCCGCTTTTGCGCAAGAAATCGGGGGAGCTCGTCAAGCCAGCTCTTCGACCGGCATCGCGGAGACGGCCGTCGAGCATGCCAGGTACTCCAACGTACCACAAGGCTGTCCACTTCAACGAGAACATGGAGCAAGTGCGCCACTTTCTGGCTGTAGATCGTCCCATCGCTGTCAGCGCAGGCTCGTCACCCGTGGAAACCTACGAGAGTGAGAGCGAATATCCGTTTTTCGATGCACGTCAGCTCAAAGAACCGGAATGGGAAATCAAGCTTGCCAATTTCCCCACATCCGAGACCTATGAGCGGCAGACCATGCCCGTCAGGCTGGAGCGCATGTTCATGGCATCCGATAATAAGACCTTGGTTGGGACTGTGGCATGCGCTAATCTCTCTTTCCACAAAGTCGTTGTAGCTCGTTTCACGCTAGATTACTGGAAGACTACGTCCGAGGTAACAGCCGAGTACAACAACGACGTTCGTAGAAAGCAAAGAGAAGATGGTCATGATCGATTCAATTTCAACATCAAGTTGGTCGACCAAGCTAACCTAGAGTCCAAGACACTGCTCCTCTGTGTGCGTTATCAAGTCAACGGGCAGGAGTTCTGGGATAACAACAATTCGATGAATTATCAAGTCGATTTTGCCAAGAAGGTGCACTCCAAGTCGAAGGGTAGCAAACCTCGCCCGATTCCTCGCAGCCGTCATTCACCCCCAGCCCCTCGCCCCAAATCTATGCCAGTAGGATCATTTGAAGACGATTTCGGCCAAGGGTTCGAGTTCGGTGCTGGACGTGCGGTCTTTGGCGACTCACCTAGCTCCTCTATCCGTTTAAAGCCAAGAAGCAAGCGCGGGAGCCTGTACCCTGATCAAGCCTCCCGTCAGCAAGGCTCCAATCCGCAGGCGTTTTCCACCCGGTACGACTTTGGAGCTTCGCTTTCGGCTGCACTATCGAACGCCCAAACGGCACTTGGTGATAGGAGTGGGATCAGCAACAATCTCGATACCAAGGAGTCTGGCAACCAGCCCGGTAAAGATGCTGAAGCTACGGGCTCCAACTCGCCCGCTGCCTCTATGGGCTCTTCTGCCCCCCTTGTTCCTGGCACCCGTCCCGATGGCATGTCTTCCGCTAAACCAGGCTTGCAATCCGCTGAATATAACGAGTTGATTCAGAAATTCTGCTTTGTACGTTCTCCACGCCCCAATGGATCGACCTAAGCCGGACGCTAATTTGTTGATTCAGTATGGTACCCCTTCCAAGGGCTCCTCCAAGGTCACGACTCCTACAACCAAGAAATCTCCCACAGATGGTGCCACGGAGTACATCCTGAACGATCACATCGGGAGTAACCCGTCTTCTGTATCAAGCAGTCCCCCATCGCCTCCCTTGTCGATACAAGTGGATGGCGCTGATGAGTCTAGATCTGTCTCCCGCAGTCTTTTCTCGTCTCACTCGACATCTCCTGGTCCTTTTAATGGCCCTGGGCTCGAGGATTACAAACCATCTTCTTACCAATTTGGTTACAACAAGGCCGGTAGCATGTTTGCTGAACAACAGCACGCACCGCAAGCTTGTGTCTGAATGCGAATGGAGCTCGATAGGGGTCGGACGATGTGATGGGTTGTTTTTGGCCACCCCGGCTACGCCTACAACCGGATCTGCTGATGATGAGTGGAGCGGACGCTGCATGCTTCTGTCGCCGACGCTCACGAATCTTCACTCGGGTCCGGATGATAGGCGAAGACTTAATTTTTCATGTCAGCTCTCGAGTCTCTCTCTGTGCAGCGACTGTTACAAGTCACTATTCTTCCAGCATATTCCTTTGGAGCAGCTCTTCTTCCTGCATTTCTCGGATGGCTCGTTGCGATCTCTTTGTCGGTGGGGGTTGGCGTTCATGTTTTGAATGGTTCCAGGAGTTTGGGCATCTCGTTTAACCGTCTGTTCTCGGTACACCATAGATTGGTGGTAATGCTCTTCGAGGCGCCGAGCGACATCCTTTCAATAGCTTTGGCGTTCTGTCCTTTGGTAACGGTCGATTACGGTCACATTTTTATCCGTTTTGGTGGTGATGGCCGATGGGTAGCAAAAGTGTTTGGGTTTGTTCATGCATTTATAGCAATTGGCCCCAGGATGCGTCGTGGTCCTCGGTACATAGTGGAAATGATAGCGAGATTGTTGTCCAAGTCTCCGTGTTTTGTATGTGACGAGGCCTATGTGCAAGAACTGTGAACGTTTGAAGGTTGGTCACCGGGAAGGGTGGTCAGGTAAAAGTCAATGATTCGAGAGTGTTACATGGTGCGGCGAACAAGGGAGGGAAGGGGTGGGACTCGGGCGTGCTGTTGAGTAGGCGCAAGAGCCAATATAAAGGAGCTGCCTGCGTTGCCTGGGGGAAATTAGCAAAATTGAAGCGATCGTGAAATGCCGCCACATGACCGGCATGACCAGGGTGGAGTCCCTGACCGGTGTTCTGCCGTCGCTAGCACTTCCAGGAAGGGTCTGAGCCGGTACACCGCCTGCCCCAAGTAGATGTCCACGATCTTCTTCACCTCTCGCTCTTCACGCTTCAACCAACTATTGGCCCGGAGTCTTTTGTGCGTGGCACTCGTGACGTGTTGATCTGAGCGCTTGGACATTGTAGCCATCGAGACGAGGCACTCAGAACTCACCGGTCATACCTGTCAACCCCATCCGTTACCATGGCACGTGGTGCTGCTTCTTCCGCCGTCAAGAACACCGGAGGTGGTGGGTTTTGGGGCTCCAAGTCCAAAGTGGTAGCGCAGCCTCCGCTTCCGCCTCCCGCTCCAAGATTCCCCTCGCCCGTCGCTGCTGGCAGTGGCCCTCAGGTCGACGCGACAACGGTGGCCAGTTTGCTGTGTGTCGTGGCCCTTCTAGGTGCTGCTTACGGAGGTATGCTACACGCCGTCTCTTCCTTCCTGCCCATGTGCCTCTATCCCATGTTAGTTCAAACAGCTGCTGACTGCCAACATAGCCTCGCTTCGCCTACTTCCCAAAGGCTCATCCAAAAAGACACGCGTTCTTTTCATCTGGCACTTATTCGATGCATTGATCCACTTCTTCTTCGAAGGTTCTTTTCTCTTCAACTGTTTTTTCATCTCCTATTCGCTCCCGACGTCTTTTAATGCCGCCGCTCGCCAGCATCCGCACATCCGGCTGCTCACTCCACCAGATGTCTACTGGCTCGGTAGCCAGAACAAGTTGTATGGAGCGAACTATGGCACTGGTCCCTTCAGTCGACTGTGGCAGGAGTACGCAAAAGCAGATCGTAGATGGGGAGGCGTAGATCTAGGGGTCGTGAGTCTGGAGGTGTTGACCGTGTTCGTTGGCACGCCGCTTGCATGTAAGTATTCAAATGTGAAGTGCGAACCGGACATCAGGTTGATGTGTGTGTGCATGGTTGTGGAAGAGGGACATTCGAGCAATTGCTAATAATGTGCGTACAGTGTGGATTTGTGAACTTCTCCGCCGCGAGGAAAGAAAAGGGGCGCTCAAGAGGTGGTTTTGGATGATTGTACTTGCTACAGCAGAATTATATGGAGGTAAGCTACCCCTTTTTGTGCGTTGGCCACCCCCTAAATCATATATACACATCGCATTGCTCCCTGCAACGTACTCAAAGTGTCTCTGGTTCCAAGGCATCGTGAGGCGAAGATGTGGGTCTTTTTCGACGTGTTCCAACAGCACACGGCTAGAAACCGGCCAGCTCATGTTGTGTGCAACAATATGCAGGGATGTGTGACGCTGAGCTGTCAATGTTGGTAATGAACTGTGCTGACACGTGGTTCACCGCTTTGTCTTAGGTTGGATGACATTTGCGCCCGAATGGTTCACAGGCAGCCCGAATCTGGACACAAGCAACTGGATGTACCTGTAAGTTTTACCCGTTCCTGACTTGTTTGTATATCATCATTCATAATTGTTTCTTCCTCTATCTCTGGAGTTTTGTCAGACTTCGGGTCCCTGCGTCAACGTGCTTAGGACCCACTTTTCACTCCACTCCACTTATCGTTGTTCTGCCCGCCCAACCTGCGTCCAGATTACCATCACTAAAGAATGATCTCTTCTAAACCGTTAATACTTACCACCCTCCACTGTTCTTTATACAAAGCAACGGTTACCTTTGTTTCTTTTCCTTGCCTTTCTCTTATTTTAGATTAAGTAGAACTGCGTACTAACTTCGCGTAGCTGGCTCTACCTCGTCTTTTTTAACGGTCTTTGGGTTGGGTTCCCACTATGGATCCTATACGAGGGGTATAGCGCTATAACATCAGCTATGAGTCACGCTGAAATGGTTGATCTTGTAAATTATCTAAAAAAGGAGAGTTGATGTGGACGCGTCTTGCTGCGCTGCAGCTAATTCTATACTAATTTTCTACAACATCTATAAAACTGCATATACTTATGCTTTTTTCTTTACTGTAGAGGGTTAAATTTAGTATTAAAATAAAGAACTATCTTTATATAATCTAACTTAAACTTTGCGTAAATTACTAGATAGTAAAATAAATAAAAAACAATAAAATAATAAAATAAGTAAAGTTTTTTTTAATACTTTTTATTATTTTAGTTTATTTTATTATTATAAATAGTTTTTACTTACTTATATTTTATTTATTTAAGCTTGCTCTTTAAGTATTTCTTAGTGCTTAGTAATAAATATAATAATTATTAAATAATAAATTAGAATTTTATTTTTTTAAAGTAAAAATATGTAATTTTTTAAATGAGTAATTTTTTATTTTTTATTTTTATTTTTTAAGTTAGAGTTAAGGTAATCCTACATACAGTAATAAGTAATAATAATAAATAAACTAAAATAATAAGTAATAACTAAAAAAACTTACAATTTTTACCTTTACTTAAAAAAGAGATTAGAGGGCACTCTTTAGCACTAACTAGTTTAAATTAAGATAGCTTAAAGCTAGTTCTAATTAGGGCTAGCGCTAAATACTAGATTTTTTTCTACTATAAAAGCCTTCTCTAATACTATAACTATTATTTATTATAATAATAAAAAATTTCTAAGTTTATAATAGTATAAAAATACTAAAAAAATAATAAAAAACTATAGAAGTGCCTGCTGCACTTTTATATATAAAAAACTTATTTTTTTTTACTTTTATGCTGCAGCTAATTTTATATAAAAAACTTAACTATTAAAACTTGAATTAAATCTATTAAAATAGTAATTTTTATTAAACTAAATTTTTATAATATTCCTCTCTACCTAGTGCTTACAATAACATACAACTAATTAATTAAAAAGAAATAACTTTACTTCTTTAACGTAAATAGATCTTTAAAAATAATAACTATTATAAAGAAACTTATTAGCAAAAGCTTTACTTTAGAGCTAATAAAAAACAAGCTACTTTATATATACTTATAAAGTTAGAAATAAGTAAAACACGCGCATAAAAATGCTATAAAAGAAAGTAAAAGAATAAAGTAAATAATTTAAAACTTTTATTTAAGCCTTAATTCTTTAAAATAAGCTTTTTAGTAAAAAGTAGAAATAAAAAAAGAGCTAAAGTAGGCGCAGAGAATTCTAGAAAATGCCTATTTTAATAAAAAACGTTAACTACTAAGGCAGATATAAATATAGCAAAGATATAAACACACTATATTAATAAACTAAAAGAGACTAAAAGTTAAGTAAAGAAAATACTAAGCTATTAAAAGTTAATGTTAATAAAAAGCAATATAATAATAGATTAGAAATAAGATAGCAAGATATTAATAAACTAAAAAAAACTAAAGGTTAAGTAAGAGAAACACTAGGCTATTAAAAGCTAATATTAATAAATAGTAATAAAATATAGTTAGAAAAAAGTTATAAACTATATAGTTATAAACTATATAGTTATAAACTATTACTTTGCCTGCGTAGCTTATACTTGTATAAGCTAGTATTATTAGTAATATAACTTAAAATTACTTACTAGGTAAAAAAGCTGCTAGTTATATTAATTTTTATAAATAGAAATAGGAAAAAAGAATTGCAATTTAAAAAAGAGTATTAAAGATAAAGTAAAAAGCATATAAGTAAGTTAAAACTGCAATTTTGAATAAAAGCTAGATTTAAACTAATAGCTTTTTTTAAAAAAATTTAAAAGAGTTTAAGTATTTGCCTACTATACTATTTTACTAACTTATTTATATACTTTTTACTTTATCTTTAATACTTTATTTATATATTACTTCCTTTTTTTTATATTTATAAAAGCGCTTATATTAGTAAGAAAAATTAAATAGAAAATACTAAACCATTTTTAAAAAAGCTAGTTTAAGCTATAGCTATAAAAATACTAAGTAAATAAGGTAAATAAAAAACTTATTTAAATTTAAGCTATTATTTTATAAAAAATACTTTTAGTATATAGTAATTTAAAACTGCTAGTATTTAAATTTATATATAGTAATAAAAAGTAAAATTATAATTTTTTTTTAAATTTAACTATATAAAGTAGGCAGGTATTAAAAGCTACTAGTAAATATAATTTAAAAAGTTAAATTTTTATTTTAAGTCAAAGTTTAAGTAATTTTATATATAGTAATAAGTTTATAGTAATAAAATAAACTAAAATAATAACTAATAACTAAAAAAAATAAGTAATTTTTACTTTTACTTAAAAGTAGAAATTAAAAAGCACTCTTTAGTACTAGTTTTAATTAAAGCTAGTACTAGAAACTAGATTTTTTTTAACTATAAAAGGTCTTTTTAATACTATAACTATTATTTGCTAAAATAAAAAAACTATAACTATTATTTATTTTAATAAAATAAAAAACTTTATTTTAAAACTTATAATTATACTACTATTTTTTATATATACGCTTAAGTATAAAACTTATAAAAAGTGCTTTTTAATTTCTACTTAACTTAGCTTTACTGCTTAATAAGCTTAGTAAAAGTAAAACTTATTTTACTCTTTTAATTATTACTTATTATTTTAGTTTATTTATTATTATTACTTATTACTTTACATAGAATTACTTTAACTTTAACTTAAAATAAATAAAACTTATAAAACATTTTTTAAGTAAGTTACTTAGAATTTTAGCACTTTACTTACATCTACTTAAAAACTATACTACTAAGAATACTACTTAATAATTATTAAATAATTATAAAAATAGCTAATAATACTATTTATATAATTACTATCTTTAATAGCAATTTTATATTTATTAAACTTATTTTTATAAGCAGTAAAAGCCTTTGTACTATACTTATTTTAATTTATAATAAATTATTTAAAATAAGAATTATAATATTCAACTTGCTAAAAAAAAAAAGTAAAGTAAAGTATTATAACTTTAACTTTAACTAAGAAAAATATTAAATATTTATATATAAAGCTAAAAGTAAATAGTATAAAAGTATATATATAAAAATAGTAAGCTTTATAAGCTTTGTAAAAATTATAAATATAGCTTATATATATAAGTAATAATAAAATAAAGTTATATTAAAAGCTTTATTTACTTTTTATATTTATTAAGTAGAGTATTTTAGTAAAAAGTAGTAATAAAAAGGTTAAAGTAAGTTAGCACTATCTTAGCAATTATATATATAAACTAAATAAATAATTTAATAGCAATGTTAACTACTTTAAGCTAAAAATAATTATAAAAATATTAAAAGTAAAAGTATAAAAATAAAAACTAAATATTAAAAAACTAAGTAAGACTAAAGAGCAAGTAAAAGTAAAATTAACTAAAATATATACGAGTAAAATATTAATGAACTAAAAAAAACTAAAAGTTAAGTAAAGAAAAACTAAAGTATTAAAAATAGTTAGTCTTTTTAGTAATTGCCTATTATTGTAGTAAACCTTTTATTATTAACTATTACTATATATAGAATTACCTTAACTTTAACTTAAAAAAATCAAAAATTAAAAACAGTAAAGTAATAGATTAAAATTTTAAGTTCTTTTAGTTATTACTTATTATTTTAGTTTATTTTATTACTATAAACCTACTACTATATATAGAATTACCTAGACTTTAACTCAAAAAAAATAAAAATAAAAATAAATTAAAAGTAAAGGCTAATTATAAATTATAATAAATTATAAACTATTATTTTACTTTTATTTTTATTTTTTATTTTTTTATTTTTTTATTTTTTAAGTTAGAGTTAAGGTAATTCTATATAACGTAATCTATTACTAAGACAGCTATATTACTAAGCTAGCTACTTTTGCTTAGCATAACTATCTTATCTTTTTTAACTTTAATTTTTATTATTATCTGTTAGTAAATTACTCTTAGGCTTGCTTAGCTCTAAATTAAAAGACACTTCTATAACTTTTTAATATATTATAGCGTAGTGCCTAAGCTCTTTATAGTTCTTATAGCGCTATATACTTAGTTAAGCTTTTTTAGTACTTTTACTACTTTAAGCTTTTTTCTTTAACTAAGCTGCGCTTAGTAATTTTAAAAGTACTAGTAAGGCTTTCTTACTATACTTTAATATTTTACTTTTTTAAATTTTCTTCTTTTTGCGTGCTTTGCGCTTAGTTATTTTTTTTAATTACTTTTTAAGCTTATAGATGTAGGCATCTTTAAGCGTGTTTTTATAAAGCATTTACTTAGCACTTTTTATAAGTATAGAAAAGCTTTTTTGCGCTGTAATAAATAACTAAGTAATTAAATTATATATAAGCTTTAACTAAAATCTAAATTTATATATATTACTTAGTATTTTAAACTACTATAGCTTATCTAGTTAAAGAAGTGCTAGAGGAGTCTAGTGTTGTACTTTAAAACATTCTAGAACTTTTAACAAGTTAAAGAAAACTAGCCTAGTTGCCTTAAAAGCTTTTTTATAGTTTTTTATTATAAATATATTAAAAAACGCGTTTTTAAATACTAATAAAAAGCTTTTTTTATTAATGTAAAAGACACGTTAACGTGCTAAGTTTTATACGCGCTAAGAGTACTTTTACTTTAATAGTAAAAAGTAAACTATGTTAAGTAGCTAAAAGATATATAATAAATAAAAAGGTATATAGACTGTTACAATCTTGTTCTTCTTATAGTAATTTTTTAAATTTTAGTTAAAGTAGCTCTTGTGCCTGTCTAAAATAAGTAACTTATATACTTTTACTTTTTAACTTTTTATATATGCGTTAAAGTGCTTTAACTACTTAAAACTAAGCTTATTATTTATTTAGCTATTTTTTAAAACTAAAAGCTTTTAATTGTCTAGTATATTTATTTTTTTATACTACGCAGAGATGTAAACGCAGCTTTTATAAATAATAAAAAGTAAAATTGTGTACTTTACAGCGTAGATGCTTTAAATAACTATAACTT